TATTCGTATTAAGTTACCATTATTCAAGAATTAAGTAATTTAAGACTACCATTATATATTTGAGTAGAGAATCAATAAAACAGAACTTTACATTTTGTTACATTTGTTTATTTTTATTGTCTATTATGGCAATGATTTCAGATCTACATCAAGTTGTTCTGCCTAATAAGGTAATATTCAATTTGGGATTAGACCCAATATTAATGCCTATATATGGCCAAGAAGCCATTACATTGTAAGTGAAGTATTTGTTAATCTGGCACATTCATTAAAGGCATTAGGCTATTTATCTAAGTGTGGCCATTTTCAGCCTCAATTAGTCAGGCCGATAATGCTCCACTTCACTACACAATGAAATCTATTCCTAACACCTTGCCGATTGTCTCTTTATTCCAAATTTAAGGAGATTACTCCATTAGAAGTATAAGCTCATCTATACTCATTAGTCTTTTAGCACCAAAAATGTAGCTTTATGTAAGTAGTTTATGCCTTTGAGGTTTTCCAAAGGAAGTGAGCTTTCAAACGCCATCTCACATTAGGATTACACATTATACAATGACACATTAACATTATAATATGAAGTATTAGAATTACACAATGATACAATGATACATTAGGATTACACAATAATATATCAGAATTATATTATGACATATTAGAATTATGCAATGACACATTAGGATTATGACACATTAGGTTTACATAATGACACATTAAGATTATACAATGAAATATCAGAATTATATTATGACATAACCGGATCATATATGACACAATGGGATTGAAAGGTGATATCATGATTATGACACATTAAGTTTACAGGATGACACATTAGGTTAACGTGCAAACACATGGCAAATAGACACATTAGATAGACATATATTGACAAAGCACACATCAGGTATTCATGATAACTCATCACATAAAAGTATTATAATCATCATAATTACACATGCTGTATACATACATGTATGTCACTGGACTGAAACACGCCACATAAGAACATAGCATATTACATCCAAACAACAGATTAGAATGAATTGAAGCTTCATATAACGAAATTATATAAATCATCCATTAATGTTATAAAAGACTCTACAAGAGTAGTACAAAACAGAAAGCACTAATGGTATTACTGCTAATTCCCGAAGCACCATATAATAACAGGTAATGATTGTCCTCTATCTCTGTTATACAAACAGTTCAACATTTCTCAAATTGAACGATATTTGCTTCCACAAATTAATGTCAACAAAGAAGCATGCCCATATTTGAAATTGGTTCAATCGCCATCAAATAGTATACAAAACCTTGTCATGGTAATAAATTAGGTCGTGTATGTATATTTAGAACTTAATTGAAAGGATGATTCTCGGTTCGGAGAACGAAGTTCATCAATCTAAATGAGCATTATCCCTGCTTCGGACAAATTTGATTTTTTTTACATAATATAGATTTGAATGTCTTTTTTTGAATAGTCATAATTTAATTTGGGTAATATTTCTAGATTTTTCGCAAAAAAATATTAGCGCAGTACACTGATGAACTTCTTTCCCCAAATCGAGACTTGTATTTTATTGAATCGGTCTAATTGAGCTTCAGACCAATTTGTTATTTTTACATCTTGTAGATTTAAATGTCCTCTTTTGAATATTTGTAGGTTAATTTGGGTAATATTTCTATATTTTTCATGGAAAAAATTATTAGCCCAGGAGACTGTTCTCCAAACCGAGAATCGTCCTTTCAATATATTTGATAGCCTTGCCCAAGTCGGTCTCTTTTACTATCTGATTTCTATTATGACCGCCTTGTACAAAAGAGAAAGCCACGTGCTTTACCGACTCAATGTTTATGTCGGTAAAATTTGACCAATCAACGACGGCCCTGCAGCGTTAGCTCATTATTATGCACGGTCAAAAACAAGTACACTTTTCGTCGGGACTTTTCACGAACAAATCTTGCATGAATTCATCATGAAAATACAAATATTTTATCAGATAAATATCAATCAGAGTTAAGTGAATGCTAGACATCGATCGGTAACCGGAGGTTAGAAGATTTCAACAATAAACGTTGAAACGATCATGTAGGCTGAGATTCACCCTTATAAAAAATTCAACCTTGAAAGTCCGAATTTAAACCGTTGCACAATCATTGTACAATCATTGATCCGATCATTTATCCAACCATGCCAACCGTTACAATGCAACCATTACAGTTTTGATTGAATTTCTTGCAACCGTTTCAATCGAATGCAACCCTTTAAACCTATATGGCAATATTATCTCAATACAACATAAAATAATTATATTGCTCTTTAAAATATATTTTTCAAATGTATGTATTTCATGCATACATGTCAGAATTTTAATTTTTTTCATCAAAAAGATATTTAAAGTATTGAAATAGTTTAGTAAACTTGTCTTGTGAATGAAAATATATTGAACCAATTTCCATCTAACCTTGAAGGATGGTGATTGTCCCACTCACATGTATATTATCTAGATAACAGCAATGCTAAGGCATAGCAAATCCCCTCGCTGTCATGACAATCATTTTTACAAAATCCCTTCACTACTTTTTAAGTTATTGCAAAAACATTTGAAATAATTTTGATTGGGTCAAGTCTTGAATTTTACAAATTCAGACACTTATACTTCACTTGAGTAATTATCACAATTATAAAGGAGGGAAGATCTGTCTGGAAGGAAGAAATCCTTCAATCAGAAAATAATCTGTTAATTGATTTGATATTTTTGATTTGATAGAGAAAATGCAATCAGACATTACAGGATGTGTTTTAAATAATTAAGTCAATAAGCATAACTTAAAAAATTCTGATTACAGAAAGACTCAGTCTCTTTAGTTTGATTAGAGTCTGCTTTGAAGGATGTTTCTAAAGAGACTTTATTAATCCATTAATCCATAAACAAAACAAAAATAATTCGACAAGGCAAAACAAACCTTATAACAGAGAAACTCTCAGTTTGATTAGAGTCTGCTATAAAGGAAGCATCCTATGTAATTTAATTATTCCATACAAAGAACTTGATAAATAATTTGCTAAAGAAAATTTCCCATATTTTCCTCCAGATTTTTTCAAGTTGAGAGTTTTGAAAAATAAGCCTATTTTTTGTGTTTTTTTTAATCATTGACACATATTATTTAAACTGAAAACAAGTTTCAGTACAAATGCTATGCCCTAGTGAATACAGTAAAGCCATGAACTTTCAATTTATTAAATGCCCATGGTAAAAAAAAACTAAATAAAAATGAAATAAAAATTCTGAAAATAGTATTTGCAGTTTCATATACTTGCTATTTGAGATTTCTCAGCACTTAATAAAGTAATTGAATAAAGAAATAAACCCTCAAAAATCTGAAAACACTTTTCAAATTTTTACCTCCCCCCCTCTGCATGAAATAGATAATAAAAAAAAATATATATAGTATAACACAATATGAAAATAAATATAACAGAAACTAGGAATATGGACCCTATTTCTGGTCAAGCATTTTAATTAGCTGTTCAACCGTTTTAATTAGCTGTTCAACCGTTTTAATTAGCTGTTCAACCGTTTTAATTGGCTGTTCAAGCATTCTGATTTGCCAAATCCCATGAGAATATCAATATGTAGTAGGTATTGTTTGATCATCAGTCTGATCATGAACAAAAACCATTGTGTCTCATCTTGTGGTTTTGTTAAGTTTAAAGGAAATCTTAAGATGTACCTTGGTCAATTTCTTAACCAAATTGGAATTTTGCTCAATTCTTTTCATAATTAACATCATTTTGGCAATATCTGATAAAGGGAAATAAACACTAAATATGGTACTTTTAATTTGTGTAAATAATGTAAATGACAGAGAACATAAATTATCATATGCCATTGAGTGGAAAACTAGTCTGGTATTGCATTCCTAAACTCGTACTTGAGAAAGAAACATATTAACATGAATTAAGTTATTTACTATAATAAACATGCATGTATGCTTGCAGAAAAAATATCCTAATATACTATTGTTTAATAGAGGTAGATTCAAATCCTTACTTAAAGATAATTTTAATTCAGGTAAAATGATAATTTTTTGGAACGATACTAATTCAGGATGGTTGCAGGGGTTGAACTATGTAATCATTGAACAAAACAAATTGCAACCATTTACATTTCAATGTGAAATGGTTGCAGTTTACAATGGTTTCAGATTACAATGATTGTATAGAAACGGTTGCGCATTCGTTGAAAAAGAGTTGACTTCGCTTGGTTGAACACAATGGTTGCACAATGATTGCTGATCATCGTACAATGGTTTTTCCTTTGATCTTGGTAGTTGAAACAATCATTATTCAATGATTGGTGGAAACGGTTTAAATTCGGACTTTCAAGGTTGAATTTTTTATAAGGGAAATCACTGATCGACGACTACATGACCCGCTACATTGGACTAGGTCTTGCATTTTCATCGCGAGATCAGTTTTAAATCTATTGCATGATTTAATTTATATTAATGACTCTTACATTCCCTATGTACATTTAATTACATAATATATTGTAACTCTAAAGAAACGATCGATCAGATCATTGAATTTCAAGTCGTAGACGGGAAGATTGCTTTGCTGTGCAGCTCAACCTGATAACGTTTTGATTGGTCAATCAGCCTGAAGTCACACGTCGTGTCCACGCGTATATCTGTTAATCAATAAGGTTTCGCGATACCCCTGATAGCGTAGGTATTATGGAAATCTCGAAACCGTTGAATATCTCAGCATAATAGCAGCGGAGATGTATTGGATTGTACAAGGCGGTAATAATTCAAGATCGGATAAGTAAAAAATACCGACTTGGGCAAGGCTATATATTTGAGATCAACCTCTGTTCTGAGTTTAACATACTCCTTTATTCTCCTTCATGTGAATTTAAAGACTTAAATACAATAAAACCTGTCTAGGTGAAACACCTTTGGTACCTCTAAAAAGTGTTCCACTTTGGATGTGTCCTACTTATAGACGTTCATTTAACATTAGGTCAGTTGGTCTTAGAACTATGAAAAGTGTTCCACTAGCAGAGTTGCTCTACTTTTAGAGGTGTTCCACTTAACACGTTTCAATGTAAAACAGAAAACAATAAAACATAACAGTCTTATCTATAGGTACCTTTAAATAGGTGGGAAGGCACTCGCTTGATTCAAAAGCCACTGGTATTCATATAAGCACCATAGTTATCTTTCAGCAGCAGCTAAAGTCCCATAATTTGACACATTTATCGTAAGACCCTGATACTATGATACTATCATTGAACTGTAGACATGTTACACCGTCGGAATGGTTACGAAGAGTTACGAGACGCTGGCCAGTTTCTAAACTCCACACCTGAAGCAGATACAAGCAAAGTGAGAAACATATTCAACACATTTCTATGTACATATTTTGAAAGAAGGAGGGACAGTTAAACCCTTTGGACCATTCTGATATGCAAATTGCATTTCCTTTCTTACAAAAGACCAGTACTAGGATGCACTGAGACCATCTCAAATTGATATATTTCGATCGTAAGGAGTGTGAAATTGATTAAAAAATGGCGTGGTATTCATATAATGATCAACCACAGAAAAGTTTATTTAATTCTTGAATGCAGATGAATTACAAAGGCCTGCAGTTATTTCAACCAGTAAGGAAAACAAAATATCTCATACATGTATATATTCAGTTATCATAACGCACATGTCTGATTGAGATTTTTTACATATCGCAGAGAGCAATAGTAAAATATCTCCTAGGAAACAAAGGCACATAATGTGAATGAAATTACACAACCAAGTAGGCAATAACCATGAAAAACATGCGTGTAAAAGTTCATCTCACCTTAATGGTACGATCATCTGAGGCGCTGACAACCCTCCATGTGTCTGACTGTAAACATCTCACCACGCCTGTGTGACCCTCACTGGCTTTCCAATCTATTGTGTTGACACAATCACCCGTTGAAATGTCCCAGAACTTCAATGTACAGTCAAGAGAGCCACTGATTATCCTGGTAGAGTCAAACTGTAGACATGTCACCCCTGCATGATGACCTCCTAGCACCATCAGACACTGCCCAGTAAAACTCCACACCTAGAAATATGGAAACACATGTAAAAGAAGAAAGACAAGACACAAAAAAATGTAAAACACATGTCTACTGCCAGGAAAAAAACTTCACACACAACAAAAAGTTGGAAAAATCTACTGTGTGCCAACAAAATATGTAAATGTTGTTTAAATGAGATGGATGTACTTTTGTGTTGTGTTGTGTATTATGTTTTATTAATATATTTTTTCATTATAGCTGAAGGATTATTAATGATTTTCCAGTGGTGAAATAAGGGCTTTTATAACTTGAAAATCTCACTATGGAAAACAAGTGTCTCCATCTAATTGTATATAATGTCTCTGTGGGATGGGAAGTATACACTGTTTCTGGTATTTAAGAATTGTTAGATCATTATTATTTGGCTTTTGACGATTCGTTTCCTTAAAACAAGTGTAACTCTTTAATCATGTTCCTTTAATAACTGTACTTAATACTTTTGGTCTTTGACCTTCTGTGTGCTTAAAATATAACTACTACAGCACATGTAGAGATTTGATTAGAACATATAGGAATAGTTTACCTTGATTGTCTTATCCCCAGAGCCAGAGACAATTTTTGTAGCATCAAACTGAACACACAAAACAGGACCTGTGTGACCCCTGAAAAATGTGCCATATTAATGTGTATTGTTTGCATAATGGCAAGAACATAACGAACTGTCTACACCTGGTTGCAATCGTAGGTGCTGATACACTGTCATAAAATATGGTGTCTAAAAGACAAATGGCATACTTCTAGGTAATGCACTAAACTGGCACAAAACAACTTCATTCTTAGCCTTAAGGGGGTACATGATCATGATATCTTGTCCACCAAGTAATCACATACCTCAGAGTCATTCTGCAAACCCCAGTCCTTATATCCCATATCTTCAGTGTCAGATCATAGGAGCCACTTATAACCTTTTCGTCATCAACTTGTAGACAGCGGACTGTGTCTGTGTGTCCCATCATGGTTGTCTTGCATGCAATACTTGACCAACTTTGTTGTGTTGATAAATCCCAGACCTAAAATGCAGCAAGTCATCAAATGTATTATAAAGCAGAAATTCACTCCATTATAAACCATTTGATAGACACCATGTTAATGTTACAGATGCCAACTGCCAAACACCATCCACAAAAAAATTAGAGACTATAACAACATGTCACCACTAATGGGGGTGACAAAAAAAGTGGTGTTCCAATCACAATCATGATCACGCCGCAAGTTGAAGAATAGAAATGATCATAATATTCCATCAATTAAATTACAAGTACAAAGATATATAATTAAGTTAATATTGGATAACTGGAGCTAGCCCAAGACAGGTCTCTTACTTTAATGGTGTGATCAGTTGAGCCACTGACCAGTCTGTTTCCCTCTAAGTGCAGACACCTTACTGTTCCAGAATGACCCACCAGAGTCTGTACAAGCCATGGTGTATTGGTACGGATGTTCCAAACCTGAAAAATAAAGCTGGAGCTTAAGCATACGAGCCTCCACACATAACCATTATTGATGGACTTGAGAAATAGCACTAACAGACAGCAAATGTGATTTCTCACTAGCACAATCATTGATGTAAGAAAAGTCTATCACCATTTCATGCATTTAACACGCTATCAACATAAAAAACATCAAGAAGATGCACTTACAAAAATGCACAAAAAATTGTAAATACAGTGAAACCTCTAAATAGCGAACACATATGGAGCCACAAAAAGTGTTCACTGTAGAAAGGTGTTCACTACAGAGAGGATTTTATACAAGAGTCAATGTAAAATGTGCTGAAGTGGGGGTTCATTAGAGAGAGTGGTGTTCACTAAAACAGGTTTTACTGTACACACATACTGAAATTAAACTAAAATTTGTAATACCTTGATGGTTTTATCTGATGATCCACTGACTATCCTTGTATCATCAAACTGAACACATGATATACCTGTGAGAGAGACAATTCAAAATGAATATATTAGATCATGTATATGCAAGAAAGGGAGACAATTCAAAATGAATATATTTCATGTATATGGGTTCCACTATGAGGGTTGTAGTAAGGATATGATAAGACATATATCTGACAGAAGGATTGGTTATTTAAGAGATGATTGCAAATAACTCTTATTAAGTACATACTGAGGGTCTTACACTTAAAATACTTTGGGAAGATTAATTTAACTAATTATTCATGATTAGTTAACAAGCCCTACCCTGGGTGTGTCCTTCAAAGGTTCGGATGTGACATCTGCCAAGGAGCCAGTTGTTGCGGAGACGGTATCTCTCAGCAAACACACGTTTCCACTGGAAATAGAGCATATATGTCACAGGATAAATAGAGGAGTTTTAATAGATTTGCATATTAAACCTCTAATGACAAGCCTTTCTTTCTTTTTAATAGCATGTTTAAATTCAGTGAAAAGTTATCCACAATTATAGCTTTGATTTATACAGTTATGTTATTTTTCAACTTTTCTAAGAAAATGTGGGCTGAAACTTCCAATGATGGAATGTTTAATATTTAAAACGTTGGTTTCTTCATTTGACAAACAAAATTTTCATGATCAATCACAATATGTACATTAACAGGGTCATAGTATGCCATTTAAGTTGTAGTTTCATCCAACACTTCTTGATAAATAAAGAAATTAGAGTTTTAAACAAAAAACAAATAAGTGGTGACATCTATCTATTCAGCTTTATTCAGCTATATCGCAATTCCCTTGTTGTACAGTGATAATTTGGGAAATGTTCGTCATTTATAGAAGTGAGGGAGTATGAGACAGGCAGATATTTGTTACGTGAATATGTCAAATTATTCATGGTAAAGTAGCAATATTAATTGAAAACCAATTGTAGGTTTACTATCATATAGAAACTTACATGTATTTTCCCATTAGGTAGAAGGTGATTAATGAGTTGTTTTTGTTCTCCTGTACGGGACAAATGCCACTCAGGTAGACAACACAGGTGACACCAGATTTTGGGCTCTGACGCCAGGTTGTACCATGTCTTACAAACCATTGAGGCTTGGCATAAACTCACTGGAAAACAAGTTGACAGATGATATATTAACATGATACCAGTTTTTGGCACTGATGCCAGATTATACCATGTCTTACACACCACTGAGGCTTGGCATAAGTCACTGGAAAGCAAATACATTATTAAGATGACACCAGATTCAGCCGTTTGTAACAGATGCTGAGCCAAAAATGCAATGTAATATATAACCATTTCTTAGTGGTGACATTAAACATTTTATGTATTTTTTATTCTGAGCTCATAAATACAGTTTGTCCAAAAAATCATAAATCATCATAACATGAAGACATAGAGGTTCTTATATGAGTACCTGTGCAAGATCGTCCATTCTTGATGAGCTTTGATAATTCTTCTTTATCGAGTAGAAGACGAGATAAAGAAACATTATCAAAGCGAGTCAAGAATGGACGATATTGCACAGGTACGAGTACAAGAAAGTTTTTCTCATATGACTCTGTATTATGCCATATTTTCACCATTTTATCATAAAACTGAGTGAAAAATAGCTTCAAATTAATTGAACTTCATCTTTCAATTGTTATGACGCCATAACAATATTGAAGAAAATACATAGATACATGTGGCAACAAAGCTCCATTGTTATGACGTCACAGCTTAGTTTTGTAGAATTGGCATGGATACTCATAGCAACGGTGAGTCCGTTGTCATGTTGTTGATGTTTATAGACCAGTGATGTCACAAGTAAATCTCATCTTGCACATGTGACTTTTTAGGATGAAAGATGGCAATATCTTGCATGGGGTAAATATGGCTGTATCTTTGTTAGTCATATGAGAAAATACAGTCTTTGTTGGGCGATGTTGTTTAGACGTTACCGTGGATAGTGTAGTCAAAGATTTTAAATAATATCCTGTAATTTATTTAAATTTTTATCTTGATTAGGCAAGAAAATAAGCACAATATGCAAAACCTCTAAGAATACTGACGAATATAAACTTATATCAAACCTGGGTCTAACATTCCCATAATTTTGGTTGATAGTTGCTGTGGTAACCAAGTGATAATGTCAGAACAGTTGGGTGGACAGCCATCATGAAGGCAGGACTCCATCTTGAGAGACAATAGATGTACCTGTGGCAGCTCACAGTGCTCCTGGAATTAAATTGCCAGCCAATTATGAACCATTTATGGTCTTCAAATGACGTCCCTTGCATTTTCTCATGCACTTTTATATTTTATATTTTATCAGTCTTGATACACGAGTAAGATGCAGACTGAAGACGATAAACTAAGATTTGACCATGATATACTGAACACTGTATTTTGTCACACCTATCATAACTTTGAATCAAGCACCTGCCCAATACTATTCACTATGTTGATGCAAAATATTGGGTTGATTTCAATAGATAACTGGGGATGGGGCAGTGTAAAAGACTTAAATATATCTAAGAAATATAGGATGTTCCAAAAGTATCAGGACTGAGTGATTCTGCTACATGTATTTTGTTTGAAATGATTTTAAACTGTAACTTGATGGAAAATGTACCTTGAAGGTGTAAAATTTATGTGAAAATTAAAACAAGATTGGTGTGGCAATATGGAAATTACAGCATCAGTCCTGATACTTTTGGGACACCATGTACTTAATAACAGAATTTGTGCCTGAAAAGGTCATTCATCCTTGATGGAACAATAGCAGATGATTAAGAACTAGCAATGATGAATCTGACTTTCTATTGATGAATCTGACTTTCTCATAAGAATCTCATTAGATCTCATGTTCCATCTAATCAGGGAGCATGTGTTTCGTAAGTTCAATTTCATTAACATCTCAATTTGTAAAAAATTCAAGAATCAGAGTGGTTTGTAATAGATTAAGAACTAAACTACATTGACAACATGTACTGAATATTTTTTGTGAACTATAGTGTTCTCCACAAGGCAATACTGAGCTGTGATGCCACAACACTGATAGAATTTTGCCAACTCTTTTGATGAGCCCCATCTACTTTTATAGCAATCACCACAACTTTACCACTGTTTTTAATAGCAGCACCACTTATTTTGAACAGATATGTAAAAATGAGGTGGGCTCAGAGAACAAGAGTAAAACGAGTATAAATCTTTTATTTGCAGATAACTTACCAGTAGAGCTGAAAGAATCAAGTTTTTCTGAGCATCATCAAATTCAGTGAACCAGTCAGTGATCACCTAAATCAAAGAAAATAAAAATTACAATTTAAAGTAAAACATAAATTGGGCAATAAATGATTGAATTGAGATATCCTAAATGAGGTACAGTAAAACCTGTCTAATCCGAACACCCATGGGACCAGCCAAAAGCGTTCAAATTGGCAGGTGTTCAAATTTCGAGGATATTGTTGGTCGGGGGGGGGGGATTTTCATTGTTCAGTTCACTATATTGAACACTTAATACTTAGTCAGAAAACAATACATGTTGTTGATATACATGAATATACATGTAGGCCTATAGCCTACATGTATATGCTATGTTTTATTTACATTTTGAACAATTTCATTATTTTTGGAAAGATAACTCTTTAATTTTGGCAAAAACTTTGTAATACACTGAATAAGTATATGATAGTCTTGTACAAAATCTCATGCTTATTAAATGACTTATCTCATATTGTGGTTACAGAGCACTGCTTTACCTGAGCTTGAAAAAGTCATTCATTGTTGTTTGTTTCTTGGCACTTTTAGCATTAGCAATATTTGAGTAGATACCCTCTTCAATTAAAAAGAATTTTTCATGAGTGATCATTCGAGATGATGCATAATCTTTCAAAATATCAAGGGCATTCAGGATGTCAGATGTATGCCTTTTAGGAGACATTTTAGTGATAGGATATTACGAAGTTGACTTTTTTCTTTTTCTCGTGATATAATCTTGTCTGCAAATGTGTCTGTGTTGTCTTTGTGATATTAAAACATTTACTGATTGAATCCTAGCTATCATAACAGACCCATGGGATATAAAACAGTTAAGACTTGTTCATAATCCAAATCAAAAACATCCAGTTAATTTAAAATAAGGATAAACCAATTATCTCCCAGATTCTCACCTTTCTCTTAATCCAAATCAAAAACATCCAGGTAATTTCTAATAATGATAAAACAATTATAATCTTGTCTGCAAATGTGTCTGTGTTGTCTCTGTGATTAAACAAGACACACAGTGATAAATATCGCACTTTGAAGAGCAAACTGGCCACCATGCAATTTACCCAGCATGGCCAAAACCTAATCAGACCTTGGCACTAGTCTGCTCTTGCATCTGTAAACATTTCAAGTTGACAAGGTTAGCGGTTTTCCTGCAATTTTGATGACAAGAATTTATTTGTAGTCTTGAACTTTGGGAAAATTTAGATAACATTGTTTGTGACCTAATTTGATGACCTTCGACCTTGAAAATTTCACTTTTTCAGACCTCAGTAGGTGTTTCGTAATTAAGCTGACCTAAATTTAAATCCAAAATATCAATTTAGAAAATCAAATTTTTGACCTTTTCAAAGTCACTGAAGGTCAACGAAAGGTCAAATCTGAAATATAAGGTCAGATTTGAACTTCTGAGAACTTGTAGATGTTTTTTAAAAAAAGATTTGGTCAATTTGGAGCAAATTGAAAAATTCAAAATGGCCGCCAAATTGAAAATTCAAAATGGCCACCATGTAATTCAGCCAGCATACCCAAAACCTAATCAGATCTTGGCAATAGTCTGCTCTTGCATCTGTAAAAATTTCAAGTTGAACGGATAAGTGGTTTTCCTGGAATTTTGATGACAAGATTTGTTGAAAAATTCAAAATGGCCGCCACATAGTTTACCCAGCATGCCCTAAATCTAATCAGATCTTGGCACTAGTCTGCTATTGCATGTGTAATAATTTCAAGTTGAACAGGTTAGCGGTTTTCTTGGAATTTTGATGACAAGAATTGATTTGTAGTCACAAACTTTGAGAAACTTGGATAACATCATTTGTGACCTAGTTTAATGACCTTGACCTTTGACCTTGAAAATTTAACTTTTTCAGACCTCAGTAGGTGTTTCGTAATTAAGCTGACCTAAATTTAAATCCAAAATATCAATTTAGAAAATCAACTTTTTTTACCTTTTAAAGGTCACTGAAGGTCAACGAAAGGTCAAATCTGAAATCTAAGGTCAGATTTGAACTTTTGAGAACTTGTAGATGTTTTTTAAAAAAAAAATTTGGTCAATTTGGAGCAAGTTGAAAAATTCAAAATGGCCGCCAAATTGAAAAATTCAAAATGGCCACCATGTAATTCAGCCAGCATACCCAAAACCTAATCAGATCTTGGCAATAGTCTGCTCTTGCATCTGTAAAAATTTCAAGTTGAACGGATAAGTGGTTTTCCTGGAATTTTGATGACAAGATTTGTTGAAAAATTCAAAATGGCCGCCACATAGTTTACCCAGCATGCCCTTAACCTAATCAGATCTTGGTACTAGTCTGCTCTTGCATCTGTAAAAATTTCAAGTTGAACAGGTAAGCAGTTATCCTGGAAATTTGATGACAAGATTTGGTTTAGCACGCCCGCACGCCCGCCCGCCCGCCCGCTCACACCTTTTTTGTTGTTTTCCACAATTAGGGATGTCATTGAGACTTAAATAAGTTAATTAATTAACAATATTGGTTCTTTGATTACATTGCATATGTAAAGATAATAAGAACTATAACATTGACTCAATATGTGGCTATTATTGAAATGTCCAGACATTTGATTTCTGATAAAATGTTCAGATTAGACAGGTCAGTTTTTCAAATCTGGTTGTTCACTGTTCAGATTAGGAGGTGTTCAGATTTCAAGGTTTTTTTAACATGGGAGTCAATGGGAGGAAAAAATGGGACCGAAAAAAAGTGTTCAAATTGGAAGGTGTTCGGATTAGCCAGGTGTTCAGATATACAGGTTTTACTGTACTGTATTTGAATCTTGTTTTGAGAATATAAATACCTATATCCTCAAGTGCAATAATTTTTGTAAAATGGAAGAAATCACTCTAAATGATACATACGCTGTAATTTTTCCCACATATTGATATTATGATATTGATATTGACACTTTCTCCAATTTTTGATGAAAGTTCTTGCTTTAAAAACAGTCAACAAAGAATTAATATTAGAGTATGAAACCTTACCTTTTTACGTGTTTTGAATTCTTCAGGTAGTATGGTATTAGCAATGGATGGTTTATTTACATTTTCAGTATCACTAATTTCACAGCGTTCATCATTCTCAGCATCATGGGCAGGGGGAGATTCACAGTGACACCTATTGGTGATGTAGGGTGTCCGAACAGTACTTGATGGATAGTTAGTAAGATGGGGTCTCACTGGGAGATGACACTTTGCACATAAGTTCCTAGTTTTAGAGCGATAGTAACTTGGAAGGCTGTTTGATTTGAACTGATTTAACACATGATATGAGGTTGGACTATTCATTGAATTCAGCTCATTATGCTTAATGGTTGAGGTTGAGGCATTTGAGTTAAGATCCAGGTTTTGAGGTATTTGGTTTCCTCGCGATTGTTCCACATTAAAATTAGTGCGCAAAAAATTCAGATTCAGATCAGACATTGAAATGCTTCTGCGTATCCAATGTGTTGCACATTTATCACATGACTCGTTATGCTGAAAATCACAGCATTTATCTTTGCTGCTTTCATCCAAACTATCGAAATCATAAATACAAAATGACTTTGACATGTCAACAAGTTCCAGGGATTTTGGTCTTGGAGCCCTTGGTGACTCCTTATGAATGGCTTTTTTCTTACGTTTGCTCCAGTTTGGTCTTGAACCTTCAGATTTATTGTATTCTAATTGGTGGAACAATGTTTTAGTTTGACTCGGTTTGATGCAATTTTTCTCATCAATTTCACTATTAGGGAAATCTCTTGACCTCCTGATCTTTGTCTCGCTGTCATTACAGTCACTCTCACTGGACGATCCGAATTCCCATTCTGACCAATTGACAGGACTCATGGGTGACACATCCGGATTAGTATGACTATGAGTGGGGGAAAAATCTGCATTAACATCTTCCAGTTCTGTAGTCGTTGTGTCAATAGAATTTTCCCGACTGTTTCTTGATTTTTTACTGAACCACTTTTTCCATTCCTTTGATTTAGATTTAGGTCTGGAGATTTTGTCATCATTTTCTTTAATATTTGTTCCGCCACTCTCGTCATCACCCCCTACAGCTCCAGGCTCCATCTACACTATAACCCTACTAGGGAGAACCTCCCATCTGCTGAAACATATAATACAGTAGAATTAATAACCAGCATGCATTTTAGGAGAAAACCTGGAATATATCTATTCGAAGGATGCATCCAATATTTCCCACAGGCTCTATCTGCATAGGGTGTGGTTTACAATCGTATTGCACAGCTTGATGCCAACAGAAAGAAACAGTCAACTCAGTCAAGCCTAACCATTAGCTAAAGTGCAAAACTGCACATAGTCTCTTTGCATTTCTTATTTATCGTGCAAGGTTAAAGTTGATTTGGATAGGGAACTCAACTGAGTGAAGTGTTTGTGTTTTGTGGTGGAGGCAAACAATAACAAATATAAGACTCAAGACTTACATTTGTTTGTCTACTTATTTCATTGTTTACAAATAAATAGTTTTTTCTTCAGACCTAACACATCTGCACATGCATTGTGAGAAACTGTGAGCATTCTGAAACACATTTTGATATATTGCCCATTTTACTAATTGAGTACAACTTCTACAATGGGTATTGGCATTATACACTGGCATGTAGCGGCCCTGATATCGATAAATTCTACACGCAATATAACCCGATACTACATGCTTGGTTAAAACTTTACACGAAAAAGCTTCGATATCCGGGCATTTACTCTTACACTGAACTGAAAATAGCATCGTCTAAACGTGTATGTGTTGGCTTCCGGGTAAGTTTATCAACATTTATACTCAATTGAAAGAGCAGTCGTGCTTATATCGTGTACCAGTTTGATTTATTTATATGTGTGTGTATTTATAACATGATAGCCTAGTAATACCGTGTCGTTAGAACAACTGCTAGATATCGAACTGATGACCTGAAATTACATTATTGGACTGATCGCGCATCTGATATTAAATGATTACTTTGCATTGAATCTGATATTAACTTGCAACCCAATACCATGGCTTTACATTTGAATGATAACACGGCCTCATATTCTAATCCATTATACGTCCATTGCAGGCCAAAAATGTTTCAATGTGGATATTGTAATGCACACGAGAATACATTCGATTCGTATATTGATCATACATCAATTGAACATGGAGATTTTCCTGTACACTTCTCCCAAACCTGTGGAATAGACAAGATGCGAGTAGAAATTATCTTGATTTACGTCATCAAATATTCAAAATTCATTTTGTGAAAAAATTCGAAACCATCGAATATCACTTTTTAAGACGTGATATTCGATAGTTTAAAAGTGATATTCGATGGTTTGTCAATTGTTTACTAAAATATGATATCTTGGTCACATATCAAATATATCATCATGTGATATTCGATCTATATCATTGCAACCATGGGATATAGAGAATATCCTATGATTTATGAGAGATTTGATTTTTATCCACGAATGAATATGATATCTTAAGTATGTTTCCCACATGCTCTGGTGTGTAACTTGCGAAATATGTTATCATTTTCAAAAAAAATTCAAAATTTTTCCAAATTTGTTTTCAAATTTTTTCAAAAATGAAAAAGAAAATTTCCAAAATTTTTTTCCCAAATTTTTTTTCAAATTTTTTGTCCAAAATTTTTTTTCAAGATTCTTTTTCACATTTTTTTGTATAATTTTTTCAAATTCTTTTTCCCAAATTTTTTTTCAAATTTTTTCAAATTTTTTCCCCACATTTTTTCACAATTTTTTTCACCTTTTTACGGCATACTTTTTTTCAAGTTTTTTTCAAAACTTTTTTTTCAATTTTTTTCAAAATTTTTTTACATAATTTTTTTTCCACAATTTTTTTTTTCAATTTTTTTTTCCGAATTTATTTTGAACATTTTTTTGAGCGGGACATACGATTTATATGTCCCGGAGCTCCGTCGGAGCGGGACATACGAAAAATATTTGCCGGATATGGAATATATTCCCGGTTGATATGCCCCTGAAACCTCATCAGGTATGGAATACATAAGGGTTATGTACAGGGAGGTCTTGGATATGGGGTTTATCCAGAGGGAGATGCATATTTACCTAAGGGACCGTAGGGACCGAAGGTAGATGTACATATCTCACGAGGGATGAACCCCATATCTAAGCCGACCGAACATAACCGCTTTATCCTATACCAAGTAGAGTTTTCAAGGGCATATGGCCATTTCAATAGTACAAGATGTAAAAATAAACAAATCATTCATATACAAAGTCATTTTATTGCATTACCGAAAGCGGGAAGATATGCACCGGAAGCGGGAAGATATGCACCGAAGCGGGAGATATGGAGGTTCTGGATATGGAAACCTCAAAATCAGGATACGGGATATATCTTACCTTAGTTAATCTGAAAACATAGGATCAAATCCTATGCTAAGGGCTGATGTGAAAAAGACACTCCACCCTGGTGGGAATCGAACCCACAACCTCTACTTGGCATATGATAAATATAGGTTATTTACTGGGAGAGATTGAATATGGGTTTTATTCCGAGGGGCAATATGATATTGACTGAAGGGTAATATAATATTGACCGAGAGCGCAGCGACCGAGTGTCAATATCATATTGCCCAAGGTCAATATCATATTTTCCGAGGAATAAAACCCATATTCAATCCTGACCAGAAATAACCTATTTATTCCATAATACATCCCTCTAGAATGTTACATTTGGATAATGCAAACGTTATATTAATAAATGCACATTGATTGAAAAATAAAATAAATAAATAAAATAACCGGGAAACTAAAAAATAGGTCAATACGCTCCAATACGATTTTTCACGGGGACAATACGATTTTTTCATGTAATACGCTCAAATACGATTTTTTCCCGGGGACAATACGATTATTTCATGTAATACGATTCAATACGATTTTAATTCCTTCATATTTCCCTGGGAAAACAGTAGTATTATGGAATAAAATATATTTTCCCTCGGGACATGCGGCCCTCGGACAGATATATTATATTTGCCTCGGGGTAATCCCAATATCCTGAACCTCATATAGGATAATCTCTATATCTACCTGATGGACCATAGGGACCGAAGGTAGACGTGCATATCTCACGAGGGATAAACCCCATATCCAAACCGACCGCACATATCTGCTTTATCATATACCAAGTAGTTTTCTAAAAAATTAATCTTATTTCCTTTTTTGAATTTTTTTAATTTTTTATTTTTATTCTCTACTCTACTTGTCAAAGGATAATAGACAATAAATATATATATATAGTTTAGCATGATATGTACTTCTTTCTGTAACTGGAATACGATTCTAATATACAAGCAACACATACGTATTCCCGGGGAACCATAAATATTTTGTGTAGGGTGTGGACATTTTTCTTTTCATTTCTCTAAAATCAGATTATTTTCATAAAATCCATACAAAGTTGGGCCTAAGCCTCTATTTTCGTATTCTGCATGCTAAGATATTTATAATGTAAAACCTAAGAGATAAATTCAATGTCTTCAGTTGAGAATAAGTATAAGGTAAATGTGTGAATTCTGCTTGTTGATGCACTATTTTTATAATAAACAAGGTTCGATACGCAACACTGAATAGACTGCAGTCATAGCTTAGTTGTAAAGAAAACAAAAGAAGTTGGGACGTGGTCATGCTTGATTATGTTTCTTTTATATATCACCGTTTGCATTCGTTGAAATCGGCCTGCATTGATTTCAAGAGGTGGTCGGTGTACAAGGTCATATGTTTGAGTTATTGGTTTAATGATAAGTGTGACCCTTGAATGCGTTAGGCTTTATGTATGCGTGAAACAAATACTCCAATGGCCTAATCTCAATTTGCCTACAAACAATATAACATTGAAATGATGGTCATCTGCATATTAACTTCCGCACCACACGTCTAACTTCGACACAATTCAGTAAAGTATCCAGTATCGCTTAAATCGCTACATGCCAGTGATTATAGCTTGGAGAGCACGTATTGGCCTCTTTAGTGGCAACTTAGGGTCACATAATAAATCAAACCATGTAACACCAATGCCATCTATTTTTAATATGCATAACTATGTACATGGTTGTATAAGGATATTCCTTATTTGTCTTTTTGTCTTAATTCTCTTATCCACAGAGCTGCATTATTTTATGTACATGTCGATCTTGTATGGATGTACATGTTTTTCTATACTGATATGGTATGGTTACGTTTTTACATCAATTTTGACATTTGTTCACCATAAACATAAATGTTATGGTACATTTTACATTCTGAAAATGTCACTCAGCACACTGATACTTGTGCTTATGGTATCATTTATATCATACACTCCGAACATTATACAAGCATTGCTTCGTCTTAGCAATGATGTCCATTTAAATCCAGGTCCCCAATTATCCACAAATCTTACTAATTTTGTCTTTTCAAACATTAATGGGATACGAGCTAATTATAATTCTAGATTTATAGCATTAAAGGATAGAATCCATGTCAATAAAAGCAAAATTGTAGGACTGTGTGAAGTTGGTAACCTTACCAAAAATAATGTTTTAGAAAGTTATTCCATCAGTGGCTTTCATCCTCCAATATACTTGAATAAAAACCGTGGCTTAATAGTGTATGTTCAAGATGAGATCCCTTTTAAATTAAGACCTGACTTAATGAATGATTTTGGTGATGCCATCTGGATTGAACTTAACATCAACAATAAATCTATCATTTATGGCATTTTTTATCGATCCCCATCACAAAGCATGGAAGAATCAAACAATTTCTTTACAAGATTTTCAACATCGTGTGCCAATGCAATGAGTGCAAATAATGACTTAGTCTTAATTAACGGAGATTTTAACGCAAGATGCAAAAAATGGTGGCAAGATGATCATGAAAACTCTGCAGGCCAAAAATTGTTTGATAACATTGAGGCTTTAGGACTTTTTCAAATGATAGACGAGCCAACTCGTGTTACTCGTACTAGTAGGTCATGCATTGATCTGCTCCTTTCCAATAACCAAGATCTGATTTCTAATTTTTCTATTACCCCTCCTATTGGTAACACAGATCACTGCACTCTGTCAACTAACTGTTTCTTTGGCACTATAAAAGATGCTCCATACTCACGTAGATTATGGCATTATTCAAAAGCTGATATTACATTATTAAATGATGCCATTAGGAGAGCTCAATTTGATGACCTCATTGAATCTTCAAACAACATTGATGTTCTTGTTGATAATTTTAGCGACAAGCTATTTGACATTTTTTTGGACCAAATTCCAAATACTATCGTAAATGTAAAAAGCTCAGATAAATCCTGGTTTAATCATAATATTAAGACTATGATTAACAAGAGAAACAAACTTCATTCCAAATATCGAAAATCTCACAATTTGACATACTTAAACAAATATAATGAGCAATGTACACTCGTAAATCAAGCAATAAATGAGGCTAAAGATGCCTTTGACTCAAACATGCGGAAGAAATTAACAACTTTTAAATATGGCAGTATGTCATACTGGGCCATAATATCCAAACTTCTTGGCAAATCAAAAAATTCGAAAATACCGCTACTTTTTGACCAACATGGGAAATACATTGTTAAAGGCCATGACAAGGCAAATTTATTATTGTCTCATTTCATCAAAAATTTCCATCGTAACGATGATTTAGTGAACATCCAATTAGACCAAAGGACTGAAAACACTCTTAATATTTTATCTACTCACGAGGATGAAGTTTTTGAATTGTTACTTTCTCTTAATATAAACAAAGCCACAGGCCCTGATCAAATAAGTAACAGAATTTTAAAAATGGCAGCGCCAGCTCTTTCTGCATCCTTATCAAAATTAATTAACAAGATCTTTACCCTTAATTCATTTCCACAAAAATGGAAACTTGGTCACATTTTGCCTATTCATAAAAAAGGTGATAAAACTGATGTCAAAAACTATCGTCCAATTACTCTTCTTTGTTGTTTATCAAAAATAGCTGAACGCATTATTTTCAAAAGAATATTTGACCATCTCATCAGAAATGATCTGTTTTACAGCCTCCAAAGCGGTTTTCTTCCTGGTCATAGTACCCAATCTCAATTACTAAGCATAATAGATTATATCACTAATGAAATTGAAACAGGGGGGTGTGTGAGGGGTATTTATTTAGATATTTCAGCCGCTTTTGACACTTTACCACATTCATTACTATTAAAAAAGCTAGAATCATATGGTATTGGCCCTTCCATCCTATCCCTTTTAAAGTCATACCTCACAAATCGACGTGTCAAAGTAGTGCTTGATGGACAAGAATCGAACCTCTCAGATATGAATTATATCAACTCAGGCGTCCCTCAAGGATCAATCCTTGGTCCTTTACTGTTCCTAGTTTACATAAATGATCTTCCTGAGAACTTACACAGTAAATGTTACATATACGCAGACGACACTTCTCTTTACCAGTCATTTAACCATGATAATTTACTTGAAAAAAATAATATTTTACAAAATGATTTGAATTCAATTTTCAACTGGTCAAACTTATGGAAATTGAATTTCAAAGCTGAAAAAAGTAAGGACATTTTATTCTCAAACCCTCGTAAAGTAGTTTTACAAGTACCAGATCTAACTATTGGAAATAACTCTCTACCTCGTGTTGACTATCACAAACATCTCGGCTTAGCAACATATAAATGAACTATACAAAAAAGTTGAAAAGCACTTAAACCCACTCAGATCACTCCAAAAGAAATTAGGAGGTAGACACTTGGAACTAATTTTCAAGTCATTTGTTCTCCCGATTTTTGACTATTGTGATATCCTCTACTCATGCGCAAACTTATCAAAATTAAAATTAATTGATCAGCTTTATTATAAGGCAGCCTGCATATGCTCTGGAGTCATTCATGGTACATCATGTACTAAAGTTTTGAACTGTTTAAATTGGACATCATTAGCAGAAAGACGCAAATATCACCGCAATATTCTTGTATTTAGATCGCAGAATAATTTGTTACCATCATATGTTTCAAGTATTTTCCAAAGATTTCGTAGACATCATACAGTTAATGTTCGACGAATTGCTCCTTTCCAAATCCCAACAAAAATTACATCATTTTCACATCGATCCTGTATTTTACAAGCTATGATAGATTGGAATACCCTTTCAAAGCCCCTCACAGAAGCTGAAAATTTAAGTATATTTAAGTCAAGGGCAAAGAAAGAGTTATCTAATTCAATTATTCGATCCTCTGAACTTAATATTTCAAGAAATCAAGAAATTATACTTAACAAGGTTCGTTGTGACTTAATTTTTAAGTCCCATCTATACTCTCATAATTTTACAAACGTTACTTCACCTGCATGTTCTTGTGGCCATGCAAATGAAACAACAATTCATGTCATTTTTTCCTGTATTCTCCGTGCTCCATTCTTAGAAGAGTTGGAAAACAATTTAGCTTTTCTTAATTTTGGTTATTCTCAATTCAAACACAAGAGGGACAAAGTAGAATTATTTCTTTATGGGGATTCAAACTTAACTAAATCCACTAATTTGAAAATTCTCAAGCTCACTGCATCATTTTTAGAAAAATGTGCAAATGTGTAGGTTTCCCTGCCACCACTCACTTCACTCTTGAGTCCATATTTAAATTTTTCTTTTTTCTTCACCCTGCAATTATAAATCAAGTGGCTGATAATGCCTTCAGCAAAGCCACTACAAGTGTATAATGTTTATGTACTTTATGTATTTGTAAAATAAATTCTATGAATAAAAAAAAAAAAAAAAAAGAAAAGAAACAGTGAACCCTGGCTTCCTGAACCCGGGTTTAGTGGATAATTGCCTATCATGCCTTTGATTCTTTCTCCCTCAATGGGCCTCATACAGTTGTTGTATGGAACATGTGGCCAGTCTTAAGATCTAATTTTAAAAATATCGAGTATGGTTAAGCATTGACCCCATTAATTGACCGAATCTGGTGGCTACCTCAGAGCTCAGTAGTTATATCTTGTAGGGTGGTTCTTCCATAATTTCCCCAGTCTGTTCTTGAAGAGATTGATGTCTTGGGCTTCTACAACTTCTTGGGGGAGGGAATTCCAACTGTTCACTATTCTCTGGGTGAAAAATCCCTGTCTCAGTATTGTCTTATTTTGTTTCTTTGAAACTCTCATATTGTTGCCACAGGTTCTACCAATGTTCTGGGAGAGGGGAAGGATATTGCTTATTGGTATGTCATACTTTTCATTCAAGATTTTCCATGTTTCGATCATATCGCCTGCTAGACGTCTAAATACAAGTGTTGGTAATTTAAACTCTTTCAGTCTTTGGGGATAGTCCTTATCTTTCAGGCTTGGTATACATCTTGTGTCTCTTCTTTGTACAGCTTCAACCCCTTCAATGTCCTAGATTAAATATGGGGACCAAACTGTATTTCCATACTCTAGATGGGGTCGTACCATTGCCTTGTAAAGTATCAAATATTGGAGGAATCTATAAATTGGAAGGTCCTCCTTTTTAATCCCAGAATTTGATTAGCTTTTTTGACTACCATCTGTACATGTGTGCTACTTTTCAAATTCTTGGTAACCATTACTCCCAGGTCCTTCTCACCTTCTGTTTCTTGAAAAGCTGTGTTGCCCATGCTATAGTTTATATTCTGGGGGGATCTTCCTATTTTCAATACATAAAATTTTTACTATTGAACTGTAGTTACCATTCTTGAGTCCAGTTCATTGATTATATCTTGTTGTAGTTTGTTACAGTCCTCTAGATTATTCACTTCTCTATAGAGTTTTGTATCATCGGCAACCATAATTAAAGGCTGTTCACTGTCTATGGTAAATCATTTACGAATATCAGGAACATTAAGAGTCGAAGGACTGTCCCCTTGGGTATGACGTTACATCGGCCCATGATGACGATTCTCCATTAATGATTACTCTCTGCTTCCTACGTTGGCCTTGATTACAGTTGTTGCGGTTTTCTGATGAATCACATTTCTCCGGGATTACTCGAGTCTCTAGCTTACAGCTAGACGAAACTTCATTGATTTCGTATGTACTGTGCTACACGCACCTACACGCACCTAGAACTCATTTTTAATAAATTTTATAAATATTTTTAAGAATATTAATCATATTTAGGATGAAGCGTTGCTTGTCTGGATTTAGATATTTCAAAATTTCATTTCGGAGTTTTGACACATGGTGAAATTTTCTCGCTGTAGCTAAAAATGGCTTCCGGTTCTGGACGTGAATAACATTTGAAATTATTCTCGCTTAAAGAAATCAAATATAACATTAGATTCAGACGGGGATGTGAGCTGATGTTCTTCAAATCTATACATAAAGGTATATTTCATATTATTATGCCATATTTACTGTGCGTGTGAAACAATGATTTACAATATTTATAATACTAAGGCAGCTCAATCTTCCTCCTCAAAGCCGGAATATAGAGAAGGCTTTGGACCGAAGTAACTCCGGGACATCATATTCGTTTCCACATTCCGCACCAAAGAAAGCTTTCAGTCACTGGAGAGCTGTACCCACAATTCCTAAGTTTTGTATTTTTCTAATCAGTCGTTCATGCGGAACTTTGTCAAAGGCTTTCTTGAAGTCGAGATAGACTGTGTCAATGTTGAGCCTACTACCAATAGGGGCTGGATCTGGCTGAGGATCTGTGGCCTGCAGCATCATCATGATGTAGGGCTAAGCCTAATTTGAATCTGATTTCATCATGATCATCATCGAAAAAAATTCTGCTCACTGACTGTGAAATCAATCATATAGATCTCTTCTAGACTAGATCCATTCGTTTATCCACATATTATTTAATCCACGTTATTCATTATCTAATTCTAAATTATATCAAACACACTACTTACCAAGATTTACAAGGTAAATTGTTCCAAAATGAAAATCTAAAAGTGAAAATGTTTTCTTGAAGTTCTTTGCGCATGCGCGTAATCGTTCACTTCCTTTGGCCTGGAAAATGCTGACGGGTAAACTTTGAAAAGTTTCACAGGTTGTTTATTCTAACCTGAGACCACCATAAATCAACCTTACGAATTCGGTAAGTGTATATCAAATGAAGAAATATACTGTGTTTCATATTAGCATCCCTTTGCAGATCACAGATGACTCATATTTGTTCCTGCACCCCGGGATTCACAGGCTGAGAGGAAGAGTCAATTATTGTAATTTTTCAACCTCGAAGTCGCACTTCGGTAGACTAGTCTAGCGATGATATAATATATCTGGCTTACAAAGTGGAGACTAAGCTAAACTATTAATATATATCCAAGTAAAACTCTCTCTCCATTGTCAAAGCTTTGGGCATAGCAGGGGGCATTGCAAAGGAACCAGGTGCCCCATTGTTGTAGGGGTTTTCTTCTTAGATTCAGGCCCACCCCTCAATTATTTTATTTCAAATATATTACCCGAGGATCGTGGTGTGATCGATTACTCACAACAGACCAAGCACACCCTTTAGAACGTCCAACTGTATCAGATATTTTATACGTTCACACAAAAGAATAACATAAGTTGATGTAATAGGCACTTTATTTATTTATAAAAAGAAATGATAAATTAAACAAAACGTATTTTATTTCTGATCTCTTCTTGTAAATATTTCACATTAGTAACACATGTAATTCACATCAATGGTGCAGATCTCGATTGATTGATTCGACTCTCTAGGTTGTGATCGCGATCGACAAATATTTATAATCTTCCGAAAATAAAGCATTTAAATGTATCCATTGAGAAAATAATCCATTAAAGATTCTAACTCCCACACTTCTTAACTTCCCGAAAACGCGCTCCCCCAAAATTTTATAAGTCAAAATCTGTTTCCCGTTATTCCCTTGTATTGTGCCCTCAAGGTCCGTTCCCAATTCTCCGTTCTCCGTTCCCCCGATTCAAACTAAACTTCCATTTATATACCCATAAAAGATGCTATTCTTAGCCATGAGTTGCGTGATGTATGAGATTTATAAATATCTAGGAATGAATCATAATTGGAAATGATTCTAACTCCCACACTTCTTAACTTCCCGAAAACGCGCTCCCCCAAAATTTTATAAGTCAAAATCTGTTTCCCGTTATTCCCTTGTATTGTGCCCTCAAGGTCCGTTCCCAATTCTCCGTTCTCCGTTCCCCCGATTCAAACTAAACTTCCATTTATATACCCATAAAAGATGCTATTCTTAGCCATGAGTTGCGTGATGTATGAGATTTATAAATATCTAGGAATGAATCATAATTGGAAATGATTCATCTTATGGTAAATATCAGAGAGGATGCCCTATGTAAAATTGGCGGTAAATTTGAATTAAATGAATATTCAAAGATTTGAGTTTTTAAGTTACAACACCTTCACGTCATTGGTACATGTACACTACAGTAATGCAGTCTAGCCTACATCATCAGAGCTAAGGTAAGAGCACAGAGAAGTAGATTTCAATGGACTTGAGTCAACGTTTCACTTGTCGTACAGGCCCGTAAGACGTACTTTTCCCCAAGGGAGTGCGCCGGGGGGGGGGGGGGGGGGTTCACTCTAAATAATTTGGGTAGGCATGTGCAGCAGGGGCAATTTTGGCTTAGGCCAGGGCATAAACCATGGAAGTTGGCCAATCTGAGAGGAAAAAAAACATGGAAAATTTGTCGAAGAGAGAGCCTTTTTTGAGAAATCGTTAAAGGTAATAATTGTCGGTAAAATCAGTTGGCGAGGTCTTGGATAAATCACCTAAAAAGTGGATTATTATTATAGTTATACACCAATATTTCAGGAAATTTAGTCCCTTTTATAAGTCTGAGAGGAAGTATACATGGAAACTTTCAATCTTGAGAGGAAATTGACATGGAAAAAATGTTCAAAAAGGGGGTCTTTGGCGCGGCACATAGGTATTAAGAGGTACATGTACGTATATTGGAGTGAACCCCTTGGGGAGTGCGGTTTCTACTAATATAAAGAGAATATAAAATTGTCAATTTTTGCTGCGTAAATCAAATTGTGTAAGTCAGATGTGGGGGGTGTTTGGTAACTCCCTTAAGTGGGGCCACTCAGCCTATTGTCTTAATGGGCTTGGTTTTAGAATAAATATTGTATGAGCAATTTGGAGAAATATTAGAATAGGGGGAGGGTGTGCTAGAAGGGCATAAATGACAAATTTATGATGCTGTCTGGTTAATTCTGAGCACTTTTAATGTGTTAGAGTAAATGAATGCTTAAGATTTTTGGGTTAGGGTGCCAGAAATTTTTATAATTTCATTATGTGACTTGGTGAATTCTGGGCACTTAAAGTGTTTAAATTAACAAATGCAACTTCCAAACTTTTCAATTGTTTTTTTTTTTGGGGGGGGGGGTATGAGGAGTGGCCCATTCCCCCTAGAAGAAAATTTTACACTTTTGAGATGCTATTTGGTGCTTTCTGGGCACTTTCAAAGTGTATGAGTAAATAAAATGAATTGAAAGAAATCACAAATTTGAGGGTTGTCAAAGGGGAATGCCAGAGCGGGAGGTGGGATGTGGGTGCCAGAGGGGGAGCAAGTGTTTATCCCCCATAAACACTGACCATATCAAGGTGCTATTTGATGATGTCTGGGTACTTCAGATTTTTTCATTTGTTATGCATTATTAATTGTGTGAGAGGTGGCCCACTCACCCTAGAAAATTTGACAATTTTAAGATGCTATTTGATGATTCCTGGGCACTTTCAGAGTGTATGAGTCAATGAAAAGAAATTGAATAAAAACACAAATTTTTTCAATTTTATTTTTTTGGGGAGGGAGGGGGTGTCAAAGGGGAATGCCAGAGGGGGAGGTAGGGTGGGGGTGCTAGAGGGAGAGCGTTTGTCGGGAGTGTTTGTCCCCCAGAAACATTGACCATATCAAGGTACCATTTGATGATGTCTGGGCACTTTAAAAGTGTCAAAGACAATACATAAAATAAATTCAGATATTTTCCATTGGTTCGTTGGGGGTGTGAGGGTTGGCTTACTCTCCCTAGAAAATCCCCCAAAAATTTAAAATGCTATTTTGTGCTTTCTGGGCATTTTAAAAGTGTATGAGTCAATAAAAATTGAAACAATCACATTTTTCTTTTTTTTGGGGGGGGGGATGTCAAAGGGGGTGCCAGAGGGGGAGGTGGGGTGGTGGTGCCAGATGGATGCAAGTGTTTGTCCCCCAGAAACAATTACCATATCAAGGTGCTATTTGATGATGTCTAGGGACTTTAAAAATGTCTGAGACAATACAATACCAAAATGGATTTGCCTACATACCCCTGAGACTCTTATCTGATAGATAGAATGCACAAATAAAACAAAAGTTTTGCTTTAACAGGCAGAAGGTCACATGACCAACTGTTCATAAGCAGGCATCATTGGAAAACTCTTGGAAAACATGTGCTTGTGATTGATCATGTGACTTGTTATTTGATTGGACATCGTATAGACTGATGTACATGATTCTGATTACGTCATCCAGCTGGGGTAGTTATCAGCAAAATGAGCACTATCAATCATAATTATCCCAACGAACGAAGTTCGGTAGGGATATAGTGAAGCCCTCCGTCCGTCCGTCAGTCCGTCAGTCAATCAGTCCGTCCGTCCGGAAGATAACTCAAATATTAGTTGACGGATTTTCTTCATTGTAGGCAAAAAAAATTTTTTCAAGATGGCTGCCGCTTTAAAAATGACGGGACTTTTTCGCAAAAATCATAAATTTTTCATTCTAAACCAAAGTAATCAATATTATTGTTTGAAATTTTGGAAGTATATTCGCAACATCTATCTATTTCACATATATTCCGTGTTTTTCATCCTGACCCCCAGGGGCTGTGTATGGGGGGTCAGGAAAACAGAAATTTTCGCTAATTTTTAGATCTTTCTGAAGTATAGCTTTATTATACTCAAATGAAAGGCAATTAAGAGTAGATTGCAAATATTGTATCTTTTTTCTGATTCCAGCCTCGTAAAATTCAAAATGGCCGTCTAATGTACGATTTCGCAATACTTTTTCGATCCCTTCAAAGTATCGCTATATAATACTCAAATTGAAGGAATTTTGGAGTAGATCACAATTATGGTAATATTTTTCAGATTTGTACCTCAGAAAATTCAAAATGGATTTTTTCAAGATGGCCGCCGCTTTAAAAATGACGGGACTTTTTCGCAAAAATCATAAATTTTTCATTCTAAACCAAAGTAATTAATATTATTGTTTGAAATTTTGGTAGTATATTCGCAACATCTATCTATTTCACATATATTCAGTGTTTTTCATCCTGACCCCCAGTGGCCGTGTATGGGGGGTCAGGAAAACAGAAATTTCCGCTAATTTTTAGATCTTTCTGAAGTAAAGCTTTATCATACTCAAATGAAAGGCAATTAAGAGTAGATTGCAAATATCGTATCTTTTTTCTGATTCGAGCCTCGTAAAATTCAAAATGGCAGTCTAATGTACGATTTTGCAATAATTTTTCGATCCCTTCAACATATGGCTATATAATACTCAAATTGAAGGAATTTTGGAGTAGATCACAATTATGGTATTATTTTTCAGATTTGTACCTCAGAAAATTCAAAATGGCTGCTTTGCAGGAATTCGCAATTCTAAAATCTAAATTTTTCAATTTTAACCAAAGTAATGAGTATAGTTGATTGGAATTCGGTAATTGATATTTTGTTCGTTGGGATTTGCTACTCCGCGGAGTTGCCATCATCTAGTTAGTTATTAGACTGGAAGTCCGGTAATTCATTTGACTTCCAGTTTCGACTCTGAGATGTTTAAGTATTTTTTGTAGGAGTTGACAACTGGATCCGTTATAGTGTGACAAAATATAGTAACGATAAATCAAAAATTGACTTAAAAAAATTGACTTGAATAAATATATATTAAAAAAAAATAAATAAATCAAAAATCTTTTTTCAGTGCAAAGACTATCTTCTGATCTAAACACTACACCTGCAGATATGCTGTCCAATGATAGGAAAGCTCTTTTTTGTGTGTCCGTTGTTACTGTTCTAGCTATACAGGTAAGTATCAACTTGTAACCATCCCAGGACAATATTTGAAATGGGAGAATTTTGTAGACCTCTTTTATGATTTATAAGTTAGTCAGCTAGATGTATGTACAAAGCCTTGTTTTGAAAAATGGCCGGCATTTTTATGTGTGGTTTTTTATGTTTTTTACTATAACTCAAAAAGAAGTAGAGCCATTTTGTTCATATTTGATATGTGAATACCCATAAGGATGGCACACTGTCTTATGACACTTTGGCTAGTAGGCAGCCATTCTGAAAATTAGCCACCATTTACATATACGTGTGTGTGATTTTATTGAAATTTTATATGTGCCTACTTATATCACACTTTCTGATGACAATTTGGCTAGTGAGCGACCATTTTGAAAATGGTGGCCATTTTTATGTGTGTTATTTTACGATTTTTGCCATAACTGGAAAAGTAGTAGCGTGATTTTGTAAAAAATGGCTGTTCGAAGGGTTTTGGAACGTTCGTCGCTTTGGCAGTGTTGTTATCTACTTAATACTTCATTGCAAACCACGAATCAAAAAAATTCAGTTGCTCAAACCTCAGCTTTAGTTTAGTATTATAACCACCTTGGAAGTGGAAGGTGAGAATTTCCTACATTGACATACATACACCAGTCAAATAATATATCTTTTGTTCTCTCTGATGTTATTATAATGACATATCAGTCACCTTTAAATAGCGATAGCCTTCAATTTTATTCTTTTATTACTCTATTTTTATTTGTTCTAATTTTAGGGTATTCCAGCACACTTTCTGAAGTAATATTGTGCACTTCTTATTCTTTTCCTTGCAGTACCATGATTATTAATTAGTTTTGTAAACATTTTCAGCCATCCGCACAGAAGTCAGTGTCAACAACACAGCAGTCGATGTCAACAGCAGTCATCCCAACAAAATGTGTTCCCAAGATTAAACCTCCAGGAAACACAGTAAGAAATATATAATCAGTTGTCAGATCTACCATCAGGAATTTCTACACATACACACACATATTATACCTTCAAATGCCTTAATAGTATTAATGAAAATCACAAGTTATAGTCTTATCAATGGATCTATATGTACTGATACTGAATTCAAAATGGCTGCTTTTTTTTAAAAAAATGCTAATTTTGGTAAATACTGCAGATTGGATTATATCAAAATTAGGCGAAATCTTATCAGAATAAGTCTTCTGCTCAAAATGAGTTTCATTCATGGTTGTTCCATTCAAAATGGCTGCCACTTTTGTAAAACAAAATCATGAATGAGTTAAATGCCAGTTGTCAAATTATGTTTTATGTGCTGTCATATAGGCATTTGACTCTGCTTGAGAAGGAATTTTCAAGGCGGTTGCTGAATACAAAAATTTCAATCATTTCTCAGGAGAAATATAATTTCATGAAATATTCAAAATTACGAGTAATCTGAAGTATTGTCTGGTGGGATCTGCTATTCCAAGGAGTTACTGTTTCTTATTCTAGTTTTAACTTTATTTTCAGTGCAACAGAACTCAGTATTACGATGAGATGAACTTTGATTGTCGACCTTGCAGTCGATGTTGTAAGTATTCTGGAGTGGTATCAGAATGTGAAGATGGGTGCATGCCATCTTCTCACACATGTGCAGAGGAAGACAAATGCAGAGGTAAGTAAATATTGAAGCAACATGCAACACTTTTGCTCCCTCCCAAACCTCCCTTTATTGTAACTAGACATTTTTATTAATGCTTTGATTAGCTAGTGTTGGGATTATTTGGTTTGAATGGTCCTTTTTCCATATGGCTTTGAAATCTCGTAAAGTCTCATTTTTAATGAGATTTTAGGAGATCTGCATTTTTTACCATTAAAGACTAACGTTTTCTCCTATTTGATGGCATATTTGAATTCTATGTGTAATTTTCTATCAAAACAATTTTGATTTGCACCATTATTTATATTTAAAATAAAAATTATATCCTACAGCCCAAACAAATCTTTTTTATCATTTGTGTTAAATTAGTATATGTTCATGTTCTGGGGGATGCTGCCAGTCTATAAGAATTGTGTCTTTAAATTATACAAAAAAATCAAAGAACAATAAGATTCACTGTGAGAATTGAAAACATTTCTGATTATTGTGCACCCTTCATGACACAGAAATGTTACCCTGTCTTTCACTTTTCATTTTCAAGGATGTTATGACTTTTTGATTGTATTAACTAAATTTAATGTTTTCAGTGCATTGCGGCCCACCTCCAGTTCTTGACCAACCCAATTATAAACCAAGCCTAAAAGAGTATGACGAGTATGATGTTGTGAAATATTATTGCCCACCAGGATATATGTTGTCTGAGAATGTTACATCACAATGTGTTGAACCTGGGAATTGGTACCCAGTTCCCCCATCGTGTCTTAAAGGCAAGTCTGTTATTTAAAATTGAGTTTAATCATATTATTTATTGGCTCGTGCTGAGGCAAGAGCCATATCTCACTTGGATATAGTAGTAAGTGATAACGACAATGCACTGAGGTTTAAACGTTAGTTTACTAGTAGAAAACCTGATGGGTTAATATTTGTTGATGAAAATGAGTTAATTCCTCGAGCAAAAGTTTAATCCTAAGGTGTTAGTTTATAATAAAATTGCGTTAGAGAGGGTTTCAAACGACAATATGCACATTTTACAACAACACCATGAATTCTGCGCACTGGTTTTCGGCAATATGATATGACAGAAATACGAGCGACTTCTTGATTTAGAATTGTGAACAATTTACAGCATTAAAAAAACTCCGAACATTTAACTATTTTATTAATATCTTCGGAGAACGAGAATCAAATTGACCCATCTTCACTTTTAGATATGTTCGGATGTTTTCTAAGAGGTCCAGGTACTCAGACCTTCACAATTTAAAGATCTTAATCAGTTCAAAATGTTCGTATTTTTTCTACTTTTGCTGTTCGGTAAATTACAACCGCGTTAAAAGTAAGCATCCCTATTTATCAATACAATTCATTACAACACTGCAAACATCGCCTTCATTTTTATCCCATCGAACGAAGTTCGGAGGGATATAGGGAACGCCTCCGTCCGTCCGTACGTACGTACGTCCGTCCGTCTGTCTGTCTGTCTGTCCGTCCGTCCGGGCAATAACTCAAATACCGTTGGCCCGATTTTGTTCATATTTTGTACACATATACCCTATGGGAGTAGAAGTTCTGCTCGAAAGCTGATTTTCAAAATGGCCGCTCATTTCAAAATGGCGGCCATTTTAGTGCCGATTTTATAGTAATTTAGGTGCAATATGTAAAACTGTAATAGCAAAATGTTTTAAATGTAAAAAAATTATAAAGGACATTAATAATGCTACAAATGTAGATATTAAAGAAGCACATGGCAGCCATCTTGAAAAATGGCAGCCTTTACTCGTCATTTTATGATTTTTGCTGTAACTCAAAAAATAGTGGAGCGATTTTGCTCATATTTGGTATGTGAATACTATAAGCATTGCACACTGTCTAAAGACACTTTTGGTAGAAGGCGGCCATTTTGAAAAATGGTCGCCATTTTAACGTATTTTACTATAACTCGAAAAGTAGTGGAGCGATTTTGTTCATATTTGGTATGTGAATACTATAAGCATGGCATACTGTCCTATGACACTTTTGGTAGAAGGCGGCCATTTTGAGAAAAATTTTGAAAAATGGCCACCATTTTAAGTATTTTATTTTAGCTCGAAAAGTAGTGGAGCGATTTTGTTCATATTTGGTATGTGAATACTATAAGCATGGCACACTGTCTATTTCTAATGACACTTTTGGTAGAAGGTGGCCATCTTGAAAATGGCCGCAATTTTAACGTATTTTACTATAACTCGAAAAGTAGTGGAGCGATTTTGTTCATATTTGATATGTGAATACTTTAAGCATGGCACATTGTCTAATAAAACTTTGGGGAGTAGTCGGCCATTTTGAAAAATGGCCACCATTTTTATGTGTGTTATTTTACAAGTACGTGTGCGATTTGATTTTTCAAAAATTTTAGAGGTGGCTACTTAAAAGCATATTATTTCTTCTGATGACAACTTGGCTAGTGAGCAACCATTTTGAAAATGGTGGCCTATCTAGTGTGTTGTTTTATGATATTTGCTATATTCGTTTGTAAAAAATGCCAGCCATTTCTGTTCGATGGGATTTGCTACGCTTTGGCGTTGCCGTTGTTCTGGTTTTAAAATGATCTCTAGTTTATCATTTATATCTGGAGCTCAGGTTGTTAATTAATTTAATACAACAATTACAATTGTATCTTTATGATTGTGGAGTGATTGGACGTCTTCATAAAATGTGGACCCAATAGTCACTGATGTGAGAGGCACCCTCATTGGTACTGCCCTGGGGAGGTGGCTCCCTTGCCAGTCACCAACAATTCCCCTGATGCCGCCCTTACAATGCCGCAAAATTGAGATTCAATCATTTATGTAATATTATGGTTATAAGGAAATGTAGTATTGGTGGTTTCTTATCTTTTACTTGTACGGATTGGTTTTAAATTCTAGATATATTTCCTACTTATGACTCAAGAGAGTCAGTTTTTTGCATGCTGGTATTAATTAAGGTGGTCAACTCATTGTGATTTGAAAATTAAAAAATGTTGGCCATTTTGCAATTTTGTCTTTAAATTTCGTCTGATCAGTTTTTGAGAATGTATGTAAATTGGATGGTGGCGAATTTTATTTTTAGGCTTGTCCATAATCCTTTTTGTAATTTCCTGGTTACTGTCATATGGATTGATTTCATATTTCTGAGGATGCAGAACTAGCTGCAGCATTGGCAAAACAATTTACAGGTAGATTATGAAAAAACAATGCAAAAAGGATTTTATCATTCTATTATATTACAGGAATACTTTAACATGTTTTTCAGTATATCATTGTGAACAGCCTCCTCGTGTTGACTATGCCAGCTATGTTCCTGAGAAAGACAGATACGATGTCATGGAAAATATAACATTCTCCTGTGCTGATTTTCACAAACTATCTGGCAACATGACAATATATTGTGGACCAACTGGAGAATGGTTCAAGCTTCCATCATGTGATCTTGGTAGGCCAATTAGTTCAGAAGTGAGATAGGGATATGTGAAGCCCTCCATCCGCCAATATAATTTTCTCTCTGTCTTTCAAACCAAAGCATAATTCAATATTTGCAGACTGATATTCTTCATATTTCTTAGAAAGCATAATATACCTTAATGTACGAGGGTTGTCCCAGAAGTAATGCACTATATGCTCTAACTTTCTTTACTATTCTTCGATTCAGCTGAAAATTTGTGTATATAACAATTGAAGTGTTATCTATTATATCCTGAAGTTTCAGCATCAAACATTAATATTAAGTCTTAATCTGGTTGCTATAGCAACATTGGGGTAGGGGTGGGCGGGGCAGGTACCAATTTTTCTAATTATGAAAAGATCCAAAGTGTTATTTTATTAATATTTCTTTCTTTTAAATGATCAAAATGTTTTGGAAATTGTTTAATTTATTCAGCATGATGTTAACCAAGTACAAATAATGACATTTTACACTCTGGTGTCATAATACCACAGTTCAATAGTCACAAATTCGAATGCAGTCACTGTCAAGAAGTTTCAAAAAGGCTGCAATTATCATCTGATAACAGAAGGCCTTGCGTTTGGTGGCCTAATTTCATACTTCATTGGACTCACAGCCACGCAAGACTTATGCTACTATGAAGAAAGTATAAAAGGAGTATATTACATAGAGAACTACAATTATGAGGTGGCAGAAGAGATTCAAAAGAGATGACTGGATCCAAGATGACAACTCCAAACATGAGAGGTGAAAACTCCACAAGTCACAGTGGAAGAAATTGCCAAGAGTGTTTGACCTGACAGGCATCAAAAGTACATAACATGCAAAGGGCAATATTTTGAGAAAATGTGAAATGGGACACTGTGCAATATACATCAATTAAATCTAGGATGTGCTCATAGTAATTTAGTATCTTAAAATGTATTTTTGAGCATACTTCTCATAGCTACACAAAATGGTATTTGTTGATTAATTATTTCATATTTTCAATTTTTATTCCTTTTGACGTGACTGTTTAACCTGCCCCACCCTACCCAAACTCACCAACTTGATTTTATTATAACATTAATATCGTTTTATCAGTCAACATGAAAATTTGTAGAATAATCAAAAAGTCTCAACGGAACATTTACTGAAATTTTCATGGAAAAATATCAATTATTGATAAAGTCAAAGCATATTACTTTTGGGACAACCCTCGTACTTAAATTATTAAGATCAAAAAAGATCTCCAAAGTTTAGCTTTAATATGCACAAAGGAAAAGTATTTTAGAGTAGATTGCAGTCATTGTATATTTTACCTAAAAAAGGTAAAATATTGTCGTCAGTTTGACAGCGGGGGGGGGGGGGGGGGGGGCGTACGGCATCTCACTTTCTTCTCATCATGATTCCAGGAAAACCAATTATTGGATTTACCTCATATTTGCACACATGTTTCATGGTAAGAAGTTGTAGAGCTAATTAATTTTTCAGTGGCCATCTTACATTTTAGTGGCCATCTTGGAAGTTTTTAGATAAATCTTGTCACCGCAATTCCAGGAAAACCACTTAAAGGGTGACGCATATCGTTTAGCAAATCGAACGCTCGTTTCTGGTGTTGCTCACCGTTTAGTATAAAAGGCCCGATCCCGGAATAATACTCAAGGGTTCACAGGTTCGAGGTCGTTGTGTCAACACCTCTAACTGTTATATAGCATAAGTATATTATAGATTGTCACACATTTATAAAAGGGTGATTTTTATTTTGACAAATCAATTCCACATTTATGGGTGAAGTTTCAGGATCTTCTATTTGTGTATAATAAGGAAAAATTGGCATCTAAATTTCCCCATAACGTAATAGCACACAGCTTGGCATATGAAATATCCTACAAATGAAACAAAGCAGTTCTAATACAAGGATTTATATTGGCTGTTGTGCATGTATTCTTTGAACGCAATCACTCTATGGATAACGTTTTCAAAATCATTATAAACGGATTACGTTATCTCAAACACAATTTCAATAAACTGGATTTTACAGAACTCCCCTTATTTCTAAAAAATGGACTGATCCAGTTGACTCGCCTGGAGCCACCATATTGTTTTTATACGGGAAGCTTATCGGAACCCTTTAATGGATTTACTTCAAATTTTCACAAGTGTTACATGGTAAGTTCTAGAGCTGATTAACTTTTTGGCAGCCATCTTGCAATTCTGGCAGCCATTTTGCATTCTGGCATCCATTTTGGAAGTTTTTAGATAAATCTTGTCATCTCGATTCCAGGAAAACCACTTAACAGATTTTCTTCAAATTTATACACATGTTACATGGTTAGAAGTTCTAGAACTGATTAATTTTTGAATGGCCATCTTGCTTTCTGGGTCATCAAGCCCACACTATTATGTTTTAGGTACGATATTGTCCACCCTGTGCCTTGTTATCCCATCGAACGAAGTTCGAAGGGATATAGGGAACGCCTCCGTCCGTCCGTCAATACGTATGTACGTACGGACGTTCGAACATCAGTCCGTCCGGGCAATAACTCAAATACCGTTGGCCTGATTTTGTTCATATTTTGTACACATATACCCTATGGGGGTAGAAGTTCTGCTTGAAAGGCGATTTTCAAAATGGCCGCTCATTTAAAAATGGCGGCCATTTTAGTGCCCATTTTACAGTAATTTAGGTGCAATATGTTAAACTGTAATATGTTAAACTGGAATTGTAGATATTAAAGAAGCACATGGCAGCCATCTGGAAAATGGCGGCCTTTACTCGTTACTTTACGATTTTTGCTGTAACTCGAAAAGTAGTGGAGCAATTTTGTTCATATTTGGTATGTGAATACTATAAGCATGGCACACTGTCTAATGACACTATAGTTAGAAGGCAGCCATTTTTCAAAATGGCTGCCACTTTTAAAAACAGCCACCATTTTAATGTACTTTACTATAACTCGAAAAGTAGTGGAGCGATTTTGTTCATATTTGGTATGTGAATACTATAAGCGTGGCACACTGTCTAATGACACTTTTGGTAGAAGGGGGCCATTTTTCAAAATGGCTGTCATTTTAACGTATTTTACTATAACTCGAAAAGTAGTGGAGCGATTTTGTTCATATTTGGTATGTGAATACTAAAAGCATGACACACTATCCTATGACACTTTTAGTAGAAGGCGGCCATTTTTCAAATGGCCACCATTTTAACATATTTTACTATAACTCAAAAAGTAGTGGAGCGATTTTGTTCATATTTGGTATGTGAATACTATAAGCATGGCACACTGTCTAATGACACTTTTGGTAGAAGGTGGCCATTTTGAAAAATGGCTGCAATTTTTGCAATATACTTTGTTTGTAAATATGCCAGCCATGGCTGTTTGATGGGATTTGCTACGCTTTGGCATTGCTCTTGTCTAGTATTTATTTTTGCTTCATAAAAAAACAAAAATGCCTGCCTTCAAGATTGGAAGTTTAGCTTTATTATACTTCAATTAAAGGTATCATTTAGTAGATGACAGATATTGTATTTGTTTTTTTTTAAATTGCTGCCAAAACAGGAATTCCTGTCACTTTTGAGATCTCTTCAAAGTATGGCTTCATAACTTCCAGTTATCAAATCCTCCAAGTTTGTTTTTTATTAATATGCATAGAAACTACTATGCATAGAAAAGTCCCATTTTTGTAAATATTGTAAAATTATGCTATGTAGAACTAACACAGGAAAAATCATAGCTTTATAAATATGTAACAGCTTTCGCATTTTGACAAATGTGGGATAACATATTGCCTAGATACAGAGTAAATACATTAGGATTCACTGTAGGAGCAGTGGTCCCTTTAAGTAATGGAATATATTTTGTCTTTCCAGATCTACATACTTGATTCCCATCTTGTCTTGAGCCATCTCAAGATGGAAGATCGTGATTATTTTTAGTAGTACAAATATTATCGAAAATGATTAATGGCCATTTTTATACACTATAATGATTAACTTACCCAGCAATCAAAATAATGTGCTCCAAAAAGAAGTGAATAGATGTATCACAGCTTGAGACATTTAATTTGAATACAACAAATGTGAGAATATTTCCGAATGATTAAAGTTGTAATGTTTTTTTTTTCATTTTAGAGGTATGGAAAGTAGTAGCAGTTTGTGTTGGCATCTTAGCAATGATAGCACTAGGGCTGGTGACATTATATTGTATACTTAAGAGTGAGTTCCATTACTTTAACTGATTATATTTTTATCGCACTTTGAAAAAGTGCTATATTGTCGTCGTCTTGTGCTGTTGGGCGGGCGGGCGGGCGGGACATAAACCAAATCTTGTCATCAAATTTCCAGGATAACTGCTTACCTGTACAACTTGAAATTTTTACAGATGCAAGAGCAGACTAGTACCAAGATCTGATTAGGTTAAGGGCATGCTGGGTAAACTACGTGGCGGCCATTTTGAATTTTTCAACAAATCTTGTCATCAAAATTCCAGGAAAACCACTTATCCGTTCAACTTGAAATTTTTACAGATGCAAGAGCAGACTATTGCCAAGATCTGACTATGTTTTGGGTATGCTGGCTGAATTACATGGTGGCCATTTTGAATTTTTCAATTTGGCGGCCATTTTGAATTTTTCAACTTGCTCCAAATTGGCCAAATTTTTTTTTTAAAAACATCTACAAGTTCTCAGAAGTTCAAATCTGACCTTAGATTTTAGATTTGACCTTTCATTCACCTTCAGTGACCTTGAAAAGGTCAAAAAAGTTGATTTTCTAAATTGATATTTTGGATTTAAATTTAGGTCAGCTTAATTACAAAACACCTACTGAGGTCTGAAAAAGTGAAATTTTCAAGGTCGAAGGTCAAGGTCATTAAACTAGGTCACAAATGATGTTATCCAAGTTTCTCAAAGTTTGAGACTACAAATCAATTCTTGTCATCAAAATTCCAAGAAAACCGCTAACCTGTTCAACTTGAAATTTTTTACACATGCAATAGCAGACTAGTGCCAAGATCTGATTAGGTTAAAGGCATGCTGGGTAAACTACGTGGCGGCCATTTTGAATTTTTCAACAAATCTTGTCATCAAAATTCCAGGAAAACCACTTATCCGTTCAACTTGAAATTTTTACAGATGCAAGAGCAGACTATTGCCAAGATCTGATTAGGTTTTGGGTATGCTGGCTGAATTACATGGTGGCCATTTTGAATTTTTCAATTTGGCGGCCATTTTGAATTTTTCAACTTGCTCCAAATTGACCAAATTGTTTTTTTAAAAACATCTACAAGTTCTCAGAAGTTCAAATCTGACCTTAGATTTCAGATTTGACCTTTCATTCACCTTCAGTGACCTTGAAAAGGTCAAAAAAGTTGATTTTCTAAATTGATATTTTGGATTTAAATTTAGGTCAGCTTAATTACAAAACACCTACTGAGGTCTGAAAAAGTGAAATTTTCAAGGTCGAAGGACAAGGTCATTAAACTAGGTCACAAATGATGTTATCCAAGTTTCTCAAAGTTTGAGACTACAAATCAATTCTTGTCATCATAATTCCAAGAAAACCGCTAACCTGTTCAACTTGAAATTTTTACACATGCAATAGCAGACTAGTGCCAAGATCTGATTAGGTTAAGGGCATGCTGGGTAAACTACGTGGCGGCCATTTTGAATTTTTCAACAAATCTTGTCATCAAAATTCCAGGAAAACCACTTATCCGTTCAATTTGAAATTTTTACAGATGCAAGAGCAGACTATTGTCAAGATCTGATTAGGTTTTGGGTATGCTGGCTGAATTACATGGTGGCCATTTTGAATTTTTCAATTTTGTGGCCATTTTGAATTTTTCAACTTGCTCCAAATTGACCAAATTGTTTTTTTGAAAACATCTACAAGTTCTCAGAAGTTCAAATCTGACCTTAGATTTCAGATTTGACCTTTCGTTCACCTTCAGAGACCTTGAAAAGGTCAAAAAGTTGATTTTCTAAATTGATATTTTGGATTTAAATTTAGGTCAGCTTAATTACAAAACACCTACTGAGGTCTGAAAAAGTGAAATTTTCAAGGTCGAAGGTCATCAAATTAGGTCACAAACAATGTTATCTAAATTTTCCCAAAGTTCAAGACTACAAATAAATTCTTGTCATCAAAATTGCAGGAAAACCGCTAACCTTGTCAACTTGAAATGTTTACAGATGCAAGAGCAGACTAGTGCCAAGGTCTGATTAGGTTTTGGCCATGCTGGGTAAATTGCATGGAGGCCAGTTTGCTCTTCAAAGTGCGATATTTATCACTGTGTGTCTTGTTTTATCACACCATTGGTGGGATATAGTCATCATGATGAAGGCATTATCGTGATCATGATCGTCCCGCTTTTTTGTCATCACGATTCCAGGAAAACCCCTCATCAGATTTTCTCTTAATCTATACACATGATAGAGGATATCAAGTTCTAGAACTGATTAACTTTTGGGTGGCCATCTAGTTTTCTGGCGGCCATTTTGAAGGTTTTTCGATAAACTTGTCATCGCCATTTCAGGAAAACCACGCATTAGATTATCTCTACATTCGCACACATGTTAGAGGATATAAAGTTCTAGAGCTGATTAACTTTTGGGTGGCCATCTTGTTTTCTGGCGGCTATTTTGAAGGTTTCTTGATAAATCTTATCATCATCATTTCAGGAAAACCGCCCATGGGATTTTCTCAAAATTCGCACACATGATAGAGGATATCAAGTTCTAGACCTGATTAACTTTTGGGCGGCCATCTTGTTTTAGGGCCTGATAACAAAGAGACAACATTTTATCTTCAGTGTACCAATATGATTACTATTTATTACCTTCTCAAATATGTCATCTCCTAAAAGATCCTATCAAATGATGAGGTATTTCAGTGAATTCTCCCATCTGATAAATGCTGTGCCCTCAATTATAAAGAAATGAACATATAAACACTAAAATCTATAGCTGTGCTTTCTCTTTAATAAAGTATGAACAACATTCTCATCTTAATCTTCAGACAATCAGAAGTATTTTTAACTTCCATTATCTATCATATTGACACTTAAGCGGTTAGAAAATTCAAAATACAATAAGGTCATCTTCATCATTTCCACTTCAGATATCGATCTAAAGTTATACTTGTGATTTTCATTTGATGATAGATCATCATTTTTTGTGTAAAAGCTGTCTAAAAGACTTGAGAATTAAAAGATTTTCTGGTTCAGTGTCGAAACGAAACACTTAAGTTTGAACATTTCCTTTATTCATTTTGGACTATTTTGAGAGAATATCAATTCAGTTTGGTGTGCAAAGAGACCAATGATAATCACGATGCCCATGTCAAGCAGCGTGCCTACTAGGCACGCAGTTTGAAACTCTGACAAACTGCGCGCATATTTCAAAATGTGAGACGGGGAGGACACGACTCCCAAAAAGAGCCAAAATACGAAAAATACAAGGTTAGTCTCGTTCTAAAGATAGTACCATTCTGTGAAGATGAACTTAATTTACTCATAGTACTCAATGTTTTTCCCGATCTAAACCTAGTTATCTCAATATAAGGGTCTTAAGTAACTTCTGTGTTCAAAATTTACAGTGTAAAGTTATATCTATGTCTTTTTATCGTCATTTGCCGTTTATTCAGCCATTGTGTCTGTGTATGCTAGAATATATAGGATCACTCCATCTGATTAAAGCAGCAAAGTTTGTGTTCAAAAAGATAATACGCCATAAACGTGATTTAAACATTTTTCTTGTCAAACTGCGCGCCTATATTCACATGTATTTCCCAAACTGCGTGCCTAATATTTCCAAACTGCTTGCCAATCCAAGCTTGTTTTTTATTATTAGAAAACATAAGCGCCATTCAAGGCACATATGTGTCTAATAGTAGAACCCCATAATTGAAACACTATGAGAGTCCATCCACCAAGATGGTGATCTGAAAATAAAAGTTTTTTTCGTTCCCAACTTAATTGTCACTTCTATTATACATTTTGACTTTCAATATGAAAATCTCATAAAATCTGACGATAAAGCAAAATTTCCAAAGCTACATCGAAAACACCTACACGTGCCTCTGTAGAAATTACAATGATAATATGTACTTTTAATAGTGTATGTGCACAGATTGTAATTTCTGGCTAAAATAGGCGCGCAGTTTGTGGTTTATTTCTTTTTAATCTCCTGATTATCTGTTTTATCTCGAAATATTTTGAATTATACATGATAAATGTGTAAGGAATTAAATATAAAACGAGTCTAAAGTATTTGTCATTTATGTTTAAAGTGCTAGATCGATTTACGTATAAATTCCCGTTAAATCAGTGACGAAAATGCCATTAATCTGCTTATGTTTTAAAACTAAGATTCATTTGCACACAGTTTTTCCTAGTATTTGCAAGATTCGTATGTTCGCAACAGAATGAACGCATTGAACAAGAAAACAATGCAGGATAAATGTCTTTAAATAACGTTTCAAAATACAGACTCCAACTTAAATGATCCAATGTTCTTAGGCACGCAGTTTGTGATCGAAACAAACTGCGCGCCTAAGTAGGCACGCAGCTTGACATGGGCACCGTGATAATTAATCGAGAGGATGCATCGAATTATAAAATCTGCCATTTTACTGCATTGAATACTCTTTATCGCCCATTCTTTAGAAATTCAATCTTTTTCTGAATTTTTCAATAAAACTTGGTCATTCCTTAATATTTCTTGAACTTGGTGATTCAAATTTTGAAGTGAAAAAATGGTGGATATATTGTTTTGAATTTTGTTATCATGACATGACTATGTGATAATAAGGTCATAACACCATACATGGCATATATGTTGCACTCTCGGAGTCAATCCTCCTTGCTTGAAAGTATAAGAGTATTTTTGAAAATGCACATCTCAAATTTTTTCCAAAAAATTAAATTCTAAGAAAGTAAAGTAGATAGGCCAAAGTAGGGTTTTTAAAAGTTCAGGTGGATGATTACATATTACAAATATAAAATCAAAGTCTGTTCTTTTGCAGTGAATGTAGTTAAGTAAAACCAAAAACATCAATTTTAAAATGTTTCTAGATGATAAAAAATTGATAATATTTTGATTTTTTCTAGAAAAAAGAGAAAAGAAGCAGAGGAAACTAGTTGAGGGAAAACAGAAGGCTGAAAAGAAATTAAGAAGTAAAAACTATTTTATTTTACCCTATTCAGTAGTCAGATACAAGCTTTGCCATTAATAGTTGAACGGAAGAAAGGATTTATAAAATAGTCTAAAATTGAAGTTCATATTTTGCATATAATGATTTTATATCATATTTATGATCTTATCTATATGGGACCAATGCAGAAGATCGATGTCAGATAATTCAATTACATTTGATAGTTAGGTGGAGGAGAGTATAAATGTATCAAATAGTTAAGTTCTGCCAACACCGATTATTGAATTCCCGGGAATCATCATCATGGTCATTTTATCTAGTGTAGGTCCTCCATGTTGCTCAGAAAAAGAAAAAAACTTTTATCTTAAATCATATAAAACTTTGTCAAAGAGGAATATAAAGCCAATTTACAGTAATCCTACAAAAGATTATGAAAGACTAGTGACCAAGTTTTGGAGTGACTCATTGGTAACGGGTAAGAAAAAAGCAAAATCGTCTCTTAAGCAACTGAAAGTAGTGGAGTGATTTTGTTAATTATTTGATATGTGAATACTAATGAGCATGTTTTATGGAGACACACAACCTATTGATCCTTCCGCCGATCCTTCCGCCGAGTGGGAAGACGAATAGATGGCATTACAAAAACAAAAATAAAGTCCAATTATTGTAATTATCCCACCGAACGAAGTTCGAGGGGGATAAAGAAAAGCCGTCCGTCCGTTCGTCCGTCTGTTCGTGTGTCCGGGAAATAACTCAAAACCGGTTGATGGATTTCATTCAAATTTTATAGGCTTATGCCTTATGGGTGTAGGACCTCTGCTCGAGAAGGAATTTTCAATATGGCCACTAAATTAAAAATGGCAGCCTTGCTGAAGAAGACATTTCCAAGATGGCCGCCATATTTCAAAATGGCAGCCATTTTTCGTAAAAAAACATTATCTTTGATAACTCAAATACTATTGAATGGATTTGGATCAAATTTTATATGCTGCTGCCTGGGTACAAAGGAGCCTTGCTCAAGAAGACATTTTCAAGATGGCCACCATATTTCAAAATGGCGTAAAAAAAATGTTATCTTTGATAACTGGTATACCATTGAATGGATTTGTTTCAAATTTTACATGCTGATGCCTAGGGACATAGGAGCGCTGTTCAGGAAGGGATTTTCAAGATGGCAGCTAAATTTCAAAATGGCCGACATTTTTCATAAAAGAATGTAACCTTTGATAACTCAAATACCAGTTGATGGATTTGGTTCAAATTTTATATGCTGATGCCTAGAGACAAAGAGGTTGTGCTCAAGAAGACATTTTCAAGATGAAAAGAAGAAATCTAAAGATGACAGTTGAATTTCAAAATGGCAACCATGTTTCATAAAAACACAATCTTTGATAACTCAAATACCAGTGGATGGATTTGGGTCAAATTTTATATGGCCGCTATTTATCAAAACATGTTTTGTTCGGTGGGATTTGCTACTCCGTGGAGTTGCTGTTTTTCTAGTTACATTAGCATCATCAGTGGTTGGATTTTGGTAAGTACATGAATGAAAAAGTGTATGTATAGACCAACTCTAAGACATGATTTGATGTGATTAAGGTGCATTTTCTTTAAAAAATTTGACCTTTTTGACCTGCCATCTGTCAAAATCCATCTGTCAAAATCAGAATGACATTTTTTGACATTTTCTATAGATGGCGTCTTCAACAGGTGAGATCTTTTGATTTTCGTGGGGAGTTTTGATTCAAACTTTTTTGACTGACAGAGGACATACTGGGGTATGATGGAATGATAGCAAAACATGTCCACAAATCTTAGTTTTCTCTGGAAGACCGATCATTTGTATGGGAATACGCATGTTATAACAATTGGTTGGGTTAACCCTATGTCACTTTGGCTAGAAGGTGGCCATTTTCAAAATGGCCACTAGTTTTATGTGTATTATTTTAGTTTTTTTTACTATAACTCAAAAGCTAATGGAGCAATTTTGTTCATATTTGATATGTGAATACTCATAAGCATGGCACACTGTCTAATGGCACTTTGGCTAGTAGGTGCCTATTTCTCAAAATAGCTGCCATTTAATGTACATGTATGGTATGTGTGTGCGATTTGGTTGAAATTTTATGACAATTTGCTATCATACATGTGTATTCATTTGTTTATTTATTGTATCTTTCAGAGATTACCCAGCAAGTAAATGCTATAAAGCATTTTAAAGATTTGCCAAAGTCTGTAAGAGATGGCGTTATTTTACGATGTGAAGTTGCTGGTAAACCATGGAAATCCTTATTCAGAAGGTTGGTCTAACATCACTTTGAGTTTTCACAATTTTCAAGTGTTAACTTTTTAGAGTGTTATGTTATATTATGTTACAGTCTTGTTATGCCACAGATTTTGATATTAATTTGTATATAAATAGTGTATGAGGTTTTATTTAATAATCTTTACCCTCCAAAGTACAAGCACTTTAGCTGAAAGAAAATACCAATGCACCACAGTACTCTAGATAAATTGCAACAAATACTTTCAATGATTTAATTTCTATGTCACAAGTGGTGACATATTGTTGTGACATATTGTTGTCTCCAACTTTTTTGTGGATGGCAGTTGGTCTTCAGCGTTCAGTTCAGAGTTTGGTGATAGGTACCAGTAACAAATGGCATGCTGCCTGTAACAAATGGCAGGTGGTGACATTTTGCATGTTAAGGCCTTGTACTATGAATGTGATATGAACTTGTTGAACCTAATGTTAAACTCTTCCTCTCAAGTACATATATATATTGAATATATCTCTCAATTATGTAGATAGAATATTTAGTATTTGAATCAATGATTTGATTTTAAAGCATCTACGACTTAGTGAAATCATCTTGTTTATTTAGATACATGTACTGTATATATGTCTGTACGTATGCTCTTGCAATCTGAAAATTGTTGTTTGTCTTAACTTACCAAATAGAAAAATCAATTTCACACACTGAACACTTTATTTACACAAAAAAAAACATTTGAGAAGAGTCCACAAATAAATGGAGAAAGCTGTTCCAAAAGTAGTGTTACATGTTACCCTGTATTATATTCCTATTGTAGGCTTGGGTTTGAGGACGAAATGCTAAGTTATTATGAAGGAAGGCAGGATCCATTTAAGGAGGGAATGGATGAACTAGCTACCCAAGGGAATGATGATATCACAGCTATTATGGAGGCAATGTTGTTGACAGTCGTACCTGAAAGCCTGGAAGATGGTTGTATTAAGGCCCTGGAATACCTCATTGAGTCCATTGATGGGGAAGATGTTGATGTGAATACCAATTCACAAGGGGATAATCTCCCACTTATATAAAACCCAAGAGTAGAATAAAGCATCTTTATGTATGGGAATATGTTAACTATGCACTTGCCACTTTGCTAGAAGGGAAAATGACACATATATTGAAGATATGAAGATCTTAAAGGAATATTCCTTGCCAGACCCTTTCTCTCTTGATATGGTAGCTATAATCATATATATAGTTTCCATATTTAGCAAAACATGGGAAATGTTTTAATATGGTCAATATTGATCATTTAAAAATCTAGTGCTTATTTCCAGTGAGCTGCCATCTTTTAGGATTTCTTGCAGGAAGTGATGTCATCAACTCTCAACTTCTATAACCTTGCTCATAACAGTATAGGAAAGTAGCACAAAATCACTTCTAGACAAGTGATCATTACTTTCTGTGCAAAAATATTTTCAGGGCTTGTCAATTTAGAATAAAAGAGATTTTCAGGAGGATTAAATAAGATACAAAGTTGAAAAAGAATATTTAGCTGGTTTTGTAATTCTTAATAGCTCCTCACCTAATGCTATATGCAAAGTTGAGAGTCGATGACATCACTTCCCGTGTGAAATTTTAAAAGATGGCAGCTTACTGGAATTGAGCATCACATTTCTAAGTGATCAAATTTGACCATATCAAAACATTTTTGCGTGTTTTGCTAAACATGGCAAGCATATATATGGTTATAGCTACCATATGAGGAGAGAGATGGTTTGGCAAGGAATATTCCTTTAACAGAGTTCATCCATGGAATTTATTAATCCGTATAATTGGGCCCCTCACAGAATGGCAAGGCTAGTATTATTGCAAAATACTTACCCCTCAAAATTTTGACATTGGGAGATGTAAAAATTTGTATTCAGAATTAGTATTCATCCAATGATGAAAACTCATTTAGTGTCGCTTGTGTTGTGTTGAAATCCCCAAATTTAATAGTTCAAAATGTGGTATCTTTAAGACTTTCGAACTAAACTGGAATATTCCAGATCGAAAATTGGAAGATATAGATGGATACAAAGGTGGCAATAGCAATTTGGTCAGGGTAGTATATACCATTTCTCTACCAGGACAAGCTGAGAAAAGTAACTTAATATTTTCAAATAAATGAATGTTAAACTCTATGTTTAACATTCATTGTGAAACATTCATTTAACAATGTTAAACATGATTTTTTTTCAATTGTGGCATAGTGATATGCAGTCTCTTTGATGCCAATATTCTTCATGAATTGTGATACAAATTGATATTTTTGTACTCTCTGAAGAAGGATAAGATATTGAAGTTAAATAATATGTGTGATTGAGTTGGTTTTTCAGACATTACAATTTTCAATATTTTCTAAGTCAATATCCGGACTAATTCCCGGACTCATCCTTTACAAATGAACAAGATCATTTTGTATGTATATTTTATTTTGGTTTTCCAGTTCATTTCCAAAATATATTGTTGGAGCTTTTATAATATACTGTAGGTGTCATGTAAACAAAGTGATTTACAGGTGAATCTGTGAGACTGATCTCAATGACAATGTCTAATTGATGATGACATTTAATCAACAGTTTTGCTTAAAGCTGTGCATGTATATAGCACTTCAGTACAATTTATATAATGATTTACAAAATGTGATAAGAATTCCCAATATAAAAAATATAGATTTACGCTTTCATAATTGTAATGGACAGCTATTTTTGCTCACATGGTGGAATATAGAGAGTAACTTCCTTGCTCTTCATACCCTTCCATCCCTCTTTCCATATGTCTGTCCAAATATCCATCCATCTGAACTATTAATCATAACCATTTTCTATGCTGTTAGTTGACTGACACCTTTGGTCTAGGCTCTTACTTTTGTATTGATTTGGAGAATCTGCGTTTTTCACCAAAATATCAGATTTCTTACAATTTATGCATCATTGATAGCTTCCACTTCAGCTTGACATCTGTGATATCCAGTTTCTACCTCATGATTGTGGTCACTTTTTCTTTTTGTTAACAATAGATAAGGTCATAAAATTTTCCCTCGACATCTTTCAACTTATTATGTCACCACCAAAAAGTGGTGACATATTGTTATGGTCTCCATTTTTTTTACGGCGGTTGGTGTTTGGCGGTCTGTAACAAATTCTTACAACTTCCAAAAACTTAACAATACTGTTGAGACTGCGACCTCAATTTTTTTCAAAATCAACTACTAGTTTTCAGAAGTTCAAATCTGACTTTATATTTAAAATTTGATCTTCAGTGACCTTTTCAAGGTAAAAAAGGTAAAAAAGGTCTTTTTGCTTTAAATTGACCAATTTTTTTTCAAAATTATCCACAAGTTCTCAGAAGTTCACATCTGACTTAAGATTTGAGATTTCACCTTCAATGACCTTCTCAGGGTAAAAAAGGTCTTTTTTCAACTTGGTTCAAATTGACCAATTTCTTTTTTCAATATCATCTACAAGTTCTTAGAAATTCAAAAACCGAATTCAGACTGAACTAATAATATTGTGAGCAACTAGGTGGTGGCATTTTGTCATGTTAATGCCTTGTTATTTAATACATTCGATTGTTAAAACAGCTGCTTCTTATTTCATGGAAAAATTACAAGAGAGATAAATGGTCAAAATGTGGCTGTTTAATTGACGTAAATCACGCCACCATGTGAGCCCAGTACTCATAGTACTATTAATCGATCACTATATCAGATATTTTTATTTGAATGTTTATTTTGCATAATATATATTTGCATAATATTGGTTGTGATGGTTGTAATTTGTTTCATTTAGATATTTTTTAAGTGTTTTGTACTTTATACACTATGCACAAATATTTTAATTGTGTTGATATGACATGTGTTAGATGATAGTGATAAAATACATTCCTTTAAAATAACATGCCATCTTGTACATACTACATTGTATTATGATAGCGTAGTGTAGTTCAGTAGATTTATTTTTTGTGCAGAGTAATATAGTGCATGATTTAGAGTCAATAAAGACATACAGTGTAGGTATGCATATATCTGTATATTTTAAAATGGAGATAAAGTTTTTAATTAGAAGCATGTGTCACATGATTTTGAGTGCAGTAGTTTTTTATATCTAATATATACATGTTTGTATCATGTAAAACTGCAACATCATTGTTATTTTTATTGTTAACATTCATAGTCTATTTTCCCATTTAATGGTCATGTTTTTGCATGTAAAAAATTTATAGAATACTAAGACATGACTTGCAAGCTGCAGTAAGTCTGCATGTAAACACAATGCTTTATAGAATACTAAGACATGACTTGCAAGCTGCAGTAAGTCTGCATGTAAACACAATGCTTTATAGAATACTAAGACATGACTTGCAAGCTGCAGTAAGTCTGCATGTAAACACAATGCTTTGGTAAATGTTCAATAAATCAGATTTAACAAGTAAAGAATTATTAAACATCATATAACTTTGAACAAACTTGACAATAGTTATAATGAAGACTTTTGACATCTGTATATATGACCTAAGGGAGAGGATGCTTCCACTGATTAGAGTATAATTTAGGTCATGATCTATAGTGTTACCTTTACGTTATCATGAAGGTTTTTAATTAGCAATTGTTACATCACCACATAAAAGTGTTACTTTGCAGTACATAATATCATGCTATGATTATGAAATATCAAGTTTTGATGAACATAATCATATAAACTGTTATGAAATAGCCTGTAAAATACAGTTGTTGTTAAATATTTTAAACTCAGTTTTTGCTGCCACTAAAAAATGTAACGAATAAAAAAAATGCTTGTTGTAATATTGCTCACTCCAACAAAACTTATTAATGTTGCTTTTATTGAGAAGCATAAATTATTTTTCAAGTTATGAAATGTCACAGTATGCAAAAGAAATAGTTAAGTGCTTTGATAGATATATTTGTCTAACGTTACACAATTAAATGGAAAACAATATATTTTATATTATTATGTAATCACCATATCGTTATAGTCTCCACAACTTTTTGTGGATGGTGTTATGAGGTCAGTGTCTGTAACAAATTCCAGTAACTTTAACAGTTTAGACTGACCTCAAATTTTTACTGTGGACATATATAAACATGTTATGAATGTCAACACATTTCTGCCAATATTTTTTACCATGGCAACAATGAGTGGACTTGTAACATTTTGTAACCATGTGCAATAATTTAAGAAGTACTATTCACATGGACTTGAAGACATGTTATGACTTTTAACATATTTTTGGCAGTTTCAGTTACCATGACAATGCATATGTTACCATGGAAACATTATTTGTCATACTGTAACTTCAGAATCAATAGTCACATTGGTTTAAAAAGCTACAATGGCAACAAAAAGTGGACTCGTTTTATATTATAATCATTTTTATGTCACCACCACGAGAGTCTGTAACAAATGGCAGGTGGTGAGATTTTGTTAGCCATTTGCAATAACTTACAAGTTGGTGAGATTTTGTCATGTTAATTGTTAATGATTTGTTCATGTTTGACAAATAAAAAGAATTTACATGGCACATAAAAATGTTATTGTTGTTGTTGTTAGGTAGAATGATTCATTGTTTATTTGTTTATCTAGGCCTATTATATAATGGTTGGATCTTCAACTTTTATTCATTAGGGTAGGGTGGTCACTGGTCAATATGAACTACAATTTATGATATCTTGGAACAGTATCAATATGATGGCCTCAATATTTCATCCACACAAATATTTGAATTTCATCAAGAGGTTGAAATCTTAAGAGAAGCATACATTTACTTTGTGACAGTACATGTACCTTGGCCCACCACTTATGCCATCACTGATTTTTATTTTATCTAGAAAGTAATTCACAATGAATGAAACGAGACTTTATTTGACATGTTAGATTAAAAAAACTGGTCTGCAATGTTTTGATGACACCACTAAAAGAAATTGATTATGTTTGGATCACATGAAACATTTGAGGCAGTATATACTACAGAAATATAAAGAGGTTATGTGGCAATCTGATGGCAAAACTTCTACTTTGGCTGAAGTAAGCAAACCAAAACTATATTTTATTACAAATGGATTTTATTTGGCACATCACATATACATATTTTGCATAACCATTCATCAATAAATTACCACATAATGTCAAATATATATTATTGAGACATCACTGAGTAATTGTTCTGAAAACATGCAGTGTGTTTAAATGAGAAAAAAAACATTTCCCACACTATTTTGATTTTTGAGAATCCAGTCTTCAGTTTTGATACAAACTAAAAGATGAGTTATTGATTTCAGAATTTATTAAAAGATTTAAATGCATTACTGGGTATTTTGATTTTCCAGATAGAATACATGCTTATCTAAATTATTCACCACTTTCACTTTTTTGTTCATCATTGTTCTGATCTATTGTGTTCTCTGTAGAGAGATCATCTGTTGTTACAGAACAAACCTCAATTTTATCAACAATTTCTAATTGGTCAGTGGTAATTGCATCAGTTAAAGGAATCTCATTAGCATCTGATTTATCTACAGTATCTGGATTAATCTCATTGGTGTTATCAGCATTGTCTTCATTTGTCTTTGCATTGTTAATGGTCTGAGTGTCTTTATGATCATTAATACCATTAGATGTGCTATCTTGTGTGCTATCACTATATACAGATAGGTTGTCATTGTGAGTGCTACGATTATTATTGTTTGTGGTATTCTGTTTGCTTGGAGGTTCATTGACTGTAGTAGGGTCTCTACTCTGAGCAAGGTTAACACCTTCTTCAAACAAGGCATCCTCATAACGTTGTAATGTATCTGGGTCCAAATTTGTCGGCCTTTCACGGGTAGGAGGTCTATAGTCTACCCTGTATGTCTGACTGGTTGAGGTATCTCTAGGATCAGGTGTTATCTCAACAACCATCTCCTTACTATCAAAATTAAACCCTGAGGGACCCTCACTGGTGTGACTCATGCGTGATCTTACACCAGTGTGGGTTGTCTCAGTTTCTGATGCCATTTCCTCTGTAATGTAACTATAACTAGACACACCTGTTTGTGGACGTGACATTGTTTGGCTCTGATAATCTGATTGGGACATCTCAGTGGCCTCTCTGGTAAGAAGGGCAGTCAGTTCTCTGTCAGCAGTAGGTGTGAATGTTCCCTCAGACATTATAGGTGACATCAGACGACGGGTTGCAGTCGGAGCTCTTGAGGCTGTCCTAGGTTTCTCTGTGATTTCTACTTTAGGCTCCGGCTGAAAATAGAGTGATGATACGTATATTGATTGAAAATAAAGTAACAATTTATAAACTACATGTATTGTTAATTGCTGTTTCCATATTAGCGTACAATTTATTCTAAGACAGAAATTATAAATTTTAAACAATGTGAAAAAGAAAGATGAAATAATGAAATCAGTTTTTGGATCTGATATGCAAAATGAATTTTCATGAGGAAAATGAATTATTTCAATAAATATGTCATACATATGTACATATAATCATGATAAACAATACTAACTAAAAAAGTTTATTGTGCCAGATCTGCATGAGTAAAATGTTGAGTGATGATTAGGTTTAAATCTCTGCAATTAGACTCTCAACCATCCGTACAATCAATCAGGTCCACCACATTAATTAAGCATATAACCCAAACTGGAGGCATTCAGATTAAGAACCAACCCATAAGAAAACCCCATATACTTTAGAAAAGTCGATTTACCTTTTTCTTGGCAATCATCCTCTGTATGTTTTCCTTCTGTTCCACATTTTCCTCATGTTCAATGATGTGAGCACAGATATTGTCACGTGTGCACAGTTTGCGCACCTCAGACTTCACCTGGGCTACCATATCCATGTCTTGTGTGGGGCTAATGCCAAGAGCCTCAAGGGCAAACTCTATTTCCCTATAAGGATATCACAATATTGAGTTTTAAAAAATCTTGATCATCATGATATTTTTTATACTGAATTGGTGAATTTAATGGTACTATTTATGGTACTAGAAATACAGTAGTATCTCATCAACAAAAATATGAGTTTTTCAAATATACAAAAGTATTTTTCAATTTTTATTCAGTAGTTGCAATAAGATTAGGCCTATCATACCTTTTCACCACTGCACTGGTTTCAACAAGGAATCTATTCTGCAGTATTTCAATGACTTCCCTATCATGGAAGCCAATCTTGACAAGTGAGTGACATGCTTCTGCACGTACCCCAGCCTCTTCTTCATATCTCAGAGCCCAAAGGATACACTTGCGGACCTCTTCTGATTTCACGTTTATTTTACCCAGAGCTGCAACATGAATGAAGTAAATGGTGATAATTCTGTTCTCACATTTGTTGCTCCAATCTGTATTTTACATTTTATAGGATTAATAGTAATGCAGTATATATTTTATGATAATATTATGATTCAAACTACTTCCAACTAAAAACTTGAATATTAAAAGCCTTATGATTCATGAAATATAAACACTATATATGTCTTTTTAAATGTAGTATAAATAAAATATTGTAATTTAATATAAAATGAAATTAAATAAATTGAATTGAAATGTTTTGGGTTCACTTTCATCCCCACAACAACTACAAAATACAAGAAACAAGAAATTACAAACAATAATAACACAAACCTTGTAGAGCTAAAGCTTTAACTTTCCATATGTTGTCATAGGTTGCTAAGAAGATGAGTTTGTTCTGTATCTTCTCATCCACAATGCGCAGATTGCCACAAGTGATGCATGTCTCTATACGAACTGACACATACTGGTCATTAAAGCAAGTCAGGAAAGTGGGTAGCAGTTTAGCAGTCATTAGACCTGCAATGTCAAGAGAAATAAATATGGCAATTACATTTAATTTTTATTCATGTATAAATTTTTATACTATTCTTGGTTTTAGCCAAAAACAATAGTTTAATATTGTATTCTCCTAATCAAACTCATCATCATCCCTTAATATATGATTCTTTTAAAACTGATCATATTTTCTGTTGTTTCCTTTCCTCATAATTATTTCTTCATCAATCATTAGAGCCCAGTGGGGCAAAAGATGTCCATGCAGGTAATTATCAGACAAATAGCTGGACTAAATACTATTCTAGTAATTGTCTGACAATTATTTACATGGACAACATTTGCCAATATTTTCTATTTATGAAGGGTATTTTCCTCACATATTTTGGATTATCATCTCACCTAAGTGTCCTATCTTGCTGACAGCATCCATTCTCTCTCTCTCATTACCACTAATGATACGTTCCTTAAGGTCATCATGTACATCTTTCCCGTGTCCACATTTCCCAAGAGTCTGAGCCGCAACCTTCCTGACCTCACTATGCCAGTCATTCCACATCAGGTTGGCCAGCTTCTGAGCAAGATCCTGTCAAATATACCATTTAGGATAATCAAGATGGTCTCCCGAGGATTGTCTAATATGGTTTGTGGGAGTCTTTTTACTTTTTAAAATATTACTCCTGCTTTCTGATATAAATATGAATCAAACTGTATTATTAATTATCTGACTTTAAAACTTGAGGATTTGATGCTCTTTTAAAGGGATAGAGTGAGCAAGAGATGCTTTCTGTATTCCATCATCTTTACAAAAAGGGGTCCTTTTCATAGCTTGTAAGTGAAAATAACAGTTTGATTAAATCTAAGGAGTACATGTAACCTAACACAAAAACCATCAATACTGCTAAAGCTCAAGGGAACCTGTCCCCCATTGGTGTTTCACTTTCATTTTCTGCAAGACAAAGTATTCTCACCTTGTTAATCTGTCCATGCAGCTTTGGTAGTAATTTACATGCAATTATCTTGTGTCTCCAACTACTACTGTTAAGTTGCTCTGAGATCATGGAGTGAACCAAAGTCTACAATTAGAAAGAATCTTAACATCAATTTACAAGGCATATTCCTAAGCTTATAATAAGAATCAGTGGTGAATGAAAAAATGATTTTGCAATAGAAGACATCGTCATCATCATGTGTGTTTTTTCTCCTAAATGTAAAGAACATCAAAATAACCTACCGAATTATTACTTAGTTTTGCAAGTAGATGTGCTGCCTGTTCATGTCTTATAGCATCCTCAGAGTTCATGATTTGGGCAACTAGCTCCCCTACAACTTCAGAGTCACATACTCCATAGTAAGCGAGACACTGTGCTGCTGCCCATCTATCTACTGATGTATCTTCTCTTAATGCTACTCTTAGGATCTCTTCAGCCTGATATAATACAAAAAAATTAGTACCATGGGTACTGGGCTCACATGGTAACAGAAAAAAACGGATATAATTTTTTGCTGATTTTTATTTCATACAACTACTCTTTACAGTGACATGGCTTTTTGCAATGCAAGACACCTGAAATTATTTGTAAAGCTAGGAAATGGGCCAAAATTGAATTTCGTGAGACAAAAATGGTGACCATTTTGAAATCAGGCAAGCTTTTGAACCAGGAGTCATAGGGGAGTTTTTTGTATTGATGTTGAACAAAAATAACTTGAAACTGGAATCCTATCGACAGAGGTTTTAAGCAAATGGTCCAAAAGAGGATTTCGCGAGACAGATGGACAAATCAATGTTAATATTTTGTCGATTTTTTGTAACAAAATTTTTCATACAACTACCTTTTACAGTGACATGGCTTTTTATAATGCAGGACAGCTGAAATTATTTGTAAAGCTAGGAACTTGGCAAAAAGTGAATTTCGCGAAACAAGAATGGCAACCATTTTGAAAATAGGCGAGCTTTTGAACCAAGAGTCATAGGAGAGTTTTTTGTATTGATGTTGAACAAAATTAACTTAAAATGGGAATCCTATCGACAGAGGGTTTAAGGTAAATGGTCCAAAAGTGGATTTTGCGAGACAGATGGACAAATCAATGTTAACTAAAATGGCTGAAAATAAATAAATGGATATAATTTTTCGCTGATTTTTCGTAACAAAATTATTTCATACATCTACTCTTTACATTGACATGGATTTTTACAATGTAGGACACTTGAAATTATTTGCAAAGCTAGGAAATGGGTCAAAAGTGAATTTCGCGAGACAAAAATTCCAGCCATTTTGAAAATAGGCGAGCTTTTGAACCAGGAGTCATAGGGGAGTTTTCTGAATTGATGTTGAACAGAAATAACTTAAAACAGGAATCCTATCGACAGAGGTTTTAAAACGTGCCACAGAAAGTGGATTTCGCGAGTCAGATAGACAAATCAATGTTAACTAGAATGGCTGAAAATAAAAAAATGGATACAATTTTTCACTGATTTTTTGTAACAAAATAATTTCATATATCTACCCTTTACATTGACATGGATTTTTACAATGTAGGACACCTGAAATTATTTGTAAAGCTAGGAAATGGGTCAAAAGTGAATTTCGCGAGACAAAAGTGATGGCCATTTTGAAAATAGCCAAGCTTTTGAACCAATAGTCATAGGAGAGTTTTTTGTATTGATGTTGAACAAAAATAACTTAAAATGGGAATCCTATCGACAGAGGGTTTAAGGTAAATGGTCCAAAAGTGAATTTTGCGAGACAGATGGACAAATCAATGTTAACTAAAATGGCTGAAAATAAATAAATGGGTATAATTTTTCGCTGATTTTTCGTAACAAAATTATTTCATACATCTACTCTTTACTTTGCAATGGATTTCTACAATGTAGGACACTTGAAATTATTTGTAAAGCTAGGAAATGGGTCAAAAGTGAATTTCGCGAGACAAAAATGGCGGCCATTTTGAAAATAGGCGAGCTTTTGAACCAGGAGTCATAGGGGAGTTTTCTGAATTCATGTTGAACAGAAATAACTTAAAACAGGAATCCTATCGACAGAGGTTTTAAAACGTGCCACTGTTATTGACAGAAAGTAGATTTCGCGAGTCAGATAGACAAATCAATGTTAACTAAAATGGCTGAAAATAAAAAAATGGATACAATTTTTCGCTGATTTTTTGTAACAAAATTATTTCATATATCTAATCTTTACATTGACATGGATTTTTACAATGTAGGATACCTGAAATTATTTGTAAAGCTAGGAAATGGGCCAAAAGTGAATTTCGCGAGACAAAAGTGACAGCCATTTTGAAAATAGGCGAGCTTTTGAACCAGGAGTCATAGGGGGGTTTTCTGTATTTTTTGTAACAAAATTATTTCATATATCTAATCTTTACATTGACATGGATTTTTACAATGTAGGATACCTGAAATTATTTGTAAAGCTAGGAAATGGGCCAAAAGTGAATTTCGCGAGACAAAAGTGACAGCCATTTTGAAAATAGGCGAGCTTTTGAACCAGGAGTCATAGGGGGGTTTTATGTATTGATGTTGAACAGAAATAACTTAAAACAGGAATCCTATCGACAGAGGTTAGCTAGGAAATGGGCTAAAAGTGAATTTCACGAGACAAAAGTGACAGCCATTTTGAAAATAGGCGAGCTTTTGAACCAGGAGTCATAGGGGGGTTTTCTATATTGATGTTGAACAGAAATAACTTAAAACAGGAATCCTATCGACAGAGGTTTTAAAACGTGCCACTATTGTTGACGGACAGACGCACGGACAGACGGACGGACAGACAGACGGACAAGTGAGTGATTGCAAAAGCTCACCATGTGAGCTAAAAACAACAAATCAATGCAAAAATGTATCCAATAAACAGAAAAGCCAGACACTTGAAAGGTATATATCTTCTCTTTAGACCACTCTAAGTATCTCCCCAGCTTAGCATAACACATATAATATAGAATTATCAAATTTCAAAAGACTTCAGAGGTTAAGTCATTATGACATACCATGAAATCCCAATTTTTCTCAGTCATTGGATGTTTTTAGTGAAACAGAAGGATGTGGTGATCATATCAGAATGAGTTTAACTGACAAAGTTGCACATTTTTTATATTCTTCCTTCAAAAAGAAATAGCTACTAATTTCCCACATTTTCATATCATGATCATAGGTGTGGACTTCCAATATACAAGATATGAACAAATTGCAATTTATCACAGTGACACACTCAGTATACTGAACACTTTCAAATGAAGAACTGCAGTTAATTTCCATTCAAATAAACAGTACTGAACTCCTTATCAAACAGCATGTATTTACTCGCGAACATACAGTATATTCTAACATTCATATAGTCCTCACCTCTGGTGTTGGTTTTTCCAAGGTGTACAAACAGATAGCAGCTGCTCTCTTTACTTGCTCTACCTCATCTTCTAGCAGGCATTCCAGGCACAGAAAGATCTCCTCTGGTAGGAGGCTGATCTGGCTGATTTGTCTTTGAGAAGGGTTCAGCTCTATACCTGTTATACACATAATGTGAAATATTTGATTTTGAGAAGGGTTCAGCACTATACCTGTTATACACATAATGTGAAATATTTGTCTTTGAGAAGGGTTCAGCACTATACCTGTTATACACATAATGTGAAATATTTGTCTTTGAGAAGGGTTCAGCACTATACCTGTTATACACATAATGTGAAATATTTGTCTTTGAGAAGGGTTCAGCACTATACCTGTTATACACATAATGTGAAATATTTGTCTTTGAGAAGGGTTCAGCTCTATACCTGTTATACACATAATGTGAAATATTTGTCTTTGAGAAGGGTTCAGCTCTATACCTGTTATACACATAATGTGAAATATTTGATTTTGAGAAGGGTTCAGCACTATACCTGTTATACACATAATGTGAAATATTTGTCTTTGAGAAGGGTTCAGCACTATACCTGTTATACACATAATGTGAAATATTTGTCTTTGAGAAGGGTTCAGCACTATACCTGTTATACACATAATGTGAAATATTTGTCTTTGAGAAGGGTTCAGCTCTATACCTGTTATACACATAATGTGAAATATTTGTCTTTGAGAAGGGTTCAGCTCTATACCTGTTATACACATAATGTGAAATATTTGATTTTGAGAAGGGTTCAGCACTATACCTGTTATACACATAATGTGAAATATTTGTCTTTGAGAAGGGTTCAGCACTATACCTGTTATACACATAATGTGAAATATTTGTCTTTGAGAAGGGTTCAGCACTATACCTGTTATACACATAATGTGAAATATTTGTCTTTGAGAAGGGTTCAGCACTATACCTGTTATACACATAATGTGAAATATTTGTCTTTGAGAAGGGTTCAGCACTATACCTGTTATACACATAATGTGAAATATTTGTCTTTGAGAAGGGTTCAGCTCTATACCTGTTATACACATAATGTGAAATATTTGATTTTGAGAAGGGTTCAGCACTATACCTGTTATACACATAATGTGAAATATTTGTCTTTGAGAAGGGTTCAGCACTATACCTGTTATACACATAATGTGAAATATTTGTCTTTGAGAAGGGTTCAGCACTATACCTGTTATACACATAATGTGAAATATTTGTCTTTGAGAAGGGTTCAGCACTATACCTGTTATACACATAATGTGAAATATTTGTCTTTGAGAAGGGTTCAGCACTATACCTGTTATACACATAATGTGAAATATTTGTGACATGAATACAAGGGGCGATCCATATATTCTGATAAAAATGCTCTCATTTTGTGATTTTTTCACATATCCCTCTCATTTTTTCAGAAAATGTAGATTATGTAATTACACATACAACGCTAAAATATTATAGCTATATCTTAAATTATCAATGAGATAAGGTTGCCATGGTAACCTGTATTAAGGTTAGGCAGGTCAATTAAATTATAACATATAAATATCATAATAACTTGTTATTTTGATTATTTTAAAGCATGCTGAAATCATGCATTTTTTCTAAAAAAGTTTGGTATTGTTACTCGTTGTTTGTTGCTAAACAAATGTTTATATGTGCTCACTATAACATCACAACAAATCACAATAGCATTGTAGGACAGAATGGGCCAATTGACATTACATGTTATGAGACACCAAAAATTGTCAGATGAGGTTAATGTGGCTGAGGCAGAGTATGACATTAACGGATACATTAGGGAATACTAGAAGATTTTCTTTTCTTTCAAGAATAAGTAAGAGGACACTGTCAGAGACATACATGGACTCATTAAGTGCATGGACAAGATGTTATATCTGCATAAAGAATCTATAGGTAGTATTGTAAAGAGGAAGGCATGGTCACTGTTAAAGATCATCCACAATCTGGTTGCAAGAAGAGCTTGGGGACAGAGAATAACACTACGATAAATTGAGATGTTACTCATGAAAAGATAGCTATCCAACTGTATAAATTATCAAACAAGGGCAACAGGGGTATGGAACAGATCAATGAATAGTTGGCAATGACTGAAAGATGCGTTTGATCTGCTTAAAATAGGTACCGAGGAATGATTAAATTAACATATTTATCTATTTTAGACGTTATAATTTAACTGACCTGCCTACCCTAAATACAGGTTACCATGGCAACCTTATTCACAGATACTAGTTTTCTGCATGAAAAAAAATTCTGCAAAAAATTCTGCAAGAAAAAAAGCAAATTCTGCAAGGAGAAAATTGAAATTCTGCACATATTTTCAAAAAAAGTCCAAATTCTGCAATCTTTTAAAACGATGAAAAACGGAAACGGAAGTCAGCTACTTTCTAGGTAAGAACTGCGCGTCATTAGCGAACTCGCTTTAGCGAATTTAAACGTGATAGAATGTTGAATTTCACGGTGAAATCGTACTTGTACTCAATAATGATTGATTGTTGTACATAAACAGACACTCTTCAAATACCCCGCAAAGGTAGGAGATCGTAAAATATCTAATTTCTGGAAATTCTGGTAATTCCGCGGGATTTTCATGAAAATCAGGTATTCTGCAAAAAATTGAAGTTTTGTCAAATTCCGTCCACGCCGCGGAATTACGGAATACTAGTATCTATGCTTATTTCAAAATTAATTTAAGATATAGCTAAAATATTTTAGCATCGTATGTGTAATTACATAATCTACATGTTCTGAAAAAATGAAAGGGATATGTGAAAAAATCACAAAATGAGAACATTTTTATCAGAATATATGGATCGCCCCTTGTATATATTATGTTAACATTAAAATCCAAATGTTTATTATCAAAACTTGAATGTTCAAACCCCAATGAAACATTTCATTCATACTTTCTATCATTTCAAATAAGAGGAATCGAACAATCAACAAACAACAAGATTAATAAAACAACCCATTAAAGATCAAGAAACCTACCTAGCTCTCTAGGGGGTCTATAATCAGCTGCCCTGGAGCATGTTGCGATTGCCTTGAGCCGTATATGTGGGTGTATGTCAGCCATGTCATGGATGAGATCATTTGCTTTACTGTCAGCATAACGGGAATTCAGGTGCCACTTGCTCTGCCAGTCTTCAACTAGAAACATACAGTAGAACCATGATGACAATGTCATATATTTTGAGACATGAATAGGGTAGGCCCAGAAAAGATTTTTAGGGCCCTAAAAACTTTATGGACCCAAAAATATGTAGGGCCTCATAAAATGGGCTTTTTTGGACCTTTTTAGGCCATATTATCAAAAATTGGGATTAAGATTTCCAAAATTTGGGCCCAATTTTTGGTTTTAGGGGCCCAAAATTTTTTCTTTTTCCTGACTTGAAATGTGTCCCCCTCCCTTTGTTAGCTTCTGGATCAGCCAGTGGCTGAAATGACCTTGGATGTAATGTTTGTTGTAAGCATTTGCACAAAAAAATATAATATTGCAATGCATGATTGGAATAAACTGTAGAAAAGAAACTCAAATGTAATTTGACCCAATTGTTGTCAGTCATATCAGAAACCTAATGCAAAGATACATACTATGTGCAGTACAAAAACACAAGCTTCTGACAAAATGAATGATATACATCTAGCATTGAACTAAGATAGATGTTTTGTTTAACAAGGAACCTAGAACTATCTTTGTCATTTAAGATGAATCATATAAATATTATGCAAGGCTACTGAACATTTTAATAAATTCCAATAAATTAAAGATTAACCAAAGTACCTAATCAGAAACTATTAATAATTGAAAATCTTATCTTTTTGTGTACAAACAAGTCCCGAGACATTGACTTGAACCTTGGAGTATTAATGCATTCCCACTATTTTCATTTACTTAGAGGAATGTGTTATCTTCTGTATCTGATGTTGGGGGAGTTAAGCACCCATAAAAAGATTGTATTGTCTACTTTTGACATATTACAATGATGATTATTCAACGGTTTCAGTTTTCTTTTTGAACAGATACCCAAAAATCATATTAAAACTAGAAGATTGTTACTGAGGAGCAGAAAACGTACATACAACACTATAGAACACTTACACAGTGGACACATTATAAAAGATTGAATAAACAGAATACAAGAATTGGAAAAGTGATTGAATATGGGAGTAGGAAGCAGTACACGCGATTATGTCACAGAACGACACGGGGAGAACTGGGATAAATTCTGGGAGGAACATTTTGCGCATGTCACCCCTGACTCTGAACTATTACTCTACCACTGCGAGAACAAATACCTCAAATGTAGTGCCAGTTCAATCACGACGTCTCTACATGATAATGTCCGCAAATGGTTACTTGGGACATCGTTCCACAGCTCAATCGCAAACAAAATCCTTGATATCATAGTTGGTATGATCTCTGAAGTTTTCGAGGAACAATTTTATACAATGAAAACAAAGGAACTGAAAACTTCTAAGAGATTCCATAGACTAGACGCAGATGGTACTGAGGTGCTTGTATTCTGCGTCATGGACTATAATGTTAAATATGATCGCGGGTCAATGAGCGAAGGGACTCATTTCAACTATAGCGCAGCAGAGATGATGTTCTTCTATTCTGTCACGTTCAAGCTGTATCGCACCAAAGAAGACCGCACAATGGCTATAGACTACATGGACTCTAATCATGAGAAACCACCATTGGAATAGAGAAACAAACAAACAATTGTGACGTCAAAGCTCTGATTGGTGTTGTCACAGTTACGACCAGTGAAGTCATTGTTATAATTTATGTTATCATGGTTTTTGTTGTCATGGTTATGGTTTCTAATGCCATGGTCAAATTGATGATGTCATCCATTGTTCTGATTGGTGATGTCATCCATTGTTATTATAATTATTGATGTCATCTATTTTTATGATTGAAGATGGCATTACAACAGTGAACAGTGATAATTTGACAACCAAGTACCCTTAAGTTATCAAATAAAAGCTGTAAATGATAAGGAAGTGCAATTACCTCTGTGAGATTAATAACTGTTAACAATGCTATTACGTGACTTTATTGTGTACATGAGCATATATGTGAGAAATGTATAGTGCAAAGTAATGAATGTAAATGAAGAACTCCTCATAGCTGAATCTATGGGGGAGGGGGGGTTGAAAATGTTATGCTTACCTATTTTAGAAAGTGATGTGTTGTTCCTAACTTTACGTCTCTCTGTGGGGTCAGGGTCTCTGTTATACTCGGAGTCATACCCTGGGGGCATTAAGTTAAGCGTTTCAGCAGTATCCTGAAAAATCAAATCATCAAGATATTCTTTTCTCTTAGCAACCCGATTGAAAAATCTTAACCCCCTTTCTAAATGATCATTACAAGACTGAGGTGTTTACAATTTATTGTAATATTATATATCAAAAACACATAAAATGGTATCAGACGCATATTAAGCTAGTAAACTAAACATATGTAAATATATATGTATATTATTGTATACCTCAAAGATTACACACTAGCTTGAACTAGTATTCACACATATTTGGAAAAAATTGTCTTATCTGAATAAATGCACTCCGACTTTGTTTCAGAGATACCTTAAAGGATATTTGTGTTTAGTATAATTGTGTAGCGAATACAAGATGTGTCTTTCTACAGGTAAAAATCAAAACTTTTTTTGAGACAAATTTGTTTGAAAATGTTGTTCGGACAACTTAAGATCTAAGATGACATTGTGAGTATTGTTGTTATTTAGGCCATGCCCTGATAATCATTGGCCGTGTCAATTAATAAATAAATAAAAATAAATGAATAAATAAATTGGAATAAAGCAACACAGTAAATAAAGGTAATCAACATTATATTAATAATTTTATGATGAATTTTACCAATGATAGGAAAATAATTTGCCAATGAAAATCAAGTCTATTAATTTGTTGGTGTTGAAGTAAGCTTCAATGAAGACAGTTGTATGTTTTAGTTCCTAGTCTTGAAATAAGCTATGAGAAAATTAAAAAGCTTTGAATTCAGAACACTTAGTGAAAATATGCTTCAATGAAATCAGTTGTGCTTTTTTGTTCCCTGTGTTGATATAAGCTATGAGAAAATTCAAGAATATATGTGGATTTAGTACCCAGTGTTAAATAAACTACAATGAAATCAGTTGTGCTTTTTTGTTCCCTGTGTTGATATAAGCTATGAGAAAATTCAAGAATATATGTGGATTTAGTACCCAGTGTTAAATAAGCTACAATGAAGTCAGTAATGTGTGTTGAAGTTCCCTGTATTGAAATAAGCTATGAGAAAATTAAAGATATGTGTGGATTTAGTACCATACCCTGTGTTCAATATGCTACAATGAAGTCAGTAATGTGTGTTGAAGTTCCCTGTGTTGAAATAAGCTATGAGAAAATTAAAGATATATGTGGATTTAGTACCCTGTGTTGGAATAAGCTACAATGAAGTCAGTAATGTGTGTTTTAGATCCCAGAGTTGAAATAAGCAAAGCAAAAAATAGTTGATCACATGGGATTTAATTCCTTACTTTTCTGGATAGGTCAATCATGTTTTCCCGGGCCCTCTGAGAAAGCAGCATAAACAAAATCATGGATACTTACTTGCTATACATTAACAAAATATACATAACATTTGCCAAATTAAGATAAAAGTGTAGTTCATTATTTGTATGTCCAATTTTTATTACCCAATTTTTCCTTAGTAATTCCTTCTAAGTAGGTTAGACAGAATTTTTAACTTTTATTGTCATTTTTATAAATTGAAGTGAAATATTATGGAATGAATTAAAATCAGCACAGATATGAGATTACATATAAAATTCTTCTATAATGTATATCTAGAGAACATTAAAAAAGTTTGCTTACATCAATAGGTTCGGGGAGGCTTTTCCAGCGATGTAGTCCTTTCTCAGCTCTCTTTACCTTGGTAGTATGATTGAGACGTTTATGTTTCTCATCGGAAGTCTCTGGGAACCACGCCTCTGGTTTACCTGGGAACTCATTACGTAGTTGTTTCTTGTATTTATTATTACTGTTCATGGTTATCTTACTCCTGTCACCAAACTGTTGATAGATCTGCTCTCCTCCTGAGTTAGGAAATAAAGATGAAATATATAAATATGGTAGAAATATGAAACTTCATGCATTCAAGAGCATGTAAAATATGGGAGGGGGTGGTGGGAGTGGGACATATAGTTTGGACATATTTGCTGTTGTGATTGCTGTTTGGTTTAAATCATCCCAAATACAGAAGAGATTTCATTTGTATCATTTTGAAGCTCCATAAATTCATAAACATAAACAGTAAAACCTGTGTTAGTGGGATACTTTGGTATCTCAAATTAATGTTTCACTTGGGTAGTCATCCACTTCCAGAGATTCCTTTAACATTAAGTTTATAAGTAACAAGACTTTGAAATGATCCACTTATTATAGAGTTGTTCAATTTACAGAGGTGTTCCACTTAACTGGTTTTACTGTATATATCCTTGACCTAAGATTTAGACCTCTATAAGCATCTTTGGATTATCAAAACATAATTTAGAGGTTAATAATTACTACATAAGTAATTATACCACCTACCTGTAAGCCACTCCTGCTGGTAAGCATTTTCTGTATTGTAAGCCTTGTCTCCCACTGCTGGGTTCATGTAGTCCCTTAGGGTGGGAGGGGAGGGAGGGACATATGCCTTCACATGGACACGATGGGCAGTCTGATTTATCGCACCTGAACAAATAAATTAATTTACAAATGATAATTAAATGTCATATGTTAACACCCAATATAATTGTTGAAAATGCTAATAGGGCACTGTCTTGCATGTTTTGCAGTAAATTCTGCATATAAAGGTCATTAACAAAATAAGTGCAAAACGAAGGCATTTCTTCATAATGAAACTTGGATTATATGTAGAATTTATGGTGAAACAACATGACAGGTTCCCACAATTTTAATATACAAAATGTTCAAAAAACATTGTGCAATAATAAAATAGAGCATTTTCGTAACATTTAATTTGGTGTGTTTATCGTGGATCAATCGTGCTAGTTAAATAATTAGTAAACATGAAGTTGCAAGTGAGAAAAGAGTGTATACATAAACTTCAATAAACACATTGAGTTATTTACAAATTAAAATGGTTCAAAGGTCAAGCACATTACATCGTTAACATTAATTATTTTATAATAAACATCAATGCATTTAAGATAACATACAAAGTTATGGTGCTCGGGGTTACAGGGTGGGTCAATCTAACAAAACATACACAATGGACAATAAATATGTGATCCTCATAGATATGGACATCACTTAAACTTATTGAACAACCCTTTACATAGTTCATGTATATTAGGTTGCAAAAATGAAGATCAAACGTAGAAGATATATGTAAAACATTTGACAACCTCATAATGTGGGGAGGCATGATGTTCACTTTCTTTAAGAATCCCATGAAAAAACAAACTGAATCTTTTGCAGTTATTTTCGGGAAAAAGTGGCAAATATAATCTGTTGGGAAATTGATTTTTAAGTCCATTGGCCTTCATAATAGACACAAATAGTATACACCCCTGAAGTTATACATGGAGAAAACAGCATATTCCAGGAGCTAAAATATGATTTACATTAAAACTTTTCTGATATGAACACTATAGTCTACTACTGGAACTGGCCAAACGTGTTCAGATTGGCAACCAGCCCTTCACATTTCATGATTTTCTAGCATGGAAGTCTATGGCAAATGGAACCAAAAAAGCATTCATGTTGAGAGGTATTCAGGTAGGGAGGTGCTTGGATATACAGGTTTTACTTTATAATATTTTGACAAGAACAATATATTTACAAATACTACAATAGACTATTACAGTATTTTATGCCCTGAAAATCTATTTTAGTACAATACATAATATGGTAATGTTTAATTTTGTAAATGATGAATTACTGCACATCTAAAAATCAAAAGCAAAGAACCAATTAGGAATATTGTCTCAATACAAAATAAAAGACAGCAAATCGAATAGGTTTGTGAATGAACACACTAGGGGCAATGATGCTTTAAGAAATGTCCAATTTAATATTTTAACAAGTTATGCAGATATAAAATACATCTATAGAGTTTCCAAGACAAAGCAAACCTAAGGCCAGCCTATAAAATTATTGAATGAATTAACTAAGAGGAATGGATCACACATATATTATAATGTACAGTGTATATGGATGTTAATATGATAAAAAGATAAATAAACAAAATATGAAAAGATTTAAAAACTAGACATGTTTCTATATTTCCTCAGTAGTTTTTTGTGTCAGTGTGTTCAATGTCTTTAAGTTTTACATGGTCACCGAGGAAAAATAATGTGTTATCATTAATTCATACTAAATATCCTTCACCATTGTGGATTAAGATTGAAAGTTTTCTGCTTTAGAATAGAGGAAAATAGATATAGCAATTGAGACAATAGAAATATTACATATTTAAAGACATACACCACAGATAGTTTTCTATAACTGAGGTTTATAGGTATAGTAACTAAAATAAAGAAAATGCATGTCCTGTATATACTACTAACCCGCCAGTAGGTCAAGGGGATCCACTTTGGTCACTGAGTGCAAGAAATGTCAGATAAAACTTAACATTTAATTTTACATTTAAACACATAAAAGCACTTTTCATACACAGTTTTGTTTTGTAAACATTATGCAATATTATTTACATAGGGTACATGGTTTTCAAACAGTGTTCCATATTTTTCTGTTAATACAAGTTACGGATGTGATGTAATTTAAACAATGAAGGAGACAAGAATCATTTGTGCATATTCACTCTACTAACATGGTGCATAAATAAATAAACTACAAATATTTAGTACCAACATGGTAATTAGTAATTAAATATTTGGTATTAGTAAAAGTTTCTTTGAAAACATTAAAGGTGCAGACCAACAAGTAACAAAGATTCATGTTTTGCATAATATTTTATCGATTAAGCTAATCAGGCCATAAGAAGTAGATTCTTTGTTTTGCGTACCCTTGCTTGCACGATTTTGAGTAAATCAGAAAAAACACATCCAAATAGCAATCACAAAGGTTTAAATATATTGTAGATATGTATTTGTAATCACCGCAAAGATGTCATCCCTTTTTGTGCCCATGAAATGTATACATTTCTCAGCAAAAAAGTTTGTGTTTTTTCTTAAGTGTTTGTTTTCCTTGTACCCTTGCATGATTTGGATTTTGCCAGGACGCAAAACAAAGAATCTACTTCTTGTGGTCTCAGCTACTTACTAATTTATTTTGATTGAAACCTGTTTTAGAGTGGGTATGCACCTTTAGAGAGAAATATTTTCAACTGTGGTCACACAAAAACAAGCAAAATACAATCTACTGTGTGATTTCAATTTTGATTCATCTAAGTAGGTTTCAAGACTCGAAAAGTCCTAATTTGGTGAATTATACCATTTAAAGAAAATGCAGGGTTACCATTTTTTGACCACCCTGTACTTGGGGATCTTCCATCCCAATGAATCATGGACTTCAATTCTGTTTTATGATCTCTAAATCAATTGACGATATTCTCATTTTAAAACATAAAACTTTCTTTCATGTTTAGTTTACTAAATAGAATACATAAGCTTCAATTGTTAATAAAATACCGTTAATATTTTAAATTCTTAAAAATAATTTTTATAATGCTTAAGTTCAATTTATGAGAAAATGTCACAAAATTGTTCAAAACTGTTGACATTAACAAAATGATTAAGGAGATACCATCCTTTAAAAGTAGAGAAAATTGTAATATTTTGATTCTTTCAATTAAGAAGAACTATTGTCATTTTAAAATATTCATGGCCCATAAATAACATATTTTAGAATAAGCTGGAAATACAGTAATTTATAAAATATTACTTGGTGTCACAGAAATGCTCATTTAGAACTTTCTCTAAAAGGTGTCCCTTATGGCTCATGTAATTTGTTAAGTCTGAAATAATCTGATGAACCTGATGAATGTGAATCTATAGTACTAAGAATCTGATATTCAGATATGTAGGGTGCCCAAAAAAGTTTACACACAAAGTTTCATATGATTGGTCTATATAATAAGCATCATTCAGAAAAGCAATTATAAATTTTGGATACAACAACTATATATAAGGAACATTCACCTATTTTTGCTCCTGTTGTAAAAAACATAAAGCATCAATTATATAACATTCTTAGGTTCATTTTTGAGATTTACAATCAATTTCAGATCTATATTTTTTTTATTCAATACAAAATATAGCTTCATCTGATCAAAATCAGGTTTCATTAAAAATATATCTTTATATTAAAAAACGTACAATGATATCTACTTTTTAAAAATAATAAAGGAAAAATCAAGAAAAAATGTTCAATAGTTTACCTTTTTCTTCTGCATCAATGTATTTCTTCTCTCTCCGAATACCAGCAGGAAGTCTATAGAAAGCAGCATTAGTTTTGTCTGAGTAGGGGACTGTTGTATTGGGACGCTCTTGTTTCCGCATCTTCTCAACCATGCTATTAACATTTACAAATAATTGTATGAAAGTTAGTTTTAGAGATGACTGTAGAAAAATTCTAAACAAAACATGATATTGTATTATAAGTTTAGCAATGTTGATAGTATAATTGACACTGAACATTCAGACTCTATACGTCATGTAATTACTAATTGAAACACATAAAATAAATAAGCATTGCATCAACTCTCTGGGTGCCCCTTTCCCTATTTATATATGTCACCTCCTTGTGTAGGTAAAACCTGTTACTAAGGGAGAGGGGGGGGGGTCACAAAGGCTTTATGCAAAGGGCTAAGAATAATTATACATGTAGATTTCTGATGCATCTTAAGTTTTCATTGTTCTAAATCCATGAGAGAACTACATGTAAATGTTTACAAGCTGCAACTCTAAAAGTTCATCACCCATAAAAACTGAACTTACTTGTCTCCCTTTTTCTTCCATTTTTTGGTATCAGATGGTTGGGCTTGATCTTTTTTACCAACCAATCTAAATTCTATTTCACCTTCATCTTCACTGATATTGTCACGAATCAGTTCAGTTTCAGATGATTTTCCATATCTCAATGCCAGCATCTTATCAAGTGTCTCCTTGTTGAATTCATTATCAGACATCCTAGTATTCACAATCCATCTTGCTGTTTGTTCACTCAATATTGACATCAAATACTCAGACCAGTCATGCTGTCTTTTAGATTTGTTTGTCACAGGTGTGCTAACATCATGGTTAGCTTTATTGAAGGCATCTACATTTGATTGAGTTAAAAACACATTCGTTGAGTCACTTGGGGCTGTCTTATTGGCAGCTGATTTTGCTGGGGCTGATTTTGGCAAAGTGTCCTTGGATAGTTCTTCATGGGTTTCTTTATGTGATTTTCTTAAAGCTGCTTCCTGATGCAGTTTTATTGCTTTATCCATAATCTGTCTCTTTAATGGCTTCAGTTTGTGCTTGGCAGTTTTTTTAAGATGACATGGCATGTGTTTTTGATCACTTCCCCTTTGATTATGACGACCAACTAGAATATTTGCTTTCTGTCTTGGTGACACAATGTCGGAAATATCCAAAGCTTCTTTGAAATATTTCTCATCATAGGGCATTGTGTGAAAACTCCGGTCTTTGACAACATCATCAGCAAATGTGATGTCACAACTTATTTTCTTCACATAATCATCACTTACACCTACTGGCAAGTCAGGGTGTGTCACTAAAACTGTATCAGGTGTTTGCTTTTTGGGCACATCATATGTTCTTTCATCTGCACCGACTTGTGGAATCTTAACCCCTGCACCAACAGCAAAGAACTGGGGCTGTGTCAATGCCTTTTGCTTGTTCAATGCCATGTTAACTCAAATGGAGTTGCACTTTCTGAAATCAAATTCCAATAAAGAATTCTATGTATCAAGCCTTACTACAATCCTATCAAAAACTGGGCTATTTCATTTGGATAGGTAACCTCCCCAGTAATCTTTTACTTTTTTTACTTTTACTTTATAGACTACTCTTTTACAAAGGATTTTGAAAATGATTTGTTAAAATTCCACATGGGCTTTCAAGATGAACTGCAATCTGCTTGTAATTGATTCATGACGAGTAACACTTAATATGAAATTTGAAGCCAAAAATGAATTTAAAGACAAACTATGAATGATTATTATAGACTCTAGGCCTATCTCAATTTTGAATTCAATTTGAATTTTAATCAAATTTTACATATATTTTCTTCATTAGACGTTGAATTTGATCCATATTTCTACCCACCTTACAAATGCACACATACCTCTTTTGAAGTAGATGTTTTTAAATAGCTGTATATTTTCATTTAATCAAGTGAATTTAAATTAAACGAATTCCAACCCTTCACAAATTCAGAAAATGGATTCGCCATGTTGTTTTTTCGTTTCTATGTAAAGGCGCCATCTATGTGATTTCACCTGTCAATTTGCCAACATTTAATTTACGCTACACTTTAAAGTATACAGATATTTCGAAACACTTCTCTAAAGAATACATATGATAAATTATTTTTTTCAATAACAGAGCCTACGGCAATTACGGTCATCACATAAAAAACAGTATATACCTAAAAAGAGTTTGCACAGAATGACTAATAACTAGGTCATGACACACCACATTGTAAACAAGAGCACGTGTTGTTTTGAAGTGGGCGTGTCCTCATTCTACTCTTAGGAAACCCCTCCAAGGCTGATTGGAATGAAGTTAACATATTATCTCGCAATATAATTGAACTAAATCCAAACAAAATTGTAATTTTAAACCTTGAAATGATGATAATGACAAGTGGAAATAGATATACATGGACAAGGAAATTGTTGTTATCCATCAGTCATTCCATTAGTATTATGGATAGATTGTATTTGATTTTCTTTTGTCAAAGTAATCCAGTTGTCTTGTTCTGAGTTATAATAAGTTTAATATTCCATATTTATCTTTTTTGGATCAGTTTAACAATAAGCTTTAAGCACATGCATGGTCTACTCTGACTCTATTCCGACTATAAAGTTGGAGTTGAATATAGAGTTGAATTCAAATCATAATAACATAACATTTTAAAATCATTTTATCCATTTTTATTGCAACTAAGTATATAAATATTCAATGTACATACTATTTTATATGTAATTATATGATAACATACTGAAAGTTAAGGTAGCTGACTAGCTTTAAAATGAAAGGTATTAAGAACCCTAGTACATGATTTATAACCTATAACCTATGAAGGTGACCAGCATATTGAAAATATTGGAAAACATTTATGGAATCTTAATTTTTAATTTTCTATTCATCCGATTTCTTCTGATAATTAAGAATTAGTCATCTGAGTCTTTCCATTAATACATTCTGCTTTTTGCCCAAAATATTAAAATTTTTATTTGAACAGTAAAACCTGTAAAGTGGAACACCTCAATAAGTGGAACAAAGCCCTTATATCCATTATCCAAATGTAAAATAAACCTCTGTAAGTGGAGCATCTCCCAAGTAGAACAGTATTTTTTACTGTTTATGGTATTTTGTATCTAAAATCCAACCCCAATATGTACATGGAGACCAGATAACATGTCAATAACATATCCATACTTTAATTCCGTACATAATCATAATTACTAGTATTATACAGTTTATACATGAATATTAATAATTTTCATAAATAAGGAATGTACAAAACGTATCAAAATAAGACTGCAACATTTCTGTATGTGTAAACGTTACAAATTTTTGATAATTTAAACTTGGTCAGATATATGAGTATATTGCTTTAAAGATTTGAAGCGTTTATACAAAAAATGATACAGTATACAATTAATACATTTTTTAGGTCCATCAACTAAAATCATTTAATAAATAAATGTTACATTGGTTTTGATTATATTACTGCAAAACTAACTTGATTATATTAAACAGTGTTAAAACAACTGACGTAAAATCACTTTTATTGTAAATTGATTTTAATCAAGTACATGCATACTTATATAGTTGACTACAAAATTAAAACTTTCAATTGAGCTTAACATTACCCTATAACATTATATATGTTTACAGTCAGAGGGGGAGAAACACCAGGGTTCAAAGATGACAAACGCTTATAATGTAAATCTGTATTGAGATGACATCGTCGCTGATTGGTCAAAAGTCGACAAACAAATGACGTCATCAATGGCGGTTTCAAAATTTTCGAAATAGGCTTCGAATAATATTATGTTCATTTCTGGCGTGTTAACCAATATCATAGCTTCTCATTTCACATCAAGATAAAGAAAGGTGTACGGAATATGCCTATATCAATTGAGACATCCCATCGAAGTGTAGTATTTGATAACTAGCCGATGAAAATTCGAACGAACGAAGGCGGTAAGCAAGAGAGGTAATAATGTCTGTCATCCTTAAACTCTGGGGCTTTCCCTCCTCTTTTTACAGTTCTATACCAAAGCCCCATGTATAATTAACGCAAAATCAAATATACATGTTCCTAGGCTTTAAAAATTGAGCTAAATAATGTATCAGACTACAATGCAACCAAATATATTGTTACAGCTTTACACAGTCAATCTTAACTAGAATACTAATATATTTCAAACTTATTTTGGGGAGAGTAGTTTTCTCTTAATTTATAAGCACTGGTATTAACATGGGTTTGATTAAAGATGCAGTATGCTATAGGTTTTTCTCTCAGACAATCAATGATGTCCCATTATTCCCATTATCATAATTTCCTACATACCTTAGATATATCTTGAAACAAACGTATGGGTAGAGTACAGCCGATATATTGATAAAAATCAACAGAACAACCAACTGACAAAATTGAACATAATTGAGTTCAATTCGTCAATTGAACGAAAATCCTGTCCAAGCATCGGCAAACTGGGCATGTGTCTTGAGCCAGGCAGCCAATCAGATTCAAATTCATTTTTTATTTCTTTTAGAATTTCCAGAACTGCCATTTACTGAGTTCCTTTGGTCATGTGACCATACTGATAAGCAAATTTAACAACCAATCAGATAACATATGGATTTCCCCAGTTTATCCAAGTTTCAGATAATTAATTTTGAAGAATATAATGCGACTTCATCACAATTGCAAAATAAGCTCATAAAGTGGCGGATTTGGGGCGTCTTCGTTGGTTAGTAGATGACTATGTGGTATGGCTCAACAGGAGCGTCTTGATTGTGCTTTTCTATGGCCACATCTCTCTTTAATGAATTAAAGAGAATCTGCCCCATAAAGATTATGAACATTGTACAAAACAGTTGCTAAAAACATTGTTCCTAATATTCATCTTGCATATTCTCAGTTTTCAATTCAAATTGGTTCTTCATCCTGGCTTACTGTTATACCACTGTATTTAAAATAACCTGATTGATCAGGATGACAATGGAACCCTTTATTTAATATACACATGATTATATTTGGCTGAATGGACCCCTGTATTTAATATACATGATTATATTGGATTTGAATGTAGTCACAATATGAGAGGAACTCATCCTCCTTATGAGTGAATTGTAACGGACCCCATAACAAATTTTACATAGCTTGCTTAATTAAGCCAATATACACATTAACATTACTTAATCTCTAATCCTTTTGCTACATGTAGATCATTGCATTTTACAGTACAGAATATAGCTAAATCTGATCTTAACTAATCTAATCTAATCTGATCTTAACTGATCTAATCTAATCTGATCTCAACACGATCTGAGTAGAGTACATGTATATTGTATAACCGGTTAAAATTAAAAATATTTTTATTGCATGTGGTCATGTCTATAGACAAAGGAGTTAAAATCAATTGGAATTTCACCAAATAATACCTTTATTGAAGGGAATTACTAAATGTCTTGCCCACTTTCAGCTTCCATTAATCAAACACATACTGTAGTTCATACCATAACCACACAAAATAATAAATATAAAACCACATTGTTTTTAACCCATACAGTTGCATCCAGTGATTATTGAGTTTAGATTTTTACATTTAATTATCCTACATTCTCATGTATTTCTTAACATTATCACACATAATAATAAGTATGAAACCACATCGTTTTTCACCCATACAGTTGCATCCAGGGAGTTTTGAGTTCGGATGCACATATGTAAATCATCTCACTCTGTCTTTCTTGTGTTTTGTGCATGTTATCACATCTAATGTTTCAGTGTTTAGGTCTGGTATTTTGGATCAGGGTGGTCCTGTTTTCAGAAGCTCAAGAAGACATCCCATGGCCCCAAAGTAACCCTGCAAGAGGAGAGATGTCATTGAAGGAAATTCTATTAATGAGAGACAATGGAGACGCCATTAGGGTCTGTTCTGCATTAGACAACAATGTTAGTGGATAAGTTTACTGGAGCCACCAGTCTCTATTCAATAAAGTATTTTCACATGAACTTTTACACTGAGTGATGTACATCAAAGGTGTCTACAGGTATTTTGAACTCTGGTTATTTTGAAGATTATTGTATAGACAGGTAAGGGTATTGTACCCATACATAAGGTCTCCTTTATTACATGTCAAAGGTGATAGAAGTGACACATACATGTATACTTTTATTCGTGACATTTTCATGATGTCTGAATATAAAAGTTAATGTTAAGATATTTATTCTTATACATACATCTGAATATAAACAATGCATATTAACTCTATAAAAATCTAAGGCCCATACTTAAGCAATTCAATTCAATTTCCCAACCAACATACCTCATGTTCCAAGAAAAGTGCCTTGAGGTTTCCCGTTGACCAATAGTCCATTGCATGAGCAATATGCTTCATGGAGATTGTGTTCACACGTAGAAAGTTCCCAACAAACACCACTCTTTCAATACCCTGTAAAATTAAAAATAAAATGATTTGAGGTAGGTCTTCACTGACATAAGATTTTACAAACATGCTTTTGTATACCTCAAACACGATCAAGTATGGTAATAAATACATGTACTTCGTTAATATTTAACTATACGCATGTGTGACCACTATTGTATTTCTTGCATTTAATTAACCAAAGAAAAACAGGTTAATTCTGAATTCTCTAAGCACAGTATATTTCCATGACAAAATTTCATTTATAATGTTTAGACACTGTCACACCTGATATAAAAGCTTATTGATTTTATTTTAAATCCAACAAGCTGCAACATCAGCATCAAAATCCAATCTATGGGCCAATCAATAAATATTGTGGGGACATGAACATTTTTGAATCACATATTTTCAAATGCTATAAAGTTTAAAATGTTTATAAAAATGAAATTAAATGATTAATGGCGCAATCAATCCATCCAAATGAACCTGAAAAAGAATGTGTTTATCTTGGTGTAATTTGGTTGTCTAAAAATCTGAAATTTCGCTGTTACGTGGTAATTAGAAATCCAAAAGCTTGTGTCCCCAAGATCAAATGATCTGCCCCTTAAAGCAACTTGATAAACAGCTGAGCTTTTAATGTTAATACTGCATGTTATATGAAATAAATTATGAATGATTTGCGACTCGACTGATCACTGACTAAAAGTGATAGTGTTGACTGATATTTGCATTCATTTGGAAAATATAAAAGGGTTTGTAACACTCTTTCTGACAATGACAATTTCTGATTTGTTGGTTCTGACCTGGACAATGCTTCTAATAAATTGAAAATATATAGAGTACTTTTATTTTGTATATGCTTGTTTCAGTGGTTTCAGTAACTTTGTGTACAAGAGGCAGATGAAAAATACAAGAGGCGGCATTCAAAATAACCAATTTTACGCTCTCGACAATGCAAATTCTTGTTATTTTAGAGTCCATGGACTGAACGAAAGATGTCCAAGGTTTGTCAAAGTCATTTCCACGTGGGATGTGGCAAGATATGGGCTCCACAAAATAACACCTGGAACTGTGGAATGACTAGGGCAACTTATATAGAATGTCATTTACCTTTTATAAGATAACTTACCCTTACACAGGCTGCATTTCACAAATCTAAATACACCTGTTGAATTGAGCACTTTTGATATAAATCAAAATCTAGAACTGTCATTATTAAAATGAGAGTGATGTATTAATGATTCACTTGTGATTATGTGTATATCAGATTCATTTTAATTTTTTTACCACCTCCAGAGGGTACAGGGTGTTCCAGAAGTAACAGGACTGGTGCTGGTATTTTGTTAAATATACACCAATTGTCTTCAAAATTTTATATAATGTACCTTCATGCTTTTTAACTAAAATTGCCGAATTACATAATTTTTGTCGAAACTGATTAAGCCATATGTGGCCTAGGCTTTAGAGAGAGACCGAGGTGGGAGATATCCTCCTCCCCTCTACACCAAACTTGTTCTCACTACGTTTTCGAAAATTGCTTGAAAGGCCTTCTCACACATTATTAAGGAAAACATATCTACACATTTTGCGCATTTAACCATTTGATAACATATTGTGGATCTTATCTTAATTTGTTAATGTGAATTCTCACCTTCATTTGCATGGAAAACTTGTATGTGTTGCTACTTGCATGTAGCTACAAGTATTTGATTGCAATAGATGATAAACTTCTCAATATAAAAAATTACCCTCATAAGACATTGTTGCAAGGTGTGTTGTAATGAATGTGACATCCCACATTCTCAGGCCCGCATTATGTATTCTCGAAGAAAGCCATCATGATAAACCATGACATCTCATTTCTTCTCAGCCCTGAGATGATTCAGGTGAAACAGAAAGATGCTGTGAGTATCAGAATGGAAGAAAGCATATATTTGCATTGATGGTGTATAGATAGTTATTTTATATAGTGTTTTTAGTTGTACGTGGAAACCTATTCTAACCAGGAAGGATATTGCAACTTTTTTCAAGATCCTAAAGTTGCAATTTTCGTTATTGTGTTTCATTGTAAAGACGCACATGTGAAAGTGTGTCGCTGGTACAAAGGCGTAGTTCTAAATACAGTAAAACCTGTCTAATCCGAACACCCATGGGACCAGCCAAAAGCGTTCAAATTGACAGGTGTTCAAATTTCGAGGATATTGTTGGTCGGGGGGGGGGGATTTTCATTGTTCAGTCCACTATATTGAACACTTAATACTTAGTCAGAAAACAATACATGTTGTTGATGAGTTTATTCTACAATTAACAATAGGCATAAAGCCTACATGTAAATGCTATGTTTTATTTACATTTTGAACAATTTCATTATTTTTGGAAAAATAACTCTTTAATTTTGGCAAAAACTTTGTAATACACTGAATAAGTATATGACAGTCTTGTACGAAATCTTATGCTTATTAAATGACTTATCTCATATAATGGTTACATAGCACTGCCTTACTTTAGCTTGAAAAAGTAGTTCATCGTTGTTGTTTCTTGGCAATTTTAGCATTATAGCAATATTTGATTAGATACCCTCTTCAATTAAAAAGAATTTTTCATGAGTGCTCATTCGAGATGATGCATAATAAAAATATCAAGGGCATCCAGGATGTCAGATGTGCCTTTTTAGGAGGCATTTTAGTAATAGGATATTACGAAGTTGAACTTTTTCTCTTACTCATGATATAATCTTGTCTGCAAATGTGTCTGTGTTGTCTTTGTGATTATAAAACATTTACTGATTGAATCCTAGCTATCATAACAGACCCATGGGATATAAAACAGTTAAGACGTGTTCATAATCTAAATCAAAAACATCCAGTTAATTTAAAATAAGGATAAACCAATTATCTCCCAGATTCTCACCTTTCTCTTAATCCAAATCAAAATCATCCAGGTAATTTCTAATAATTACCTGGACAATTATAATCTTGTCTGCAAATGTGTCTGTGTTGTGTCTGTGATTATAAAACATTTACTGATTGAATCCTAGCTATCATAACAGACCCATGGGATATAAAACAGTTAAGACTTGTTCATAATCCAAATCAAAAACATCCAGTTAATTTACAATAAGGATAAACCAATTATGTTCTTGATTCACACCTTTCTCTTAATCCAAACATAAAACATTCAGTTCTTTTCTAATAGGATAAACCAATTAACTCCTGTATTCACAACTTTCCTGTTGTTTTCCACAATTAGGGATGTCATTGAGACTTAAATAACTTAATTAGGACAATATCGGTTCTTTGATTACATTGCATATGTAAAGATATAAGAACTATAACATTGACTCAATATGTGGCTATTATTGAAAAATGTCCAGACATTTGATTTCTGATAAGAATGTTCAGATTAGACAGGTCAGTTTTTCAAATCTGGTTGTTCACTGTTCAGATTAGGAGGTGTTCAGATTTCAAGGTTTTTTTAACATGGGGGCAATGGGAGGAAAAAATGGGACCGAAAAAAAGTGTTCAAATTGGAAGGTGTTCGGATTAGCCAGGTGTTCAGATATACAGGTTCTACTGTAAATTTAAGATACACGTTTTTTAAACTTGTATGTGAACGTGTAGAATTATGGACCTGATGGATTTTTTCTCCTTTTTGTACTGTTAATACTTGGCCGGTTGAGTATATAAAGGTATAAATGTATACAAGTGGGGGTTCAAACCTCTCCCCATCCACACATACACTTTTTGTCATGCTTAAGTAAATTAGCATTGTAATTACAAGGGTGTTATAAACGAGACACCAGGATAATAAGGTAGGGGTACAATATAGGGCCCATATCTTGAGAAAGAGTCGAAGGCATGCGAGGCGAATCCTGGAAACTCGGGTTTGGGAAAGCGGGGTTCACTGTTTGGTTCCGTTGACACCTGTGCGAAACTACATTCATAATTTATCTGACAGTCGCTTTGATAATGTTTCTTTATCTCGTCTGTGACTCGATAAAGAAGAATTATGAAAGCTCATCAAGAATGGATGATCTTGCACAGGTACTCATATAAGAACCTCTATATCTTTTAAACACCAATATAAAGATTGAACAACGGACAAACTATGTTAAAAATAAAATGTTATATCTAATGTGCCAATTCAATGATTTAGCATATCTAAAATATTTTCAACCTAAGTGACCACATCGTGACATCAAATAGGTGTCAACATTTGTCAATGTCAATCTTTTCTAAAAATGCTAAACTTAAAAAATAAACCAATTTTGACTGTCTAACCAGGTTAAAAGGATGAATATATTATGTTTTTAATATTATTTTACCATTGGTTTCAATGAGAATTAAAATTTTGAAATGCATCTTTCCCTGAACCACTTTCATGCATGCATGGATGAGTTCATTGCTCGCTCATCTATCAACCAATTTTCTTGATTTTTTCGGCAAAAAAAACAAGTGAGGATGATTGCTATGCATCGGTGTGAATTATCGCTTTAAAGGATAAGTGTGACCTCTTAAAGTTAGTTTTAAATAAATTCACGATATTTTGAACAAAAAGTCCTTCAAAAACATTTTTGAAATTAATAAAATGTTTCACATTTCACACTTTGATAACATTTGATAAGACAACAATATAAGCCAAAGTGGTTTAAACTTTATATGGGGCCTTTAACTGATTAACACAATTTTACACCCATTGGAAAGACTGTACTGTGACTGGTTGGACAGATTTGTATCAATCATACATGTAACTGCATGTCCAGTGGAAAATAACCAACTCTGATTATACCAAAGGTTGGAATTTGAATTACATGATAGTGGTCAGATAGTGATCTAAAATGCATAGCCCAAACGGGTAAAAAATTGGACGGTGTTTACTACTATAATGAGATCAAGTGATCTTTACGATTATAATGAGTTCCCTTGCAGTGGAAGTGAAACTGAGGTACAAATCATAGACAAGGAAGTGCAAAACAAGATCGCTGAATAAAATAAAGGATAGTCTATAGAAGACTTTTAATTTTCCCCCAAAACAATATTTGACTTCTAACAAGCGGCGGATTATCGAAAACAAACAGCGATTTCGGACACTCGCCCCCTGCTATTGAAAGCCCAGTGTTTGATAGTGTTTCCTCAATTTTTTAACATTATTTGCTAATTATCATTATCAAAACCAATATGACTGATATTCATCTCGAGTATCGATACAGCTCATATCTGTTGTAAATTGCCCAAGCGCTCTTGGTATCCCTTGTAATTTCCCATTTATTGTACAACACATACATGGATAGCACCCCCCCCCCCGTGTACTACATATCGTAACACACATTCTTGCTAAATATCTGTACATCATACCTGGTTTACAGCACACATTCTTGCAATAGATGCAATGTTGTTTGTTATTGTTACGAGGGTTGCCTTGGCAATATCAGCCTTTGACACAGATTCTCTTTTCTCCTTTGAAATCATGTGACCAAAACTAAAACAATAAATAAATAAATTTCAATTCTTAACTTGCTTTAAAATTACGAGTATACTAGAGTCTTTTCCATCTTGTGTTATGGAAATCAAAAACTGAATTTAGAAATAATCTTACGGAACTTAAATCTAAAATTCATAAATCTTCCTATGTTGACCATTGAAGAACATTCCTTTGATCATGGTGAAGCAAAAAGGGCAACATGAAAAAAAACACTTTATTCTGTCATACCAACCTGCTAGCCACCACCTTTCCTGGTAAGTCAAACTTGTTATAATCTCCCCCGTAGATATCTTTCACTGATTTGTCCACATTTTTGCTGTCGCCTTGTGAGGCTAATTCGATTGCTTCCTCAAATGTATCACAGCCCGTCAGAAGGGTGCATAATCCCAGGAATGTTCCACCTCCTAAACTGGAATATAGAACAGGAGAAATATAGTCTGTGATTTGTATAAAATATTGTTCCCTATGTATATTTTCAAAAAATGTGCCATAAGCACTGAGCAAAAGAGCAAGAAAGGAATGCACTTTCTATAATGTATAATGACACACAGGCGTACACATATAGCACAACTTTTCATCAGAACAGGGAACTTAACTTCTGACCACTTGATCCAAAGGTTCATGCTTTGTACACATTAGAGTAACAGAATAATATTAAATATTTACAATGAACCACTTTTTTAACTTTGATTTGGTACTTGTTGTTGTGAAACTACTGCCTTTACTATGGCTAATACCAGTGAAAGAACTGAACCCTAGATCTCAACCCCAAAACTGCTTCTCTTTGGGAATGCCATTGACTGTAAAGTTGTTGCTTACCTGGTCCCGCTGATTCTTTGGTAGTTGTCTTGGGAGTACACTGCAAGCATGCTAACCCCCGATCCAATATTCACCACCATATATGGGTAAGGATCCCGGAAGTCAAATGGTAATTTTTCACAAGCCTCAGGTTCATTTGGATTTTTAAAATAGTAACATTCACTACTTATATTGTTCCTGTCAATGTAATGGATGCCTTTTATTAAACAGTCGAGTTCATCAAATTTCTTCAGATCTAGATTCACATGCTGGAAAAACAAGGTAAATATGTTTGTTCATTCCATAATAACATGTTTTTCCTGGGAAATAAAGTGGGAATAAAGCTGATTTCCAAAAAATCTTGTATCAGCCAAAATCCTGTATCATTCACGTATAAGACAGATTCTACAATTCTAACTTCATGAACAACTTCAAATGCCTTACTTAAAACTCCATTAAAAGTTTGAATGTAAAAGCATAAAGAAATGTATATAATTACAGTGGCGTAGGAACAATGTACGCCAAAACGCCAGTGCGTAGTGTTGAAAAGTGAGAACAAGGCATTAACATGACAAAATGTCACCACCTAAAACAATTTGGTCAATTTAAAGCAAGTTGGAAAATACCTTTTGACCTTGAGAAGGTCATTGAAGGTCAAAGGTCAAATCTAAAGTCAGATTTGAACTTCTGAGAACTTGTAAAGTCAAATTTGAACTTTTGAAAAGATGTAGATGATTTTGAAAAAAAAATTTGGTCAATTTGAAGCAAGTTGAAAACAGACCTTTTTTGACCTTGAGAAGGTCAAAAAGGTCAAATGTCAAATCTAAAGTCAGATTTGAATTTCTGAGAACATGTAGATGATTTTGAAAAAAAAATTAGTCAATTTGAAGCAAGTTGAAAAAGACCTTTTTGACCTTTTTTGACCTTGAGAAGGTCATTGACGGTCAAATGTCAAATCTAAAGTCATATTTGAATTTCTGAGAACATGTAGATGATTTTGAAAAAAAATTTAATCAATTTGAAGCAAGATGAAAAAATACCTTTTTGACCCTTTTTGACATTGAGAAGGTCATTGAAGGTCAAATGTCAAATCTAAAGTCAGATTTGAATTTCTGAGAACATGAAGATGATTTTGAAAAAAAAATTTAGACAATTTGAAGCAAGTTGAAAAAAGACCTTTTTGACCTTTTTTGACTTTGAGAAGGTCATTGAAGGTCAAATGTCAAATCTAAAGTCAGATTTGAATTTCTGAGAACATGTAGATGATTTTGAAAAAAAAATTTAGTCAATTTGAAGCAAGTTGAAAAAAGACATTTTTGACCTTTTTTGACTTTGAGAAGGTCATTGAAGGTCAAATGTCAAATCTGAAGTCAAATCTAAAGTCAGATTTGAATTTCTGAGAACACGTAGATGATTTTGAAAAATTTTTTTAGTCAATTTGAAGCAAGTTGAAAACAGACCTTTTTGACCTTTTTTGACCTTGAGAAGGTCAAATGTCAAATCTTAAGTCAGATTTGAATTTCTGAGAACACGTAGATGATTTTGAAAAAAAAATTTAGTCAATTTGAAGCAAGTTGAAAACAGACCTTTTTGACCTTTTTTGACCTTGAGAAGGTCATTGAAGGTCAAATGTCAAATCTAAAGTCAGATTTGAAGGTCAAATGTCAAATCTAAAGTCAAATCTAAAGTCAGATTTGAATTTCTGAGAACATGTAGATGATTTTGAAAAAAAATTTAGTCAATGTGAAGCAAGTTGAAAAAAGACCTTTTTGACCTTGAGAAGGTCATTGAAGGTCAAATGTCAAATCTAAAGTCAGATTTGAACTTCTGAGAACATGTAGATGATTTAGAAAAAAATTGAAGTCAGTCTAAACAGTATTTGTTAAGTTATAGGAAGTTGTAAGAAATTGTTACAGACGCCGGACGCCGGACGCCAACCTCCAACCACCAACCGCCAACCACCAACCGCCGTCGCAAAAAACGGAGACCATAACAATATGTCACCACTTTTGGTGGTGACATAACAAAAAAGGCTAATCAATTTTCTTATTTTCTTTAGTCATATTTTCTCATCGTGCATAAATTGTAAAAGTAATCTCGAGCACACTAGCCTAAAGAAATGTTTTTTGATACCATATAAAATGCTTCATTTTTCCATAGTACTCTTTTGCAAGGTTTTTGTGCCTCTGTTATTTTCTAACCATGGTCGCAGATAAATTACACTTCTTGAAAAATTAAATTCATGAAATATTGAATTTTTTTAAAGAATTGAAAGTTATGTATCTTGTTTCTAATACTGTAGAAAATGCAAAGTAATCATTATTGCTCTTTTCGGTAAATAATCATTAAACAGATTTTAAAAAAATCAAGCCACTATTGACAATCTTATGCATTTTAAAAATAAGCTACAATTTCGCCAAAAATTCGTGAATCGCGTTCTCTTTACGAATTTGAGATAAAAACAGTTTATTTCTACTACTCGATGAATACCTTTGCTGTTTTTGTGCATGTTCCGAAATGCTTATGCAGGATTTATCTACTTTTACTAAATCACTAATTGTTTTTGGTAGTACTTCTTGAAATATGAATGTCAAAGACAAAAACAACTTGGAATTATTGATTATTCAATTACGCGTTCAATTGATTACAATGCGTTTTTGCATTTTACTAGCATAAAATAGGCGTTTTGATACATGGAGACGTGTGATGGAAGATTTGACATTTGTTTCATTTTTGGCGTAGTGTTGAATTTACACCTTCCTATGCCCCTGAATTATACACTATTTACAAACATTTATTAACTCAGTAAGGCAATATAAGACGAGCCCCTTTAAAGTGAACATTATGTAGGTTCACCAAATGATGTGAGATGCAAGAGCTGTCAAAGATTATTGAAAGGAATAATAGTGAATAATAAATTAATACGAAATATTTTATTAATCCTATTTACTACTATTAGTGGAAAATTACACATGTTTCTTCTCTTAGATTTTTGCTTTCTGTTATGCTGTTCATTTTATGAAGTACGAATTCAAGTACAAAGTGGCTAAAAATCCAAATCTCTAATTTTGGAATTACTTATTTCAATTCAATTGTTTCTTTTTGAATGACTGGAATCTTCCTGAAACCAATCAGAAGAGTAGAGATATCAAGGTGAAGTTGGATTAACTGGAACTTTATCCCAGTCATCAGTGCTATATATGTGGCATACACCAATGTTTCATGCGATTGATCACTCTATTCACTCAGGAAAATTCCACAATAAATAACATGTACATGTACTTCAAAAATTAGAGAGTTGAATTTTTGGCCCACTCTATGTACTATGCCTATTGTACTTTATGTAAACATATATTCAATAATATTACCATTAACTGTTATACCCTCTTAAAGTTACATTTATATATTAACCCAATACATCAACTGAAAGACAAGTTGAAATACAGTATAAGCCATGATGACAAAGTTCATAATCTAACAGTGGTGAGATTTATAAGATCAAGGTCTATGCTAAGTGTCTCTAAGTGAAAGACAGCAGATTTTGTATCTCTAAAACTACATATGATTCAAAGTAAATATGATATAAGACTACAGAGGTATTAAGATTGTATGAAGTTTCGTCACCTACCAGTTTAAAGTCCTGTTCAAACTTATAAGCTCCACCCCCTGTTGCACATATATTACTTGCAAGACTTGGAAAATTTTTAGCTTTGGCAAGCTCGATAAAAGCCATCATTTCACTAGTGGGAAATCGAATAAAATGTAAAGATCCAGTTCGTCCCATTAGTCGTTGATTTGTCATTTCTAAATGTACATCACGTATACCAGTTTTTCCATAGGCTACATTTCCAGTTAGGTATTTGCGAATCGTCTTTAGCGTGTCTACTTCGGTCTCTTTTTCCTCTGTGGATATATCTAATGGCTCAAAGTATACAAGTTTGGCTAGAGTTCCTCCTATGTCCATTCCAAACCATGGGAATGCTGAAAATACAAAAAAGTCACAAATAGTAGTAGCTATCAATATTCAAAGCTCCACTTTAAACAGTTAAATTTTTAGATAAATTGTAATAACAATACTTATTGATTATCTTATAGTTCAGAATAAATGTACCTTTAAAATAATCATGATATTTTTTCATAGTTTCTTCTTCAATCTGCTGTAAACCATTATATTTACAAGAAGTATTGTGATTTTCATCCATGTTGTCTTGCTTTACTTTTACATGTAAAGTACATGTATCTGAGACATACATATGGTACTATAAAGTCTTAATTGTCACTCCCTGCTGGCTATAGTTACTCTAACCCTGATAAACTATCTGTCAATGTGAATCATACATATCGAATGTATAGTACAGGGTGAAACGATAACATTAACATTTATTAATTTGAGAATCCAAATTGAACTGATAAAGTTAATCAGTCTAGTTGCATCTGTTTTTTTAATAAATAGATGATTCAAATCCAAAACACCTGCTGAACATAAATAGCTATCTTCTTCATATTTAGCATCATTCACTGTGAAATCAACTTAACAACATTTACAAAAACATGTTTACATGCATATGATGTACTGTGTATCAAATATAATATTTTTACAAGGAAACAGCCATTTTTGTTGGAAATTTAGCTTCCTCCTGAGAATTTGATGGAGGTTGACCATTACCATAAATTTATAAATACAAACATGAAGCCTGGGTTTGATTCCTGTTTGAACAAAACACTATAGAATTTCAGCCAACTCTGTAACTCCAGCTTGTCGTATATTATATCACAAGATAAGTAGTACACAATGCTAAATTAAATATTTATCTTATAAACAAAATAAATAATCTATTTAACAAGTTTGTCTTCTGTTCTAGATTTGGATAAGCCATGGTCACCTTGAGACAATCTTAAAACAACCAAGATATCCAGTCAATGATTAGCTATGTTTCCACAGAGTTTTGGAATTATTCCAATTTTTATGACATGCTCCAGGCCCGGGGGCTCCAGGTAATGACCTTGCCTCTGCAGATTTGGCAGGAGAAATCAATTGACTTCATTCTTACACTGTTATCTGCTCAATTCTTCTTGCTATCTCTCTTTTCAGATCAGTTATCGTAAATGACCACAAATAAAATCTGGGGGTTCATGCCTTGGCGATGAGAGGCCCATTCTATTTCAGACCTTCTGCTAAAGATTTGATTGCTGACTATTGTAAGCTACCACTGAAGGCTATGGTTTGAGGTGTGGGTAGGGATGGCTCCATCTTTCTGAAACCGCTGCTCGTCCCAAGGCTCTGCAGAACTAAGTAAGCAATTGTTAACCTGTCTGCATAAGGACTTCTTCTTTGGACAAGATGTTCTGTTCCCTCCTAGCAGACGTTGGCGTCAAGAATGGCTCTCCTTGCACCCTCTTGGAGTTTATATTCTTAACATGGTTTTGACTAAAGAAAAAAAGAATTCATGCTGAAAAGAAGAGGTCTTGGGTTCAAACCCAGGTCACAGCACTTCTTGTGATTTGACTTTGACCTATGACTGCTGACCTATACTGGCGATTACTAGAGTGCTGCTAACTCGAGAAAAGGCTGGCGCTGGCTAGAATTGTCTATGGTTCTAGCCAGGATAAAGATACCAGTTCTTCAACTCGACAATGGGAAGAACTGCTCTACCTTAGTGACTAATATGTCATGATATGACATCTAAAGAGTCAATAAAAGATATATATAACAGTACCAGTTTCTCTAAAGTTTTTGACCCAAACATGGGTAATGGTTTTTCAAAGAACATTTCTGGCACATAAGGTTCTCCTACAGTCCTAGTGCATACAAACATATGACTGATATTCAAAATATTTTTCAATGGCACATATCTTTTTTTCTTTAGTCAAAACCATGTTAATTTCTAGATGGACTTAGCATTCAAGCCTTCCACTATAACTCCAGTTTTTTTAACACCCTGGACAAACAACATAGCATATATTTTTTCAGCTAAGACATGCTTGAATGACAAACACAGACCAGCACATTCTAAAATTGCTTATCACTATTTGGAATAGTACATTTTGATAGGGGCTAGATCAATAGTCAACATTAGTTTGTATTTCCCCAGAATCAGATCTATAGGGAGTGACAAAATTACAAGCAACGTGGACACTGGACGTTGATCTACCAATATATTCCTTGCAATCTCAAATATATCCACAATATGCTATCAATTGGTGTGGTTGTTTAAAATTGTACTAAAACCAATGTCAGAACAAATAACATCTCTTTTATATTATTTTGACTACAAAGCTTCCCCACAAAACACAATTTATTAAGATAAGGGGGTGTCAACCTCTGAAATGTGTTGTTATTTTGCGCAGTTTTTGAGGTCATCTAACCATGACAGTTTTGATTTACCATGTGCCAAGTTATTCTGGCGCTAAATCGAAAAGTTGTTGCTGCAAACTACTACGAAGGCTGAACCAAAGTGGAAATATACATAAGTTTCACATTTGCACGCATTCCAATAACAAAGTAAATAGTTTTATTGACTGAACTTCACAAAAAAATTCTTGTGGAAAGAGCACTGCAATATCATTCATTACATATACAAGGAATTGATTGAAATACATTTGTTAGGCCACAATATTGCTTGATAACTAAAAATGTTAACCCAATAATCATATTTTTGGCCTTACAGCATCATTCAGGTTAAAAAGTTTTATTCCCCAGACACTGGCAATGCTTACCAACTTTCAATAGCATTTCACCTCGATTGATTCTGCAAGTACAATGACCCTTCGCAAAATTGATATAAATTGCCTTAATTCATGCAATAATTGGCTCAATTTACGAGGGGATCCAAAAATATTGGACGCCCCGCTCTTACTTTGCTATCTTTTAATGAAATAACATGAAACTTTCAAATAATAAGGATCAACATCTCAGCAACTTTGTGTACTAGATTCACCAAAAAATGATTTATTGTAGGTACTTTACTATACTAGATAGTTTTTAATATGGAGACCCAGCCCACCAGCCAACCTGAACTACATTTAAAACACGCAAATCACATTGCAACTGTCAATATGGCAAATACCTTAAGGTACAGGTGCACAACCTAACACCAGTCATTATATTTTCCGATTTTACAATCTGAGTGTCATCTGCATTCCTCATCTTCACATATTTACTATTCAATATACTTTCCAAGAATTTGAACACATTTTTCGTGCTGCTGTACACGCATGCTTTACCCATGCATGAATGAAAGACATTCATGAAGCCACCCTTGCTTAGGTGATACAAACACTCCTGGGCCGCCACTTTAATCTCATCCAATGAGCAAAAAAAACATTACCTTTCAACCCTTCTTTCTTCTTGGCCATTACCATGACAAAATGTCACCACCTAGTTGTTCACAATATTATGAGTTCAAGCACTTATTCATGATCTTGAAAAAAATTGGTCAATTTGAAGCAAGTTGAAAAAAGACCCTTTTTGAAGTTCAAATCTTTTTTGACCTTGAGAAGGTCATTGAAGTTCAAATCTTTTTTGACCTTGAGAAGATCTTGAAGTCCAAATCTATTTTGACCTTGAGCAGGTCATTGAAGGTCAAATCTCAAATCTATTGAGAACTTCTAAATGATGAAAAATAGTGTTGGTGGTTCACCATCATAAAGTGTGGCCTTCATACGCTAAGATAGCATAAATGTAATCTAAACCAAGTAAAACGGTTTTGTAAAACTTTAAGTTTCAAAGTGCAAAAACAGGGAAAATGTTTAAATTGCCCAAAATGATAAACTAAAATGAGTGCATTATTGTAGTAGGTTTTCCTCAAATAAAGTACAGTTAACCCTGCAAAAAAGGAACATTCTCCAGTCTGGCCAAAATTGTTCCTTGTAGTAGACAGGTGTTCCCTACAGAGATGGTCCATATTTTGGACATACCTCAAAACCCAATTTGCTGAATAAGCATTAATTATTGTAGATGATAAATGAATGAATGTGGTATATAGTAGCTAGAGCAATGTTGCTTTGAGCATTTATTCAAGTTTCATCAACCCCATTTTGTAGCATTTGTAATATGCAAGTTTGGACCTTTTTAAGATTTATCATCTTCTAAAACAATTGTCTCAGTCAATAGAATAGCTCAACTTATCAGATGAAATCAACTTTTGTTGAAAGATTAACATTACAGTCAATTGGCAATTTATAACAACAGATTACTGTTATTAAAAAAAATATTGGGGTAATTAATAGTGGTATGGATGTCGCAGCAGAATTTACAAAATTTGAGTGGGTCTGTAAAATCAATGGAAAGATATTTGATTCTTTTCAAAAATGTTCCTTTTAGACAGGTTTTCCCTACAGAAAGGTGTTCCATCTGACAGGTTTTACTGTATACACTTTGGGGATCTTTAGAAAATAGAAATGCATTTAGAAAAGACGTGAACCCAAAATATTCAAAAATTATTAGCTCTAGTGATCTCCCCATGTCATTTTTACAATTTTTTCTGGGGGGGAGAACACTGCTCTACATTTGATGTGCAAAACACTACTTTAATAGAGAAAGTTATATTAACACTTACGTAACCAATTTAGATAAAGGGAAAGTGAAAGTGAAACAAAGCTGGATAGAACCACTTAATAAGATCAAATGAAGTTTCACAAATGTAGATATACCAGGTCCTTGTTGCATCAAGTTTAATGAGACTGCAAACAAACTGGCAGGTGGTGCTTTGGCCTTTGGAAAATAAAATTCCATCCAAGTGATGTCAAAAATTGTTTGAAGGAAATTTTAAAAATGACAATAAAGTTCATAAAACATGGTGGTTCATAAGAAGACTTTATGAGCAAAACTTCATGTTTGGCCGAGGAGCATCCCCTGGCACAAGGAGAGAAGTTGCAAAGCTTCAAAAACAGCATATAGGTCTCATGAAAGTACTGAAAGAGACACTTAATAGGGGTTGGCCACAGTGCAAATGTCCCTGATATGATACAGATACAGATATTCTAAAATTGAAACGATTTTTGTCAAGACACCTACTGTACTTTATTGCCAGCTTGCTAGATCTGATGCTACTTTAATGACTGCAGTGCCTCCTGCCACACAAGCATCAGCATAAGATGATGACAATATATACAGTAGTTCATTATTCACCCTTCCACAAAGACAGCTCAACAATATAATAATGCGCTGCTTTAAAAATTTAGTCATACCATTGGTTGATAATCAAAATATTACCTAACCAAACCGGTCCGACCCAGTTACCTACTCCCTGCATCTGAAGATAGATCTATGACTTCAGGAAGTAGATCAGAACTGGGTCAGAGAGGTTTGGTAAAATATCATCAGTGTCAAGATATATGTTTTTCTTATTCTAATAAAAGAAATAATTCAAAGAAGATTAATGGCACAAACTTGTTGAAACATGGTGAGATACTATACTACAGTAAAATTTTAAATGTTTGGAAGTACTTTGAATTTAAAAATAAGCAAACAAATTACTATATTGCAACAGTATATAAAAAATAGAAACATATGTACAAGTCTTATCTTTTGTATATTTCAGATAGCTATGTATAATGTGCAGCAAAGCTGTGGCCTTTTGTAATTTAGGGAGTTTCAGGTATGTTGATTTTTCTTGAAATAACACGGCAGAGAAGCATCAAAATATAAGAGGCAACAGATATGATAGCTAAACTACAAAACAAACTAAAATGTACAAAAGTTATGACATGTATAAATGTTTCTATTTTTACATATAGCCTAATACTATTTCAATATGGTTCTTTGATTGCTTATTTTTTAAATTCAAAGTACTTAAAGAGGCTCTATGCCATAGGATAGCACAATCAAGACCCATCTTGACTTTTTTGCATATTGAGTTTCACCACATATATACCCATCTATTTACTAAAGAAGAAGTCCCAAATCCCCTTCTTTCAGTGTTAATTTTGCGATTATGCTGGCCGATCTAATTATTTTCGAAGAAATAAATTCAATCTGATGTTTGAATATTGCGGGAAAGTCCTCCTGTTATCTGATTGGTCGTTGAATTTGTTTATCAAAAACCTGATTGGCTCCCTGGTTCAAGGCGCTTGTGGGTGCTTGTGTGACTCAATGGGGATTCCCCTCGATAGCGGAGGAATCGATTGTTTTTAATTCTGGAGTTTGGTTGTTCTGTTGATTATTTCCGATATTTCGGCAATAATATACCCAAAAGTTATTCTCAAGATATAACCATGGTATGTGATGTATTATATGAGCAATAACAATAGGACATCATGGATTGTCTGGGGGAGAAACCTATGGCATAATGCATCTTTAAAAACATTTAAAATTTTACTGTAGTAATTACTTTAAAAAGGCGCAACAGTCTGTTACACTGCTTCAAAGCAACAAGCTGAACCTAAGAAATCTAAAGACTACTGTGCAATGATAAATAAAATATGTTCTTCCATGTATTATTTTGTTGGTTGCTTTGAAGCAGTGTAAAAGACTCATTTGGGTGATGAAGTGACATGTTTTATGGAGTTTAATTCAAAACAATGTAAACTACTTATTTGTTTAGTTGTTGAATCTTGTATGATCTGGAGTCAGGAGTCCTTATCAGTTATCACGCCATTGAGAATTTTGAGTTCATAACATACATGTGCAACCATGGGCTTTCAACTAGATAATTGAAAGCCCATGGTGAAACAGCCAAACATCAATAGGCTTACTCACTTCGAGAGCCATGTTAGATTTTGAAACTTATGGCTCTCGAAAGGGGGCATGGACAGCTGAATAATAGTGACCTTTGAAACATGAATAGAGTCGATCAGAGTCGATCAGCGCCTTACTTTTGTTCTTTAACTATGTCATACATCATTATAATCCTTCCGTGCAAGTATTGGAGCGCTGAGGTACTTCCTTTTTGATCAAGACTTGTAATTGTTAGTCGAGTGAGTGTTTTTTTCTGCCAAATTCCAATATGGCGTTTTCTGCTCGGACATTTTCGTAAAATTCCGGAGGTTGTCCGAACCTAACTCATTCTCAAAATTCATTTCGTTCGTTGCGTATCTCGCTCCAAGCAAACCGCCATATTGGAAATGGGTCGAAAAAAACATTCACTCGACGAACGATTTACAAATCTTGATCGAAAAAGAAGTATTTTAGCGCTCCAATACTTGCACGGATTGATGATACCGCAGAAGACACAGTTAGAGACCAAAAGTAAGCCACTGATCGACGCTGATCGACTCAATTCGTGTTTCAAGCGTCACTATTATTCAGCGACCCAAGTGCGCCGTGGGAAAGCTATTATATCAAAATCCACATAGCTTTTGCAGTAAGTAACAATAGGCCACATTGAAAAAGATTACTTACGTTCTGTAGGGCTACTCTGCATGGTTCTTCGACTTATGGATGAATTTTGTTTACATTAACAATCACCTGATAATTGTGTGAGAGAGGGGATATTTTGCCCAAGTCAATTTTCCACATTACACGATTTATACATGTCGTTCAATTACAATGTAGGCTACTTCCGGGTTTTGGAAATTATTTCCCCAAAAATACGTGTATTTTGGGGTCCTCTACTCGATTTCTGCATCTAACAGTTATCAGAGAACATGAAATCTAGATTCAGCTAAATTCTAAGCAACAACTTGTTAATCTATAATGTATAGCTGCTGAGAATACTATGGAAATAGATAAAATTTCAAACTTTTCACCACCGGAACATCCATTTTTATTTAACATACGGACTGAATAATACAGATAATTTGATTGAATGAATAAATGCTAGTGGAAGGGCTGCCACAAATAGACTTTTAGAGATGTTCATTTTACTTCAATGTATGCCTGATATTCATTTAGTGATGGACTTAAATATTCTAATATTATTTGAAATCGTTGAAATCCCACAATTAGTTGTATTTCGTTGTGAAAAGAAGCAGGCAATTCTAGACCTAAATTAAATATGTGGGCTGTCATATTGTTAGAAAGTTTATGAAATTATGAAACGAATGATGTCTGAATCAGAAGTTCTGAAATCTCTGCGTAATGTGCTGTCAAGAGTATCTCAAGCAATGGAAAAAAGACCTGGGGTATTAAACTACTTTATGTTACTCTAAAATTACAAGTTCAACGTCAATCATGTCACTCTAAAATGTTTGATAAGTTACAAGTTTCATAAGTGATGTCTCCCGGTTCCAACTCATATTTTTCTCCAAGCAATTTGTTCAGTGATGATTTCTACTGCAAAGTTCACACGAATGAACTGCAAGGATTCTGTCCGATATTCCAACAAACTTGACCTTGATCGACGACAACATTGAAAATCAGGCCTGTCAACTGTCCGGCAATTGAGATATTTTTCACGCATTTGCTGAAGCATAGGCTAAGGGTTAAGTAATAGTAAGCTGTATAGCCTATATACAGCTTACTATTACTTAACCCTTAGCCTATGTGCTGAAGATTGAACTTGAAGTCACACAGTTTTTTGCTGTCTCACAGGAATTGCGTATACAGTTCGGGACATAAATAAATGACAGGTGGATTTGCTGAAGTGAGGATTTGCCATGTTAAAAATAAGAGAATTTTCAAGAGGCCATACATCAGTGGATGAGATTATACAAAATGTAAAATATACAAATTTTAAGGGATATGTATCTAGACAATATTGGAAATTATGGGCTTTCAGACGATCATAATTAGGAAATGGTGATCGAAAATCGATCTGTCATTTATTTTTGTCCCCAACTGTATGTCAAGCATTTGCTTCAAATTTTTACAGAACTTGCAATTCAGTGAAAAAATGCTAGCTGTTTGATTTTGAACTTGGTAATCACGACATGAGTCCATATATGGTAGACTATTGAGTTGGAACCCTCCCTGGGAACCAATCCTCCTTGATTTGATAAGTTTGAAAAACTCGGGTGTTGATCTAAATTAATGTCAAAGGATCATGCAACACCATTTGTACTGTTTTGCTGGGTAGGGAAATCTATGTAATACAAAGCGAAGGAAATTAACCACCTAAACACTGTCGTGTTTCATGGATCTGTGATCAATTTTGTTTGTTCTTCTGTCAAATCCAAAAATAAGATTTTGGTAATGAACATGCTCTAATATTGAGACTAAATTATCCAAGAACCACTGAACCATGAAATTATAATCAACGAAGCAAAAATTGGATTTTGTAATATTGAGTCTTCTGGAACTAACCAGGAAAGATTAGTTTTCACATTCTATTTATTTTCTCTTTTGGATATTGTGCTTATGCTCCATGGTTTACAAAACAAAGCTGATATGTTTATATTGCACAGTGCTGAAGTCAAGCTGCATTCCTACTCTCTTTATTTCACTGCTTGCCTTGCAACATTGTATCACACAAGTTGAAATATGTGTTTTCTAATGTATGATTATACCCTGTGATAACAAGAAGTATGTGCAAATGAATGTAGGTTTTAAAATATAAGCAGATAAGCATATCAAAACCTCACATGGTATACCATTGATTTGAAAGAGCAGAATTAAATTCTAACTACATGTAACTTTATTTTATTCAGAATCAAGTGACCAGATTGGTTGCAGTGAGCAAGACCAAACCTGTGCCCCTTATACAGCAAGCTTATTCTGGGGGACAGAGACACTTTGGTGAGAACTATGTGAGTAGATTGGATTTTCATGTGGGGGAAACAAGCCAAGCAACCCCTCATTTTTCATGCCTTGAGTCCACCAATTTTGAAATTTGTTTTAAAATATACAGACATTTTTTCAAAGTCTACTGAGCAGTGGTGTGAAAATCAAACCATAAATTCTATATCCAACCTGAGACAAACATATGATGATCTCAGATCAAACTTAATATCATTTGATTAATCAACCCTCCATAAATGCATTCTTTTGCTCTCTTTGTGATGCATGTCATTAATCATAAATCGTGAAAAAATCTGATCTTACAAACCTTTTTCTAGGTGCAAGAATTAGAGGAGAAGGGTCATGATGCCACTCTACTGGAACAATGTGCTGAAATAAAATGGCATTTTATTGGCCATTTACAAAGAAACAAAGTTAACAAAGTGACAGGTAGGCCTAGTAGGAATACAAAATTATAACTTTATTTAAGACATGAACAGGACAATATTATGAATGATTAAGTCTTATTTATGTGCTAAAAGCAAAACTCTTTTGTGGATTGATCTGAAATTTTAGGGATGTTTGTCAGTTTGTTACATGAAAGTCTCAGATTAGTTTTTGGGCATTCCAGGTAAATGTAAAGGTGAACAATCTGTCCAGAAAATACCTGCAGGCTCTCACCAGGAAATATTTAGGGTGTGCCTGATGCTGATGCAAATATCTTCAGCATTACCGTTCAGTCGTGATAAATCATATTTATGTTATATTTTATCCTTTTAACATGCTATTATTGTATATTCAGTCAAGTTTAGAATGTGGAAACAATCATGATTTACCAGTGTGGTGGGAGCTAAATAGAGTGTGGTGCTGCGCCACAGTCTAAAAGCCTGGCGAGAGCCCTGACCTATTCAATGCATTATGCAATACTTTTCACCATTGTTTAATTTGCAAAGAGAATATCCCTTTAATGCTTACATTAATTATCACGTGATTACTTTACAGCTACGCCTAACCTGTATATGGTGGAAACAGTAGACTCTGCGAAGCTGGCGACAGCCTTGAATAAATCTTGGGAGAAACTGCAGCAAGAAAACAAGCTTAACGTCATGGTCCAAGTGAACACCAGTGGAGAAGAGCAAAAACATGGTGTTCCCCCATCCGAGGTTGAATCTGTTGTAGATCATGTGAAAACGAAATGTCCAGCACTGAAATTTAATGGACTCATGACAATTGGGGCTTTTGACCATGATCTAACTCAAGGGCCAAATCCAGATTTCATTGTGAGTAGGCCTTCTTGTACAATTATAGACTATATATAATTAATGGTCCTGCTTTTATGGATTTTCTTTTTTATTCTGTTCTTAAATTGCTTGTCCTGTTACATGTCATATTTGGCATGCAGGAGTTTGAAGGTTTTTGGGGAAGCATTGGGATTATGCGTTGCCAAAAATGGTTATTGAAAATGGCCCTCTTTAATTCATAACACTAAACAGTACATTCAAATGAAAAGCTTGAAATATTTGTTCTTCTAAAAATTCACATTGCTTCTGTTGTAACTATTGAATAACTCAACACAAAACCCTGTCTGTGTTTGTATGTGCTTTCTCTAAAACTAAAGACATTAAGGAATTGAATATGAATTTGTCTGAATTTTCAGAAATTGAAGGAGTGCCACACATCAGTATGCAGTAGTTTAGGACTGAATCCTGAAGAAGTAGAAATCAGTATGGGAATGTCCAATGATTTTGAACATGCAGTAAGGCATTTGCACTTGTTCTATGTCCAATTAAGACTTAAATACTAGATAGATTTTTTTCTTAAAGTGGTAGATCAAAAAAAGAAAAAAGCCAAAGCATAATTTTGCGATAAAAATGGCTAAATTTGATAAATAAAAAATTGTGAATTAAAATTGTGCAAATATTAGAGCTGTTAAAGATGAAAATCTAATATTCTTATAAATTTTCACTCATCATTAAATTGTAGGGCCTTTGCTCCTTTAGCATGCACACTACATTTAGATTAAGCTCTGATAATTTCAATGCATTCGATACTTTTTCAATTTCAGATAGAGTTAGGTAGCACCAACGTGAGAGTAGGAAGCACCATATTTGGTGCTAGGACTTACGTAAATAAAGCCACAAACAATCCAACTCCAGAAACATCAACAACAACCCCTAGTATTACTAATGACTCTACAAATGAACAATTAAATGATAGAAATGACACCAAAACAAATACATCTCAATCAATTGACAATATAGCAGAGACTTTGCAGACTGTACATGTAAAAGACAAAGAGTAGGCCCTCTTATTTGCATTACCCTATGTTGTGAAATTGATTGATTGATTGATGTCTTCTATACCATGGTAATAATTATCAATTTGAATACCTCTATTAGTAAAACATCTTGCAAATAAGATCAGTTTTCATAAAGTCCTATAACCCCCTTAATATTCATCATCTAAGTTGAACACTTGTGGCCCAAATGATGTTCCATTTATACAGGGTGGCCCCAAAAAAACCAATACCCAAATTTAAATCTGAATGAAAATAGCTATGTTCAATATGATACATTGATTTATATATGATTTTAAAGGTAATCTATTTTCAAACAATTTGGTACATAACATGATGTCATGAAATCAATATTTAAGTTTTATAATGCTTATTTGGGAGGCTGGGTCAGTATTTAAGGTATCCAGATTTTAGGGAGAAAATAGTAAATCTGCGGAATAATGTTAATTTTTTATTTATTTAATTTTTTTAGGTGAATACATGCTTGTATATTTGCATATTGTGTGACTAAACTTATTGTTTATGAATTTTAGTGTTGTTTATTATCAATAAGTACTCAAAGAGGGTCTGTTAAAAGACATTAAACTTAATGTGACAATTATTTTATTTTCCAACAAGACATTGCCTGGTACCATAGATCAAAGGAGACACTGGCATTTCTTTGCAAACAAGGTGTCAATTTGATTGATCTCGATGCTTGGACACCCAACAGTCCCGATGCTAATGTGTTTGATTACCATACATGGAGCCATCTCGAGGAAATGGTACAATCAAAAGCATCCAATAAACAGCATTGATGAGCTGAAACAGAATCCTAAAGTGCTGATATCAGAAATCTCTCAATAAGGCTATTGATAGATTGCGCTCCCACTTGAAGCTTATTGTTGATGCAGAGGGGAGGGGGTGGGGGTATATTGAGCAATTGTTAAAAAATTGTTTAAATAAAGTGTAAAATGTTATTAAACAACACTGAAATTCATAAACAATAAATTTAGTCACACAATGATACAAATATCAATATCCAAGCATGTATTCACCTAACAAAAGAATGATATTCTATAAATAAAAAATTAACACAATTCCGCAGATTTACTATTTTCTCCCTTAAATCTGGAGACCTGAAATAGCAACCCGTCCTCCCAAATAAGTATGATAAAACTTTACTATTGATTTCATGACATAGTGTTATATACCAAATAGTTTGAAATTGTATAACCTTTAAAATGATATGTAAGTCAATGCACCATATTGAATGTAACTATTTTTATCCCGATTTTTTGAAGTTGGGTATTGGTTTTTTTGGCCCACCCTGTATATAGGTTTTATTTTGATTACACAAAATTCAAATTTGGTGAATTTTTACTTTTATTATTTATTTAAAACATTGTTCTAAGTGTACAAAATTATAAAAAACTAAGTGAATGTGAACACAATACGAGGGGTGATCAATAAGTAATGGATGCTTTTTTACACAGATAGTTTTTATAGACCAATCCCTTTGATTTTCCTACCAGTGATAGATCATTCAATTATCTATCATTTCTGAGGATTTGAAGACAAAAATGTAAAATACATGTTGATATATCTTTATTTCCTTGAAGGAGGTATAGGTACCCCGGGACCGACATTTACGTCACATGTTCAGTTTTCACCAGTTTGGCAAATTTCAGTTAGATTTAAACTTTTCATATGCAACATGTGTTGTGTTGTTTGAAATACTTTGCTGACTGGTCAACACATAAACAGAAAGTATTGTGATGTCAGAGTGTTGTATGGAAGGGGTTTGCAGGTCAATTTGAGAAAGCATTGTGGAAGAAAGGGGTGGTGAGAGAAGGGAACACCCTACTCCGTATGGACATTGCACCTGCCCACAGATCTCAAAATGTTCAGAAAACAATATCCCTGGACCTCAAAATTGAGCCCTTGGCCAATGCACCATATTGTCCAGATCTGCTCACATGTGACTTATTTATTTCTATACTACTTATTTCTATAGAGAAAGGATGCATGTTTATTGATATTGATGAAATAAAACAACCCGTGCAACTGCATCTTGCTACCATGTCAGAGAATGGATACAGCCTTGTCTCATAATCTTGAATTAAGAGGATGAGGAATTGTGTACATGTAGCACTTGATGGAACCTATGTAGAGGGCTCTGTGGAATGAATGTGGCATGAATACCACATAGTGATGATAAAATATTCAAAATCAACTATGGCATAATAAAATGGGGTAATTCATGACCATAATGGTTTGTTTTGTTCAGTCTGCATTCAACTGCATTGCATGTTAAACAAGCTAAAATAGCTTCAGAATGTTTGACGTAAATGTCGGTCCCGGGGTACCCATACATCCTTCACAGAAATAAAAATATATCAAAAGATATTACATGTTTTGTTTTCAAATCTTCAGAGTTGATGGATAATTGAATGATGTATCACTGGTAAGAAAATCGAAGGGATTGGTTTATAAAAAGCATCTGTGTAAAAAAGCGTCCATTACTTATTGATCACCCCTCGTACATGCAAAAGATACAAAAAAAATATATATATATATAATAAATTATAACATCATCTCATGTGTAATGAGTTGTCATCAGTTTCAGTAAGTTCAAAGTAATCTGGGACAATAAAATTGATATCATTTAAAGTGTAATTCCATAATATGGATGATGATCTGGCAAATGCTATAAACAATAAAGGCACCATGTAAAGATTAAATCACCTTTGCCTCTAATGAAGTCATACACAATGTCATCAAAATGTGGATCTTTTATAATTTCAAAAAGTTATTCTAAAAAATTATATTTAGATAATTAAACTTTATATTTGGATACTTTAAACTTTGCATGGTACCTTTAATCTTTGCATGGGACCTTTAATCTTAGCATGGCCCACATCGCTCTTGTTTGTTGCCAGGCAACTACCCAGCCATGAAACTGGAAATTTCTAAGAAAAACTTCAGAATAGAACCTATCATTAATGTGCGTATATAAAGTCCATAACTCATTTACAAAGCCCATTGTACAGTTTGGTGATTATTGCATAGATTGGCCATAAATTGATATACAAGGAAGGCACACTAACCTACCTCGATTGCGCATGCCTTCAACCAGGTCGCTTTTGAGTATATCGACTGGTAAGTCAAAGGTTACAACGTTTGGTGCTCGGAGTGAGTCAATATTGCTATTCGCTGAACTTCAGTGGTGCAATAGTGAAGTCCATGTTCCAAGTTATATGATAGTTAAAGAAAGAATGTAAATAATATCGTTTTAAATTTTAAAATATGTTATATGTCATAGTACACGGTACACAGTTGCAAAAGTTGATCAATACAGGGTACAAGGAATGTAAATTGTTCAATAGTACAGGGAGCGAGAGAGTAAGCTGATTATACAGACATACTATGTCCAGATCTCATGTTCATTTACGTTGCACACAGTGAAGATAATGCTAAAAAGGCCGTCTGTTGATGCTTTGAGGTGTCATCAATTGTTATTAAATCAAAATAAAGTAAACATTATTTTGTAGATTTAGACACAGGCTTTCAGGTCGTATATGTATTTTAGTCATTAAATTAACAAGAACGCTAGATTATACGTGTTACTAGGGTATCAAATTGAATTAAAATAACAAAATTAAATATGAACACGTTTATGATAATCAGTATTAATGACAATCCGCTATTCAGAATAATTAAAATTGCCTGAACTACATGTGAAGAATCTTTCTATATAACCCCTTGAATGGTCTAATTCACTGCCGTCCTCAAAAACCGATAATTTAAAATATTTTGTTCAAAATACTATCTTGTATATTGTAAAAAAAACTAATACCAGATCGATGTAGTCTTATATGACGTGTTGAATGTCAGATGTTTTTGGATGGTATCTGCTCCAGTGATTTTGCATTTTAATCATGAAACGCTCATCACAAGACACCTTGAAACAAACATTATCCTCTCTGTGACAAGAGGAAAAATGTTTCACAAAATGTTATGCCTTACAACAAAGTAAAGATACATTTCTGGGACGACTTTTTAAGCATCTTAAAATTTTAGAAAAACAATTGATTCACAAAAATACAGTTGAATAACATACTGGAAAACGTATCCACATATAACACAATGACACGCAGTTAAACAACAGTTAAGTGGTTTTTTGTTACAAATCAATGTAAAATTTTCATAGGGAAACTTACATGCTCCCTGTACATTGATAGATTTACTGGAATGTATCGTGTATTGCATTCGAGTTTTGCTTCACTGCGCCCACTATTATCTATCTTTGCCTATAGTGGTTTTTTGCCCACAATATTCTACAAACTGCTTGATGAATCAATTCTATGTCTGGTAGAACACTAAAAATAAATGTAAAATGTATTTTAAGTCCAGAAATATGGAATTAAACCCACGTCCTCCATTTGCAACTTAGCTGTACCCTGTTTCCCTTTTAAACGTGGTCACGTGGTAGGGTAGTGTGGAAGGACAATGAAATAAATACAGAAGTAATTCCTGAGTAAAAAATACCAATAACCAGCAATAAAAATGTTAAGAAATATTTTGTTAAAATTACAACCACAAGTAATTTCAGAGGAAATAGATATTCCTTTACAATATCTTAAAGTTTATCTTGTTTATATATGATTCACAGTGACACAAAAATGCCTTGGTCACATTTGCTCCAGTCTTCAACACCGGCCCCTGGCCGATGTGTATTTTGTTCAAAATTGAATGCAAAATACTGTAAAAATATTCATTGGCCAGTCGTCTGTACTGAAAATCGTAGCAAGTGAGACCAAGCCATTACAGAAATGGAATTTTTATTTTCATAATCTCTAGAATATAGCTTACATTATGTGCAAAGATACTTCCCACATTATATTGTTCAAATATCCACTGTTTAATTGAAAAAAGTATAAAAAGGCAACATTTACATGGTTAAAAAGCTGATAGTAAAAAACCCGATTTCATGTGAGCTGAGGACACTTTACTTATAATTCATCCTTTTGATCACCATCCAATTCACACATCTCGTCAAAGTTACAGTTTGATTGAATTTTCTTATAAAGATCTTTAATAAAGCTATATGGACACAAGTAATCTTCACATCCAGGAAATCTCAGTTTTTGTTCATTTACCACCAGCTCCACCATGTAGTCTTCAACATTTTCTTGTCCATTGCATTGACATCTGTATAGATTTAATCCAATGTTAGCAGCCATTGGGGCCATTAAAGAGGTCCTGAATTGTCTGTTGTTGTGTTGTGCAAAGTTTTCAGCACTTAGTGGAAGGGGATCTTTGAATAAACCAAGTAGACAAAGGAATGGCATAATTGTCTCTGCATGACCAAATCTGAACACTGCCTTTGTGTACCTGAAAAAATTAAAAAACATTATTATTTGGTATTTGAGTTATCAAAGATAATATTTCTTAAATTGCAGCCATTTTAATTAGAGCAACCATATTGGCAATTCCCTCTTCAAATTCCTTCTTAAGTGAAATACATCACCCTAGAAAATTGGAACAAAATCTGTCAACCCATATTTGAGTTATTGCTGGTACAATCACATGGATGGATAAATGGCTGAATTTATAGATCAGGGTTCTCACTAGGCTTTTAGACTCTGAGAGATTCTCGGGAGTCTAATGTCTTTAGACACTCTTGCTCCAGTGTCTAATAGATTTTCTGGAGTCTAAAGTGTTTTTTCCGGAGTCTAATTTTACATTTTTGTCACATTATTTGTGGTAAAACTCTTGAGAAAATACAGAAAACTGGATACAAAAAGGGAATTTTAGAAATGCATATTGTGATTAAAATAGGAAGATAATCTTCAGCAGTATTTTGAAAAATATACTAATAGGGTGTCACAGATCTCACATGGGGGAGGATTAGTTGCAATACTGCGAAAAATCCGGAGTCTAAAAATTTCCTAGCGAGAACTTTGTAGATGGTTTATCCCGACTCAAACTTTAATTGGATAATGAAGCAATGACTAAAATGTGAATGTACTAACCTATTTCCAGTTTGGATAGCCTGGATAGCCTCATCAAAGCCATTGAATATACTAGATAATATGGGACAACTGATTGAGTATCCTAGTTCATAGCCATAGGATGTCACCCAGTAGTGCTGAAGAAGATGCAAATCATGGAGCATTAGTTTTTTGAGAAAGTAAAGCCTCAGTCGCATTTGCTCTATGGTGGCCAAAGCTTCACAAAATTGATACTGAAATATGTAGTTCTTTCTACTTATCCTTGTATTTTATGCTGCACATTTCTCTCGAATTTGCGGGGCTACTGCCACCAAACAGTTGCCATAGATCTGTAGATCAGATGACTGGAGGGAGTAATTGCCATATTTGTAAAAGTAAACGCTTTTTGGATTCAGTGATCTCCCCAGGACTTTTTCCCAACAAGGTACAAAATTCTAATTCTACATGTTTTGGTCAAATGTTGATTTTATCTCAAATTCCCTCCAAGTAACAAAATTCACTTTGTTACTCAACAACTGTTGTTAATTTGGCACCATCCCCAAGTGTCATCACTAGTTGTAGTAGAACCATATGATATATGACACTCTAAATGTGATATGTACCTTCAGTTCCATTAGGTACTCCACCACCTCTAGGTCTCTATCCTCCAGTAGATAACACCAGCCAGAATCTAGCCCCAACAACCCTGTCTCAAAGCCACATGTTGTGTACACATTCTTGACATCACCTTAAAGTATTTATTTAATATTCAATATTCAAGGTAACAATACTGTACTGTAACAGTAAAACCTGTGTAGTTGGAACATAATTGGTGTTCCATTAAGGAGGTGTTCCACTTACAGAGGTTTTTTAGTATTGAGTCAAAGGGTATCTATTAAATGCATGTCATTAAATACTGTACTTGTGGTGAAGAAGCAATAGCTTTTGTGTAAACCAGTACCTAAAGGTTATCATGCACTTCTAGATGATTGAGAGGGAGGAAACATACAGATTGTAAATGACTGAATCTATGGTATGTGCTCACTAGTAATAATAATGCATATGTAATTAAAAGCAACCTCATCTTCTCACCTGTATCTAACAAGCTAGGATCTGTAACACCCAGTCTTGCATTCAGTCTTTCCAAAGCTTCTGACATATATTTCCCATTTTTAAATTTATGAAATTCAGATAAAATCTTATCAGATTTCTCTGTCTTTGCAAATTTTTTGCAGCCATCAAAGAATCTTGTCAGTGTATTATCTATGACTACATTTGAGTGATTAAACTCTGAGGTATGCTTTAATCCCTGAATAAAGTTATGTGCACTGTCAAATGAGCGTGACTTTGAGCTTGATTCAAACACAATATCTTTATTATCTGCTGTTCTCCAGAGAGATTGATATGTTTTTCCTACACGCCTTCCTATTTCATAATGCTCTTCTGCTCCAACTGGATGAAGTTCCTGAGCTTGCTCAACCGTAAAGTTATTCGTCCAATGAAATAGGTTTTGGCTCAATTGATCGTCTTTGTGGTGCTGCAAGTACAGCTTAATTTTATTGAATGTTATGTCACAACCAATGATGTCTTTGAGACTGGGATATCTACTTCCATGCCTCAGTGTCCAAGACAGCTGCACAGGCTCACAACATTTTGGAATATTTTTTTCTGAATTGAATTTGATTCCTGCATGTTCATTCAATGGATTAGTCTTCAAGAACTCAATAAAACTGGGAATTGAGTTGTTATAAGAAGTCTTTGTTGTGAATAGTTTTCGTTTAAATGGATTAGTCATCGATTCTTTTGCGATTAAAGGCAATATAAGTGTAAAAATGGTAAATATATTCAGTTTTGCTTTCATTTTAAAACCCGGAAGTCTACCCGGGTTGGCGTGACCTTGAACTTGTCTCTGAGGCAACAAAAATAAATATCTGCAAAAAGTTGGTAAAGTCTCATTTTTGTGTGCTTTTGTTGTATTTTAATGTAGTTCTTAAATATGCGCTATCATTCGTTAACATAGTTTTAACTCAGGAATGTGTCAACGTGGTCTTATATTCCTTCAACTATTAGTGATTTAAAAAATACTCTATTATCGCCCATTAAAATGTGAATAAAATGTGCAAACCGAATGCAATGTCAATATTGAAGCCAATTTTTCTTCAAGTACATTAAACTATCTGAATTTTCTTTGTGGTGGATTGGATTTCACTTCTGTGCTATGCATTTTACATCGTAAATTCTGGATCGATCGAAGGCCGCCGGCCATTGTAAATCTCTATAAATATGCAACAAATACTTGTCAATAATATAAAAACACCTGAACACCTTTGTTATAGATTATTACAATCACATTCTCAAGCCAAATCATATTTTTCTAAAAAAACATTGAAATAGATAATAGATCATGTTTACGTCATCATAGAGGTTTGTGTCACCTGGCGAGGCTGGCGTTTGATCTCGTAATACTCATCATTTCGCCTTTGCATTTTCCAGTTCTTATAACCATGGACTTGAGTCAATGTTTCTCTCGAAAGTACTGCCATATAATTTTACCAGGATTGGAAACAGGAATTCCATGAAAAAAAGTTCCTGTTTTATTTCTCCATTCTCGCCTTAATTAGCTCATTTTGGTGACTTGAACTTGAACAGCTATATTAACAAGAATCTTATAGTATACAATCAGTATAAATTATAACTGTAATTGTACCTATTAGCCTCATTTGATTGTTTCTTGGTGACTGGTAAGATCCAGTCAGAGTTTTGGCAATGGATGGCATTTTCAGATGATGACCAATCAAATAGCACGATATGATCACATGATCAATCGCAAGGACACATTTTCCAAGAGATAATCGATGATGCTAGTTTATGAAGAGATGATAACGTGACCTTCTGCCAAAGCGCTGGCTTCTTGTTTCCAATCCTGGTAAAATCATATACCAGTATAAATTTCAAAAGAAACGTCGACTCAAGTCCGTGCTTATAACTATACTATCTTAATATGAAGTTTGAGACAGTGAAATGTATTGTAATTTTTATTTCAAAATTCGTACTACAAAATGAAGATAGTCATACCCATCTTCTGCTTTACATTAATGTACATCATGCCTTTCTTGATCATTGTACCCCAAGAATTTTTCTTCCTTCTTTTGCCGCTAGACCAACATCATAGGATAACATTGCCTCTTTACTCTGAGCTCTCATGGTCCCATATTTGTTATTTAGTCAACCTGATAGAATGCTTCACTTACTTCATCACTTCACATGTACTATCACAAACATAGGATAAAATAATGTGATAAGAAAAAAAGATTGATATGACAAAAAAATGTTTTATGAAATACATTTACATGTACTTGCAGGTTGGTTAGCTTCGTAGCTGAAAGTGCTCATATAGTGGTGAATGGTGATGCAAGAACATTATGAGTGATGATGAAACAATTTCTGATGAGCACATTCAATGGATGCAGAAAGCTTTGGACTTTGCAAAAGATGCTTTGACAAATTCTGAAGTTCCTGTAGGATGTATTATTGTTTATGACAACCAAATAATTGGAAATGGACGTAATTTTGTAAATGAAACTAAAAATGCCACACGTCATGCTGAATTTGTAGCAATTGACCAAGTATTAGATTGGTGTAAAAAGACAGATTGTGCGAGTGAAGAAGTATTCAAAAACTCGGTACTATATGTGACTGTAGAACCATGTATTATGTGTGCAGGAGCACTTCGGGCAATTCAGATACCACTCGTTGTTTATGGTTGCGCAAATGAACGCTTCGGTGGATGCGGATCAGTTTTGTCGATTCATTCTGACAAGTTGCCCAATCAGGGTCCAGCTTTTAAGTGCATTTCTGGAGTATTCCAGGAGGAAGCTGTGAAACTTTTGAAAGATTTCTATAAAGGAGAAAATATCAATGCTCCAGATTCGAAGAGGAAGAAAAAACTTTAGATTTAATCAAATACTGCATATGCCACAGGTAAATATTAATTTTCAGTTTGAATCTAGTACATGTTCATGTACATGCAGTTACTATTCATACAGAACTTTTTGTGTGATAGACATTCGTAGCAGTGTAACTATCAGATATATTTTTTTTTGCACGTTTATTGTCATTGTCTTAAATGTTAATTGGTACATTTACGGGGATGATCTAATTTACTAAACTATCTGAGCAATTTTTTCAAGCCTAATTTTACAGTAAAGAAGGTCAGAAGTAATAAACTGACAAAATTTATTTAAAGTGCAATCGAGTATTCACTTTAAAAAAATATTTTAGGATCTGAAATAGGCGCTGGCCTTTAAGTGGTATAAGATTACATGATAAATAGAGGTTATTTAATGGGAGGGATGGAATATGGATTTTATTCCGAGGGAAAATATGATATTGGCCAAGGAAAATATCATATTGACCGAGGGCGATAGCCCGAGTGTCAATATGATATTTTCTGAGGCCAATATCATATTTTCTCAAGGAATAAATCCATATTCCATCACGACCATCAATAACCTTTTTATTTCATAATAATGATTATGATAATAATGAGGATATAATATGATATAATCATGATAATAATTTCAATAATTTCAATTTTCCAAACGATTTTTTTACTTCCTGTAGAGATGTGCTAGACGAAAAGCGTAAAACTCAAGAGAAATTACCGGGAATATTTCTGATACGGGATCTGATACGGGATTTTTGCTGATACGGGATCCAATACGGGATCTGATACGGGATTTTGGCTGATACGGGATCTGATACGGGATTTTTCAAATAACACTTTTATTCCCTGTTATTTTCCCAGGGAAAACATGTTATTATGGAATAAGTGACTATATTCCTCATTGCATGTTGCCAGATATCGTTGATATTAATGCACTTACAACAGGATCTTTTAAATCAATATAAGCAACAGTTATATAAACAGACGAAGAAGAAATATTGATTGTGTTATTTATGCAAATATTTAAGTGTTGTAGAGGTCAAAGTTATATCACTGAGCAACAAGTAAGCATTCAGTCATAGAATCATCTTAAATGAATGTTAGTCCTTGTTGAAAAACATTTTTGTTTGTGCTGATGTATTTTTGAATTTATTGACAGCTGACATTATGTTGAATATTTTGTAGTCTTGAAGCCATGTATTTAGGGAGTAGCATAGCCTATAATTTGTATGAATTATCAGTTCAATATTTTACATTACTGTATTTTGAAATTCATAAATGATAATGCTCAATTCTGTTTTATTTGTTTATTTAAAGGAAATAATAGCAGTTTATTATGTATTAGAGCTTCTCTAGTGAGTGTAATGATATCACCGGGGATTTCCCAAAGTACTCTATTCTTTATTTCGTTCATTCCCTCATTCTGGAGTAAGTAATAAATTGTATTCAAACTAATTATTCATAGTCAGTGCTTTATCTGGCATTTGTTGACATTAATCTAACAGTGAGAACACTTTTTCTTTCTAGGTCATGGAAACAATATAGGGATTCATACATTGTTTGGTACAACTTTAGAACAGACCATACATACGAAAGACTAATGACCTGAAATTGATAAATTTCTGAAATGGGTTGTGGATCATCAGTTGTGAGACAGAAATCTGAAAAAGAGGAACAATGGGACAGAGTTTGGGAGACTGTAGAGGTGAAAAAGCCAAAGGGCAACATGTCAAAGAACCTTGTAGTCAAACGTTCAGGGTGGAAGACCGTAAGGATCTTTGTGTCGTCAACTTTTAGGGACTTTCATCATGAGAGAGAAATACTAGTGAAAAAGGTAATGATGATTTTATGTGATTATTTACACTTCTAATTACTAATAATGAATGACCAGGATAATCCTAAGAAAGATAAGCAAACTGAAATAAAAATGTTATGCTAGGAACATATTTTTCTAGTATACACATTACACATTATGCTATATGAATAACTTTCCAGAAATCAACTGTATTAATTGTTGACCTCCGCTGCAAGCCAAGATTTTAATGGCCATTGGCCTGATATGACTTTAAGTCAGCTTTCTAAATTGTTTACCTTTTATCAAAGATAAACTAAAAAAAATATTCAGAATGTATGTCTACTAAAAAATGCATTTTTGTTTTGTGTTCCAGGTTTTTCCAGATTTGAGAATATGGTGTCAGAGCAGACGTCTGCATTTAGTGGAGTGTGACCTAAGATGGGTGAGTTAATATTTTAACAAAAATACAGTAAAAATTCATACTCCTTCAGTTAAATTGTAATGTTTTTCATTGGTTCATATGCCTATTGAATCTGTCAACAATTTTCAGATGAACAAAAGGTACATTGATCTGAATTAATGCTCATATCCATTTTATGGGATCCATACTGGTAATTTACACCATCAGTCCTGACTACTACTTTAACCTCATTTTGGAGAGCCTTTTGTCTTCATAATTATCACAAACATGAGTTGTATTAGGAATCATCAAGTGAGCCACCCAAACATGCCATTTTTACCTCTGTACCTCTGTTAGTTTAGCCATTGCGCAAAAAGCAACTCGCCTAAGCCCTACTATGTTTTAAGACATAAACTTTAACCATGACTTCTTGGTCTTTAAGCTCTTGAGTGATTTCTGTTCGATTCGATATTCCAGGGCGTTCCCAAAGATTCAACCACTGAGACAACACTAAGGACATGTCTGGAAGAGATAGATCGCTGTTACCAAGACAACATCATGCCATTTTTTGTCAACATGACAAGGTGAAAGCTCTTTGAAAACCAGTAATTTGAATTTGACTTAATGTGCTCCAGGTATTTTGCAGTTAGTATAAAACTTAATGTCAGATTTGTTAAAGCACAGTACCTACTTCCAATAATAAAAAGCACAAGAAATGATCAGTTAAGGAACAAAATGCCATTTAAAAGCACATCTGTTCAATGTCAAGAGTATAAGAAATATTTTTGAATTTGTTCTTCTTTCTATATTCATTACTATATCTCTAATTTGTTGTTTTAGTGAGCGTATAGGCTGGATCCCTTTGGAAGAGGAAGTGCCAGCATCTATCAAGTCAGAATACAAATGGGTCAATGGCCTTTCTGTTACAGAGATGGAAATCATGCATGCTTCATATAGGAAAGATAACCCAAACTGTAAGTGAAGCATAAAGTAAGATTTAGAGATTCCCCTGACCTTTAGTCAAGGATTGAGACCCAATTTGAGCCAAGGCTTGTCTCTGCTAGGTCACTTTTGGTACAGACCATCTTGTTTTTCATTAGAATTTCATTTTGGCCAGATCCAATAACAAAGACACATCATAAGTATAACTAATCATAATTAAATGAAACACCAAACATCCAAACAATGATTCTTTGATATTTTTTTTTTTTTTTTTTTTTTTTTTTTTTTTTTTTTTTACATTCATACATTGTTTATAATGATTACAAATAATGTAATGCATAAAATATAAACAAAAAGAGACGTAATGATACATTCATACAAAGTCAATTACATTTCTAATACACATTTGGTTATCCATTTTGATAGTATTACATCTTTTGTCATATTAAAAATTTGAGAATAATAAAACGCATTTTTGATAAATGCATTTGTTATGTCGAAAATTTTCCAGTTTTCTTTTTCTTCCGAATATTTACACCAGTTATTGTATATAGTCAATCCTGCAATTGTTAAAATTATGTTTCTATATTTAGTTATAGTGTTTCCGAATGGATAACCAATTACAATATGTTTATATTGAATATCACATTTTAACACTCTTCCAATTTTATTCCACAAGGGTTTAACCTTATGGCATTCAAATATCATGTGCTTAATATTGTGCAATTGATTACATATTAAGCAATTTTTGGAGACTTTGTTATTCCATTTTGATACAAGAGATCCACATGCCAATAAGTTGTTTAAGAGTTTAAAATTAAACTCTGAAAAATATGTATAGCTCATATTTATTAATTTTTGATCATATATATTTTTCCAAAGGTGTTGTTCTATAATATTAAAACAAGTATTCCAGTGAGTCTCTTGAATATTTCTTTCAAATTTAAGATTTCGCAGGATGTTGTAGAAAAAGTTTGCTTTTTTATCGTCTAATTCAACAAAGTGGTTCTCTAATAAAAATTTAGTTTTATCCCTTATATTGATAAAAGGTAAAATATTTTTATCAACATTTGAACAAACACTCATGATGGTTCTTTTGAGAATATACAACTCTATCATCCAGTTCTTTTTTCTTTGCAATGCTTGAATAAAAGTTTGGCTACTTTTAAAAGAGCCATTTGGATTAAAGAAATCTCCTACGTATACAAAACCAGACTGAATCCAGTTTTTATAAAATAAAACACTTCTTCCATTTAAAAATCGTTTGTTCAACCATAACACTTCCCTGAATATATCGTCATTTTTCATTTTGTCATTTGTTACATAAGTTTTACAGGTGTTAAATGAGCAAAGTATTTCCTTATAAAAAGGAGTAAATATGTTCAGATCATTTATTGATTGTTTATCAAAATTACAGTTCAAAAGTGTTTCTACTTTAAGACCTGTTTTCTTTATCAAGTGTAAAGGAAATAATCTCCATGATGTTTTGCTTGTTAATAATCTACTAATCCACCCACACTGCAGGCTTTGTATTTTAAGTTTAACATCTACAACATTTAACCCCCCGTCTTCTATTGCTCCAATTACTGACTTTCTTTTTACCTTATCCTTGCCATTCCAAAGAAAATCAAAAAACATTTTTTCTATTTGTTTGATAATTGACTCGTCAATTTCCATGACTGTAAAATTGTAAACAAGCTTTGATATTGCAAGGGATTTTATAATTTGAGATTTTCCAAAATATGTTAATTGTCTTGTTTTCCAGGTTTGTAATAATTGTTTAAGATCTCTTAGTTTTGATTCCCAGCTTATAGATTGACACTTTTGTTTATCCCCAATATATATTCCAAGGCATTTAATGGGTTTACTGCTAAATAGTATTTCTTCAATGTGATCATCTTTTGAATTTTTATTAGAACCTAATTTTAATCCTTCAGTTTTATCGATGTTTAATCTAAGACCACTTACTCTTGAGAATTTTTCTATTTTCTGTAATGCAAACTTAAGGGATTCATTATTTGATAAAATTAAAGTTGTATCATCTGCATGTTGTACAATTTTGATATTTTTATTCTCTATTTCTATACCATTTATTCTTTTATCATTTTTAATTGAGACTGCCATTACTTCAGTACATAGAATAAATAGTAACGCAGATATTGGACATCCCTGCCGTATTCCCCTATACATGCGAAAGCTATCAGAAAACCATCCATTATTTTTTATTTTTATGACTGGGTCATTATACAAAATTTTTATCCATCTTTTGAAATTGTTTCCAAAGTTAAATTTATCTAGTGTTTTGAACATAAAATTCCAATTGATAGAATCAAAAGCTTTTTTGAAATCCAAACACACTAATAAGCCTGGTATATCTTCAATTTCACTATATTCTATAATGTCAAGAAGTAGTCTAGCATTATATCCTATGAATCGCCCAGGAATATAAGCGGACTGGTCAATATTTACTAATTTTTTAATCACTTTTTGCAATCTTCTTGCCAAGACAAAAGCTAATATTTTGTAATCATAATTAGATAAACTGATTGGTCTATAATTTGTCAAAATGCATTTGTCACCTTTTTTGTACAATAGTGTCAACACAGATAATCTCATAGATTCAGTCATTTCTCCTTTTTCAAAGATCTCTTCTAAAACTAAAAAATAAATTTCTTTTAGCTCATCCCAAAAGCATTGGTAAAATTCTGGAATAAGGCCATCTATCCCTGGACTTTTGTTCTTTTTCAAATTTTTAACTGCAAAATCAATTTCTGATTGTATAAGTTCATTTTCACAGACATTTTTCTCTGTTTCTGTTAAAATGTGATCAATATTTATATTTTGTAAGAAAGCATCTATGTCTTCATTTGGTATGTTATCTGATGAGTATAGTTTCTGGTAGAAAGATTTTGCTTGATGTAAGATATCGTCAGTTTTAAAAAAAGTCCCATTTTCAGTACAAATCTTATTAATAATATTTGAAGTTTGTCTTTTTTTCTCGAGAGTCAAAAAGTACTTTGAACTTTTTTCACCGTATTCAACCCATTTTGCCCTTGACCGAATTTGATATCCTTTTGCCTTTTTTTCATATATATGATCTAATTTTGATTCAAAAGTTGCTTTTTTATTTTTCAATGTATTTGAAATTTCAATGTTATTACACCTTTCAATAAAAGTGTTTATGTTGTCGATTTTTTCTTGTAAAAGTTTGCACTCATTTTTTTCATTCCTTGATCTTTGTACAGAGAATCTAATTGATGTTTCTTTTATTTTGGCTTTCAAAATTTCCCAAAAGACCCGTTTTGACTCAATTTTTTCAAATTTTCTCTTAACATTTTGAATACATTCAATAATTTTGTGTTTGTACTCATTATCATTCAAAAGACTGCCATTAAGCTTCCAATATCCCTTTCCTCTAACATTTTTACTAATTTTGAAATCACAAACAACCGCTCTATGATCTCTATTTAATGCCTGAAGGATATATGATTTAATAATATCAGAGGCGCTATTTTTGGATTTAAAAATGTAGTCAAGTCTGCTTTTGCACTTATTAATCTTATCATAGTATGTAAAACCAGGCTTTTTAACTTTTGGTGATGTCCAGACATCTATTATATCTAAATTATTTATCATATACTCAAAAGAATGTTTACTCTTATCATCTCTACCTTTGCTTTGTGATACTCTATCATCATCATTTCTGCAACAGTTCATATCACCTGCTATAAAAATATTTTCATTATTCATAGAATTTTCTGAGATCCACTGATCAATATTTTTGAAAAAAGTACATCTTTCTGTAATATTGTTTGGCGCATAAATGCTGACAAATGTATAAATTTCACAATTTATCTCAGCGTTAACAAGAACTGCCCTTCCATTATCTATTTTTTCATAATTCCTCACATTACAACAATCACTTATAGTTTTACCAAACATTATGGCAACACCTCTTGAATGGTTTGAATCAGTGGTACTGTGAAAAACTTTACCTTCCCATGATGAATTAAAAGTATTTAAAAAATCAGTGGTACAGAAAGTTTCTTGCAAACAAATAATGTCAGGTTTTTGGTCCTGTAGCCAATGAAATAGTTTTTTCCTTTTAGCATTGTCTTTTATCCCTCTTACATTGAGGGTAAGAATTCTTAACTTTTCCATCTGTTAATGATGGTTAAAAAAAAAGTTAATGCGGAGGAGATCTCTGCTTCTGGGTCTTGGCTGCTGGTTGTTTCTCTGCAGACGTAGGTGTAGATTGTGATGATCTGTCCTTACGTTTGTTCCTTACTGGTGTCATAATACATGTCTCCTCAGATGCTGTCTTCATTGTACTGACAATGTTGTGTGCAACCTTGCTATACCCATGTTGTGATAGGTGTACTCCCTTCGGGTCATTGGTGGCATAGTCTTTCTGGGATGTTTTGCCATCATTGCAAAGTAGCGTTGGGTCACTGTCAATAAAAGTTGTATATTCTTTTGATTTACACATCATCTGAATGAGTTTATTGGCCTTGGCCACTTTAGTCCTCATTATGTTGGATTTTCCATGCTGTGTGAATGTAGGAGGGATGCTACATATCATGATGTTGGAATCAGGAAATTTGACATGTATATCCTTCACTACCTTATCATATTTTTCTAAACATAGTTCCGGAGCTTCTCCATTGTAGACAACATTGTTACTTCCAACTTGGATGACAATGTTGCTGACCTCATCTGTTTGTGCTGGTATTTTCACTAATAGGCCTGGTATATCTTCAATTTTTGCCCCACTTTGGCATGATGGTATGAAGCTTTTCTCTTGATTGCTGATCCCTTTGGCTAAGGATCCTCCAACTAGTATAGTCTTTTTCTGTTTATGTTCACCTTGGTCTTCCTTTTCTTCATCTTTTTCTTCATCCTTTTCTTCATCCTTTTCTTCATCATTGTTCACAGGTTGGTTGACTTTTTCTGCTTGTGCAGTACATGCAGAAATGACATGGGATGTGCTCCCACAGTTGTAGCATTTCCGTACATCTTTTAGAGGGCATCTCCACCAGGGATGTTCAACAAGTTGGCATATCCTGCATGGCTGACCATTGTAGGAGAGTCTGCCTCTAAAACCAGCTATGACTGGATCACTGGGGATAGGCTCTTTGATATCCACTACTGTTATATAACGTATCCCATTTTTTATCTTCGTTTTCGTTCCATCAGGTTTTTTCACATATCCATGATGTATTTCATTCAGTACTGTTGCATAACCTTCCAGATATGCGTTAATGACACCATCTGATAACTGTACGGGTATGTCCTTCAATGTTACATTCACAGTGTTATTCTCAACATCATATAGATTAATGAAAGTTCCATTGAAGTTCAGACCTAACGTCTGTGCTGCAGTTTTTGCCTCTTTATTTGCAAAAGTTATATGTATGTCTCTCCTATTGATTTGGATAGCTTCAATGTCATTTTCGGTAATATCCATGGTTCCTAATGCTTGGAGGATGTCTCCTTCCTTAGCATAGTTAGTGTCTCTCAGTGAGCATTTTAGAGTCAAACTTCTATTTATAGGCATCTTGAGAAGGTCCCTTACAGTGTTCAATATTAGTAATTAACTGTTGTAAATGTTTTATGTGGTTCCAATACACTATATGTTTTATGTGTCACTATATTTATGTGAGCTATGTGTAAAGTCAAAAACTGGATCAGTTCCAACTTATTTGAAATCCACAAAATGTGATAAAATATCCATCCAAATTACAAGTATTTCAGATAGTTTTTATTCAATATTTTAGTATCTTTTGCTTCCTTGACTATTCAAGTATATGTCAAACCGAGATATTTATCCAAAAACGTTGTTTATCCTTCGTTTTTCCAAATAATGTGCAGACTTTGTTATTTGTAATGTCCTGTTCATTAAGGGGTCGTCTTAAATGATTCTTTGATATGAAAACAGTTTCCTATGAAAACTTTTATTTGCAGAAGGGGACACCTGGAGTGTCATTTAAAAATACCTCCGGCCAAAATTTTTTTTTCATACTCACCTGGTCATTTTTTAGAAAAACCTTGTTGAACAGACATTGAATCTAATTTTGGCCCAACATTGGCCAAATTGTTGCCATAACCTTTGTGTATTCTTTTTTTATCTCCAGCTATCTTCATGTTGAGAGATCCATCTTTCATAGAGACAATACCAGAAGAACACAAGGAAGCTTTTATTGACCCGAATCCAGTATAATGTCCTGAATCCATCCTATCGATCCTCCTCATTTTGATTCATTTTGTACTTATTTAGCTATCTTCATGTTGAGAGATCCATCTTTCATTGAGACTGTCCCAGAGGAACATCGGGAAGCTTTCATTGACCCAAGTCCAGGGTAATGTCCTGAATCCATCCTATCCATCCTCCTCATTTTGATTCATTTTGTACTTATTTAGCTATCTTCATGTTGAGAGATCCATCTTTCATTGAGACTGTCCCAGAGGAACATCGGGAAGCTTTCATTGACCCAAGTCCAGGGTAATGTCCTGAATCCATCCTATCCATCCTCCTCATTTTGATTCATTTTGTACTTATTTAGCTATCTTCATGTTGAGAGATCCATCTTTCATTGAGACTGTCCCAGAGGAACATCGGGAAGCTTTCATTGACCCGAATCCAGTATAATGTCCTGAATCCATCCTATCCATCCTCCTCATTTTGATTCATTTTGTACTTATTTAGCTATCTTCATGTTGAGAGATCCATCTTTCATAGAGACAATACCAGAAGAACACCAGGAAGCTTTCATTGACCCGAATCCAGTAGCGCCAGACAAACTAAAGATGCTCAAGAAAATGATAGAGGACAGATACACAGTAAGTGATCAAATATACATTTTTACTTGGACAAATCAAATCTTGGTTTCACATGGAATTCATGCTGTATGATTTCCAAATCTATGTTACATCTCTCACATGTTGTCAATTTTATGATCTATGCATCGTGATCTGCATTGATTTACAAATCATAGATTATTGTTTATTGACTATACTGATTTATGGTTTAATATGCTCAACAGTACTGTGACATGTACCTTGGCATTTAAAGGTGCAAACTGATTATGTTTATTTTGTAGAGAGTCAGGGTTCATGTTTACAAGTGCAGTTTTGATCATCATGATGAAGATTCAAAAGTTAAATTTTCTGGTTTAGATGGAGTTGATGATAAAGCTTTCTCCAAAATAGTAAGTCAGTTTATGTTTGATTGATGATTTATGTTATTTTGCCAGTTTTATTTATTTGATCACTTTTACTGAACTTAATTTTTTCTGAAACTCAGACTCAGTTATTTCTAGTCGTGCATTTAATTGTAAATGTTTTAAAATCAACAAGTTTAGAGTTTGCATCAAACAAATAAAATAAGAAAGCATGAGTCTAGTTATAAATCTGCCTTTACCAGAGGTTGAAAGTTACAATATGTCACTAAGCAAATGAGACTGTTCAATTATTAATGCATTCATTTTATTTGCTTCAGGTCTTTGATTTTTTCAAAAACCGAATAGAGCATCAATATCCACTGGCAGACAAGGAGTCTGAAGATCCATATGAGAGAATCAAAGAGAAACACGAAGCTTTTATGAAGGCCAGTTCTGCAGTGGTCATTGGACGAGATGAAACTCTGGAAAGGGTACATGCCTTAACCCTTTTTTCAAGTACATTTAAATTGAGTTTGTTAATCAATATTGATATAATGAGGCCCTTTTTCCATCCATCCTGTGTCAGAACGACTTTCACTTTTGGCTTTAGTTCTATTCTTGCATACATTGGTTTGTGATATCAGGATTTCTGGAAATCATTTAGGTAAATACAATTTCTTTCAGGTGGACAATTACATATGTGGACCTGGAATAGACAAGCCTCTTTTAATGGTAGGTGCAGCTGGTACTGGGAAATCATCTATAATGGCACGTCTGGCAGACACAACAAGCCATAAAGCTGCCACTGGAGCCATACCTGGGTGAGATGTTTCATTTGTTAGTGTTCATGTATCACATGCTCCACATATATGTACTCTTGAATTGCACATGCATGCGGAGCAATATGGATATAGGGATGATAATATTCAAAATTGATTTAAAATCATTTTACAGTGGTGGCGATAAAGGCTGGCACGTGTTTTACCACTTTGTGGGTGCGGTACCTGGCTCTACAGAACTAGAAAAACTTCTGAAAAGATTGCTTAAAGAGATGGGAGTGGTAGATGTAAGTTTACAATGCATTGTATTATTTCATTGAACAAGATTTGATAGTGATACATGTATATTGAATTAAAGTTCAGATGCATACAAATGTAAGAGTGTTGTTCTCATTCTGTTTCAGGCTTCTAATATGCCCAAAGACCTGGAGAGTGCAGCTCAAGTAACATGTGGGGCTTTGAACAATCAGAACACTCGACCAACAATCATCATTATAGATGCACTCAACCAGGTATACCTCACACACTGTAAAATGACTTTTAATTATCCATTTAAGAATTCTTTCTGTCATAATATCTATACATCTTTAATAGTCAAAAATGGTCTAGCCCACAGTGCCTCTTTAAACTAAATTGTTTAGATATTTTTAAAAAATGGTACTGACATATCACTTCAGGCTAAGATAAATACCCCAAAGTCTCAGGTATTACATCTTTCATTTTGGAGATGAATCCACCTTTCAAGAATACAATAAATGTCTGTCCTTAACAAAAATATTGTTTTATATTTCAGTTTGACAGTGATCTTGCTGCAGATTTAGTTAGCTGGGTCCCTAAGAAACTTGCTCCACAGATTAGATGCATCTTCACAATGATACCTGAAACCCCTCAACATTATGCATTGATTAGCAGAGAGCCTCAACCTGATATGTTTGACCTTGAACCCCTCAATATGGAATCTAGAACGGTATGCACTAAATCAATATCTATTAAAAATGTATTAGCAGTAGTTTTACTCTTTAATGAATCCTCATCATGATTCTTAAACGTTTTGACATTAGGAAACTGAAATATTGAACATTCAATGTATATTGTATATGTTTGGTTGAATATTACAGAAAATAGTGAAAGAGATGCTTGGTAAATATAACAAGGCTCTGGACACAGGCCAGATGGACTCTCTCCTTTCTAAGACATCTTCAGATAACCCGCTCTGGCTGTCTTTAGCCTGTGAGGAACTTAGAGTGTTTGGAAACTTCAGGAAAGTCTCTGATAAAATCAACCAGTTAAGAGATGGACTCCTTGAGTAAGTTTCTATATTAATTTCTCCAACATAAACTCATCAGAGATTTCAACGGGGCTTTTCCCTCACATGTTGTGCCTCCTATCGTCCATCTGCCCATTTGTTTATATGTACGTCTATCTGTCAGTCCTTCCTTCCTTCTGTCAACAAAATACCAGTCTGTATCATTTAACATGTTTATCATTAACATGTTGATAGAAAACCAGCTTTTAATTAAAACATGTTTATAATAAGACCTGTGTATATTAAACATTTTTTGTTGAGAAAAACATTCCCTGTTGGAAAGTGTTCACTACAGAGAGGATAATTTATACAGAAGTCAGTAAAATATGTACAGAAGGAAAGGTGTCCACTCGACACAGGTACTCACAGAGACAGGTGTTCACTAACTTGACTATGATAAGTTTTACTGGACACAATATCAGAGCATCATGTTTTGCAGGTTAGAGATGCAGATCATGACACGATTTGAGGAGGAAAGTGGTGGAGAACTATTGGTGGCGACATTATGTCTTCTAGAATCTTCTTCCACTGGTCTTCTAGAGACAGAACTTTTGATGATATTAGGGGATACAGATAACCTTATGCCAAGGGAACAGGCTGAGGCAGAAAAAAGTGAGTCAGTTTTCTCCAATTTCAAAAATCCATTAAGTTTTTAATTTTTTAATTTTGCGTTATTTTGATTTTTAATTTTATCAATCAGTAAAATACTTAATGAATTACTCCACTCACTTTACAGATGATAACCAAAGTGAAAAATGTCGCAGCAACTTGGAACCATTACCTGCTTATAAATGGGCAGAGGTGTACAGATCTCTTCGACCTTTCTTACGTCCATTTGGTGACAGCGGGGAGGGACGTCTAGATTTCTACCACAGGTCACTCAGCAAGGCAGTCAGAAAAAAGTAAGTAGAGTTCTATACAGGTAGGACATGTTTGGATCAGTTCAAATTTGTTTGGCAAATCTAAGAATCAACTTGTGGTACACTGTATCCTACTTACTTAATTAGTAAACACAAACAAATTCTAAATGAGCAGGAATTTCTTTAGTCAAATTAAAGTTGAAAATAACAATTTTTGTTACTTTTTACGATAGTATTTTTTTCTATTTCCCTATTCAGAGAAAAGGACTTTTAAATGTTTTTAAATTTCAGATATTTAAAAGATGACGGTATAAAGAAGTGGTGGCACAAAATATTGGCAGATTATTTTGAAAATGAGCAGAATATCAGCAGAAAGATTGAGGTAAATAATACTATTTTCTATTATTCTACTATTGACTGAATTTTTGGGATGAACTCATCCATGTATGAAAGTGGTTCAGAGAAAAATGCATTTAAAAGTTTTAGTTCTCAGCAATCAGAAGAATGATAATGTTAAAAAAATAACATATCATATTCTTCTTTTCAACCTAGTTAGACAATCAACATTAGTTTATTTTGAAAGTGTACCATATAATATTTAGAAAAGATTGGCAAAGAAAGACTTTTGTAAATAAAAAAAAACACATCAGATATGCCATTTTATTATTGAAATAGGTGTCCTTTGTTCAATCTTCTCAATGGTTCGATGGAAAATTTGAATATTTGAAATAAAAAGCTAACAATTTTTTTTCAAAAACATTTTTTTATGGACAAAAGTAAATGAATGATAAAAATATTTTCAAGCTTTGCATGAGGCCTTTAACTGTAGACAGGTTTTACTGTACTTTACATTGTATTTATATACATATCTTTGGTTATTTGTTTCCAGGAATACCCAAATCATTTACTTTTACTTGAGGACCAAGAACGCATGAAGACATTCCTGACTGACTGGGATGTGTTTTTAAATCTTTTCAACATAGAATTTAGCACAAAGTTATGCAAGTATTGGAATAAGGTATGTCGTTTGTTGAATAATAACTTTTCATCATTATATTAGAAGATTTCATAAATGTTTTCGGAAAGGCAAAAGTAGAACTTTATGGTGCCTAAATCGAATTTCAATGTAAAGTTGTGTACTATTCAAAGGATTCACTTTTGTTGTTTTGTTGAGGGTGGGTAGGTGTATTGTAAAATCCAGACCAGCTTCACAACTGCAAGGTCAACAAAAACCTTTAGTGTAAAATTCATATCTTTGTAATGGCAATTCCTTGTTAGGTTGATCATTTACAATTTGTATTTCATTAAATGTAAAAGGAAGTACATGTGTATTTAGTACATGTTATACTTGTTTGACCTGAATCTCACTTATCTTTATTTTGATTGATATTTTCTGTTTTAGACATGTACACTGGATGAAATGGAACAGCTCTATGTAACCAAGATAGAGAACTTAACAAATGATACCAGTTCAACCAAAGATTTACTTGCTCGAAGACTAGAGAAAATGTCAAAATTTATGTAAGTGGGTAATGGTTATTTGTCTGGCTAACTATATTCATTGACTTATGGAGATCATAAAGTGACCAACTTTTTAAAACTCGACCTAGTGGATTAATTGAAAGCTGGTAGGTTGACACAGTTAAGTCTGTTGGAGTTTATGGTCCATTTATTTAAAAACAGCGCTATAATAGTTGTAATTCTTGTCCTAAATGAGCCTAAAAGATTTTTTTGATTCATACAATAATTTACACAATCATTTGTCTTGGACATAAACCTTTCTTTACATGTATTTTAACTTAAAAATATTATGCATTATAGAGCCTATAGAAAGTAAATCAATCGACTTTTTCAATTATTACTTGTCAACCATCAGCCCAAAACCAGTGATGCAAAAAGTTGCCTAGGCCTAGTTCAGCTAATATTGACCCATAACTTACCCATTTTCTTTCCAGGGGCCAGATGGGGAGATATGATAAAGCTATGCAGTATGCAACCAGAGCCAGAGATATCGAAGAAGAGCTAGGATCTCGTCCAGAACGTATGATGGAGATATACCATTTACTAGCATTTGTAGGAGATGAGGTAAAGAACACTATTAGGTTCAGAGTATATTTATGATGAAGGCATATTCCTACCACACATGAACTGGCATAGTGTTTTGTCATTATCTTTCTTCATTATCAACCACTGTTTAACCCTTCACTATTGTACTACTAAAATAACATTTATTTGGCCATAAAGGAAGTCAAATTTTGGCAAGAAATTGGTGCTACAATGGGAAACAAAAATGCTCTTTTTTGGTCCTAAATATATGATTCCAAATTGGAGATGTATATATTTCATGAGGTTTAATTTTGAATTCATTTCTAATCTACGAAGGCTTTACTTCACAGCCTAATGCGTGACAGTAGGAAACTAAATTGAGATTTTAGACATTTCATTATGCTTTGAAAAAACTTTTAATGAGTACATGAATTCACTTATATTTTGAACTTATGCTTTACTTCAGCACTTCAAACTGGAGGACTATTTGTACCATGCCCAACTACCTCGTATGAAACCTATTGTCGAGAACTATGAAAAAACAGTTCAACTGAGGAAAGTCATGGCAGAAAAATCAAGTAGCAAAGAAGAAAAGGTAATTTAGGAGTCTCTCAATAAGATGACAGGTCTCTAAGTCGGATGAACACAAAACTGAAGTCTTTTTAAAGAATACCCAAATACCATTAATTGGATATCTCACAGATATTTATCTTTTCTGGCATATTTTATTGAAACTGCACTCATTTCTAGTTAGAAGTAATAAACTAAAGGGCATCTCACACTTAATGTTTAAATAGAAATAAAGATGGCACTTGTTTGATGTTACCAAGAAAATGCTTGCCTTATGAATCAAATTTTAGGAGTACCAAATATGTTCCACTTAGACAGGTTTTAATGTGTAATAAAATTAATACTTACTGTAAATATGCTTATCTAAATTCCAGTACAAACTAGGTATGGCATTAAGTCGTCTATCATTCTTCCTATCTGGATATGCCCTAAGAGGAGGTGACGAATGGCTCAGTGCTGAGGTTGCCAAGGAAAAGGCCATCTCCTATGTCAATGAAGCCATAGAACTGTATACAGAGGTAGGGCCCATTTATTAGATTATGAAACAAATTCCAACCTTGTCCTCTCAAATATATTTGCCTGACATTGTAATATACAAATTATAGTTTTTGGCTCACACAGTGAGCCTTTGGGATTGACCAGGCGTCCGTCCGCTGGTCCGTTGGTCCGTCCGTCCGTTGGTCCGTCCATCCGTTGGTCCGTCCGTCCTTCCGTCAACATTGGCCGCACAAATTAAAACTGCTATTCGGATTGAGTCATTTCCACATTCATTTTATGCATATACATACCGTACTGCCTATTTGACCTATCATCGCCATTTCCCAAGTTCGCCCGGTTTCGGAGAAATTGCGGATTTTGACGTCAAAAAGTCAAATTTTCTGTAAATACTAGACACTTTGTTGAAGTAGAACTTTCAAATAACTTTTAGTAGTTGGTGTATATGCAACTTATGTCCTCTGAAGATTTCAAAGCTCTTGGAATTACGGTTTTTGGTGTTTACTCAATAAAATTTGAAAAAAAGTAGGACTTAGTCATTTTCAGGAAACTTTCTCATGTATAAAGTCAATGGCAGGTTTTGTGATTGACAAGATTCTTAAAGTTTGCCTTATACTTGATCATTTCCTGCAATAAATTACATCATTAATAGATTTAAGCATTCCCTACTTATTTCTCAATATATGTCAGCATCAAATTTTTACCGTTTTTGAGATATTTGACGTCAAAAAAACAGTAAAAATAAGTTATTTTTCAACTTGCTTCAATTTGACAATTTTTTTTTTGGAAAATCATCTACAAGTTGCCAGGAGTTCAAATATGACATTAGTTTTAGGATTTGACCTTTACTTGACCTTCAGTGACCTTCGAAAGGTCAAAAAAAGTTGTTTTTCAAATTGATTTTTGGATGTAAATTTTGGTCAGCTTAATCACAAAAGACCTTACTGAGCTCTGAATAAGTAAAATTTTCAAGGTCAAAGGTCATCAAACTAGGTCACACAACTATGCTTTCTAAGTTTCTCAAAGTTTGAGACTACAAATCCAAATCAATATTTTTGTTTGAAAGTCAGGATATAAATTCCTCTGAAGGTTCCAAACTGTGTGGGACCGTGGGTCCTTCATTTTTAGATTTTTCAAGTTTTCTCATCAATTTTTACAATTGATATGATATTTCTATTCTTTTTTATATGACATATGGTAGCTTACTAGTATTTTAAAAAGCCAGCAATGACATTAATTTTGTGATAATAATGTCACTTATTAGTATTTATTACAGGTCGTGTAGACCATCTAAACATTGTCACAAATACATTGACTTTAGCACATTTATGACATTGTGTCTTTTTTAAAAGATCACATATCTAAGAAGCATTTTCGGTTAAAGAAAATTTCTAGAAGACCTTGCATATTTTACCATATTGTGTTGTTTATTCATTTAAAAATTCATTTGTAAACTTTCTCTTGAAAAAATAAATCTTCCAGATTTGTTGAATTTTCTAGCAGAAATCGCTTGCTCTTTCTCCTTTTATTTTGTCCGATTATGAGGCGTGTATATTGTGCCGTATCTTATGTCATACTCCATGGTTGCTATGGTGCCGTATCTTATGTCATACTCCTTTGTTGCTTTCAAATTTTATTTTTCCACTGGTTACAGAAATATTGTTCGATTTTGACATGATATCCTAACTATGGAATAATATAGATTATTTTCTGATTTAGATGCAGGATAACTATCGTATTGGTGACTGTCTATTGACTAGGGGTGTGGCTGAGGGCCATCCAACACCTAAGCAAATAAAGGTGAGTTGCACACAAACATACTATATCAACATAAAAGAGACAATAACAGTGCAGGGATGTTTATATTTTGGGCAACATTAAATACAAACGTATACAACCAATGTAGTTTGATGCATTGAATTGACAATTAATTTGTTCATTTTTTACCATTAATGGACCTGAGGTCCCTGGCCAGGGTATTTGAAGTTTTTCACCATTTTGAGCACTTTTCAAGTGATATTGGGCCAAAATTGAACCCATCTGGAATTTAAAAAACGACCCCCCTTGGCAAAAGTTGGCTACAGGTCTGTAGACTGTACAGTATTAAAGACTCTTAAATTACTCTCACCTTAAATTATGAACTATATTTTCAGTATTATGAAGAAGCTCGAGAAAAAATTCTCCAATCAGCTGGTCCACTTAATATGACCATGGACTGTCTTCTTCTTAATATGGGCATATATTATGAAGACACAGGTGATAAGCGCAGAGCGTATGGCTATTATTTTGAGTGGTATACAACATGTAGGGATCTGTACGGAGAGAGACATGCAAGATGTAAACGTTGTGTCACATTACTCAGGGAGACTATATTTATGGACATTGCCAAAGAAGTAGGCAACCCAGTGCCTGAAATGTTAGAAGACAATGCCAACGAAGTAACCTAATGACAATGAATTTTTAGTGATAATCTTATCTGAACACATATAGTCCATGGACTGATGAAGTGCAAGTAATTAACTACTACACAGCATATTGGACGATGTGAAATATGCTGTGATTGTATTTGAGGTGTCATCTGTGATTGTAATTTGTTATATACAGCTGTAATCTGTGAAACAATTTGGAATCTGTGAAACATTGTATTCTGTGAAACAAATTGTAATCTTTGAAACAAGTTGTAAGCTTTGAAACCAGTTGCAATATATGAAACAATTTATAATCTATGAAACAAGTTGTAATCTGTGAAACAACAAGTTGTATATTTATTGCTTCATAAAAAGATCATAATATAAATCCCTTCAGTCGCCCGATGGCATTATAGAAGGGCACATTAATAGCACAAAATACAAAATTATGATTAGGTCAAGGGGTTTACTCTTCACTTGCTGGCAAGTTGCAAAATGTGAAACAAGTAATCAATGAAACATATAGTACATTAATTTGTCAAACAAGTTGCAAAATGTGAAACAAGTTGCTAAATGTGAAACAAGTAATCAATGCAACATATTGTAATCTGTGAAACAAGTTGCAAAATGTGAAACAAGTTGCAAAATATGTGGAACAAGTTGCAATCTGTGAAACAATTTGTAATCTGTTAGTGTTCAACAAATTGTATGTAGTCTGTAAAACATGTTATGATTGGTGAAATAAGTTTTACAAAAAATACAATACAATACAATACAAAAGGATAAGATTAACCCTTAAACGGTTAGGGGGGCATATCTGCCCCCCCCCTTGGAATTTACATAGTTTGTCTTTTGATCTGAAATTTTCTGGTTTCTTTTAGAATTGAATTAGGCATGTTTTACTAAAATAAACCTTAACTGAGATTACCCCTAACTGTTGGTATTATTCTCGATTGCCTAACCAATTAAGGGTTAAATTATGTGATAAAGAGTTGTTGTTACATATGGAAAACTCTGTTTGAAAAATTGCAGTGTACACATTTTTACTATTACAATTAAAGCTATGTTAATAAAAACAGGTATGTTTTTCAATTTTGATATACAGGTATACAGAAAAGGAGGGCTGTATTAAATTCTATTGTTAGTACAAATTGCAGGCTGTTACATAATGTTTGAATATTTAAAATTATTGGTGTATTTTAGGATAAGGAATAGGCATGGGCTTTCAATTAGAGTTCTAGTTGAAAGCCCATGGAATAGGCAAGGAGCCTTTTAAAAAATACAAAGTTGAAATCACTCAAAACTACACCTTACTACATTAAAATGAACAAGAAGAGAATTGAAAATGTAAAATGTTGGTAGAAATCTTTTCAAAAGCCAAGCTAATCGGAATTTATGGGCCCTCTCCTTTCATCTCTTTGCAAGATAGACTTATTATATTTGGATTTATCAAACAACAAGAAAATACAGCAAACATTTATTGTTATATTCTTCATATTGTATATTTATTTTTGTGTACAGTACATTTATGTTAAAAGCAATAACACATGTCATGTACATGTACATGTATATTCCATGAATGAGAAATATTTTTTACATATGTAATTCCCAAATAAATAGAGCCAATAGACAAAATATCATATTTTTAAAGAATCATAATTACTTGTTGTATTAGTCTATATAGAACTCTTTGTTCTCAAGGGAGCTACACATTGGTTGTGCCTCTTGAAACCACTGCATGGTTGAGGTCCTTGGGTTGTACATGGGCTCCCAAGAGAACTAAATGTCTAAATGTACATGTAGCTAGCCCAATTGGGTTGTGCTTCAATTGCATTTGTATTTCTGGTAGCTCAAAGTACAGCTTAGAGATTGGACTATTCAAATACATGAAATACTAACTTATTTATCCTGCGGGATAACATGTAGGTGGGTATTATATAAAATATAGAGCAGTACAATAAGAAATTGATTTACACTATTCAGAACAATCAAAATATTGATTCTGTTTTGGGGTCAAGGTCATATACAGGATCACCGAGCAACAGAAAACACTTTGTAAACATGGAATGTCTTTAAAAATGGTAAGTTCTTGTTTGAAATACATTTGTAACATTTTTGTAGAACTACAGACGTATTTTGAATATGTCTAGATCACGAAGATTATCTTATAGCATTGTATTTCCATCGAAAATTGCTATAAATTGGCAGTTCAAGATTTGATCAAACTAAAATAACCTATTATCGCCCATCTCAGTTTCCCAATATTTTTGAAATTTCTAGTTGGTTCAGAGTTCAATCATAGATCCAAAGCTCGTTTCAACCACTTCCAATAGCTCAACCTCTGAACTGGAATAACTATTATTGTGGAGCCGATGGTAATCATGTTAAGAATTTTGGAAAATTGAAAAGGCAGCCATTTCCTTGAAATATCAGGATGGATGTACCATTGACCTTACTCACTTCGAGAGCCATGTTAGATTTTGAAACTTATTATTATATCAAAATCCAAATAGCTTTCGCAGGAAGTAACCATTGACCCCTATATTTGCACATAGCCATCTTTTAGATATAGCTTTGTGCAAACTAAGTAACCCAACTAACTAAAAGGAGACAATGAAATGATGCTTTCCTGAAAAAAGCAAGGAAATACACAGATCCTTCGACCAAATGGCATGCACAAATGAAGAATATATTTTTAATTCTAGGTTGTGAAAGCAACCAGCAATAACTGGCTCAGATACTAACTTGTATACAATCACAAAAAGGATGAAATAATAGACAGGATCTGAAAGAGGCATGATCTGAAAGTATAATATATTTCTAAAATGGGTTGCGGATCATCAGTTGTGAGACAGAAATCTGAAATAGAGGAACAATGGGACAGAGTTTGGGAGACTGTAGAGGTGAAAAAACCAAAGGGCAACATGTCAAAGAACCTTGTTGTCAAACGTTCAGGGTGGAAGACCATAAGGATCTTTGTGTCGTCAACTTTTAGGGACTTTCATCATGAGAGAGAAATACTAGTGAAAAAGGTAAAGATGGAAAACACCATTTAAAACAGCTATTTAATTAAATTGGTACATGAAGTATAATGAACTTTAGACATGTACGTGCAGTAGCGTAGCCATGATGAGGCAACATTTTTAGCATCATACATTCATATTTCTGATGTACATCGTATGTTCATATTTCTGACTGAGTTACACAGCACCATTTTTGATATATTTTGCCTCGTCATTTCTTCTTCCTACATTTTTTGCCTCGTCACTTTTTCTTCCTGGATATGCCACTGACATGTATCAGTATGCATTTGCTTAAAATAACTTGATCATGAAGTCCTTAATTTTGGTTAGGGCTTTGTTGAAAGCCCATGGTTAGGGCTAACCCCTTCTGACTCCATTTTATATGCAGAATTGGTAAACAGTTTATGCTGTCTAAATTGATAAGCATTTTTATACCACTCTAAGTCCGATTACAGTTGTATAACACGGGTCTATAACAACGATATACAGTGGAGAGTGGTATATCGTCATCGTATACAACTCCTCCGTATACACTCCAGCGTATACCACTGTAGAAGTGCATTCTGGGAACTAATGAATATTGACTAAAGAACGAGGTGTATGTTTTGTTAAACATGATTTCCTAGAATCAAGTGACGTAATAAATGGTTCCCATATGATTTGCTAGAATCCAAGTGACGTCATAAATGGATCGATATCAACATCGGCATTACTGAATTTGCTATGGGATATTTTTATGGTTTTTATAATTGTTATGATTGTGTTTGAATCAACTGTAATTTAACTTAGAGTGGCATAATAAGATTATATAATGGTTCATTCTGTATATCGTGCATTTTATACTCTCGTGAGAATATAATATATTCACTCGTTCGCTACGCTCACTTGTGAATATATTATATACTCACTCGAGTATAAACATGATATACAGAATGAACCATTATATAACCTCGAAAACCAAATTCGAATTTTGTATACCTCACTGTTTAATAATGCAGATTGTTTGTAACAGGTTTTCCCAGACCTTAGAATATGGTGTCAGAGCAGACGTTTGCATTTAGTGGAGTGTGACCTGAGATGGGTGAGTATGAGTCAAGAATTCGTTGTAGACCTTTACACTTTAGGCTATCATAGCCAAAACTTGGACAAAAATGCCACTCATTATGAATTGAAAAAAATGAAATACAGTTGTAATATAATATGAAACGCTGTCAGGTTCCAATTAAATGATGCTTACTTTAAATCAAACAATTGTGAATAGGACTAAACTTTGCAAAACAAGTGCAATTAACTGTGTTTCTGCAATACATGTACCTTCCAAGGAAGCTTTTAAGTGATTTCTATTTGGTTGAATATTCCAGGGTGTTCCCAAAGATTCAACCACTGAGACAACACTAAGGACATGTCTGGAAGAGATAGATCGCTGTTACCAAGACAACATCATGCCATTTTTTGTCAACATGACAAGGTGAGATGCATGCAATCTTAAACCATGAAATAGCATCATATTTGTTGAATACAATTTGAATACATCGTTGCACCCTTGGGATTCATATAAATTTCATTAGGCATTGAAGTACTCTATTGTAAAACATTAAATCTATAGAAACATTTTTAACGCATACAAGTAATTCCAAAGAAATTGTTTTGGATCTGGTTGGCATGCATTGCAACATTGGCCTCGTGGATCAGTCTCATTTTACTCATGTGAATTGTTGTTGATTGTTACTTGTAGTGAACGCATAGGTTGGATTCCCATAGGAGAAGAAGTGCCAGCATCTATCAAGTCAGAATACAAGTGGGTCGATGGTCTTTCTGTTACAGAGATGGAAATCATGCATGCCTCATATAGGAAAGATAACCCAAACTGTAAGTATGCAAATGAATGTATACCTAGAAATAAGCGATGAGACTTACATTCTACTTTATCAAAGATCAGAATTATTTGATTTCAAATAATTTTTTTGTCCCATATGTTCATATCAACAGTATATTCATAGAAAAGAATTCACATTTTCTCACTGGATACATTATGAAAAAACAAAATATGTGAGATTTGGTAGTCTCATTTCAGTTATTTTTCAACAGGGTGTTAAATACATTTTTTCCTTTCTGGCCAAAATATATCAATATTTTCTTTGTCAGGGTGCTGTTTATTTCTGAATTTTCAACAGGATATACCACCCAGTTGCTCAATTGCTTGGGAGATTAACATATTTTATGACATGACAAATTGTATTAGTGAGTGGCACAATGAAAAAAAACATAAAAGTGGTACTTTAATATAACTATTGAATATTGGTATTGAAGGTCAAGAAATATGAATGTTATCACTATTGAGGTCATATATGCCATGTACAGTGTACTTGTAATACAGCTAATCCTATCCATCCTCCTCATTTTGATTCATTTTGTACTTATTTAGCTATATTCATGCTGAGAGATCCATCTTTCATAGAGACTGTCCCAGAAGAACACAAGGATGCTTTTATTGACCCAAATCCAGTATAATGTCCTGAATCCATCCTATCCATCCTCCTCATTTTGATTCATTTTGTACTTATTTAGCTATATTCATGCTGAGAGATCCATCTTTCATAGAGACTGTCCCAGAAGAACACAAGGATGCTTTTATTGACCCAAATCCAGTATAATGTCCTGAATCCATCCTATCCATCCTCCTCATTTTGATTCATTTTGTACTTATTTAGCTATCTTCATGCTGAGAGATCCATCTTTCATAGAGACTGTCCCAGAGGAACACAAGGATGCTTTCATTGACCCAAATCCGGTAGCAACAGATAAGCTAAAGATGCTCAAGAAAATGATAGAGGACAGATACACAGTAAGAAATTTAGTAAAACTACAAACTACAGGGTTGTCGAAAAAGTGGAACATTGGTGTATGCAGATAATTTATTTCTCTACTAAAATACACCACCATTTCACTGAGCATAATCCATTTAAATGTGCATTGGCTGTAACATGTAACCTATCAGTGAAATTAAATGTCTAACATAACCTTTCTTTTCCTGAATTACAAGTTCTAGCCCAGGCCTTCATTTCCAAATAAAAACACTTTTTCCCTTAGATTTTAAAACATTATTTTTGTCCTAGTGATATTATCAGCGCCTTTCTTAATCTAGTAAGAACTTTCATCTTGTTTCATCTCAGACAGGTTTAATTGTTTGGTTCAGTGCTATAACTAAGCTTCACATTTATCGAAAGCCATATTTTTGATTGGCTTCTGAAAATGCTTCATATTTAATGACACTTATTCTTCATGCCATTCTTGCATTTGTAATAATTATACTGCAGTAAGTTTCCTGTATTTTAATTGAAATTGAATACATTTTGAAATTGTTAATTATTTTGTAGAAAGACAGGGTACGACTATACAATTGCAGTTTTGATTATTTTGATACAGAAGAATCTAAAGTAAAATTCTGTGGCTTAGATGGAGTTGATAAAGATACTTTCTCAAAAATTGTAAGTTTTTTTTATTTTATTTGATTGATAATTTAAACTTTCCATTCAATAATCTACTTATATCCAAAATAAGTAAAGATGATAAGTCAAACATGCATAAGAATTTTTTATACATCTCATATCTCCGTCTTGTGACGCTCTGATTTCATGAGCCATTAACTCAGGTTTTATCTGATCAGAGAGGGATCTCTGAAACTCTCTGATTCCAAAATATTTTTGGAACCATTGTTTATGCATTTTTAGAGCCTATAAACCCACCATTACATCTGTAAAAACTCAACCCTTTATTTGCCGTAAAAATATATTGCACAAAAAATACAGACATTTTGACAAGGTGATATCCCTAAATGGATGATTGAATGATTGCCCCATATAAGTTTCTTGTATTTTTATACATGCAGAAGAGCAGATAATAAATGCTAACATTTTATCAATAATCCTTGCTGTCTCTTTACACTTTACCATGTGAGATACTGGCTGATTTGTCAGTTGATATCTCAAATTCTCAATCAAAAGTAGCTTTAATACCATAGGCCATTGCAACTTCTGAGTGCAAAAAGAAGAAATTGGCATGGCTAACATCACTTACCATGGCCTTTACCAAATGTACGTTGGGGATAAATCCTACATTGGAGTATTTCTCACCTCATCTTTAAAACAAAAGCCGTCTCTATACTGTCAGTTTTATTTGCTTCAGGTCTTTGATTTTTTCAAAAACCGAATAGAGCATCAGTATCCGCTGGCAGACAAGGAGTCTGAAGATCCATATGAGAGAATCAAAGAGAAACACGAAGCTTTTATGAAGGCCAGTTCTGCAGTGGTCATTGGAAGAGACGAAACTCTGGAAAAGGTATGAGTCTTATCTCATTTCAACTTTGGAATTTAGCAAAGATCTTAGGTTAGCAAACTCTACCACTGAGTCACCAGTGACAGTGACAGTCCAGTCAGATTCAACAGGCCCCTGTAAATCAAAATAACTGAAATATGAATTGAATCTGTGTTAAACTTCTGGGGCTGTCTGATTATGCTCTTTGAGCACAGATTTGTCTTTATATTTGATTATTTATAAGCCAAAATACAATGATTAATGAAATATAAAAGCCCACTGTTCATCCACTAGCTACTGTAGTAGTCTTCCTTCAAATCCTTAAAATCATCCACAATGATTTGTGTCATCAGATTGCATCTTTAAATGACTTTTAGGTGAACAATTACATATGTGGACCTGGGATTGACAAACCTCTTCTACTAATTGGTGGTGCTGGGACTGGAAAATCATCCATAATGGCACGTCTAGCAGATACAACATACCAAAAATCTGTTACTAAATCAATACCTGGGTGAGATTTTTTATAAAGAGATTAGACTTATAAAAGTGATGCAAAGTTACAATTTTTATTTTATCAGCTTTTGTTGGCAATGATGCCCAATAGAAATGTATGATAATGATTGTTAAAAATTCAAATTTCAATGTGCATGGTTTTATATTTGAAAAAGTGTTCAATAAATTCTTTATCAATGTTTTTCTCATCGCTGCGAGAAAACGAATATTCATTTGTATGCATTCAGAATACAATTAAACCTCTAAAAATAGAATACCATAAGGACCAGCTAGGTGTTCTCATTAGGAGGTGATTAATTGAATTTCAAGTGAGTACATGTAAATGTATTCTTTTGTAGTGGCGGAAGTAAAGGCTGGCACGTGTTCTACCATTTTGTGGGTGCTGTACCTGGTTCTACGGAACTAGAAAAACTTCTGAAAAGATTACTTAAAGAGATGGGAGTGGTAGATGTAAGTTTACACAATACTGTTGGTAGTGTTGGATGTTTTATTTTATTACCTTTCGTTTTATACCTAATAAAGGTATATTGTCATTACTAGCCTGGTGGACAGTCTGGGACATCTGACTTTTTTGTCTGCCTATTTCCAGAGAAACTTGATTGATGATTTTGTATTTTCTTAGGTCTTTCTTGGTATGTCATTCTAGAACTTAAAAACCTCTTAGCTTTTGAGCATGCTTGGTATTTTAAGATACAGTACTTTTTAGATACAGTTTTGTTCACTCTGTTTTGTTTGTGCGCTTACTTTTTCCATACATGTGTTGTTAACATTGATTTGAACAAATCAACTATAGTGTCACACAGTCTAGACAATTTGAATATGCATGCACATATAGGTTGTGAGAGATTGGATTGATTTTGATCACAAAAATAAAGGAATTTTGACACAGTGTCTGCCACATGTGAACTAATTCAGTTTAATCAAACCTCAGGATTTACAATATTTACATTAAATGAACGAATATAAAATACCTTTGCAATTCTCTGGGGAGAGTACAAAGTATATAAATAGTACAAGAGACTAACTGCCAAGTAAACAGCAGCTTATGCAATCAAACAACATGGGGGCAATATAAATCTTTTGGTGGATAAAGGTACTTTACATATAAGTTATTCTTCATTCTGTTTCAGGCCTCTAATATGCCCAAAGACCTGGAGAGTGCAGCTCAAGTAACATGTGGGGCTTTGAACAATCAGAACACTCGACCAAAAGTACTTTACATATAATTTATTCTTCATTCTGTTTTAGGCTTCTAATATGCCCAAAGACCTGGAAAGTGCAGCTCAAGTAACATGTGGGGCTTTGAACAATCAGAACACTCGACCAAAAGTACTTTACATATAATTTATTCTTCATTCTGTTTTAGGCTTCTAATATGCCCAAAGACCTGGAAAGTGCAGCTCAAGTAACATGTGGGGCTTTGAACAATCAAAACACTCGACCAAAAGTACTTTACATATAATTTATTCTTCATTCTGTTTTAGGCTTCTAATATGCCCAAAGATCTGGAAAGTGCAGCTCAAGTAACATGTGGGGCTTTGAACAATCAGAACACTCGACCAAAAGTACTTTACATATAATTTATTCTTCATTCTGTTTTAGGCTTCTAATATGCCCAAAGACCTGGAAAGTGCAGCTCAAGTAACATGTGGGGCTTTGAACAATCAGAACACTTGACCAAAAGTACTTTACATATAATTTATTCTTCATTCTGTTTTAGGCTTCTAATATGCCCAAAGACCTGGAAAGTGCAGCTCAAGTAACATGTGGGGCTTTGAACAATCAAAACACTTGACCAAAAGTACTTTACATATAATTTATTCTTCATTCTGTTTTAGGCTTCTAATATGCCCAAAGACCTGGAAAGTGCAACTCAAGTAACATGTGGGGCTTTGAACAATCAGAACACTCGACCAAAAGTACTTTACATATAATTTATTCTTCATTCTGTTTTAGGCTTCTAATATGCCCAAAGACCTGGAAAGTGCAACTCAAGTAACATGTGGGGCTTTGAACAATCAGAACACTCGACCAAAAGTACTTTATATATAATTTATTCTTCATTCTGTTTTAGGCTTCTAATATGCCCAAAGACCTAGAAAGTGCAGCTCAAGTAACATGTGGGGCTTTGAACAATCAAAACACTCGACCAACAATCATCATTATAGATGCACTCAACCAGGTATACCTCACACATAAGTACAGGGTGTCCCGAAAGTATGGGACTCCCCCCCCCCTAGGCAGACATATACCAATGTCTCCATAGTGTGTGTCATATAACAGTTTAAAGCATATCCAAAGTTACACTTACTTTCGGGGCACCCAGTACATGTCTTAACTACGATAGAATGGTTTTCATCACACAAAAATTTACTATATTGTTGTTGTCTTGAGCTGCTTGAAGGTCGTTGCCACATAAATCTTGTCACCAGAAATCCAGACAAACAAGATCTGATTAAGTTTTGGGCATGCTGGGTAAATTATATGGCAGTCATTTTGCTCTATTTGGGGATATTTATCTCTGTTTGTCTTGTTCTACCATCCAGCTAGATATTCATTCTGTCATAAAAATCCATAAATCAACAGTTTGATCAGTCAGAATCTGGCATTGAGTAAATATTGAAAATAGATAAACAAACTTCATCTTTCAACATAAAAATATCAAAGCTAAGATACCAAAATTATCTCATCTAGCCAACAGTGCCTCTTAAATTTTACTTTAAAATGTCAGATATTCTTCCTTGTGAAGATGGAAGGTCCAACTTCCTTAACAAAATACTGTCTTATATTTCAGTTTGACAGTGATCTTGCTGCAGAGTTAGTTAGCTGGGTCCCAAAGAAACTTGCTCCACAGATTAGATGCATCTTCACAATGATACCTGAAACCCCTCAACATTATGCACTGATTAGCAGAGAGCCTCAACCTGATATGTTTGACCTTGAACCCCTTGATATGGAATCTAGAAAGGTATGTGCTTTTGATGCCATTCCATAATGAAATGTTATTCAACACTCTCAACCAGCTGATATTGATTGGCATGTGGTTTCTGCTAGCTTATTGAATGTAAAATATTATCCATTGATAGTCTGTAAAATGTTTAAAGGCCCCATACAAAATAATGATTTTTAAAGTGGTACAAGTTCAATGCCTTATTAAAGGGGTAATATAGCTGATTGTCCCAATATGTTGTTGAATGTGTGTTTGAATGTGTGAAGTACAACACCTTAATCAGGTGGCTATATTGGAGGGAAAAACAAATTGACCCACTCACCTAGTTCATTGAGAAAGCAATCTTACATTAAGGTCACTGGACAGTGGATGTATGACTTCATTACTAATTTCGTATACTGTCCCATCTTTACTATAAATGTAAGAGTTGGCAGCCTGATAGTTGATATTGATAAGTAGATCAATGAATAAAATTCATATATGATGTAAAATATCAAAAATATATTTTTGGCACCTGCTAAGTGCTAACAGATTGTGCCTCTTTAAGTGTAGAAGTACTATATTCATTCCAGCAAATAGTAGAAGAGATGCTTGGTAAATACAACAAGGCTCTGGACACAAGCCAGATGGACTCTCTCCTTTCTAAGACATCTTCAGATAACCCGCTGTGGCTGTCCTTGGCCTGTGAGGAACTTAGAGTGTTTGGAAACTTCAGGAAAGTCTCAGATAAAATCAACCAGTTAAGAGATGGACTCCTTGAGTAAGTTTTAGTTGTGTCGTATCTCAATTTATATAGCTTAACATCCTTTATCGTTTTTCCAAAATAAATAATGAAACCTGTAACTTAGAATATCAATTGATTGTGATAGAAACTTTATTTATTCAGGCCCGTAACAGGATTTGCCAAGGGGGTTCACGTTTTGAAAAATTCCAGGGGGGGTTCATTTGTGACAATTTGGTCCAAAACTGGCCAAAATCACTTAAAAAGTGCTCAGAATGGTGAAAAATTGCATGATTTTGAAAGATTTTTTGGCCCATGGGGGGTTCCATCAAACCCCCCCCCCCTGGCTACGGGCCTGTTATTTGCATACATATCAAAGCTTTAAGAAATTACTCACCTACTAATAAAATTGCCTTTCAAAGATTATACTCACGGCATTCATACCAATTTTTAATTGTCTCTGAATTCACACCACATCAATTTCCAAATTTGGCATAAATTCAACAGACTAAGATGGTGTTGCATCATGCAGAATGGCTTTGAATTTAACGGCAACATACTGAGAAATGTACTTTTACAATACAAATAAGTACAGAGCATGATGTTTTGCAGGTTAGAGATGCAGATCATGACACGATTTGAGGAGGAAAGTGGTGGAGAACTATTGGTGGCGACATTATGTCTTCTTGAATCTTCTTCCACTGGTCTTCTAGAGACAGAACTTTTGATGATATTAGGGGATACAGATAACCTTATGCCAAGGGAACAGGCTGAGGGAGCAGAAAAAGGTACACCTCCTGTTATTCACCTCTTTTATGGTTCTACTTAGTATATAGCGTTAATTGAATTAGATGCTAATTCTCCCTTGATTGTAACATTACTGCATCACCCTCCATGGTGTATCTATATTTCTTGTTTTTCTTGAATAGGAACAGATGAGTCTCTTTTTATATCTATACTTCATTGGTCTTCCAAAGCCATTGGATTTAGATTAGTATTTATGTCACCATCAGAAGTGGAGTTCAGCGGTTGGTGTTAGGCATCTGACATTTTGCATGTTAATACATGTACCTTGTTTAGGGTTGTCCAAGAAAGAAAAAATTACTTGACAAATGAGGCTTAAAAGTGAACACATTTTGATAAATATTCTACTTCAAAGAATGCATTATTTACATTGATAGTGTATGGATGATCTAATGTGGAAAACCATCATTAAGGAATTCCAATTGTTGGAAACTTAAATTGCAATTAATAAAATACTATTGTATGATGTTCTAGATGACACCTCAAAAGAAAAATCAGACAAAAACAAAACTGAGGCATTAGCAGCTTATAAATGGGCAGAGGTGTACAGAGCACTCCGACCTTTCTTACGTCCATTTGGTGACAGCGGGGAGGGACGTCTAGATTTCTACCACAGGTCACTCAGCAAGGCAGTCAGACAAAAGTAAGTAGAGTTCTATACAAGTAGGGCATGTTGGGATTGGTTCAAATTGTGTTTACCAACTCCTTTTAGGTTTTTCCCAGCATCTCTGTGCTTACACATATCAAGTGGGATAATTAAGAAATTTAGAAATTGTTCAAAATAACACGAACAGCTGTGGTAATTGTCACATTTATGTAAAAGTTTACATATAAGACGTAACTAAAATCTATGTTTTAATGATATGAAATAAAGAACAAACTTTTAGGATGTTTAGAAAATGTCCATAATTGATGCTATTTTTGTTGAGAAAAATATGATTTGACTTGTTGATAAAAAATGTATAAAGGGGTGATGTTCAGAAAGTAACATTATGTTAATATTTCACTTTTAGATACTTCAAAGATGATGACATCAAAAAATGGTGGCATAAAAAGCTTGCAGATTATTTTGAAACTTTACAAAATATTGACAGAAAAGTTGAGGTATTTTAAATTAAGATATATTAGAATTATAAAGTTGATCTGGTTTTTAAGTTACTACACCATGACTCCATATTTTCCTGTTTTTCCATTCACAAGTTTGAAAACAATGTTACTTATTGCTCATCTGATACTAAGCTGACCTCATTAACAGTGATCGCATTTTGGGATCTGAATTTAGCTGATTATACATGTATTCCCCATGTGAAGCCCATACATGTAATACTGCCAAGAAAACCAAGAATAAATTTTTTCATTATTTGAGATTTCGATTATATGAAACTGGTTTTATATATGTTGACCTTATATTATGGTATTTTAATATTTGTACACAGTATTAACACATGTAACCATTTGTGCTTTGCTAATCGTCTAAATTGAAATAGCCGACCATATTCAACATGAAGTGCACCCTGGACACCTTTGAAAGGTACATTCTCATTAGAGCACCCATGTCTAAGAGCACCCATGTCTAAGAGCACCAATATCATTTTCAGGAATATCCCCATCATTTGCTGTTCTTAGACGATAAAAAGAGATTGAAAGACTTCCTTACAGACTGGGCTGTCTTCACGGAGCTTTTTGATATTGAATTCAGCACCAAACTTTGTAAATATTGGACAAAGGTTTGTGAAATGATATAAATATGTCTTTTTAGGTATTAAATATTGTATTGTAACTATCAATCAGTAGGACAACTTAAAATAACAATTGCTAGCATATTAAAACCTTGTAAGTGGAAACCCTTTTGGTAGCACAAAGATAAAAATAGTGTTCCACCTTGGAAACACTCTAGTTTCAGATGCTAATTTTACAGTAAGTTACTGAATAATTGGGCTCAGAAAAGTGTTCCACTTATTATGGAGGTGTTTTTCTTACAGAAGTGCTTAGATTTCAATTATGGCCTTTACTGCATATGAACAAATAGGTACATGTAGCTATTCCATATTTTAGACCTGTGCTTTGGATGAGATGGAAGAACATTACGTAACAAAAATGCAGAATCTGGTCAATGATGAGCGAAACTCTAAAGAATTGATTGCTCTGAGAACAGAACAGATGGCAAGATTTATGTAAGTACAAATATTTCACTCTATTGAGGAGAGTATAGTACATAAGATACATGTACAGTAAAACATGTGTTCAGTGAACACCTATGGAGCCACAAAAAGTGTTCATTGTAGGGTGTTTACTACAGAAAGGTGATTTTATACAGAAGTCAGTGGAGAATGTGTTGAAAAGGGGTGTTCACTAGACACAGGTGTTCACTAATACAGGTTTAACTGAAATAGTATTTTATAATCTCACAGTAAGTGGAATCAATTTTCAGATGCATTCAACATGAAGAGACAATTTATTGTATTTTAGGTCTCAGATGGGCAGATACGACAGAGGGTTTGAATACGCATCCAAAGCTGAGGCCTTTGAACTGGATCTTGGGGCACGTCCACACAGAATGGCTGAAATATACCATCTGTTAGCAATTGTGGCTGATGAGGTATAGGGAATTATTGTTAGGTTATTGTAATAACAAGTAAAATGTATAAGATTTGTATTTTAAGTGTTAATATTTAATTAACATTGAGGTATTTTGTTTAGTAAAAGAAAGCACTTTATTGGCATCTCAAGATATATTGTATTAGAATGGAACTTTTATTCCCATGTTTATTACATGCTTAGATTAATTATATTTATTTCTGGTTACCAGCATATGAAACTAGAGGAGTTTATGTACAGATCTCAGTTGCCCAGAATGAAGGTCATTATAGACAACTTTGAGAAAAGTGTGGAGCTGAGAAGAACATTTGAGGGAGTAGAACATCAGGTAGCTTTCTAGTATTATATATTTAAACTTATATGATGGATCGTGTCATGATAAGATCATGTTGCAATGTAGGTCCACTATGTGACAGATCATTCATAACCATTCATAGACTGTAGCAATATGCCATCATGAAGTGGACATTGTGATAGATCATTTGTCCCAATATACCATTACCATTATGAAGAACACAGTGTGACTGATCATTTGTTGCAATATGATTTAATGTAGGAATCTAACAGGTAATGAATGGCTCCATATAATATGGCATCACAAAATAATAAGATGTAATATGTTTGAAATTTCTTGCTGTTTTAGCATAAGCTTGGTTTGGCTTTAAACCGGTTGGCATTTTACTACTCTGGATGGAGCATAAGAGGTGGAGATGCAGCACTTAATGCAAAGGATGCCAAAAGCAAAGCCATTGATCGAGTTGAAGAAGCAATAAAACTTTATACTGAGGTAAGACTTGATAGACAATCTTATTAGTCTATCATCTGGTTTCCCTATGTAATACATATCAACTTGACATGAAATCATTTTGAGTTTTGTATATGCAAAAAAATAAAGTGTAACTTGCAATTTTTAGATTAAAATTCTAAACTAAAAGTGTACAAATCAATGTATGAAGTATTTCTATGTAGATTGACCTTAAATATTGAATTAAATGTGGGTAACGTTACTTTCGCTGTAACAAATTATGCCCAATTCTGACTTGGCTAGCATTTGCATATTTTTAGATAGAGGATGAATTTCACTTGGGAGATGCCCTCATAACCAGGGGAGTAACAGAAGGCAGTGCAAACACTTCACAAATAAAAGTAATTTGTTACATTTCTTTCTTAATAAATGTAATACATATTTACATATTTATAGTTTGTAACGAGTTTCATTGAAAAATTAAGATTTTTTAAGATTCTGTTGTTCATTATCACCTTCAGGAATATTGGCAAACACATATCTGACATGTCAATCGGTACATGGATGTAATATTTTTGTAATAAAACAACACTTTGAAAAAAATGTTTTTCAAAGTACCATATGGTCAGTACAGTAATATGCCTTTATTCTGTCCAAGTTGAAGGTGTTTCTGATTCATCACAGTGACACAGTAAGGCCAATTCAGATTTTTGGATGCAAGGCTCTTCACGTGATCTGGATTTGAAAAACAAAATATATAAGTTGTTTAAATAGAAAAATAATTGTACAAATACTGTATGTATATTATAGTTGTATTTATTCATAATTAATTACTTATCCATTTTTTCAGTTTTACAAGGAGGCAGAAGCTAAAATCTTACAATCAGCAGGAGAGTTGAATGTCAGCTACGACCGTTTATTACTCAATATGGCGATCTACTATGAGGAAATGGGGGACTATAACACTGCTTATGCCAAATTTTATAAATGGTATGAAGTGTGTAAAGACTTTTATGGAATTCACCATGCAAAAGTTGCAAGAAGTATTAATACACTTCGTGAACCAATGTACAAGAGATTGGCACAGGAGAAAGGTGTACCAGTTCCAGAGGAATTTGATGGAGATATAGGCTGACCTGTTAAGTAGAAGATTTGACCATATCACATATGTGATATACAGCATGTCATATCCCATAAGTCGCATTGGCTATACTGTACAATGTATATGACCTTGCTAAATATGGTAACACGCACATGAACATTATGCAGTAGTATATTTCATCAAAATTGATTGTTTGATTATCTCATTCAACATTCTGTGATATTATGAATTGTACCATACCTTCTTGCAGGGGAACACGCTTGCTTGAAGAGATTTCAAGTATAGATAGAATAATGTTAGCTCAATATATACTAGAGCTATTATAGACTACATGTACAGCCATTACTGTTTATCACTTAGAGTCCCGTAACAGTCCAAAGTAATGTTACAATATTTTTGTTCTTCTTTCAACCCAATTGTTATACATGTTTCTGCATGACATTTATGGGAACCTGCTGATACCTTGTCAGTCCAAAAACAGTGCATAGCTTTATATAATTAATTACTTACTATCATTGTGATATATATTTATATTTTACTATTTACAATGTATATGCATTTATTTTTTGCATATGATAATCGTTCATATTTTTTACTACAAAATATTTAGCTATTTTACAAAAATACCCCTTGAAGAGCCACTTCATAGTTTGGTTCACAAATGGTCAAAATTATTACTCAGGGGTCTGGATTTGGAACCATCATAACTTAGTTCACAAGTCATTGTTCGACAATGGTTTTCTCGTAATCATAAGTTAGGATCGCACCAAAATGGGTCCCAGTTTAGCTTGTTTAACTCCTGACAGAGGAATGGTTTAATGGGCATTTTGACGGAGGAGTTAAATGCTGTTTTATGTGATTTAGAACAATCACTGGACAATATGGTCTTTCATTTTTAGATTTTTCAATGTGAAAATACAGGGTTTCATTGTGATTTTAATATCACATATTTTCTTCCAACTCTGGCATAATAATGTTGTTTGCACTAAACTGCTCCTTGTTGATATATCAAATTTTATGTACATGCAAGCATATTTTTTTTGCAGACATTTATTTTTTTATTATGTATGGTCATGAGTGTAACATACTGTAACTGTAACCTGTAACCTTAAATATTGTTGCATATTATAACAAAATAAAGTCTTATACACAACATGTATGTAGTATTTGTAATTCTAATCTTTGTCTGTCGTTCAGTCAGTCCGTCCATCCAAACACTTTTTTCCAATCCTATTTTATCCATTTACTCCCATGTTAAAAAAACTTGAAATCTGAACACCTAATTCAAACAGTGAACACTCATATTAGAAAAATAAGCCTGTTTAAACACTTTTCACAAAATATCGCATATTTTTTTCTTACAAAAATTGCTCAAATATTTGGTTTATTCGTTTAACAACCAAAATTTTCATGATTAATCACAATTTTTATATTGACTGAGTCATCCCATAGTATGCCATTTGAGTTAATGACAGATTCAACCAACACTTTTTAAATTTACGTGACTATTGCAAGTTTCTAGCATGGAAGTCTATGTCAGGCTGGCCCAACCAAAACCAAAAATATACAAGGGTGACATCTTTTATATCAGCTTTATTCACCATAATAGAATCTTCCTTATTCAGCACTGATTCATTATGATATCAAAACTACCATGACTTAATTCATTTGAATCAGATTTTGGAATGCCATTTAAAGCTATGTGGTCAATAAAATTATTAATATCCATTTGATGCATTTATATTTCTTCAGAATCTTACGGATGCAAAAACCTCTAAATCCAAATGCGCAGCCGGTCCTAATAGTGTTCAGATTAGACAGGTTTTACTGTTTTTATCGTTACATCCAATTTCAACTTCCCAAGCATTTACGTTCTGCAAAATAATTGCTTTCCAATACAACCATACAATCACAGATGAGACAATAATTTTCTTGCCCTTGACTGTAGACTGTGGCTAGTTCAAAAGTTAACATTGTCCAAAGAATCAAGCAGGATTGTGTTTAGATCTACAATCTACATGTACAGTCTGTAACTGTGCACTAGACTGTGACAAGCATTTCTTCAAGACTGTTTTTTTTTCGCTTATCAATATGCTATCAATACTACGCTGCAGATAAACAACCATTCATTTTTGACAATTACTGCACCAGAAATGCATGAAGATTTAAAGTTAAACTGGATGGTTTTTATGATCGTTCGTCTATCTGATGCAAGATGATGCAAAGATGTAACGTTCGCGTTTTTAATGTAATAATAACTAAAATATTTTCAGGTTCTTTTTATTTGGTTTAATTTAGATTTAACCAACAATTATGGGCGGTTTTCGTCAATAAGGAACCAATGATGAAATCCTACGTTAAGACATGCAAATGAATTGGTACGTATGATCATCTTTAGACTCGTGGATATGTTGCAGATGTCGATGTTGTTTGGATTTTTAATATTTTTTTTACTCAAAGTCAAAATTACTGAACACACTCAAAAGCTGACTTTGTGGCTCAAAAATTGACTTCTGTCAGCTCGGTAGAGTAAGATTTTTTCACAAGCAGGCTAGATCTTACTCACTTCGAGAGCCATGTTAGATTTTGAAACTTATGGCTCTCAAACGCAAAAGTGGACAGCTCATCGATTGTGACCTTTGAAATCGAATTAAGTCGATCAGCAGCCTACTTTTGTTCTCTAACTATGCTATACATCATTATCATCCTTCTGTGCAAGTATTGGAGTGCTGAGGTACTTCCTTTTCGATCTAGACTTGTAATTTGTTAGTCGAGTGAATGTTTTTACTGCCGAATTCCAAGATGGCGTTTTCTGCTCGGACATTTTCGTACATTTCCGGAGGTTGTCCGAACCTAACTAATTCTCAAAATTCATTTCGTTCATTGCGTATCTCGCTCCTAGCAAACCGCCATATTGGAAATAGGTCTAAAAAATATTCACTCGATGAACAATTTACAAGTCTTGATCGAAAAAGAAGTATTTCAGTGCTCTAATACTTACACGGATTGATGATACTGATGTAAGACACAGTTAGAGACCAAAAGTAAGCCGCTGATCGACTTAATTCGATTTCAAAGGCAGGCCTGTCAACTGTCCCGCAATTTGCGTATTTGTCACGCATTTGCTGAAGAATTTGAAGTCACGCCAGTTATTTTTGCGTGACAGAAAAACCAAGGTTTTCAAAATTTGGATCAAGGTGTTCAGATTTGGACCAAGGTGTCCACATTTTGAGGGGAGGTGTTCAACATTTCCAAGTCACTCATGTTAGGTGTTCCCAAGTTGACAGGCCTGAGACTATATGACTGAAGTGGTCCATATTTTGATGACAAACTCTAAATGGCTCGGTGAGTTCAGAGATTTATTGTAAAATAAAAGAGTGAAGACGAAGCTCTCTTTTAAGAAGCGAAAGCGAATTCAAATGAATGCATTAGAGTACAGTGTTCAAAGGCAGTATTCTGAGGTAATAAAATATGAATTGAATAAACAATGTTTTACATTCCTATATCGGGATGTTCTCTTCTATATTCAGTACCAAATGTCTGAAAAACATTTTCTAATAAATTGATAAGATTTATATCGTTTTGATGCCACCTTCACTGTCATGTTTGGCTGAGTTTCACTCTGGCAACCTAGGGCACTGGAAAACATAAAACATAATTTAATAAGTAAGTAGATGGTTTATATCATATCATTTTCTTATTTTTCTTATTCAAAGTACATGGGAATGTTATAAAAACCCTTCGACCTTCGACCTGCACCTTCGACCTGCACCTTCGACCTACAGGGTGTCCAAAAAGGAGAGATTATAGGAGCTATTTTTGCCGATCTCAGACGGGCTTATAAGGTGTCGCTACAGTAAACAAGAAAAAATCATGGAGCTCGAATCAAATTTAATTTACCGTCATAATTGGTTAAACAGACCAATGTTAGTATATTTCAGGTTTCAGATGGAATTCAGTTCATTCTCCTTGCAGCCGTAGAAATATACAGGATCGATCAGCATTACCGCATCGATTGGAGACTAAAAAGTATCGTTCTCTCTTTTACTGTAGCGACACCACGACTTCCGGTGTACATGTATTTTCTTGTTGTGTCATTACGGTAATTCATTGTGTCTCGATTTTTATATATCACTACGCCAAGGAAGGGGCTCATTTTTATGTGAAATTCCTGCTTAACCAATGGAAATAAACGAATAAAGCAGTTCCACTTTCATTCCAAGAAATGTTTGACTTGCAATATATATCCGATTTATTAATAAGAACCCTACATGTATATTTATGCACCTAATCCTGAACAGATGGTACCCCTCCCCCCACATCAAACTCCTCACACCAACAGCCTTTCCCCCAAAACTTGTTTGTTCAGTGTGATATGCTACTCCATGGAATTGCTGTTTTTCAAGTTCAGATTTCCAATGAGAAGGTCCCGAATGTCATTATGTATACAGTCAATATATGATTGTGTAATCTAAAATGACAAATTGCACTGACATATTCATATTGATTTTCAGGGGATAATAGCTGAGAGAGATGTCTCGTCTGATTTCAACAATTGTGAGTTTAGAATAAAGAGCTACACCAGCTGAATGATGTTGCCCGAGATGTATTCGATTGGTCGAATTGCTTTCCAGTCTGTGCTCTGTGTTACGAATTTTAGCTGCATCATGTTCCTCTTGTATCGTAAAGCGTGTGGCAGATGTGTTTCCCTGATGAACATTTTCATAGCATGTGTGATATACGAAACATATGAAGTATATAAATCTCTACATGAAGCTGGATGGACACAAAATGGATTTGGAAGCTTGGAAAATAGTACGGACTGTCGCAATCAAATTCGTATAATTCGAATTTGTTCTGAAGGAGTTCTATCAACGTTTATGTCTTTGAGTTTTGTATTATTCGCACAAACATTCAATGTGAAAAATGGACTTGACGTCAACAGCAGGTTATACCTGAAGAGGTTCCTCATTGGACAGATGACCATAATGTGGTTCTTCATATTTGCATCCAGCTACACGATAGACTTACAAAGAGCTGGAGACTTGGATAGTCTCAACACAACAATGCAATTCTTTGGAAAATTAGGATATGGTTCTATGGGGAACGACAAAGAGATTTTCTGGACTTTTTACATGTGTAAGGAAAACGTATATTCCGAACTACCATTCCTTATAACTGACTATTTACTTGTTGTCCAATCAATCATGGTACCCTCCTTTGTTTGCTTGTTTTGCATCATTGTAAGCAGGAGGAGACAAAATATGATAGGGAGATGCATGTCTACCAGTACAGAAAATACAGGTTAATACTGTTAAACTAATTATACCAGTTTGTTCAAATTTTTATTTGAAATATTTAGATTAATGGCTATTAAGTGAATAATAATGAAGGCATTTCAGACAATGATTTTATTTAATGTCATCGTTCATATTGAGGGTCTTAATCAAAATGGTTTAAAAGGTGAAGGTCATCTGAAAAGTCAATATTGCTATAATTCTTTAACTGATAATTTTGATTAAATTTTATTTTCAGATTGTCTATGCACAAGGAATCATGCATGGTATATTTTAAAGCCAGCTTACGTCATACTAATTCTGGCAACTGTATACTGGGAGCTGATTGGACGACCTGTTGCGTATATGGAAAAGTTCTCAACCAAGGAGCAAGCATATTATGCCTGGGTTGAACATTTCATACTTTCGTTAGCTCTTGCGATTGGAATGGTGACATTTTGTTTTCTTGCCAAACAGGATAAACGATCTATTACATTTACACCTGAAGAATGTGTGAAACATCTCAACCTACAGTCTCAAGAAGCGGATGTTATTCCAAGAAAAGAAGACATTATTTAAGCTGAACATTTTTTTCGAATTAAGCGAGCAATAATACAGGGTGAGACAAAAAAGGTAACCCAAACAAATCTTAATAACTCATCAGTATGGTTTTTAAGTCATATTTGGCTCGATTGAACAAGACTTGTTCAATGTTCTTTCATACTAGTAAGTTTCATTGGACTATTCCAAATGGTCATAATTTCATGGCCATTTTACAAAACATGCTCCAAATGAAAAAACATACCAAAATCACCCAGTATGAACCCCCAAAATTTTATCATTGGGGCTATTTCAAAGATAATGTGTACACTCACAAACCCTAGAACATTGTAGAAGCATCAGAGGGTTGAAACAAGAAATAAGAAGGGAAATGAGAGCATGAGAGCCATTACACTACACAAGGTACCTGTGAACGCGTAGTCAGAAATCTTAACCTGATGCGTTCAAGTTTGCCTCTATAGACAAGACCAACATTATGAGCATGTTTCGTAAAATGGTCAGAATATCTTGATCATTTGTAATAGAGCAATGAAACTTGGTGGAATGAAAGAATATTAAACAAGGTTTATAAACCCTAACGGATGACTGAGTTATTAGGATTTGATTGGGTTACCTTTTTTGGCTCACCCTGTACATAAATGGTTTTTGAACTAGAGAAAAATGCAGATATATTTTTATTTAATGCATGAAAGGATATTAAGGGCAATAATCCAGGACATGAGGCAACACGAGTGTGCCAATGAAATTTTACAAAAAATTATTTATTTAGATTATTTTTTCATACTGAAAATCCATGTTTATTTGCAAAATATTACATTCCATTTACCATTACTTTGCCTCGTGTTTTCATTTGCCTCATCTATATATAGGATTGTCATTTTATTTTATAACATCTGTTAAGATTTACAATGCTGCATCCATGTTTATTGGTCAAATATTGATTACTGTCATGTCACTTGCAAAATCAATGCGGTACAATCCACATGTATCACTGTACTCCCATTTTTTTCATGTGCGATTTAATTTCGCTATATTCGCGATTGCGGTAAAATTGCAATAAATAATTGTTGTGAAATTTGCCAATAAATCCTTTGGGAGTTTTGTGTAAAACATTCATCCAGTGTTATTGGATCATAAATGGAATACTAGCAGCAATGTTACACTGTGTTATTCGGTACACTGGCTTATATCAAATATTATCGTATGATCTGTACAATGAAGCCTTCTGATTGGTCAGTTCTTGTGCTGTACCAATCTGTATTGCTACTGAGATTGTCCCCGTTGATCATCTCCGTCGCAATACAGAAAATATTGGTACGGAGGGGGACAATCTCAGTAGCAATACAGAAGATCACACGATAAAAATGTTATTGAATGATTTGAAGTGCAATAGAGGATATTCTGTCTCGATATTCTGTATTGGCACTCGACTTCGTCTCATTCCAATATGGAAATTCTCGAGCAGAATATATCCTGTATTGCACTTCAAATCATTCAATTACTTATAAACCAAAAAATACTATATTAATGGAGGTTGAGGTTCAGCGTGCTGTTGACCAAATATGACATTGGCTAGGTGGTATAATAACTGTACATAAGGTAATTTAGTTTTGCAAAACTTGAGGATTCTGAAAAACGTGTGGAATCGGCGAAATTAAATCGCCGTGAGACTGTGATATCCTTAAATTCGCGAAATTAAATCTTGGGGAAAATAACTGGGAGTACAGTACTTCCAAAAACAAACATAGCAGCTCATAACATGGACAAGCCTGATCAGAAGCATTCCAGTTTAACATTCCACCATCATTGTGATGCAATAGTTGTTATAGTATTATCTCTTTTATTGACAATTATGATGTTATATGAATGACATATCACTCAGTCACATTTCATGAACTGATATTATGAATATGTAATAGTGCATGCATGTATATTTTATTTTGAAATGGGTGAATTAAGTATTTTTTCCTCATATTTTCTTAAAATGAATTTGATAATATTTTGTCATATTCTTGGGATATGAGTTTAAATGCTTTGAATATTGTAAATATTGGTCAGAAATCTGCATTTATTATCACATATTACACAGATGAATGGTAATGTTTAAAGGATCAGTTTGTCCGGGAGAGAAATCTGGATGATCCAATCCATTTAAGGTTTGATTTAGATAGATTAAGGAATAAAGACTGAGGCTCTATGATTTATGGTATATGTGGCCGATGATTTAATGCCATTTATTGTTTAAAGATTGAAATGAAATAGTGATTGAGGGTTTTTGAAATTGCCAGAATAAAATCAGTGTTCATATATTTGCCATAAATAATTGAATCAATGTTTTTGTTACAATTGTAATACAATGGAAGGATGACATAGTACTAACATTCCATTAACTAATCTATAATGAAATCCACCATACAAGTATTACCCCATTAGATTGGTAAATGTAATGTCTGTTACATCTGTTACATGTATGATGGCATACTTTTATCATATTAAAATCATAAAAAATGTATTGTCACAATACAGCAATATCTTGAATTGAAATCTAGAATTGAAATTGAATTGATATCAAGAGTTTAAATTGAATTGATTTTTAGAAGGTTCTAGTTATTATTATGACATCACATATCATGTACGGATATATAAGAGTTATGTACTGGGAGGTTATGGATACAGGGTTTATCCCAAGAGAAATATGTGTATCTCCCAAGGGACCACAGGACCGACAGAGATACACATATTTTCTGAAGGATAAACTCTGTATTCAAAACCGATCATACATAACAGATGTATTCTATACCTCCTGAGGTTCTAAGCACATTATACCTCATAAAGTTCCAAAATTTAAAAACCATTTCCTTCTCTTAAAAAGTATTTTTAAGTTTGTGAAATTTTCTGGAGCAGATCAATGAATTGATATTATAATCTAAAATATACAGCATAAGTTTGAAATATAATTTTTATTTTGAAAATTGAGTAAAAAATAATTGAGATCGCTTCTCGGGACCGGGATGGATACAGCCTGTTTCTGACCTGGTCCCGGACCTTAGTGATAGCTCCCTAGATACAGTATATATTCCCGCTCGTCACATACCTAGAACCTAAGTAGGAATGGAATACTTAAGTTTATCTGACTTGAAAGTACACATCTCTTTTACTAAAAGATAAGTTAAGGACAGGGAAGTTACAAAATTTAAACTTTTTTATTTTATCCTGAAATTAATAATGGCATGAATCTTAGCAATATTTGTTTGTAATGAAAATAATTCTTGGATATTGGGCCAAGAAAAACAGCAGTTTTCCAGAGTAGCTAATCCCACTCAAACAAAAGGCATCAACATAGCCAAATCCATTATTTGGTGTTTGAGAAATCAAAATAACATTTTTATGGAATTTATAAAAAGCCAATTTGAATTCATCTGCCATCTTGAAAATTCAGAGAAAATTCAATAGAAAATGCCTTCTTGAGTCTTGAGCATATAAACTTTGAACTAAACCTATATTACAAATTGTATTTTTTACAAGCAAAAGTATATTTTTGTAAAAATGGCAGCCATTTTGAATTGAGTGGCCATTTTGGAAATTCCCTCTTGGGTAGATGTCCTATGGAAGTTTTGCATCAGCCAATAAATATTTGAGTTGAATGGACAGATGGACTGGCAGACATAAAGACCCTGGAAATTTTTTTCCCAAGACATTATTTGATGCAATCAATTTTAATTAAATAGTTCTATTCTGATAAAACTTAATAATTATTAAATAAACAAAGCAAATTAATTCATACACATTTTCATTTTTTTCAAATTCATTTGGTAGGCATGGGTGTACTGTGCGTAACAGGCACAACGCCCATGGCTTTAATTGGCTATGAGTGAGATGAAAAGATAACACTATCACAAAGAGACTGAGATCTTGAAATCCATTAAACATTACCTAATAAAACAAGATTTTAGGAGTACCACAACCTACATCATTTGTCGATAAGATACTGGCTTTTCGAGTCAGGTGGTAGCCTAGGTGAAAGTTTGCAGTATTCAACCTTAAAGGAATAAGGGAAAGAAGGTTTAAAATGGAAGCACACATTTAAAAACCATGCCAATATTTTTCCTTACATTCCAAATTTTATTTTCTGAAAAGGAATCAACTTTTCTCAAAACTGTTTTGCCCCTTTAATTTATGGTTTGCATTTTATTGCATATTTTCACTTACTGTATTCAACTTATATTGTAGATAGCATGGGATTATATTATATTGGGGCATTTACAGAGCATAATATTTTTGAGATTATTAAGAAAGGCAACATTCTGTTATTCATTTTGTTTAATATTTGTTATATATTTGGTATTTATCAGCTTATCAGTGAATGATTAATGAAATTGTCATAAAAATTATATGTACAGTTGTTATATTTTTGTCATTAACACTGTTATCTCAAAAGCTCAATAGATCCATTCAAGAAATTCTGACCCCCTTTTGGGGAAAGTCCTATTGTGGTTATTGAAATGATCACTGGTCTGGGATTTTATACAAAATAATATAAGGTTTGAAACCCTATGAGTATTATAAAACATGTTGATATTATACAAATATTTAATTCTACTGAGGTGAATACCTGTGCACCTTTCAAAAGTGATATTCCACTGGTAGAATATTATCTTGTGAAAGTGTCACAGTTATTCATCGGAAATAAAATTAATTTTTTATTTTATTATTCACTTTTATATTCTTCACTCGCGTTAAAGGAGTAACATTCTATTGATGTCTAATTAATCATCAATGTACTCCAAGAGATGTATAAAATTGTAATTTCACTGGATTAAGTCCTGACCGGTGAATATCATTTGATATTCAATGGAATGGACTTCTGTTTTGAATATCACTTGTTATTTTTAATCACGTGTATGAATTGGCCAATCAGAAAGTGAGGAATATGACAGTGATGTAATAATATCAATATTAACTAAACATGGGAGAATATTTTATTGGTGTTACTACTACTATTATTCTTATTTGTTGTTAAACACGGGTGAAAGTGAAATATTTTTATGAATTCATTACATAGTATAGTGTTGTGGCACATGTGAAATTTTTGCTTTGTTGAACAAATAAAATAAATAGATTGATAAAATAAATAAATTAATGGTGTTTGATGTTTTGCCTTAAATCATATAAAAAGCTCAATACCGAACTAGAAACAAGAAATTCCCAATCTTTCCCTAACCAATCTTTCCATGACCCAGGCAAATGGACTACAATCGGAGGAGATCCTCTTGAAAATATTGGGACAATCACTATAGTCCCCATGTAGCCCATGTGTGTATTGTTTCACCCAATATTAAGTGGTTACATATTCTTATAGTCAACATTTAGGATTCAGCGATTGGAACTTTGGTAAATGCAACTAGGTGATGACACTTTGGCCTTGACTTGTCTAATCCCATCCATCTACAGTTCAGTCTCCAGGGCTCTCACCAGGAAATATTTAGGGTGTGGTGCTAACACACACATAAATCATATTTATTGTTTTATCCTTTTTACATGCTGTTATTGTATATTCAGTCAAGTTTAGACTGTGGAAACAGTCATGATTTGCCAATAGGGTGTGGAGGAAGCTAAATAGAGTATGGTGCTGCGCCACAGTCTAAAAGCCTGGCGAGATCCCTTGTCTCTATAAATGATGGGACTTGGTGGTGGAAATTTACATTGATGAACTCAATATTAATCATTATGTGCATAAAGACAATTTTATTACTTCACAATATATATTTCAACAATAAATGTAATAAAAATGTACTGCTTAAAAGGCTTGGTAGCAGTATGATAAACTAAATTGAACACATGTTTCTCCCAAATCAATCATCAAAAAATTCAGAAAAAATTGCACATTGTCAATTTAATGGCCATCATTTGAATGGTTACAATGGTAAAAATATATCTATTTTTCTATTTATAGTTTTAGAAAACACATCAGACATTTCTTTTGTTCTTGGTACTTTATGTAGGAAATGAAATGAAACATCTATCCGAACCTCATTGGAACAAAACGACATAAACACAACATGTTTAGGTCTCTCAATACTGTAATTGTACAAAGGAAAGTTTGGTTCATTCAAAATCTGTATATTATTATTATTATTAATTTATTAACCTGTAGTTAAACAGAGTAGTTTTATAATTTACAACACATATACATGTACATAATAAAGTCAAAACTATTTACAGAAAGTGTTTTTTGGTCACCTTTTTACATCTGGTTACCAGTGTACGCTCGCATTAAACGAGCTCTTTTTATACTCATTTGGAGAACAATTTCACCTATTTGGATCATGTCATTTTCAGTTATATGATCGTGATAGCCGAATACAACGCTCTTTAAATCACAAGGGTTACCGTATTTATTTATAATAGAAGTCAGTCTGGCATGTTCATCAAAGTAAGCCTCACAGGAGCTAAGGAAATGTTCAATCGTTTCTACCTCAAACGTATTACACAAAACGCAAATACAATTTAGCCCAGAGTTTTTTACGCGCAGCTCATGGCAGTCTGTAGAGAGGCGCATCATAATTTTACATACTGGAAGATTTTCTGGTTTCATTTTTGCGAGTAACCACCATATACATGGTTTAAGTAGTCCACTTCTACTAGTTGAGACATCCGAAATCTTTACACCTATGTCGTGGCGCTTGTACATTGCGCAAATCGTGTTGTAGTCGTTTCTCTGTTTGGTGCCTATTATATTCCTAATCATCCTTTTCCATGTATATTTAGATGGAAAATTCGCGTTGGTAATCATATTGATCACATAGTCTAATAGATTGTGACGTTTTATACAATCCCACATCCTGTATATTGGTGAATCCCATTTTTTTCCTTGTATAAATATGCTCATAAAGCGCATCATCAGTAGTTGTTTGTAAATATTTGTCATGGGAAGCGTAATAATACTGAAAAACATAAGGAGTTTGTCATAGTCCATCTTTAGTTTAACTGAACACATTCCCAGTGGCATCGTCGACATTGGATTGCTGCAATTACTGGGAAGAAATTGTATCCTTCGTCCAATTTCGCGTTGGGCCACTTCCATCATTTCAACATCTCGTTGTTTATAGTTGATGATTTGATCACCGTAGAGAAACGTAGGGACAGTAAAGCTATTATACAACTTAGTGGCTAGAATGGGGGATAGGCCGTTTGTTTTATGACCGAGTCCAAAAAGCGAAAACAGTTTCCTTTTGCCACTTGATATAGCGTGCTTGGTGTGGTCACTAAAATCTCCGGTTGTACTCAGAGGTATGCCCACATGTTTGGCCTTCGTGACGTTTTTTATCGTGTCCGTCCCTAAATTAAATACGTATTTTTCGTTGCTACCATACGTTAGCGCGACACATTTCTGTGGGTGAAGAGTGTATCTCCATTTTGAACTATGTTTAAATGAGATATCCAGCAACGTGTCCATTGCCCCTGGGAATAAAGCTACTAATGCAATGTCATCAGCGTACGCTGGGGAGCAGGTATTCATTCCCAAGACCTTGGCTCCTAAATTGCTCCTTTGGAGTTCCGTTAATAAGTCACTTATATAAAATTGATACAGGATCATACTGTTAACGGCCCCCTGAAATACTCCCTGGCGTATTTTAAAGGGCTCTGACATTGTTCCGGCGACTTGAACGGTGCAGAAGTAGTTCTGATATGAGTTGTACAAGAGTCTCATATCAGAACTACTTCTGCACCGTTCAAGTCGCCGGAACGTTAATGAAATAAAAGGTAAACTTTAATTTTCATCTATTTTATTTTATTTGAATACATTTTTTTAAATGAACCAAACTTTCCTTTGTATAAATACGATATTGAGAGGTCTAAGAAAATGTTCTAGATGCCATTTTGATCCAACAAGGTTTGGATAGATATTTTCTTTCTCAAGAATTGGTAGAATTAGAACAAAAAACAATTGCAACAAAAAAACAATTCTATAAAACATGTATAAATAATTTTAAATTGTCTCAGTGATTATTATATAAATATCGTGTTTTTTACAGAATGTTTGCAATAATTGGTTTAAGAGAAAAATGTTGAATTCAGTTCACCATATCGCTACCAATCCTTTTAGGAATGCAGTACATGTATACATATTGCTTTAATGAATCATATTGCTCATGCAGACACTGTTAAGGTAGATCAACATGCAGATAAGTATTTTCATGTTATTCTCATGAGAACAATAATGAAAAAATGAGTGACATTGTATGAAAAAATACTGTACTCCCAGTATTTTTTGTGTGCTTCTATATTTTGCGGGTTTCGGAAAATTCATTTGGTACACATTTCAATCAAAACCTCCTAACAATCTGACTTCAGGTTAAAAGAAAGCTTCAAGTGATTAGAGTACTATGTATGTAGTCTTGCTTCAAGTCTCTGGACCCCCCCCCCTCTTATTATCTAATTGTCTACTTCATCACAAGAGTGGTCACAAGGCTTGGAGCTGATGAAATTTTATGAAGGATTGTCCTCTTAAAAAATAAGTTGGGTAAGTTTTGAGAAGTCTCAGATCCACAGAAATTAATAGCCATGAAATATTAAAAACTGAAAATAATCAAAAATTAATAGCCGCAAAATTTCAAAATATAATAGTGTCAAATATTGGTGGGAGTAAAATATTTTTTAATCATTCACATATTCTTTGAGATATTATTCTTAATTATGTTGACATTATTTTCAAATGTTTGAATTTCCCATTTTAGCTGCTAAAGTTTAGATCAAATACAACACTTTACAATGTACAATACGACACAAAGTTTTTGACACATACATTGAGATATTGACCTAGTTAGCCAGTCCAATTATATTATTGAAATGTCAAGAGTCGTAATATTTCTTCCATACTTTATAATACTGCTTCAATATCTCTTTTGTACTAGGTCTCTTTTTTGGATCTTTACTCTTGCACTTTTTATGAATATCAAATAGATAATACTTGAGACTATCGGCACCTTTCGTATCACTTATGAGGTGTTTAAAAACATCAGGGATTTTCCAAATGTCAGTTTTTTCATCATATCCAGGCATTTTATCATTGTCAAATTTATCATTTTTATCAAATGGCCATTTTTGCTCTGGAGCTACAAAATCTCCAAAAAGTTCACGATTTCCACATTTTATCAACAAATTTTTGGTGTGGTTGACTAATGGAAGAGCATCAAGGTCATTGACCACCATCCTGAGATCATCCGTAATTAAATATTGCGATACAGTTTTCTTGATATCATTTGAGTCACACATAACTCGAGTTCCAATGGGACTATTATGCAAATAATCCAAAATCTCTACATATCTTATTGCTGTACGGAATCTGTACTTCCTTGTGTCATACTTCCGGAATATTTCATTGGAGATGAACAAATCCTCCAGGTTGCTGAGTGAGCCATGACGGTGAAATTCTGTGACATAAACATCCGAGCACGATCCAAGAAACTGCACAATAAATGGACTAGGAGAAAGCTTCTTAAGCATTTTTAGGCCATGATTAAAGTCAGATCTGTAATCCTCGAAGCGTAATTTATTTAGAACCACTGAATGGTTCCTCCAACTACCCAAGTGGGCCTGAAAATATAGAAAAAAGTCATGATTTTTAATTAATTTTCAACCATGAAGAATTTATTGGATTAATATATATTGTTGCTGTGCATGGAAGACAGTCTTTACTCTTTTTTATTTTTGGGTCTTATTTATGTACTAAATAATTACATAAACCTACAACATTATGATACACAAATGAATTCTTTCGAAACTACCCTTTGCATTCGTTTGACTTCACTTCTTAAAAGAGAGCTTCGTCTTCACTCTTTCAAACTAAAATAAACCTGTGAACTCACCGCGCCAATCAGTGTTCGTCGGCCAAAATTGACCGACGTTCTATATATGGTCATTCCTTCTGACGTCATCGTTGAGCCCAGAATTGACCAATGACATGCGCATATTTAATTAGAACGCATTTGGCGTGTGTTTCTTCAGGCTCGCTGATTGGTGGAAGAAAGGTCAGCGCGTAGGTCAAAAGTTATTTATTACGCAAACTGTCACCGGTACCCGTCGTGGGGGCGGGGCTACTAAACTGTAATATGGTCTCTACTAGGCAGAGTGTAGTTTAACTAGACTCTGCACGCAGGGTATTTCGAAACATGTATGAGATTGAGAACTGAATATGCGATACTTTGTCCAAAACAGTATCAGTAGGCTACTTTGGCCAAATGGTTACTGTATAACATGTTTTAAATCCGGGTGCTTTATTTTCCGAATTGGATTGAAATTGTTATTGCTGAATAAAAGTTTGCTGACCTGACACCCCTAAATGTAAAGCCAAATAAAATATTGCTAAGCTGACACCCATAATATAATTTTTTACAGTATCAGTAGGCTACTTTGGCCAAATGGTTACAGTATATTACCCCAGGGGATCATTTTGTACTTAGGGGAACCTAAATTTGTCTTCAATAAATATGAGCAAGACACAAAATTCTACAGGTTGAGCATCTTTTTAAAGTCAACATTGAAATTATGAAATCATTTAAGAAGTAGGCACTTTTATTTACAAATCATCATAATAAGGATGTAACTGCATGCTGTTGAGGATACTATTGTTTGAACTATATCAAAATTTCATACATATTCTGTTCATTTGATATCCCAGTAAAGAATTGTGTTTAGCAGAAGACATGCATTTTCATTGTGTGCATACAATGCGCTATTGAATTACTCAGGTAATTACCTAATACAGTACAAGGTACATGTATTTACAATCTGTGCATACCAATGCAACAATACTCTGACTCAGACTATTTCATCCAACATATCTTAAAATGGTATAAAACATTGTTTTCAAAGACAGAACAACAAAAATGATGGCATTTTTAGACTAACCTAAACACCGATTTTCTAGATGAAGATGTCCCGCTTCAGTGATAAAACTAAATGGGTTCAAGAAGCTTGATATGCCCCCAAGTGCCATGGGTGTAGCCCCAGGGGTTCACTGTGTTGAACCTTGACAGACACCTTGTTGACAGTGATTCTCAGCGCATGTGGGGTACCTTTTTTGACATTTGGTATTGCAATGGATCCAAACTTTAGGATCTGTAGCACTTAATTCTAGGTGATCCAATATGTCTATTTAATAAAAGGTAGACTGATTAAGATACAAGGTAACACTCAATTTTGGTGTTTGGTAGAATAGTGTTTGCTCAAATCTGAGTGTTTGTATCTAAAGACTGTTGCACAAAAGTATTCATTAATCAAAAATTGTTGTTAAGTACAATTTTCAATTTATTGAAAGTTAACATGCACTTTTTAATGATCAATTCATTCTCTATAAGTGATATAACGAAATAAATGTGTTAATATATATTGATGATTCTTGCATTCTAGTAAGAATCAATATTTTATCATGAAAGTGTTTTTCTTTGTAATTTGAATGTTAAATAAAATAAGTTTAGTGTCAAAATTAAATGGATTACATGACAATTAAATTAAATCACAATGTAATTTATAAGAAATAATTTATAAGAAAACAATGTAACCAGAGTATATGCTTTCATAATCAATCCTTTATTATAAAGTGTTATATTTTTAGATTCAAATGTCAAATAAAATAGGGTAGAAGTCAAAATATGGATTTCAGATTATAATTTCAAAAAAGACACAATGCCAGTTTAGATTGAATACAAATCAGCCTTTACAAGTTTGTGTGCTTTTTTAAAAGATTGCATCTGTTATTTAACCAAAATATTAAGGAATAAAGATTAAGATTCTATGATTTATGGTATAATATGTGCAGTAATTGAGATCTTAGGAAAGGGCCAGAATAAATTGGAGGTTCCCCAGCATATGTCTGTGATGGGCTGGCATCCAAATAAAAGATTTTCCAAAAAAGACAAGTTGACTATTTCTCCTAGGCCTATTTCAATAGAAAGAATTCAAGTACTCTGGTATCAAAAGTTCTTTCTCCCCTCTTGGAGTCATTCTTGGCAAATAAAGAATCAAATTGGAAATATATATATCTAACATAGCAAATATGTTAGTTCACTAGGGCCTTGACAGCAAACTGAATGTTAAGACTGAAGAATGGTACTCATCCTATCTAAAGATCTCAAATATATCCTGTCATGAAGAAAGAACCTGAAAAGTAAATGTATTAGTGCCTCCCTTACTTTGAAAATGATAAAATATAGGACCACAATATGTAACAAATAATAGATCACCCATGTGAGCTAATAAAAACTATATGATAATTGTCATTTATAATAACAAGACACACAGTGATAAATATCGCACTTTGAAAAGCAAACTGGAGGTGAATGAAAGGTCAAATCTGTGACCTAGTTTAATGACCTTGACCTTCGACCTTGAAAATTTCACTTTTTCAGACCTCAGTAGGTGTTTTGTAATTAAGCTGACCTAAATTTAAATCCAAAATATCAATTTAGAAAATCAACTTTTTTGACCTTTTCAAGGTCACTGAAGGTGAATGAAAGGTCAAATCTGTGACCTAGTTTAATAACCTTGACCTTCGACCTTGAAAATTTCACTTTTCAGACCTCAGTAGGTGTTTTGTAATTAAGCTGACCTAAATTTAAATCCAAAATATCAATTTAGAAAATCAACTTTTTGACCTTTTCAAGGTCACTGAAGGTGAATGAAAGGTCAAATTTGAAATCTAAGGTCAGATTTGAACTTCTGAGAACTTGTAGATGTTTTTAAAAAAAAATTGGTCAATTTGGAGCAAGTTGAAAAATTCAAAATGGCAGCCAAATTGAAAAATTCAAAATGGCCACCATGTAATTCAGCCAGCATACCCAAAACCTAATCAGATCTTGGCAATAGTCTGCTCTTGCATCTGTAAAAATTTCAAGTTGAACGGATAAGTGGTTTTCCTGGAATTTTGATGACAAGATTTGTTGAAAAATTCAAAATGGCGCCACGTAGTTTACCCAGCATGCCCTTAACCTAATCAGATCTTGGTACTAGTCTGCTCTTGCATCTGTAAAAATTTCAAGTTGAACAGGTAAGCAGTTATCCTGGAAATTTGATGACAAGATTTGGTTTATGTGCCGCCCGCCCGCACGCGCACCCGCGCACCCGCACGCCCGCCCGCCCAACAGCACAAGACGACGACAATATAGCCCTTTTTCAAAGTGCGATAAAAATTGCTCAAACCAAAATTTTGCATCCTGTTTATCATTTATGTAGACATTATTTAGCCTCAAATAAATGCAAAACTTTGCAAAAAGGTCCTAAAAATTTCTGGACTAAAAATTTCACATTCAAGATCATACTAAAAACCGATTTTATGAATCTCAAAATTTTTAGATTTGCAAATTGCAATAATAGTAGGTCTTTTGGTTATGCATGGTTAAAGCATCTTACATTTTTCACTATTCCTTGGCCAAGAATCCATTTTTCTTTTATCTTTGATATTTCCTTGCATCCTAGCCATCTACGACAATTCTCCATGTCTGGTAGACTGAAAATACAATAATTTTAGTTCAATGCCATGTACACATTCTCAAGGATAAAAATTGGTAAAATAAAGAATGAGGAAAACCTGAATGACCAAGATTTATTTCTTTACCTCTAAATTTCTAGACATTTAAACTACATGTACATGTTCTTGATGTTTTAGTCCATGTGATTGGTGGTTATCAAATTATGGCTCTAAAGACCACTCTTCTTGTGCTAAATTGGTGTGCTCTTTATGGATCCAGAGATCGCACTGATAACTCATGCTTCAATCCATAACTCGAATATCCCAGACCCCCCCCCCCTTTCTCAGGTAGGTGAAAAATTCTATTTTCACAATTCAGACCAAAATTGGTCAAAATATCCCAATTTTTCATGATTTTTTTCAATTTCAAAAAGGTCCAAATGAATTTTCAGATAGGTGCAATCCTATTTTCAAAATCTCAGGTGGGTGCTGCACCCACTTGCTTTACTGGAAGATCACTGCGCCCCCCCCCCCCCCCCTTCAAATCAACAAGATGACATGTACCTGAAATATCCTTTTTGACATTTTGGTTTGCAAACCAGATCTCCTTTATTGGCAAAATCATCGATGCATTCTAGCTCCACCTCTGGTAACAACACATACCAGGTCGCAATGCCAATCAGACAAGGTAGAATGATGAAGTTACTCAAGAATAGCCAAAGCCTCTGAAGTCCTTGCAGAGTAAACATTGTTGAAGCATCCACATCTCAAAGTTTCAATCAATTGTTGATATCATATGCAATGTAATATGCAATGTATATATCTGAAATCAAAATTGATAAAGTTTACATGTATATTATTCATATCCATATAAGATCTTTTTCTCTTAACTCCAAATATACTTATTTATCAGATATCCAATCCTCCACAATTAAATGTGTTGACCCCTCCTCACACTGTATTTCATAATGAGCCTCGCCATAGGAAAACCGTTCTTATATCACAAAAATTAAAACCCTACGTTCTGCCAAAAAAAGATTTGTTTTGAATTTTACAAAACAATGATGCAACTTCCTTCAAAACTGAGCTAGAAGCTTCAAATAAAAAACATTCTAAAGCTCATTTCTTCCGCTATCTAATGGCTTTATTCACATTGGTTATGGGGGGGAACCCCCCTGGCTACGTCCATGAGACCCCTTTTCCTATGACTTGGCTCAATTAGTTTTGTGATGTTTTGTGTTTTTCACTTAAAAACAGCAACGGCATATGTTAAGGTACCTCTACATATAAGTACAGTAGAACCTGTGTAAGTGGAATACCCTCCGTTCTGCCAAAAAGCGTTCCGCTTAAGAGGTGTTCTACTTACGGAGGTTTTAGATTCGCGGGGATTTAAAGAACATACAAGATCAAATATTAGGTAATATGTATCACTGGAAATATGGTGAAGTTTTTATGGAGGTGTTCCACTTAGCAGGTTCTACTGTATTTACATGTAAAAAACAAATATACATGTATTATAGACAAGGTGCATTTTCATCTAGAGGAAATGTGGTAGGCGTTTAGTGTTAAAAGTGTTCTGACAAGTGTTTCTTATGTAACTTTTTATGCTGAATCCAAAAAACCATGTTGGCAAGCTGAAATATGCTTATTTAACCCTTAAAATACCATGTTAGTCCCCCTACCCCCAAAATTCACCCCTATCAGGGGGAAAAAATTCGTCAACCTAAAATAACTTTGATTTTATGGTTTTTGTAAGTGAAATACATGGACATTGTATAAAATAAACATTTAAAGTATGAATGATACGGATTACACTTAAGAAATTTGAATAAAAGCAAAAAGTATGTACCCAGGGGGCAAATTTATGACCCATTTTTTTACTTTTCGTGTCATAACTTTTTTATTAGACAATGATGGATGCTAAAAAAATCCATGTAAAAGGCTTAATACCTGGTCTACTAATCCTGCAAGAATCAAAGTAATTCCTTTGATAATTGCCTTGAAAAAAATTAGTGAATTTAAGAAAAAATGACATTTTAGCTGGGACTGATTTTATGTGTGACTATAACTGACCCCTATTGCTTTAACATTTATCCCTCTGTGTTCATATATTTAGCATTTTAGAATAAATCTAAAATATAAAACTTATTTTAGCTAAGTTTTAGGAAGATTTAAGCTTTCTAGCATTTTCAAATATTAAAAATTCATGAAATATGATGTCTAAAATTGATAAGTTATAGGAATACCCTTGGAAGACCCCTATAATTTCTTATTTATGAACATATTTGTACCAATATTAGTTTTCTAGCTTAGACAAATAATGTATGATATATCCTTGGCTTTCTGGTGGTTTGAACAATCTTAGGTGTTATCATTGAAAATTCATTCTTAAATCATAGGTCTGCAATCGATTAAATTCAAGCATACCATTAGCCTAGTATCATTCTACTGGTACAGGGTGTCCAAAAAACAGGACCGAAGAAAAGTTAGTTAACTTTGTCAATCCTGCATATTCTGCCTCAAAACTTCAGAATTATTCAGTTCATTCAATATGAATTTTGTTGTGCAAGTTTCATGATAATCTGCCTGTGGAGTCAAAAACTACAGCACTTTACAACATATGTCCAATGTGGCCACCTCTCCTCTACATGCACAATCAAATCTTGCGAAGGAAGTTGTTCAATTGTCCATGGCGTGACTAAAATCTATCTAGAGAAGTAAAACTAGTGTCAGACAAATTCTCAGATGTTCTTCAATTTTAAGTGGATAGCTTCATCAGAAGCTTTGCAATACATGTTGGTATGTGTAGGAGAGTCATCAACAGCTTCGTTGGCTGGGGTGATGGCCACATGGGGCATGTGTTGTAAAATGCTGTAGTTTTTTACTTTATAAGCAGATTATCATTAAATGTTCACAACAAAATCCACATTAAATGAAGTAAATAATTCTGAAATATTAAAGCAAAATATGCAAGATTGCCCAAAATAATCAACATGAACAAGCTATGATTTCATAGATTAGTTTGATGTATGACATAAATCCGAGCTGACTCTCTGTTTATTTAAACCATCTAAGAGGCTTAATCATTGAAAATCATTACAAATAAAGGTCTAAACAGACAGTATTGAGGTATACTATTAGAATACCCTCATTATTTCTAAAGAGTTTATTGGTACCTACTACTGTTTCATAGCTCGGAGGTTTAATATATGATATATCCTGACTAGTTTTTCTGCAGATTTGAACCAATGACAGGTCTAATCATTGATTATACTTCATATACTAGGTCTAAAATTGAAGTATTCAATAGAACCCTCTATGAAAATTCAAAAAAAGATTCAAAATGACATTAACCTCAACATTAGATCTGAATAAGGATTAAAATCCTTCATAGAGCTGAACAGGGAAGACAAGGCTAACTTCATTCTGGTGTTGATACATGGACCTGGTCCAAATCTTGCTACACTTCATCCAAGCCCAAAGAAAGGGAAATTAGGAGCTTCATCTCAATGCATTTCAATGCATGATCCCTTATTTCATGACCACCAAAATTATGGAAGGTGTGGCACAGTAAACTTAGAGGAAATGCACTAACTATTAGAATATAGTACCTGCTGCAGTTGAGCGAGGATTCTTGCATTGAACTATGTGGTAAAAGGCTCTACAAATTCAATCAACCAAGTTGATTGACCCCTATGCCAGTATGCTATTGGTTAGAAGGGTGGCAGAATTGTAGGCATAACACAAAGACAATATCTGCATTGAACAGATGGGCACCGGGGTATAATCTTAGGTCACACATGGGGAGTCCAAACAAGAATGATGTTTGGACTTGCGTTTTGAGATGCAATAGAGGGGGGGGGGTGGTAATTTGCAAATCAAAACAAGAATCTATGGATATATAAGCACAAATGCCAAAGGGAAGGGTGACTAAAAACATTAAAGAAACCCAACAAGAAAAGCAAACCGCAAGTGCAAATCTGTCATAAGAAAAGTAGACCCTATATATCCCAAAACCATAATCTAACGTGAAAAGAAACAATGTTTAACATCCCCCTCCGCCCTCCAATCAAGAACCAATATCACAATCCAGGACCAGAACACCAAGGGACATTTCATTCATACTGAAGTCATTACAATACATGTTGAAGAAAAATTGAAAAAATTTATAGCCAATACTCATAACATCAAAAATAGTTGTAGATACTAGTACTCATAAAAGATAGAGTATTCAGTCTCTGGAAGAAGATAAAATATGTGACATGCTGCTGAAGTTTGGCATGTTTTCAGAAGATCCATTACTTAATCTCCAAAGTATATGTACAAAAGATGTACTCACAGAAACAATCAACAGGCTCGACAGTTTGGCCAACAACAACTGGATGTCTTTGTGTCTTAGAGGTTGATACCAACAGGGTCAAATGAAAGACACAACATTTCTTGATCTACTGAGCAAGCACCAACATTTTTTAAACGATATGCCTAATCCCAATATAAACGAGCAGAAAGTTGTTAAGGCAGACAGGAATGTTTTGCAGAATCTTATCACTGCATATGAAGCTAATCACAGACCTGTGGGCATCAATGAAATCATGAAACATGAGCTGATGTCTTTTCCAATAGCCCTCTCATTGACGAATGAAACATTCAAGCCAACTCAAATGTACTCTACTCTTTAACTGTTTAACAAATAGTATTGCAATGCCAACCGTAATATTTCCAATATATGATCCTTCTTACAAATTAGCATCAATTGCATCTACATCTGAGGATTTGGCTACAGTCTTCAAGGAAGCAAAACTTCAGCAGTGAAGTGTACTGTGCCCCATCTTGCATACTTTTGGTGGTCATATCTCATGAAAAAGGGTATCATGCATTGAAATACATTGAGATGAAGCTCCCAATTTCCCTTTCTTTGGGCTATGGTGAAGCGTATCAAGATTTGGACCATGTCCATGTATTACTACCAGAATGAAAAGTAATCCTTGTCCTCCTTGTTCAGCTCTATGAAGGATTGTAATTCTGATTTACAAGAGTCATCCGAAATCACATCAATCAGTTGCTTTATTTGATTTCCAGATCCAATGTTATGGTTAATGTCATTCTGAATCTTTTTTGAATTTCCCATATACGGTCCTATTGGATTTAAATTTCAAAAATTGCTACTCTGCAAAAACTCTCATTAACTGAAACATCCCACTAATTCAAAATGTTGTCAAAGTGAGTATACGCCATTTGTCAAGAATTTGCCAAGAGTAACACAGAAAGGTTAATGGGGACAGTGGGGGGGGATTTTTTAATATGACTTAACATTGTTCAGGGAAGAAAACTCCATAAAATGAAGATTTGTATGAATCATCGGTACTTTTGCTCTCACGTCATGCAATTGTCAGGCTGCTTAGAATGAAATTAGCCTTGTCTTCCTAGTTCAGCTCTATGAAGAATTGTAATTCTGATTCAGATCCAGTGTTGAGGTTAATGTCATTCTGAATCTTTTTGAATTTATCATAGAGGGTTCTATTGAATACTTCAATTTTAGACCTAGTATATGAAGTATAATCAATGATTAGACCTGTCATTGGTTCAAATCTGCAGAAAAACTAGTCAGGATATATCATATATTAAACCTCCGAGCTATGAAACAGTAGTAGGTACCAATACACCTAGTATATTAAGTATATTCAATGATTAGACCTGTTAGGTGGTTCAAATCTGCAGAAAAACTAGTCAGAATATGTCATATATCAAACCTCCGAGCTATGAGACAGTAGTAGGTACCAATATACTCTAAGCCTGGAATTAATAAGGGTGTTCTAATAGCCTACCTTAATACTGTCCGTTTAGGCCTTTATTTGTAATGGTTTTCAATGATTAAGCCTCTTAGATGGTTAAAATCACCAGAAAGTTAGCTTGGAATATGTCATGCATCAAACAACTAATCTATGAAATCATAGCTAGTTCAATTATGCTCATACCAGTAGAATGATACTAATGGTATACATGAATTTAATCGATTGCAGACCTATGATTTAAGAATGAATTTTCAATGATAACACTTAAAAGATTGTTCAAACCACCAGAAAGCCAAGCCAGGATATATCATACATCATTTCTCTAAGCTAGAAAACTAATATTGGTACAAATATGTTTATAAATAAGAAATTATAAGGGTCTTCCAAGGGTATACGTATAACTTATCAATTTTAGACATCATATATCATGAATTTTTAATAGTTGAACATGATAAAAAGCTTAAATCTTCCTAAAACTTTGCTAAAATAAGTTTTATATTTTAGATTTATTCTAAAATGCTAAATATATGAACACAGAGGGATAAATGTTAAAGCAATAGGGGTCAGTTATAGTCACACATAAAATCAGTCCCAGCTAAAATGCCATTTTTTCTTAAATTCACTAATTTTTTTCAAGGCAATTATCAAAGGAATTACTTTGATTCTTGCAGGATTAGTAGACCAGGTATTATGCCTTTTACATGGATTTTTTTAGCATCCATCATTGTCTTATAAAAAAGTTATGACACGAAAAGTAAAAAATGGGTCATAAATTTGCCCCCTGGGGTACATACTTTTTGCTTTTATTCAAATTTCTTAAGGGTAATCTGTATCATTCATACTTCAAATGTTTATTTTATACAATGTCCATGTATTTCACTTACAAAAACCATAAAATCAAAGTTATTTTAGGTGGAAGAATTTTTTCCCCCTGATAGGGGTGAATTTTGGGGGTAGGGGGACTAACATGGTATTTTAAGGGTTAAAAAAATCATATTTCAGCTTGCCAACATGGTTTTTTGGATTCAGCATAAACAGTTACATAAGAAACACTTGTCAGAACACTTTTAACACTAAACGCCTACCACATTTTACAGAGAGACCTTTTGCAGAAAAGCACCCGGTCTATTATAGGTCATGTAGATACGAACTGTTTGGTTTACAGAAAGGTTGACTTTAACATTCACTATGACATTGCAACTTTTTCAATTGATCTTAGAAGTAATTCTTGTATCTAATGAAAACATTACAAATGAGACTCAATATATAGAGTTGGGGACAAAAATAAATGACAGGTCGATTTTCGATCACCATTTCCTAATTATGGTGGTCTGAAAGCCCATAATTTCCAATATTGGCTAGATACATATCCCTTAAAATTTGTAAATTTTACATTTTGTATAATCTCATCCACTGATTTATGGCCTCTTGTAAATTCTCTTATTTTTAACATGGGAATTAAATCCTCACTTCAGCAAATCCACCTGTCATTTATTTATGCCCCCAACTGTATAAACTATGACATTGTGACTTTTTCAATTGATCTTAGAAGCTAGATATCAATTCTCGTATCTGATGAAAATATTAACATTAGTTCAGATATGAGACTCGATATATAAACCTTAAAAGCGGCGAAGCAGTAAAAAATTCATATAAGGACTGTCGAGTTTGGCAGAATTTCACAATGTAACCATCTTTGGGTCCCAAAGCCAAAAGGACCTATCAGATAGACATGGTAAATATCAATTATCATATCAATTTCTTATTTTTTAGAGTAAAGTTGACAACAGAATTAAAAATCTGACTGTATGCATATAGTCAATGCTAAACTTTCAATGTTCAAATTGACAGGTTCCTCAATCAATAACCATATTCTCACTTCACATACGAATTTGTGATATAAAAATTGACTCAAATAGTATATAAAATTCATAAACTTAGTAATTCGATATTTCCTTGTTTTTAAGCCATTCTGATTTAAGTTAAAAGACCAATGTAAGAAGATATATGAGAAAAAAGAAGACAACAATTTACCATTTCCAAAATTGTGTGACCTTGACCTCTGACTTCGGCTTTTCGGGAAAAAAGATCGGAACATAATTTTGTTCGAATAATGCTATCAGCCGTGAATGCATTGCGTATTTTAACATCTCCACTCAATAATTACATATCCAAGAACATGTTACATTCATCTGGGGCAGCTCAGGCTAAGGTTGCAGTGGTAAGCAGACTTTTCATGATGTTTACAATTTACCCTATTATCGCCCATACAATTCATATTATCATTGGTGTTCCATTTTCATATGTATTTCTCGGCTTAGTAAAAGCAATTTTGGTTTAAGGTGCTATGGAAGTTAACAGGAAATGACAAAACAGGAAGTGACAAAATTTTTTGCATTTTTAGACATTTTTTGAACAAAGATAACAGAGTTCTGGTTTGACCTCCAGTCAATTTAACTATTTCAACATATCATTTACATGACCAGGATCACGATGTGCATGGTCAGAATGACCCTAAACATGATACAATAACCTTTTTAGCCCTTTGAAAGTGTGACTGAAAAAAAGCTAAATGTAGGAGCTAGGGAAGGTTACTGAACAGAATCTTTTTAATTTTTCAGAAAATGTGCCCAATATAATGCTCTAACTGATACAATCTTTGAAATTTTAAAAAATTGTCTTAAACAAAAATGGCGGTCATAAAAAGGAAAATAGATCGCTTTTCAAATCAGTTTTTTCATAATTTTTCTTTTCCTATGAATGATATCAAATTTTCAAAGATTGTATTATTTAGAGCAATATATTGGGCACATTTTCTGAAAAATTCGAAAGATTCTGTTCAGTGACCTTTCCTACCTCCTTCTTTTAGCTATTTTTCAGTCACATTTTCATAGGGCTGAAAAGGTTATTTCATCATGTTTAGGGTCATTCTGACCATGAACATTGTGATTCTGGACCTATAAATAGTGTTTGGAACTAGTTGAATTGACTGGAGGTCAAAACAGAATTTAATTGTTATCTTTGTTCAAAAAAAAATTTTGGTAACTTCCATAGCACCTTAAGTGATTGCTTGTCATCGGTTTAACAATATGTCATTGCTTTAATGAACTGTCAATTACCTCCAACTCGATGAGACAATGGGCTTTGAAATTTCATATTGTTCATACAGTAAAATTTTACGGACTGTCTCCCATGCCGACAATTGTCACTACGGGAGACTGCCCAGTGAGCATTTGCTCCCGTTCCGACAATTGTCGGTACTGGAGACTGCCCAGTGAGTATTTGCTCCCGTACCGACTATTGTCGTCACTCTATCGTCTCCTAGTAAGGCAAGATAAAGGACCGACATTTTCAAAAATAAATACACTAGTTTCACTCTTGATTGTATCGTTCACTGATTGCGTGGTGGTTAGCAGACAGTGCTGAGAGCACTGCAAAGTGCAATGTTATGTGGGAAAATGCATTTGTATTTTAGATGAAAAACGTTTGTACATGTATATATCTTGCATTTCTTGTGGTTTGGCTAATAAAATTGTTACTGTTTATTTTTTAGGTTTGCTTGATAAAAAGTGTTTCAGGCTATATGTCTAGATTTGACATAGTGCTTTGTCATAGGACTGGGCACTTTTGAAATGCACTTTCCAGTAATTGGATAATTGGAATTTTGGCTATATATTGCACCTTGATTGGGTTATGATTCACTAAGTAGGGCTCCCCAAGAGGGGTCAATGAGATCGCTTTATTCACTTTTAAAACTCCCAAATTGTCATTTGTCACATTTGAAATTTACTTATCATATTTTGTCAGATTCATTCCTTTTTAGCCAGTCACATCTTTAAATGCATCTATTATGCATCTTTACTTGCATCTATTTACATTCAGAATGGATTGTCTATTTTGTCATTTTCAAAACACTTGTTAGTCAGATCAATGTTTAAATTGTCACTTGCAAGCATCTTTTTGTAACGTTCATTCGCTTTTGAATACCCCAAAGTCGCATTAAGTCACATTTTTAGAGGCCCGGTCACCTTGTTATATACCCCTTGGGGAACCCCCTAAGTTGTTCCCAGGAAAGGAACCTTAACAGCGCAATCTTTATTTCGTCAAAATCTCCACCCCTTCCTGTGTGGGGATCAAATCTTTGAATGGGGCATTATTGGTAACTTTTTGCAAGGTACATGTATTTTTCAGGTTCTGGCAGGATGTGGTGTATATGATGGCTCAGAGGTACACGAGGCATCTGCGTAAGTATATACTTTGTACAGATTTGCATTTTATACCATCACCATTTCTTCAAATTGACCAATTTTTTCAAAACCATCTACAAGTTCTCAAAAGTTCAAATCTGACCATAGATTTGAGAATTGACCTTCAATGACCTCTTCAAGGTCAAAGATGATTTGACCTTCAATGACCTTCTAAATTTAAATAAAAAAAGTCAAAAAGGTCTTTTCTCAACTTGCTTCAAATTAACCATTAATTAATTTTCTTTCAAAATCATCTACAAGTGCTCAAAAGTTCAAATCTGACGATGGATTTGAGATTTGACCTTTAATGACCTTCTCAAGGTAAAAACAGATTCATAATATTGTGAGCAACTAGATGGTGACATTTTGTCATGTTAATGCCTTGTTTAATTTGAATTTGTGATATTTCATAAACTAAGACTCAATTTTTTTACTCATGTTCCCGGGGCCTATGGTTATGTTTGATTCCTTCTAGGTGCTTGGTTCACCTCAGCCGGGCAAAGGCAGAAGTTGGTATGTTTGCACCCGATATTAATCAGATGCATGTCGTGGATCACATAGCTGGAGCTCCTGATGAGAAAGATACCAGGTATGTAATTTACAGTGTATGGAATTCAGAATTGTATATGTTTCAAAATGAGATCTAAAACACCATCGATCACCTTGAACCATGTTACCTTGGCCAAGATGAAGATATTGTTCCTTGTCATTTAAACAACTAGTAGCCCCTTAAGAATATCTTGAGTACACAGGCAAATTACATCGGACCCCGTACAAGCCCGTCGTTGTGTCAACGGACCCTGTACAACCTCGTACATGCCTCGTTACGAGTCACGTAATTGCTTGTAATTTTCGAGCCTCGTAACAGCTTGTGATTACAAGGCCCGTAATAGCTCATAATTTTCGACCCCCATACTTGACTGTACGGTGCCCGTAACGAGCCCCTTAATAAATCGTAATTTTCAATTCCTGTACTTGTTCGTACGGTGCCTGTTACGAGGCCCGTAATAGCTCGTAATTTTCGAACCTTGTACTTGCCTGTGCGATGCCCGGAACAAGGCCCGTAATGGCTCGTCATTTTCGAGCACAGAACTTGCCCGTACAGGGCTCGTAACGATGCTCGTAATTGCTCGTTTATTTTGATGAACACCTTTTGATCGATGAAATAAATACAGCATACTTGAGAAATGACATTTCAATTATATCTAATTATAAATTAATATGTCTTCAATAATTTCAAAATATTCACATGTCTTTATCAACCTGATAAACAGTATAAAAGCTAGGAAACAAATTAAACAGGAGGGGTACCAATAGGAGACACCATATTTCTCAACAAGTGAAGTACATGCATATAAAAGCATTTGCGTGCGGTATTGGTATAAGTGGAAATGTGATGTAAATAAATGTTATAATTGTTATCGAATGTGTGAATACAACCAACAATCTGAAATGATGAAACATATGCAGCATGGTCTGGATAGATATGTGAATCATGTATATGACTGCAATTAACTTTTTTGTTCGAAATTCGATAACGGGCCTTGTACGAGCTCGTACGGGCCACGAAATTACGAGCCTCGTACATGCCTCGAAAACAACAATTACGACCGTCGTACAAGCTCGCACGAGCCTCGAAAACAAGATTTGTACAAGCCCGTACGAGGATGGTGCTCCTTTTAGTCCGTAATGACTCGTAATTCTCGAGGCTCGTACGAGCTCGTACGGGGCCCGATGTAATTTGCCTGTGTACTTGCTAAAATGACACATCAAAAATTGTATCACAATTCTTGATGAAGAACAATTATGGTGTTGGTCTAAGATTATGGTGAACACACACTGGAACACCCTGACAATGGTAAAGTCAGATACCGTTGTCACAAATGGTGGACGTAAACGTAGATTCAAGTCTTTATTACTTGGTTCCCATTTTTAGGACCTTATCATTGCTACTTCTGTGCATAGCTCTTGTGATGGTGTATTATATGAAATCCCAACTTCGATCAAATGTGGTCGTGAATCGCCACAATATACCGTCATTGTCAATGACAATGGAATCTGAATTTGATATAATTAACAGAGACAACGCCACGTGATAAAACGTGACAACAAACTATGGTAGATGTATTGCATTAGAACATTGGAAAATGACAACGCGAACACCAGACTTTACTGTAGTCTTTATAAATACCGTTGTCAGATATTACCGTTGTCATCTCGATTTCACTGCACATATGACCCACATTTATTGTTGTCATTTATAGAGCATCTGTTCTCCTGTGTCATATTTTGATCAGTAGAATTAAAGCCTACATGTATATTTCTATGATAGAACATATCTTAACTATACCATGGGCTTTCAATTGAAAGCCCATGACTATACGATGAATAGAAAGACACTTTGATTGATTGTTGTACCAAAGGAATTTAATCTAGGTGCTCTATTAAACATGCAGTTAATGAAGGTTGAATTGAAAATCCCATAATAAGGCCTTTGGCTCTTATATTTCCAATCTATTTTCTGTAATTGGTAATTTAAATAATTGAGCCATTATGTACTGTTAAATTTTTGTCACTAGAACATTGCAAATGTTGCAGAAATGTGCTGAAGGAATCTGCAAGAATTGCCAGGGGAAAAATATCAGCGCTTAGTAACTTAAAAGCCACAGACTATGATGCTATAATATTTCCAGGAGGATTTGGAGCTGCTAAAAATCTGTGAGTACCTTTATGAGAGTGGTTCGCAAATTAAGGTACACTTTGACCTCATTCCAACAGTTTCAGATATCTGCCATAATTTTATACACTTGTTTATAGTGCATGGATAATGTTTATAGCAACAGTACAATTTTATAGGCTTATGCCTTATGAGTGTAGGACCTCTGCTCGAGAAGGACTTTTCAATATGGCCGCTCAATTCAAAATGGCCACCATTTTTCTTAAAAAATGTAATTGTTGATAACTCAAATACAAGTTTACGGATTTGGTTCAAATTTTATATGCTGATGCCTAGGGACAAAGGAGTTTCGCACAAAAAGAGATTTTCAAGATGGCCGCTTAAAAATATGTAATCTTTGATAACTCAAATACCAGTGAACGGATTTGGTTCAAATTTTATATGATGATGCTTAGGGACACAGTAGCTATGTTCGACAAAAAATTTTCAAGATGGCCGCTTAATTTCAAAATAGCGGCAATTTTTCGTAAAACCGTAATCTTTGATAATTCAAATACCAGTGAACAGAGTTGGTTGAAATTTTATGTGATTATGCCTAGGGACACAGTAGCTCTGTTCAAGAAATAATTTTCAAGATGGCGGCTGAATTTCAAGATGGCGGCCAATTTTCGTAAAAAACATAATCTTTGATAACTCATATACCAGTGAACGGATTTGGTTCAAATTTTATATGATGATGCCTAGTTATCCCAACGAACGAAGTTCGGTAGGGATATAGTGAAGCCCTCCATCCATCCGTCAGTCCGTCAGTCCGTCCGTCCGTCTGTCCGTCTGTCCGTCCGGAAGATAACTCAAATATTAGTTGATGGATTTTCTTCATATTTGGTGAAAAGATGTATATTGATGAATAGTTTTATAAAAAAAATTTTTATTCAAGATGGCCGCCGCTTTAAAAATGACGGGACTTTTTCGCAAAAATCATAAATTTTTCATTCTAAACCAAAGTAATTAATATTATTGTTTGAAATTTTGGTAGTATATTCGCAACATCTATCTATTTCACATATATTCCGTGTTTTTCATCCTGAACCCCAGGGGCCGTGTATGGGGGGTCAGGAAAACAGAAATTTTCGCTAATTTTTAGATCTTTCTGAAGTATAGCTTTATTATACTCAAATGAAAGGCAATTAAGAGTAGATTGCAAATATTGTATCTTTTTTCTAATTCGAGCCTCGTAAAATTCAAAATGGCCGTCTAATGTACGATTTCGCAATAATTTTTTGATCCCTTCAAAGTATGGCTATATAATACTCAAATTGAAGGAATTTTGGAGTAGATCACAATTATGGTAATATTTTTCAGATTTGTCCCGCAGAAAATTCAAAATGGATTTTTTCAAGATGGCCGCTGCTTTAAAAATGGTGGGACTTTTTCGCAAAAATCATAAATTTTTCATTCTAAACCAAAGTAATTAATATTATTGTTTGAAATTTTGGTAGTATATTCGCAACATCTATCTATTCCACATATATTCAGTGTTTTTCATCCTGACCCCCAGGGGCCGTGCGTGTATGGGTGTATGGGTGTATGGGTCAGGAAAACAGAAATTTTCGCTAATTTTTAGATCTTTCTGAAGTATAGCTTTATTATACTCAAATCAAAGGCAATTAAGAGTAGATTGCAAATATTGTATCTTTTTTCTGATTCGAGCCTCGTAAAATTCAAAATGGCCGTCTAATGTACGATTTCGCAATAATTTTTCGATCCCTTCAACGTATGGCTATATAATACTCAAATTGAAGGAATTTTGGAGTAGATCACAATTATGGTATTATTTTTCAGATTTGTACCTCAGAAAATTCAAAATGGCTGCTTTGCAGGAATTCGCAATTCTAAAATCTAAATTTTTCAATTTTAACCAAAGTAATGAGTATTTTATAATTGATTGGAATTCGGTAATTGATATTTTGTTCGTTGGGATTTGCTACTCCGCGGAGTTGCCATCATCTAGTTCACAATGGTGTGCCAAATTTCATGCTTCTATCACAAAGTGCACAAACATTTCAACATTTACACGAGCTATAATAAGCATAATATGTTTTGTTCGGTGGGATTTGCTACTCCGTGGAGTTGCTGTTTTTCTAGTTTTTCCAAATAAGGAAACACGGTTTATAAGCAGAAATATTGCAAACACCGTAATACATTATTTCTGCAAATAGGACAATTGATTGGATAATCAACATATAAATATGAATTAACTTCACAAAGAAAGCTAAATAAATGCTCATAATTTGAACTATGATATCTCTCATATGGAGAAAGTCAAGTAAATATGTACAATTACTGAATACTAGAGCATAGTATTCTAATTAAATGACAAGATGTATTCATTTCTGCTGAATAAAATACCGAGCTCCTGCAATCAAGATTTTAAACTGAATAATAGTGACATGTTTGATTTCCAGTTGCACCTTTGGGGTTGATGGATCTAAATGCTCAGTGAATAATGAGGCCAAACGAGTCATTGAAGAGTTCCATGCCAACAAAAAGCCAATTGGGTAAGTAAGTTTATACATTTATTTATTTTATTTGTACAGGGAGGTCCAAAAAATAGATGCATACATTTTTGATAAAGAAGCTTTCTTTATTGAAAAGAAATCTTTTTAATTTTTTTTTCATAGACCTGTCTAACAGACATGTAAGGTTTGTATGTTGTAATTTTTTCCTCATATACCACCATTTTGTGAGCACAGCTTAATAGTTCATGATGTCTTCAATCCAAGCTCCTTGGTGCTGAATCACTGGCTACTTGCACATCAAAGTTTGACCTTGGAAAGACCTTGACATAGGAAAGATGTTGACCTCAGGTCACCTAATCATGGGTTGCCATTAAAACGCCAAAGCCAAGATATTCATTCCAATCTAGTTCAGCATATCAATCGAATTTGTTACAATTTGAAAATACTCTAAAAACTACTGATCAGTGTAAGAATTTTGACCACCATTGATATCAATCATGGTGCAAGATATCAATGACAAATTACAGTGTAGAGTTTTTCATTGTTAAAGTAGTTTCTGGTTTCATAGTACCATGGGCTTTCAACTAGAAAGAGCATTCTTCAAGATTGCTTAAAATTTGACAAAATTGGAGACCAAATGTCATTACTTCGTGAACACCCTGTATCAATGACAAATTACAGTGTAGAGTTTTTCGTTGTTACAGTAGAATTTCTGTTGTCATAATAGAGGTAAGAGCATTCTTCATATTGATATGTTTGTTTCTAGGTGTTGTTGTATTGCCCCAGCACTGGTTGCTAGGGTGTTACCAGGTGTAGAGGTCACCATGGGGTCAGATAAAGAGGAGGATGGAAGGTATTTCTTTTAATTCTGTCAACATTTTGAACATCAACAATTGATGCTAAAGTATATTGTAAGTGGAAACACTTGAAACAGAGAATCCTACATAAATTCCTGATATAATTAATTTGTCTAGTTTTTTTGTATTGTACATGTAAGACGTACCATATATGTTCTTCATTCTCTACCTAGGTTTCCATACGCTGGGACTGTACAAGGACTCCTTGAGCTAGGTGCAAAGCATGTCAACAAAGGCCCTACTGTATCCTTTTATTTGTGAACGAAAACTTAAATTAACATTCTGAAAATATTCAGAATATAAAGTTTAGAATTCCAAAGTCAGTAATGTCCTCACGCGATGACAATGATTTCTTTGGTAACAGTAATGGGTTTAAGCAATTCAATGGATGCTCATTGCAAATGCTCCTTGCAATAAAATTAATTGAGCTTTCCAGTAAAGAATAACATTTATTTGACTTAACTTTAACCAGGAATGCCATGTTGATGAGAAGAATAAGATTGTATCAGCTCCTGCTTACATGTGTGAGACAGGCCTGCACGAAATATTTGATGGAATTGGCCAAATGGTGAATGGAACATTGAAACTTGTAAAATCATAGACTGCCATGGATTTTAATATGAGGCCTCCAAATTATAGTTATTAACTAAAACCAAACCTTCCATGATCATTTTCCTTGTAGTGGTTGATTGATTTTCATTTACAGTGAAACAGAAATATGTATCAGAACTTCTTGCCTGTCCCAGCAGTTCTTTCTTTTAAAAGACTACATTACATTCTAAATGGATGGAATAGCTTTTAGTTGTTGCAGTGCAATGCAAAAGAGGCTTGAAATAGATATGCAACTAAGCATGCTTCAATCATGAGCACAGAAAAATGACGAGTTGAAACAATGTTGTTGAAAATCATGGAAAGGACAGCAGTATACATGTCCCAGTATGTTTGGAAATATTCTGGCTTTGCAGTATTTTATTCTTTGCCTATCCAAAGAGAACAATGTATGATTTGATAAGTTGTTATATTTGTACAATGTACTAATGGCATTTCCATTTGTTGTAACAGTGGATTTCTAGAGCTTGGCTCCTGAGCAAGAGATTTGTATGAAATACAATTAAAATTCTGTATGAAATACAGTAATATATAAAGCATAAAGACTAAAATTGAATTGTGTTTGATATTTTTTGGATCGATATTTATTGTATATAAAAACATAATAACTTAACACAGTGACAAAGAGATACTGTAGACCTGGTATTTTTCTTTATTTCATAGTTTTGTGTTATCCCTCTGTTATTTTTGGTAAATTGCAATTTCACAGTGACTCCATTTTGTCACTTCAATTTGCTGGTATTAGTAGCTTGGTATACTTGAATTAGAGAAATTACTTTCCAAAAGATTTTTCTCGTTTTTAGATAAATAAAAACCAACTCAAATGTCACTGAAAATCATACACAACAGAATGGAATTTTTTTACCCAAGGTAAAATAAATCCTGAATTTTGTGATGCTAAATTAGGAGCTTGTGAAATGCATCAGTACTACAGGGATATAATTACAGAATTGGATGTCAGATGTCTGAACGGATGACCAAAACTTAAATGTGTCGCTCCTTGTGTAGGCCATTCCTATCTTATCTGATCTGATCTCAGTGATCTGTATCGATTTTTATCACAGTACTTTTGGAATTGTCAGTTTATCCATTTTAAATATGGATCCTTCCTTATATACACTTTATACATGCTTTATATACATCCTTTATATACACTTTATACATATGTACAAGTATTCCGAGTTCAGTTAGGTATCAGCCACTTTATGTATTTTGTTTATTCTGTTGATGAAAGCATTCTCCTTCTCCCGTAATTTTCCAGCAACTTCAGTCTGAAAAATAAGTTAAACTATGAGGAGAAAGGGTTAAGATTTTCATTTTTTCATTTATTGTATTTATTTGTTGGTGAAGATTAAATTGGATCTCATCTATTTAAGCCGTATATACAGTTAATGTCTTGCTCAGACAAACCAAAAAGTTATCTACCTAGATCCATTAATTAATGAATCAAATGCTGTCATTTTCAAGAAGGTACACAGCTGACCTATAAATGCCCTGGGTAAAATATATGTCTATCTTTTACAAAATGTATGAAACTTAGGTGTCATAATATTTTGAAGAACTGATATATAGAGGATATCCTATGATTTATGAGTGATATGATTTTTATCCATGAATGGATATGATATCTGCACGAGCGAGCGTAGCGAGAGAGTGTAGATATCAATATCTATGAGTGGATTAAAATCATATCACGAGTAAATCATAGGATGTTCTTTTTATTCCATAGTTAAAGTCATCATCAGAATCGTCGGAAATTAAGTTATTTAATTCGAATTTTCCAAACGATCCAGCGATGTTGACACTTAGCTTCGTTTTGAGTCTGAAGTAGCAAAAATCCATAAACCATCGCATACGGCGCCATATGTCATGGCTAAAAACCGTATGCTATGGTTAAGTGAAAATTTGTCAAAAATATCATATTTTACCACTGATTACAAAAATACCGTTTTTATTTTCACATGTTATCCTATGAATATCATGCTAACTATGGAATAAATAGAGATTATCCTATATGAGGTTCAGGATATTGGGATTATCCCGAGGCAAATATAATATATTTGCCCGAGGGCCACAGGTCCCGAGGGAAAATATATTATATTGGCCAAGGGATAATCCCAATATCCTGAACCGACTATAGGATAATATGTTTATCCCATACCAATCTTGGTCATCTGGTTCACATTGTTCAATTGTGGAAATATTTTAGAATATTCATGTCCAGTTTTGTTTTCTCGGCCGTGGGCGGATTTTCCTGTTCTCTCAAATATTCCCACATTTATTTTCCCAAATTTCTGATTGATTAAGTTGATGCTCCTTCTCTTTTTCAAACCATCAAACAGATCCCGATTGTCTGTGTTTTCTCCATTGTCGTTTACAGTCATTACGCGAACGTTACAAATTATGAACAAATATGCGAGTAGCGATTGTGACGTAGCCGGCAGATATACTATATCTGCCCGCTCGGAGCGGGACGTAAAGCTATATCTGCCCGCCGATGAAAATATAAGTTTTTACAAACCGGCTTTATGTACCTGTAACACGTCCAAGTATGGGATAAACATGTTTATCCTATGCCAAGTAGAGTTTTAGGGAGATAAGTTGGTAAGATATATCCCGTATCCTGATTTTGAGGTTTCCATATCCTGAACCTCCATATCTCCCGCCATATCTCCCGCTCCAGGGCATATCTTCCCGCTTCGAAATTTTTTTTTTAAAAATAAGAAAAATTGAAAAAAAAGAAAAAATGTGAAAATAATTTAAAAAAATAAAAAATAGAAAAAAAATTGAAAAAAAATTGAAAAATGTGAAAAAAATGAAAAAATAAAATAAAATTGAAAGAAAATTAGAAAACTCTACTTGGTAGCAGTTATGTACGGTCGGTTTGGATATCGGGTTCATCCCTCGTGAGATATGCACATCTACCTTCGGTCCCTATGGTCCCTCAGGTAGATATGCATATCTCCCTCTGGATAAACCCCATATCCAAAACCTCCCAGTACATAACCCTTATGTATTCCATACCTGATGAGGTTAGAAAATTAGAAAACTCTACTTGGTAGCAGTTATGTACGGTCGGTTTGGATATCGGGTTCATCCCTCGTGAGATATGCACATCTACCTTCGGTCCCTATGGTCCCTCAGGTAGATATGCATATCTCCCTCTGGATAAACCCCATATCCAAAACCTCCCAGTACATAACCCTTATGTATTCCATACCTGATGAGGTTTCAGGGACATATCAATGGGGAATATATTCCATATCCGGGCAAATATTTTTCGTATGTCCCGCGCTCCAACGGAGCTCCGGGACATATAAATCGTATGTCCCGCTCAAAAAAAAATTTTTGAAAAAATTTGAAAAATAAATTCTGGAAAAAAAATTGAAAATAAAAATTTGAAAAAAAATTGTGGAAAAAAATTATGTAAAAAATATATTTATTCCATCCAAAGGAAAGAGATCCCAATTTACTATGCTCCATTTGGAGGTTAGGGTGTTAAACTATATTGTTTCAAAGTAGGGATTAAAAATCTGAAAACCTCACCATTGTGATAAGGACCAACAAGACACACAGTGATAAATATCGCACTTTGAAGAGCAAACTGGCCACCATGCAATTTACCCAGCAAGGCCAAAACCTAATCAGACCTTGGCACTAGTCTGCTCTTGCATCTGTAAACATTTCAAGTTGACAAGGTTAGCGGATTTCCTGCAATTTTGATGACAAGAATTTATTTGTAGTCTTGAACTTTGGGAAAATTTAGATAACATTGTTTGTGACCTAATTTGATGACCTTCGACCTTGAAAATTTCACTTTTTCAGACCTCAGTAGGTGTTTTGTAATTAAGCTGACCTAAATTTAAATCCAAAATATCAATTTAGAAAATCAAATTTTTGACCTGTTCAAGGTCACTGAAGGTCAACGAAAGGTCAAATCTGAAATCTAAGGTCAGATTTGAACTTCTGAGAACTTGTAGATGTTTTAAAAAAAAAAATTTGGTCAATTTGGAGCAAGTTGAAAAATTCAAAATGGCCGCCAAATTGAAAAATTCAAAATGGCCACCATGTAATTCAGCCAGCATGCCCAAAACCTAATCAGATCTTGGCAATAGTCTGCTCTTGCATCTGTAAAAATTTCAAGTTGAATGGATAAGTGGTTTTCCTGGAATTTTGATGACAAGATTTGTTGAAAAATTCAAAATGGCCGCCACGTAGTTTACCCAGCATGCCCTAAACCTATTCAGATCTTGGCACTAGTCTGCTATTGCATGTGTAAAAACTTCAAGTTGAACAGGTTAGCGGTTTTCTTGGAATTTTGATGACAAGAATTGATTTGTAGTCTCAAACTTTGAGAAACTTGGATAACATCATTTGTGACCTAGTTTAATAACCTTGACCTTCGACCTTGAAAATTTAACTTTTTCAAACCTCAGTAGGTGTTTTGTAATTAAGCTGACCTAAATTGAAATCCAAAATATCAATTTAGAAAATCAATTTTTTTGACCTTTTCAAGGTCACTGAAGGTGAATGAAAGGTCAAATCTAAAATCTAAGGTCAGATTCGAACTTCTGAGAACTTGTAGATGTTTTTAAAAAATTGAAAAATTCAAAATGGCCACCATGTAATTCAGCCAGCATACCCAAAATCTAATCAGATCTTGGCAATAGTCTGCTCTTGCATCTGTAAAAATTTCAAGTTGAACGGATAAGTGGTTTTCCTGGAATTTTGATGACAAGATTTGTTGAAAAATTCAAAATGGCCGCCACGTAGTTTACCCAGCATGCCCTTAACCTAATCAGATCTTGGTACTAGTCTGCTCTTGCATCTGTAAAAATTTCAAGTTGAACAGGTAAGCAGTTATCCTGGAAATTTGATGACAAGATTTGGTTTATGTCCCGCCCGCCCGCACGCCCGCCCGCACGACCGCACGCCCGCCCGCCCGCCCGCCCAACAGCACAAGACGACGACAATATAGCACTTTTTCAAAGTGCGATAAAAAACATTTAAATGATCATTGCACTTTATGTCAGTTCAATGTCAAGGAAGTGGTGATGTTCTTTGTGCAATTACTTGGTCCGATAACACACTAAAGTAAAACTCAACTTACTGTAAGACCACCAAACAGTTGTGAGGCAACTGAATCCATTATGCTTTTAATTTCATCTGGAGTAACAGTGGCAAGGAGATCTTGTAGTTTGCCATCATCAGGGCCACCTTCTGCTCCAGTGGTCTCTCCCCCTTCAGCAGCCCCTGGTTCGCCATCTAGTGGTGTCACTGATCCTTGTTCAGTCTGGAATGGATTATATACAGTACAATGTGCTTTCATTTGTGCCTGTTAGAGCCTATGAGTAAAGCTGTAACTGCATGTAAGTACATTTTGCAGTCACTTGTAGTAATAATGAGGAAAAATAATTGAAACGCAGGCATTGTATTCACTATTCGTTGTATTCTATGATCAATTTCAAGACTAGGTTCATTGAAATATTTAGATCCTTTAATTCAAAATCCTTATGGGATGTTCATTGTTCTAAATCATTATGGACTGTTTTCAGTATTAAGAAACTACTGTTCTTGTTACTATTAATTTTTGTATCTGTTTGCATGTGGTGACAAAATGCCTCATTGGGCTTACCATGGCAGTGGGAGGTGGTGTAGGCTGAGTGATATATGTGTCATACATCTCTTCACTGACTCCCTCATCCAGGGGTGGGGGCCATGGCATAGTACATGGCAGCGCCACCTCAATCTCAAGCTGAAATCAAACATCAATGTTATAGTTTATTTGTATTATGAGGTTATAATGTAAAAATAATTGTAACTGCAGAAAAAAATCTCAATTTAATGGTTAAAGTTTTCAATAAACAATCATAATGAGAGAGATTTGGGTGAAGTTAGAGCTTATAAGAAGACATGAGTAAATTGTTGGTAGTGAAAAAAAGAGTCTTAAATCAAATGATGTTTTTATTATCTGAAAGCGCAGTGAACATTTACAGATAATTTGATATATATGCCATTGTAATGACATCAGACAGTCAATAAAAGATATGTATGAGTAACTACAAGCTAGCAGCAATCTCCTTTTCATTCAAAATCTTTTTTGGCAAACTATGTGAAAGCATGGCCAGGATTTCCCCATTTCATGTATATGCTTATTCAAAAAGTACCATTTTATTGAATTTTGAGCAATCTTATTATTTTGTACAGAATACAGTTCTTACATCTGTTCCTATGATCTCCTCAGCTTGTGTTGTGGTGAACATGAACTCATATAACTTGTAGTGTTGAAATAGACTGAAAGAAAAGAGAAACAGCATTGTGATTATATAAGCAAATAGTTCATCCAGAACAAAGCTTTGCATATTCAAGGAATCAAGGTACAAGATTAGAAACTGTTTTGCCCAAGATGCAATTTTACCTTACTTTAACTTTATAACGCAATTTATTCATATTCTTATTTTTAATAATCATAAAATAAACAGACTACATGCGAATCTCAAGATATCTGCCCAACAGTTGGGTCACACTAAATACAAAATGAGCTAGAATGTGTATAAATAAATAAAAACAAAAGTAAAAGATCAATAATATTTATGTCGCATAGAGTGCCTGATTGCCCCTTTAATAATCAGCATTAATGCACTAAAAATGTAAAAGCTAATTGAGCGTTGAACTCACCTAGAATAAAGGTATTCATTGAGAGTAGCTGCTTGTGAAATATCAAAGAAGTTCAACCCTCCAGTCTCCTCAGGGCTCTCTTGCCCAATGCCAACCAACATCTTTTTGTATTCACATATGTTTTCTACCACTGTCAGATGCCTCTCTGAAAATATATGTATGTTGCTTTGAGATATAATGAAACTTTTTTGGGATGATTCTAGTCGTAGATGATTTAAATCTTTTAAAGAGAAACTCAGAGGGTGAGGATTTTTATTAATTTTTCTAATAATTTTTCGAATATCCTTATTCATATTTATCCTAGCCTTTACTACTTACCTTTTATGTTCTCCAGCAGAGTGTGGACTACAGTAAACATGCCAGAGAGTTGCTGGATTGTGAATTTCTGTTCCCTGCCCCACCATATTGCTGATACACAGTAGTCTAGTATTGCAGCTTCTTTCAGATCAATCTCATAGTTTGGCAGATCCAATATCTCAACTAGTTTTCTGGAAGTTAAATCAATAAAATAAAAACAAGACACACAGTGATAAATATCGCACTTTGAAGAGCAAACTGGCCACCATGCAATTTACCCAGCATGGCCAAAACCTAATCAGACCTTGGCACTAGTCTGCTCTTGCATCTGTAAACATTTCAAGTTGACAAGGTTAGCAGTTTTCCTGCAATTTTGATGACAAGAATTTATTTGTAGTCTTGAACTTTGGAAAATTTAGATAACATTGTTTGTGACCTAATTTGATGACCTTCGACCTTGAAAATTTCACTTTTTCAGACCTCAGTAGGTGTTTTGTAATTAAGCTGACCTAAATTTAAGGTACAGCTGGAAAGTAACATTTTGGTAAAAAATTGCTATACCAGCTGCATGTTATTTTCTGGTACAAAATAAAGTATGAAGACATGTGTCAATTGCCTTGCTTTATTCAGGAAAGTATCATTACATTGTCTTCTTTAAGAATATCTAGTAGGCGTTCAAAGGGAACTCCAGGGAATTGTGATATTTCACACTTCCTGTTTTTCCAAATTTTCTTTCAAAGTTTCCAGACAACACAGGAGCTACCATTGACCTGTTTCCAGGTTTACTAAAAGTAGAAAGTGTTATGATACTTTCCTGAAAAAAGCAAGGAAATACACATATGCCTTCCTACTTTATTATGTACCAGAAAATAACATGTGCAGGTATAGCAATTTTTTACCAAAATGTTACTTTCCAGCTGAACCTTAAATCCAAAATATCAATTTAGAAAATCAACTTTTTGACCTTTTCAAGGTCACTGAAGGTGAACGAAAGGTCAAATCTGAAATCTAAGGTCAGATTTGAACTTCTGAGAACTTGTAGATGTTTTAAAAAAAAGAATTTGGTCAATTTGGAGCAAGTTGAAAATTCAAAATGGCCGCCAAATTGAAAAATTCAAAATGGCCACCATGTAATTCAGCCAGCATACCCAAAACCTAATCAGATCTTGGCAATAGTCTGCTCTTGCATCTGTAAAAATTTCAAGTTGAACGGATAAGTGGTTTTCCTGGAATTTTGATGACAAGATTTGTTGAAAAATTCAAAATGGCCGCCACCTAGTTTACCCAGCATGCCCTAAACCTAATCAGATCTTGGCACTAGTCTGCTATTGCATGTGTAAAAATTTCAAGTTGAACAGGTTAGCGGTTTTCTTGGAATTTTGATGACAAGAATTGATTTGTAGTCTCAAACTTTGAGCAACTTGGATAACATCATTTGTGACCTAGTTTAATGACCTTGACCTTCGACCTTGAAAATTTCACTTTTTCAGATCTCAGTAGGTGTTTTGTAATTAAGCTGACCTAAATTTAAATCCAAAATATCAATTTAGAAAATCAACTTTTTTGACCTTTTCAAGGTCACTGAAGGTGAACGAAAGGTCAAATCTGAAATCTAAGGTCAGATTTGAACTTCTGAGAACTTGTAGATGTTTTTAAAAAAAAAATTTGGTCAATTTGGAGCAAGTTGAAAAATTCAAAATGGCCGCCATGTAATTCAGCCAGCATACCCAAAACCTAATCAGATCTTGGCAATAGTCTGCTCTTGCATCTGTAAAAATTTCAAGTTGAACGGATAAGTGGTTTTCCTGGAATTTTGATGACAAGATTTGTTGAAAAATTCAAAATGGCCACATAGTTTACCCAGCATGCTCTTAACCTAATCAGATCTTGGTACTAGTCTGCTCTTGCATCTGTAAAAATTTCAAGTTGAACAGGTAAGCAATTATCCTGGAAATTTGATGACAAGATTTGGTTTATGTCCCGCCTGCCCGCCCACCCGCACGCACGCCCGCCCGCCCGCCCAACAGCACAAGACGACGACAATATAGCACTTTTTCAAAGTGCGATAAAAACTCTCCAAAAATATGTACGCTAAATAGATATTTATACACTCTCCCAAAGTAGATGTATTAACATAAACAAATAAGTAAATAGTCTGACATACATGTAGACTGATAGAGATTAAAGTATCACTGGCGGATTAGGGGGGGGGGGCCTGGGGGCCTTGGGTGGGCCCAGAAAAAAAAAATTGGGCCCAAAAAAAATTTTGGTTAAGGCCCCCAAAAGTGGGCCTTTTTGGTCATAATTGGGCCTTTTAAGGCCTTATTTTTTAATTTCAGGCCAAATTTTGAAGAAAATGGGCCTCAAAATTTCAAAATTTGGGCCCACTTTTGGGTTTTAGGGGCCCAAAAAATTTTTCCGCGCAAGCGCCGACGTTTTTTTCTCTGACCTGAAATTTGGGCCCCCCCCTTGTTGCTTCCCAGATCCGCTCCTGAAGTATCATATTGTTTTGAGGGAGCTCCTTTAAGATATACATGGACATACTACTTGTAAGACTTCTGGAGATGAAAGATACATGTACTGTCTACATTATTTAATGTGACTCCCCCAAAATGACATCACATCCAAACAATAACAGCATTCCGTCTTAAATTTATACAGTTATGATAATTCTCATTTATTTCAAATGCTGCCCTTTGTAATTTTTGTCTAAAATTTTATATGCCTACTGTAGGTCTATTAAGACTTTGAGATTTACTTACGATTGCACTTCCTCCACAGTTTCTACCTCAAGGAGTTCTCTTGTTTTCTGTTCTGACAGGACCTTGAAGGCTAATGCCCCTTCCCTCTCTTCTTGATCATTGTCCTATATGAATAAAATATATGAAAAAGATTTTAGTCAGAGAATAGCGCTTGCGCTAATGTTGCTTGTACATGAAAACCGACGTTAAATAAATATTATCTTATCTTAAAAATGCTCTAATTCAGTGTGCAATTTTACATGATATCATTATGTAAACATAAATATGCTCCTAGATCTGCCAAAAAATAATTGGGAAGGATGTGGATGAGGCATAGTCTAGCCAACAACAAAGAAACACCTATATTCTGGGCTAGAAACCCCAATTCATCGACTACAATGAAGTTATAATCAGTGCCAATGCCAGTCAGCAGATGCAGACAGCAGAGAGTAGAGGCACAGACAGACAGACTGACTCAGTGACGACTGGTCACACAGCACACAGAGACTTTTAATTTTTACTTTTCTTATCAATGTATGGCTATATTGGATGTGTTTCGCAATGCGTACCGCTTTTTCTTTGTTCTTCCCTTTGCCCTTGCCTTCTTTCTTGTCGCCAACATTCGCATGACTAGGGGACTTTAATAATTTAGACGAAGTGGATTTTGTAGGACTTTTGGTGGCCATTTTGAAACTGGATTTTGTCGATATGACAACGAACACATTCCAGAATTAGAAAGACATTTTAAAGTGAAACCTTATATTATGGATCTTTAAAGGTTTCTGATTATATAATAATTGAAACAATAATATAAATGAATGTAATCTATAAGGATTGTTGCTCTCAATATGTTATAATTTCACTATTACATTTATTTGGACTGTAATTATTTTACCTCCTAAATAAAGAGCTCTCATTTAAATTTATGGCGGGAAACCAACACGCAACCTAATTTGGCTTGGAATAAGCAACGCAAAGACGGCAGAAGATGCTTCTAACCCATAACCCTAAACTGTAACACCTCTGGCCCTAATATAAAGAATCGGAATTTCGCCCAGCCATCTCTAGTGCTATACCCAAGCTAATTCCCCGGGAATTTCTCTATTTCTATGTAATATTGTACATCATGCTATTGAGATAGAGTGATAGAGTTGTAAACCACTTACTTTAAGCTTGTTCTTGTCCTTCCCACGAGTGGACTGGAATAGAAATGTATAATTAATCAGACAAGAATAAATGAATTCATATTAGGCCCCATAATGGACTTTTGGCCATTGAAGGGCCATTGAACTTGACAGTAGCAGTAAAGTTGCGCTGGTTAATCAAAGATCGAGTTGGGTTGTTTAAAAAATCATGATGTGAATGATTCATTGAGGTGAAATGATTATTGTATAAAAAATTATTATGTTATTGACATATTGTGCCTCATAACTAGATCACCCCTCAATGTCAAACCCCCGGGCCGGGTCACAACTCCTTGGTTTAATGTTGGCTGAAACAATCGAGAAACTGAAACATCATCTAACTCTGTAAAGTAGAGAGGGATCAATCTTACAATACAAACAAAATTGAAAGCTTGCTAAATTATGGCATATTGATTTCTTTTAAACACTAGTGCCATGTACAAATCTCACCACTTATTTATAACAATTCATATTTTCTGATGTTATGCACACTACAACATAATCTAGTTCAACACTCAAATCATGAAAAGTCGAGTGTTTCAATAAATGAAATAAAATGAAATGAAAGGATCAATAAAATGCATTACAGAAATAAAATATTTCAATTAAAATAAAATAATAAAATCAAAATGAACTAATAGGAAAGAATACCGTCGTTGTGTGTTCAAGTCCAGGTTAAAGTACAGTATTGTGTGATATAAAACACCAACATGGTTTCTACGCCAAGCCACTAATTATTGATAAGACGTGAAAAGTATTATTTCAAGTGCATCTAAGTGTTTTTCACGACCCCCACCAGCATAACAAAAATCATAATTTACCTGTGAACTGTTAGTGGGCCTCTGAAGTTGGAAAAGTAAACAGAAATGTTAAATGCACTAACCCTAAGACTAGAGGTAGTTTTTACAGATATTAGAGCATCGCGGCTTGCTCTTTTGATTGTTTTTTTGCTTGTCAATATTTGAGTTTGAATGATGTTGCTCTTTGCACATAGTAGGATTTAAAGTCTGGTCCTTAATATAATTTTATAATCTGGTTGAATAATTGAAGAATATTGTATCAGGGAGTGAAATATTTCACAATCTATAGTTTCATTTAATTTAATCACATTTTAAAATTTATTATAGAACTATGTAATGTGACCCACTAACCTGTGATTTAGCACTAGAAGATGATTTTCTCTATTGTTAGCAAAATGTAAAGTACAGATATGAATAAATAATAAAATAGCAACATTTTAGTTATCAGATTATAGGATACATATGACACGAGAGTAAAAGATGAATAATGATATGTAGCTGAAAATTATTAAAGGGGTCTAGTGCTTACTCTGATCCTGAAATACATATAACTTTTAGATTATCAAAGCTTGATACAAATCCCTCCTTTCAAGTTTGTACGTGAATAAATTGTTTTTAAATATAATAGGCACAAACTGCAAAACAAACTTCTACTTCTTAAATCATTGGAAGTTGAAAGAATTTGTTACAGACGCCGAACGCCGATCGCCAACCGCCGTCACAGAAAAAGTTGAAGACCATATAAAAGTGGTGACATAAAAATGGGGAAATGTAAGGGGACAAATTTGGATACTGAGCCCGTTAAGGCTTTGAAAGGTATTGCCTCTAGCAATGTCCCTTCCAAAAAAGGAAACGCCGTCTGTCTAAATCTTACGGTTTCAAAAAAAACCGGGAAATATTTTTAAGTATGTTATTTGATGGAATCTAAGCGTTTTTATCAACTTGTGTAATAGGCGCTACGCCTGTACGCCCATGGTTTCTCTTGGAATTCTTCAACCCCAAAGAATATGCTATAAATGGAATACAGGTATTGATCTTAAGTGTTATATCTACAGTTAGAACAAGACAATCTACAACGAACGTTTATTATGTGTTATATTATCGATAATCTAATATCCTTTACAAACAAGACAACAGACGTGAGAGATAGCGACATCAAAAGATTATTGACTAATTAGCTGAACATCCTATTCCTTCCAATACAATGATTGATCTCCGGGCCTCTTCAGGGTCTATTAGAAAACAAAATAGATATAAAATGTCTTTAATATGATCAACTCATTTAAACAAATGAATAAGATGATTTGTGAGATGAATAAACAAATGATCACCGGGATATTTGCCCGTTGATGCGTAAATTAGAATGAAGCATTTGAGTCAATATTGGAGATTCATATGCTTGTATCCAGTAGACACATGTTTTCATAAATGCTCAGTATCAGGAGCGCAATCTATAATGAAAATAAATTCAATTGCTACACGATTAATCCTAAAATTACATTATTTATCTCAATCATTGTTATGACACTTATTCACTTAAGGGCAATACGAGTAAGTGGTTTAAACAAATTATACCAATACATTAGGCTATATTGCTAATCTGAAGGTCGGACCAGTTCAAAATACCTAAATGACATTAATTGACCAAACAAAATGTCAGTTAAGTTCAATCAGTTCTGAAAATGTGACAATGGGTATTTCAATAGGTGAATATGAAAAATCATGAAAATGATCCCAAACTGACCGGCCTTTCATGGACTTGAAGAAATGGATTTGAATAGTAGATAAATCTAGTATAAAGTATTTTTAATGGTAATTACTATACATTATTTTATTAAAGTCGCTACGCTCACGATGATTTGGGAAATTGATAATAAACCTTTTTTGCATTTTTGTATATCAACTCATCGCCTTAGAGAAGAATCCATCACATAAAGACAGAACGATAATTTTACATATGGCCATGGTTTGGGAAAACAAATAAAAATATTACTTTATTGCATACGTGCATTACTTATATTACCGATATTGTATTTACACTCGTTAACGTAATGTTTATTCCTAGATCAATTATTCCAAGGTGTCATTAATTATTCCAGCTAATCAAACCAATTAGTACCAATTTGTGCTAGAAGTTATATTTCCATACTCTCAAGTTCCATTTTTAAATAGAACAATTTATATTTTTCTTTTATTAAATTAATTTCATTCATTATTTATTATCTAGTTGCATTTTATATTGTTACATATTATTTTATTAACATCAAAATGTAACTATATTGTTCAGAAAATGGTTTTGGGAAAGTTGTTTTTTAATAAATTATGATGTTAACAATTTACAGCTAGCTCATATTTGCATTTACTTTTCTGAAAAGGAGTATTCGAATCGTGTATTTCCAAAATATTCTTCAAAAGTTCCGAAACAAAAAGATAGAGAAAACCTTTAGGATCAAATATACATAATTCATGTTTCATGATTTACTCAGACAATATATATAAAAAATATAGTTTTGTTTTCAACTTACCCGATTTCTTGGTGCTTTCGACATCCTATGCGCTGCTACAATACCACTAGCAACACGTACTAAACTAGGTTTCTTTTTTTCAGCAGACATTTGAAATTTAATTTACTTTATTCAAATCTGATAATACATGCCATAGAAATCTCCCGTTGGTGTAAATATTGATCCTTCTAAAGCCTTAGTGGATTTGCACAATAGTGTTGACTCCCGATGCTTGTGCCTTTTAGCCGATACAAGTAAGTCTATCATTGACAACTAATTCAATACATAATCCAATTTTCGATGGTTTCACTAAGAATGGCATACAAATTAGCTTTTTCAAAATAGTTCTTTGATATGATGACAAGTGCCTTGTAGATTTCATTGTTGTATGTCTGGGGAATGGAGATATCGTTAAACAAATAGGTTTTACCCTTGAAAAAGTATCAATGCCATTCATGCTTCTCTTGTGATGAATATGAAAATAAATTTTAAAAGAGAAAGTATCAATTTGAACCATAAAGTTAAATCAAATAATATGTATTTTTAAGTCTTAGACTAATACACAGAGGGCTAGTTTGAAAGATCACGTTTTCTGAAAAGAATACAACCAGAACAACGGCAACGCCAAAGCGTAGCGAATCCCATCGAACATTTTTCAAAAGGGGCACCTTCTACCAAAAGTGTCATTAGACAGTGTGCCATGCTTATAATATTCACATACCAAATATGAACAAAATCGCTCTACTACTTTTCGAGTTATAGTAAAATAAGTTAAAATGGTGGCCATTTTGAAAAATGGCCGCCTTCTACCAAAAGTCTCATTAGACAGTGTGCCATGCTTATAGTATTCCCATACCAAATATGAACAAAATCGCTCCACTACTTTTCGAGTTATAGTAAAATAAGTTAAAATGGCAGCCATTTTTCAAAATGGCCACCTTCTACCAAAAGTGTCATTAGACAGTGTGCCATGCTTACAGTATTCACATACCGAATATGAACAAAATCGCTCCACTACTTTTCGAGTTATAGTAAAATACGTTAAAATGGCGGCCATTTTGAAAAATGACCGCCCTCTACCAAAAGTGTCATTAGACAGTGTGTCATGCTTATACGTATTCACATACCAAATATGAACAAAATTGCTCCACTACTTTTCGAGTTTTAGTAAAATAAGTTAAAATGGCGGCCATTTTTCAAAATGGCCGCCTTCTACCAAAAGTGTCATTAGACAGTGTGCCATGCTTATAGTATTCACAAACCAAATATGAACAAAATCGCTCCACTACTTTTCGAGTTACAGCAAAAATCGTCAAGATGGCTGCCATGTGCTTTTTTAATATCTACATTTCTAGCTTTATTAATGTCCTATATAATTTTTTTTACATTTAAAACATATTGCTATTACAGTTTTACATATTGCACCTAAATTACTGTAAAATCGGCACTAAAATGGCCACCATTTTTAAATGAGCGGCCATTTTGAAAATCGGCTTTCGAGCAGAACTTCTATCCCCATAGGGTATATGTGTACAAAATATGAATAAAATCGGGCCAACGGTATTTGAGTTATTGCCCGGACGGACGGAGGCGTTCCCTATATCCCTCCGAACTTCGTTTGATGGGATAATAATCATTAATCAATGTTTCAGATTAGGTTTCTATGTCTGCATAAAATCAACCCATAATTTCCTGTGAGACATAACGTATTTTTGAGTTACTTTAATGAATTAACTTTCTGTATTAACTTTCTGCTAGGGACCTAGTGACATGACGTTACCTTACATGGCCCATTAGACGAAATTCAATATTCTTGTCATGACTATGTGACATAGTCAACACAAGGGAGGTGAAATACGTAAGCGCTTGCTGATACATATTTATGCAATACAAAATAAAATTGTCAGCGATTTTGTTCAATACCAAAATGTATGTACAATCATTTTCCACTTTTACTAAGTTGATTCAAAACAGAATAAATGTATATCTTGCAATCATATCAAGGATGTTATTAAACAAATGTCTAGTTGAGACAGAGAAAGTAACTGTTTGTACCAATTCCTAAAATGTTATGGTGACGAAATCTAGTTGGATTACAGTACATGTTGTATCTAATGCTGCGTATTTTCTTAATCATCAACATCGGCATCAAAAATACTCTGCACATTAAAAAAGGTTAATTCAAGGTTATTATCTTTTTATTTCTACTTATTTAATGCTACAACTAATTATGATTTTCCTGAAATATATTCATACAGTGGTTAAAATGATAGCTGCCAATTTGTATATCACAAGCATATATTTATGGATAATTACATCATAGGATAATCACCTAGAAAATGGCAACTCCAGGAGTAGCAAATCTCAATGAAAACTCATAAACCACATAATTTGAGAGCAAATACTAATATGGAACGTTGTACATTTGCGTATGGTTAATTTATATAAATCATGTAAAGCACATAAATCAAGTGTCAAAAAAATTTAGACAATTACTAGCGTCAATCAACATTTGAATTCACATTATGCTAGAGACCCATACTTTTTGGATGGACAAAAACAATAGAAAATGGAGTAATAAATAAATACATAAATAAATAAATATTCACTTTCTGTTCCTAAGTTTTGTAAAGGTATTTGTACACACTGAAAAACAATTATTTACAAGATGGTTTTTTAACCAAATTAATAGCACTGGATGTGATCATTTAGATTCATAACTTTTATTTACTTTCTTCATAAATATTTCCAATAAATCCTGCCTTGATCACCAATTAGGATATATATAGGCTTGTTTTAACAAATCAAAGAAACATTGCTACCTACAAGCTATGACATCATGAATCTCACAATGTACACAGCCAATCTCCAACTCCAGCGGTATCATATATACTATATAACATCATAGTATTATACTCTTAATGTGCCTTTCAGAGTGCGGATTGGGGGTTAATCCTAACTTCTTTTGTGCAATGATACCCTGGTTTCTATGGTGTAGAAAATGGCAGGATATATGGAAATGTCTATTCATTGTCTTATCTTGTGATAACTTGAAACTATTGGGAAATTCTCTAGGTTTAAAGTGTTTAAACTAACATACTGGGTGGCCAAAAAGGTTTACAGACTGTTCAACAACTGTAAACCTACTTTTAGGCCACCCCGTATAATATTTGATTCTGTAAAACTCATATATCTCATAAATTAATGTGCATCTTAATAATCCATCATACTCTTGCAGTTTCCAGAATTCAACATAATGTTGTGCTTCAACTTCCATATTTGCCAGTAGTATTCAATTGCTTCACTGAGAAGCATTTACATAAGCAGTTATGCTATTTTGCTAATCTGAATAAATATACTATAATAAACATTCAACTGCTGTATTGTACTGGGTATGGGATCCAAATGTCTCTCCTTGCGGAGTCTTGTCTCCATGTTAGATTACTGGCACATATTAAAAGGGTCATGTTGAGAAGATTGGGAATTCAGTCATGGTAATACACCATACAAATCACAGTTCAGCTTCAAGGGCCTTGGCTATAGTATTCAGCTGAATGAATGCAGTCCCTTCATATATTGCACCTGGAAGGAGAAAAAGCTTGTTATCTTATACGACAAAATATTGGATTTGAACTTTCATATATGGAAATTTTTTAAGATTTTATATTTTGCATGATCTATTATATTGACTTCATCCCTTGAACAGCTGTACTGAACTAGAAACTTGTTATTTGGAATCCTCATAATACAAATGAAAATATTCTTGAATATGAATGAATTCAGGATGATACACATAATGTATGGATATAAAAACTTATTTAAAATGTGAAACATTAAATAACATGTAATGTACAGCACTCATTCCAGATAGGCTGAATCATTTTGAGTTTATCCAAATAGCCTTATAAAACATACCTGCTTTACAGTCTCTATAAAATTTCTCTATTGGATAGTCCTTAGTGACACCTACTCCGCCCATCAATTCTATACATTTAGTGGTCACTTGTCCAGCAAGCTAAAAGTTGTAAAACAAAGTTTTCAAACCATGAAACATTCATTGTAGATGCAACTGAACTAAGCGTAAGATGTTTTCAGTCATGGCACACAAATTAAAGTAAAAACTGTACACATGAACACGATTGAAGTTTAACACTTATGTTTAAACACTATCCATGCTTATTTACAAAGTATAATAGAACCTTATTCTTACTACTATTGTACATGCAAGTCTCAGTGCAGTGAAGAAAAATTACATGTAGCCAGGTCAGATTTTTAGAAATTGCTCAATCATTTGGAGTATAACATGGTTACACTTCTGACTTGGGAAGGACACCTAATGGTAAATTGTTAATTTGTAAAGTCTTTCATAATGTAAATGTGAAAAAAGAACCCTTACCTCTCCACAATAGTATTTTGCCATAGCCCCCTGTTTTGCAACAGGCAACCCCGCTTCATGTCGTCTAGCAGCATTATATACCAACATTCTACCTGCTTCAATCATTGTAGCAAAATGGGAAACTTGGTGATTAACAGCCTACAATATTGAATAAAATATCTGCTTTTTGTGAGTTTATCATAAGTATATATGATTCCTTATTTTCCGAATGCATCAAATTCTCTCTGATGGAATTTTTTCATCTTGGTGGACAGAACTATAATTCACATTATCGCATCAGAAAATTATTTTTCGCTATCGTAATGTTTTGATCTTCTCATTGAACCTATTTCAAACTATATGGACAGTTAACAACTTTCAAATTGAAAGTGGAACCATAAGACAATTCTTGCTGTTTAATTATGGATGATCTTTCTGTAAAGGTACAAGAAATGAAGAAAATGTAGCTGAGTGGTTTCAATGTCACTAAATAGCCATTAAAGCAAGAGAAGAAATTTGATTCAGCTAACCTGAAAATCCCATACTCTTTTTCCGAATTGTTTCCTGTCTACCAAATATGGTATTGTGTTGTCAAGGCAACCGGCTGCACAGCCGAGTAACTGGGCAGCAATTCCTATTCTACCAGCGTTCAACATAGTGATGGCATACTTGTACCCCTGACCAAATTCTCCAAGTATATTCTCAGCAGGAACCTAAAGAAAATCATCAAACACTGATGAGGTACATTTCAAGGTTTTATTAACTGGGGTTTCCATTTGCAATACTGATACTTCAAGATTTCGAGATAACTTTCAAACAGACATTTTTGCTCCCATCAATTCTCGTGTGAATATGAGAATGTGAATCGACAATCCTTTAAGTCAGTCAAAAATTCCAGTTTGTAATCATAGCCATGTCTGAAAATGAGAATTTATATATGATATAATGCATGTAGCCTATAGGATATCCTATGATTTTGAGTGATATAATTTTAATCCACGAGTTGATATCAATATCAATGAGACGAGTGAGTGTAGTCAATGAGTGCATATATTGATATCAATGAGTGGATTAAAAGATCACGGAAATGTATAGGATGTTCTATTTATAACTTATAACTTACTTTTACATTATCAAAGTGAACTGGGCAAGTGCTTGAAGCTCGAAGACCCAACTTATTTTCTGGTTTTCCAATGGAAAGACCTTCAGATTCTTTGTCCACGAGAAAGCATGTAATACCCTTGTAGCCCTGAAGTAGTCAAAAGAAAAGTGCCATTTTAAAAAGGACAAGCAATGTTTTCTCTATTTCTTTTTCATCAATATTTCTCTACTGTGTCCAAAATGCCAAAAATTGAAATAATTATCCTTAACATGTTTTTATAATTTATCTGTAAAAAGTAAATTAAAAATTGTTCATAAAACAAGTCACATAGTTCAAGTAAATGATCTTTTAAAGGTACAGTATTTATTATCAACTTGGATTTTTAGATTTTTTAACACATGTTCTAAAATCAAAATGACTACACTATATACTTACATCAGATGGTTTAGCATTGGCCATGACAAGAAAGAGCCCAGATATTCCAGCACTAGTAATCCACATTTTACTTCCATTCAGCGAGAAATAGTCACTATTCTTGCTTTTAGTTGCAGTTGTTTTCATTGCAAAAGCATCACTCCCTGATGACACTTCTGATAAACAGAAACTGCCAACCTAACATTACAAAAATTCTTATTAATGAACAAGTTTTAATATTGAGGAGAATTTTCATATACAGTACATACCCCTAATGTAAACATGACATTCTGAGATAAGACTTATGAAAGACAAAATCATCAAAAGCATGAAGAAATGGAATTTAATTCTATATAATTTTATCACTGAAAGTACATGCAAACTCCTTGACAGAAAGAGGATATACCAAATTGTAGCCTAATATATCTTTAATAACAAGCACCTGACATGCATATCAATACCTTTACATGCATTGACATAAACTATTCACTTACTGTGTCTGTCGCAAGTTTTGTCAAATATTTTTGTTTTTGTTCTTCAGTTCCTAATTGTTTGATTAAAGTGTTTATTAGCGTGTTTTGAACATCAACCATGATACTTATTGAGGAGTCGACTTTGGAGAGCTCTTCAATTGTGAGAATGGAGGAGAAAAATGATGCCCCTGCTCCGTTGTATTCTGTTGGGATCTCTATTCCCATCAACTGAAAGGTAACAGAATAATGAAAAGGTCAGATTTAAATCATAATTCCCCAATATGGGGCCATATCATGGATTATATGTTTAAGATAAAAATTACTTTTGAGAAATAAATGAATTATGGAGTGACATGTTAAATTGTCAATATAATGAATTGGGGGAGAGGTCAAAGAAACACAAAGCAGTGTTGAGGAGCCACTCTATCAGCTGTTCTAAGAATATTTTAGCTCAGATTGTGTTCTTTTGTGTTATTTCATTCATATAGTAAATGACTAAATGTCTTTCTTTTTCCTGAGCAAATAGCTGGTTTCAATTTGGTCCGCAAAAGATATCAATTTATATCTAGTCATGAGATACTATGAATTGATTACAATTTTGAGGGACCTAATTGTAGAAATCGAGAGGTGTCAGCTGTAACATTAATATTATTATTGATGTAATAATCCTACATACACCATTGTGAAAGAGAGCATCCAGCACTGACTGTCTGATGTCCCCCTCCTCATCCATAGCACCAACTATTGGCTTTATTTCCTCATTAGCTAGCTTGGCAACTGGAAAACAGGTAACACAAAGATAAGTGTATGAATTTCAAGATCTTTATATGCACTCTTTAAATTAGGGATAAGTCTTAAATGTATAGTCAGAAAATCCAGACAGTTCATTTTCTGCCTGCAATTCGCATTCATTATTACTGCACATGTGCATGTATCAATACAGTTCACGAGAGCTCCAGAACTTACATATAGCTTAAGATCAGCCCAAATTGTATATTCAAAACCTGACTCTAAAGTCAGATAATCAAGATAGTACATTTTCTGCATATATTTCACATTCAAGAATTGTTACTCATTAAACATGTATAAAATCTTTTTAAATAGCCAGAGTGTGGTCACAGGCTGCAGATTCATTCAGGGTAGCATAGCTATATAGACTATACCTGCATCTTTCATCATCTGTTCATCAGAAGTAAACATATCAACTGGAACTCTGGCAATACCAAGGTCAGCATCAGACACCAAACTTTCAGTGTGTTGAAGTCGGTATATTTGATGACCTTGAACTGCATAATGACCCTGAACTACATGATGACATCTTAATCTATGTTGCTGCCTCAGTAGTCTAGCCACCTAGAAGTACGCAAATAATACTGGTGCATTATATAAGCATACTTCGGAATCAGATTAAAACTATGTGTATTGGAAATTTGGTTATGAAATTCTTATCATTGATAAATGCTCTTCACTGACAATCGCATTGGATTTAGCACACTCTCTTTCAGGTCATTGAAGTTCGTAGTTTAATGGTGTTTTTAAGTATACATGTAACCACGGCCACAGCCGTAGCACTATTTTTAAGAGTAGTGCACCACCATGGGAACACGAGTTGAGTGAAGAGAATAACAAGCGTTCAGGGGATCTGGGGGGAGAAAAATTTTGAAGGTTGTATTTGGAGTGTATCTGAAACCATCTGGCACACATCCTAGTTTTCTGCATGAGAAAAATGCAAATTCTGTGCAGAAATTCTGCATGAAAAAGTCGAATTCTGCGGCAAATTCTACATGAAATCCCGAATTCCACAATAAATTTTGCAAGCAACGGTTTCATCGGAACTATCACGAAATTGGAGGAAATTCTAATTCTAAAAAGCCGGAAGTTTGAGAATTTTAAACAGATTTCAAATTTTCCTTTGAAATCCTCATAACACCAGTTTCTGGTGACAAATGACTGAAGGTATCAAGGTGAGTGACATATATGATATGAGGTGGTTGACTGGAAAAATCATGTTTTTCGCATTCACGATCCGTGAGAAAAAATCAAATTCTGCAAAAATCTTGAAAACAAAATTCTGCATTTTTTCTGCGTTGACGCAGAATCACAGAATTCTAGTATCTGGTACGCCTGTGTGTACCAGGCGTACTGGGCGTTATGCCCATTGCTACTTGCGTTCATATTGCAAAGGATAATTTACGTTCGTATTTCTGACTGAATCTGATAGTAGAAATGTAGTGTTACCAGCACGAGGCAGACAAGGCAAGTGATGCGAGGTTTGGAAATATTTTTGCCTCGTTGGCAGTCGTTGCTCTTTCTTCCGTCATTTGAAGTCCATGGTTCGCAACTGGTAGGACTCCAGTATATAGTAATTCAAGAGGGAAAATAGTTACTGTATATAGGTTGCCAACTTGCCACTGTTCTTCAAGGTGGGCCATTGTAGATGTTAGATGTTGATACAAGTTTTAGATTCTAGCTTTTTAACTTGTTGAACTTTGATTTTCAATTCAAATATTTTTTCTTATCCCGTCCTGGAACGGGATAAATTTTTTCATTCCGACTCAGCTGAAAAATGCACTTTCTGGCTTGTTTTACCATGGGCTTTCAACTAGATTTTACATTTTGGTTCACTTTTCTAAACTGTCAAAAGTTTATATACTTCTGAATTGTATGCCAAATTGTACTTCAGTGGTTCATGGATAACATTAATCTAGATTAAAATCCATTTTGTATGTGTTACTCTAAATATTACATGTTTTAAACAGTTACCTGTGGTGCAAATTTCTTACAAAACTCCATGTTGACATCAAAGTGAAACTACTGTTGCTAAAATAAATGTAAAGAATAAGTGTACATTTCACTCCATAATTCGAAGTAATAGTAAGTTGATAAGTAAATTTATGATATGGAATAGAAAGTTTGACGCCATCGTGGAAATAAATTGGCTTCAATGGTGAAACATTCAAATAATAATAGCTTTCACAAATTACTAGACACTTTGTTTTCATGGTTTCACTTTCGAATTTTACCATTTAGATACAAGGAGGATTGGCTCCCAGGATCGAAACTCGATATTTTCCAACAATGAAAACGTCGAAATGTCGTTATTTTCTGAAATTAAAACCGACTATAAATTCAAAATAAACAGTTCAAAAGATTCGAACCAATATCTCGATCGTTTCTTGTGAGTTTTGGAATTTTTCGTTTGGAAATAAGACCAAAATTCACGATTTAAATGTTGAAGTGAACAAAATGGCGGCTGTTTGAATTCGAATTTTGTATTACGACATACCCATATATGGGACAGAATATCGGTGGTGCACTCTGGGAGCCAATCCTCCTTGAAAACCGACTATAAATTCAAAATAAACAGTTCAAAAGATTCGAACCAATATCTCGATCATTTCTTGTGAGTTTTGGAATTTTTCGTTTGGAAATAAGACCAAAATTCACGATTTAAATGTTGAAGTGAACAAAATGGCGGCTGTTTGAATTCGAATTTTGTATTACGACATACCCATATATGGGACAGAATATCGGTGGTGCACTCTGGGAGCCAATCCTCCTTGATTTAGATAGATCCCCAAACGAAATCAAAACATGGCGGTAAATTTACAAAAGGTAAATATTTCGTATAATATCGCCTTATTATCTGTAAAGAAAGAAGTTAGACCATATTATATTGATGTTTCTGTTTGTTATCAATTTAAAGTAGGTAACTGAATAACATTTAGCCTTGATAAAAGGAAACTGGCAGAGATCTGAATGAATGAAGATTTTTGAAACTGAAAAAATGTGGGAGGGGTGAAACTTCTGAAATGTTATGTTCAATTTTTGGGGAAATGTTCTCATTTATCATGTATCAAGGGCTATATGTACAGGATCAGACATCTTCCTCAACCATCCACAACACAGATTCACAACGCAATGCGAATCACACAAAAAGTGTATCACAACGTTGATGCAATAATTCAAGCATGGACTTCTAATGCTTTATCTTTATCCCGTGCCAGGACTATAGTCCTGTAACGACTAACGAGCGCATTCTTTTGCCTGTATGATTACAACTTGGAAGAATTATCTATGCCCCTTACACTTAAGATACCTACTTCAATAGATTCCTGGGTATTTTAGCATTCTTTTCGTGTAGTTGAATCCACAATTGTCTGGGTATATCGGCAGAACGGGAACATTTTTCTTTTTCATCGAGAGATATTCCATCACTTTCCAAGATGGCGGTTTGATTTAAAAGGGGATTCCCTGTTTGACTGACCCGGAAGCGGCCCGGAAGTACCAAAAATGGAGGAATTTGACGGTTGAAATAAGTTAAATATTACACGCAATTATTGCGATCAAAAACGAAAATTTCTTTGTTCTGCCGATAAACCCAGACAATTGTGGATTCAACTACACGAAAAGAATGCTAAAATACCCAGGAATCTATTGAAGTAGGTATCTTAGTGTAATGGGGCGTAGATAATTCTCCCAAGTTGTAATCGTACAGGCAAAAGAATGTGCTCGTTACAGGACTATAGTCCTGGCACGGGATAAAGATAAAGCATTAGAATCTATTGAAATAGGTATCTTAAGTGTAAAAAGCGTAGAAAATTCTCCCATGTTGTAATCGTACAGGCAAAAGAATAAGACGTTCGCAGGACTATAGTTTTGGCACGGGATTACTTTATCTCATTCTTTTGCCTGTACGATTACAACTTGGGAGAATTATCTACGTCCCTTACACTTAAGATACCTACTTCAATAGATTCCTTGGTATTTTAGCATTCTTTTCGTGTGGTTGAATCTACAATTGTCTGGGTTTATCGGCAAAACGAAGAAATTTTCGTTATTGATCGCAATAATTGCATGTAATATTTAACTTATAAATTAACCGTCAAATTCCTCCATTTATTGGTACTTTTGGGCCACTTCAGGGCCAGTCAAAAGAATTAGAAAAAATGTTGAAAAAAGTTAGAAAATTACTGTTTATCCCTGTGGAAAAACCTCATATCCAAAACCTCCCAGTACATAACCCTTCTATATTGTTAAGGTAAACCTAGCACTGTAAATAACAATAAAACTAAACTAAACTGAGGCAACAATATATATAATTCATAGTACCCTGTATTTCAAGATCTCGCCAAAAGTAACATGTACACATGATATCGTAAAAATTGGGTTTCTTATAAAACAAATTGTTCAATTTATTTTCTAGACCATGCACACAAGATTGAGACCGCCTGATAGGATTATTCCCCTGCTGGAACTAAACCCATTCATTGTCTGTTCCATATGTAATGGATACCTGGTTGATCCCCACACTATCACTGAATGCTTACATACATGTAAGTAGCAAATAACACAGGAATTTGGTGCATTTGACATTTCAAGAAGAAAATATTAAATGGTCTTCATGTCATATCACATATTTTTAACCGTCCATATTATAGAAATATCCTACGGTTTTGAGAAAATATTATTTATATCCATGAGTGGATATTGATATCTTCACAAGTGAGTGCAGCGAACTCTTGAAAATATTGAAAAGAAATTTGAAAAAATCTAAACCATCGAATATCACTTTTGAAACCATCGAATAACACTTTTTGAGAAGTGATATTCGATGGTTTGAGAAGTGATATTCAGTGGTTTTGGGATTTTTGCTAAAATATGATATCTTGATCCACAAATCAAATACATCTTCACTTGATATTCGATCTATATCCTTGTAACCAAGGGATGATTCATGATTTATTATATATGATCATTGAAGCATATATGTATGTATATTGATGATTCTGTAAAATTTTGGATGATAATTTGGTGTTACAGAAACTGAAATGACAATGTATAAAATTGATGCATTTTTTGCTAATATCATAGTAGTATTTGTGAATTCATGTCTTCTTGTTTATTTATCTTCCAGTTTGCAAGTCCTGCCTTGTGAAACATATAATGGACGTGAGCCTGAATTGTCCCAAATGTAAGATACTCATCCACCCAACAGACCCCTTCATCTATATTAAGTAAGTCTCTAATGGATGGGGTTGTTGCAGTGCAATTACATGTATTTTTGAAAATTAGATTGTTTGTGTTTGTGAATTGATGATTGAGAAGATGAGTGGTGTTCCAATTGCATTTTTGAAATAAGACAAAAAATATATTTTAATTATGTGTGTTCAATTGTTATTAGAACAGGATTTATTTTTGTAATCAGTGAACTATCAGAAATACAATTTGGAAAAAATCATGTTGTGATTAAGGTGGGCCTAAGATGAACATGGATGTCTTTATAAGGGTTATTCAATAAATATGCCAGCCTATATGTGAAAATTCAAACTGAATTAACAAGATTGCTTGTTCTCCACATCCTGTCTTAATTATCCCATCGTACAAAGTTCGGAGGGATATAGGGAACACCTCTGTCTGTCTGTCCATCCGTCCGTCCGTCCGTCCGTCCGTCCGGGCAATAACTCAAATACCGTTGGCCCGATTTTGTTCATATTTTGTACACATATACCCTATGGGGGTACAAGTTCTGCTCGAAAGCCGATTTTCAAAATGGCCGCTCATTTCAAAATGGCGGCCATTTTAGTGCCGATTTTACAGTAATTTAGGTGTAATATGTAAAACTGTAATAGCAATATATTTTAAATGTAAAAAAATTATAAAGGACATTAATAATGCTACAAATGTAGATATTAAAGAAGCACATGGCAGCCATCTTGAAAAATGGTGGCCTTTACTCGTCATTTTACGATTTTTGCTATAACTAAAAAAATAGTGGAGCGATTTTGTTCATATTTGGTATGGGAATACTATAAGCATTGCACACTGTCTAAAAACACTTTTGTTAGAAGGCGGCCATTTTAACGTATTTTACTATAACTCGAAAAGTAGTGGAGCGATTTTGTTCATATTTGGTATGTGAATACTATAAGCATGGCACACTGTCCTATGACACTTTTGGTAGAAGGTGGCCATTTTGAAAAAAATTTTGAAAAATGGCCGCCATTTTAACATATTTTACTATAATTCGAAAAGTAGTGGAGTGATTTTGTTCATATTTGGTATGTGGCACACTGTCTATTTCTAATGACACTTTTGGTAGAGGGTGGCCATTTTGAAAAATGGCCGCCATTTTAACGTATTTTACCATAACTCGAAAAGTAGTGGAGCGATTTTGTTCATATTTGATATGTGAATACTTTAAGCATGGTACATTGTCTAATAAAACTTTGGGGAGTAGTCGGCCATTTTGAAAAATGGCCACCATTTTTATGTGTGTAATTTTACAAGTACGTGTGCGATTTTTATCGTACCTAACAAAAGGTACGATATTGTAGTCAGCTTGACGGGCGGTGGGCGGGTGGCGGGCGGGCGGGCGGGCGGCGTCTCACTTTTCAGCTTGTCTACAGGTTTCCAGCCAAACCATTTGAGGGATTCATCTGAAATTTTCAGGGATGTTTCTACATATCAACATCAAGAAGTGATTCGTTTTTGGGCATTCTGGGTAAATCTCAAAGTGTGCGCCAAAGTTTAAAACTGCGCAGGCGCACCGCTCTCGCTAAACTATATAAAGAGATTACCAGGTACACGATTCAGAGGTAAGCCAGGAAGGCGAACGATCTTCGTCTCGTGATGATTTCCCATATATATAATCGTAACCAGGGAAGTTTCACCATTGAAATTGAAAATTACTATTAGATATACTTTGTAGATGTTATTTATGAAGCTATTTAGTGTTTGCATCAATCAAATGGCTCATTTTGAACATATAAAAAGTATTTGTGTTTTGTTTCCCAGGGAATTGTATTGTATGTAGTACACACATAAATAGTGTACATTATACAGTACTTGAATAGCCTGGTTTACATAATTTATATTGAAGGGCATGCTGATTACATGCACACGAGTACATGGAAGGCCTAATATTGATATACGTAGCTTGCATACCTAAATAAAAAATAAACTCTTCTAATCCCCTAATGTAAACATGGCGGTATACGTAGCCTGATTTATCGGGGACTTTAAGGTGGCCATTTTGGATTTTCCGTCCTAAAATCTTCACTTTCAAGACTTGTCTACAGGTTTCCAGCCAAACCATTTGAGCGATTCATCTGAAATTTTGAGGGATGTTTCTACATATCAACGTCAAGAACTGATTAGTTTTTGGGCATTCTGGGTAAATTTTAAGGTGGCCAGGTTTCCAGCCAAACCATTTGAGGGATTCATCTGAAATTTTCAGGGATGTTTCTACATATCAACGTCAAGAACTGATTAGTTTTTGGGCATTCTGGGTAAATTTTCAGGTGGCCATTTTGGATTTTCCGTCCTAAAATCTTCACTTTCAAGACTTGTCTACAGGTTTTCAGCCAAACCATTTGAGGGATTCATCTGAAATTTTCAGGGATGTTTCTACATATCAACGTCAAGAACTGATTAGTTTGTGGGCCTTCTGGGTAAATTTTAAGGTGGCCATTTTGGATTTTCTGTCCTAAAATCTTCACTTTCAAGACTTGTCTACAGATTTTCAGCCAAACCATTTGAGGGATTCATCTGAAATTTTCAGGGATGTTTCTACATATCAACGTCAAGAACTGATTGGTTTTTGGGCATTCTAGGTAAATTTTAAGGTGGCCATTTTGGATTTTCCGTGCTAAAATCTTCACTTTCAAGACTTGTCTACAGGTTTCCAGACAAACCGTTCAAATTTTTACATATGTTACACAGTGATAAGTTCTAGAGCTGATTAACTTTTCTGTGGCCATCTTGCTTTCTTGGTCAACAAGACCACAATGCTGTGTTTTAGGTACGATATTGTTCACGTCTGTGCCTTGTTCAAAAATTTTAGAGGTGGCTACTTAAAAGCATATTATTTCTTCTGATGACAACTTGGCTAGTGAGCAACCATTTTGAAAATGGTGGCCTTTCTGGTGTGTTGTTTTATGATATTTGCTATTCGTTTGTAAAAATGCCAGCCATTTCTGTTCGATGGGATTCGCTACGCTTTGGCGTTGCCGTTGTTCTGGTTGTTGAACGTGTCTATCATATTTGAAAAAAATTTGTATAGGATATCATATGATTTTGAGTAACAAATCGTTAGCAGCAGGCAACAGGCAATTTTCACCGGTTGTTTTCATAAAATTGCCTGTTGTTTTTAGGGACTTTTCAACTTTTCCATGTTAAATTCATGATTTCAATTAATTTTGCCTGTTGTTTTCATTTATTCAGCCTGTTGTTAGAAATTCTAGTAAAACCCATGGATATTTTTGTTATCCATGAGTTGATGATCTGGATGAGTGAGCATAGTGAATGAGTGCAGATATTGATATCAATGAGTGATAAAATATCACAAAAATTCATAGGATGTTCTATTTGTCTTATAGTTCACCTATAAACTAAACCAAGCATTTCAAAACATTATTTTCATTCATTTATCACATGACGTCATGAAATCACCACACAACATTACACGTCACATTGGTGGGAGTTTTCAAATCCGTGGAATATTCTCAGTTTTCCAAAGATACTGTTTTTTCCACGCATTTGCAAAATATCATGAATATATTTACATCAGTTATCCTACAGATTTGACCTCAATCATGGGATAAATTATAGAATGCTTTAAAGAATGTAGTGATATTTTATATTTTTCAGACATGACAGTCACATGCAAGATATTGTGTACAAACTGCTACCCCATATAGACCTAGGTAAATCCATAAATATAATTTCAACAACAACTAAGCAAATGAAAAATATGGGCTTCCCCCAATTTGGGTGGGCCCAGAAAAAATCTTAGGGCCTCAAACCAGAAATTTTGTAGGGCCTCAATAAATGGGTGCCAGTGACAATTGTTACACTTTTGTAATATCAACCACATGGTGACATTTTGTCAGCTTAATGTATTCAATGCGTCTTTAATGTAGATTAAGCAAAGAACTTATTTACTTATTTTCAATTACTACAAAGAATTAAAGATATTGATTCCAGAATCTCCTTCGAATTATTTTGTATTTTGCTAACTTTCAGCTGATGCTCAGAAAATGAAAGTTTTCTATGAGAAACACGATGCTGCTAATACAACAGGTTAGAACTTTACTTCTTTAATGCCTAAAAGTGTAACAGATTTAGGACATGTATTTTCATTTACATATACTTGTGATATGAATATCAAGGAATGTTGATATAATGAACAAAAACAACTATATACCATCCCAACTCATAGATCAATCAATGCATATTTGATTGTTGAAATTGGATTTTGTGACATGATAATCAATTTTTCTTTTCTATTGGTTTCAAAATAAGTACAAAACCTATCACAAATTATGGCCAAGAAGCTCTGTAAAAATAATGATTTGTTTTTCTCTTCAGTTACAAAAGTGAAACCATGGAGATCAAAGAAACGTAGAACTGTGTATGTGAATCTTAAACTGACATGTTTAGGACCAAGAGGGTCAGAGCATATAAATCAGCCACAGGTAAGTATTTACTTTACCACACATCATGTATAGTGTGTCTCAGAGCATCTTAAATGAACTTGATTTGATACAGTGTGTCCCATCACTATGCATATACGCTACTCCATCCATCCATCCATCCATCCATCCATCCATCCACTCACCCATCCATAAACCCACCCACCCATCCATCCATCCATCCATCCATCCATCCATCATCCACTCACCCAGTATGCTGTGTAGTGCATTTTGCATATTTCGCATTTGTCAGAGTCCTCTAACTAACAATACTTGTGTTTTGTTCCATGTTATCGCTTTATTTCAAATATAAATAGTCAATATACAAACATTCAGTGAATTGCAAGTTTCGCAAAGATAGCAATTTGATGTACATGTATTCATATTTTCCTATCATCCTACATCTGTTAAGGGCACTGGTTGTAAACAAGGACTCTGTTAGGTGCTCCTTGGAATGTTGATAGAGGACTATACAGACCAGGACGGTCTTTACCCCTGGAAAAAACAAATATAATGTCAGATAACAGGCATGATTTTTGTCATTGCATCGAATATGAAACTTGCACTCAAACCTTGTTTTGGTCAATGAAAATTTTTTAATAATCTTTTTTAATTGGAGATTCTTGGATTATCAAAAAAGTTGGAAGTAAAGCAAGATTCTATATTATCTATTATTATTTATAGAACAGAGGCATTTCAAAAACAGATATTTATGTTTTTTTAACGGGCAGATCACCAGATATGATATAAAGCCATAGATCATTTGAAAGGATTGAAAGGATAACTTCTTTGGTATAAAATGTACGAACCACCATTTATCGAGCAATAACTTGAGGTCATCTGTGGTTAGAGGCAAGTCGCTCTCTGGCAGTGTACTGATATATGCTGCCAGTGCACCCGTCTGAAAGTAGATTAGATGTTTTATCAGATACCCTGATACTTTTACAATGAATGAAATATTAAACATGGAATTTCAATTCTCTGGTTTCATTTTGATCGACTTACCACAAACGGTGCAGCATAAGATGTACCTGCAATATGAAGATTTCAAGTTATTCTTAATTGAATCACTACCAATGATTTTCAATAGAAAACCATGCCACAGGGCAGTGTGGTAACAATAGCATTTTAATTTCAATATTTTGGGCAAAAAACACTTATATTGTCCCCACACGCTGCTGTCTATGGTACCTTCTGGCTTCATTCAGTGTAATTATTTCTCATTTCTTACCTCTCTGCGGACACTTGATTCAAAGAGTGATTCTAACCTGAGACTATGCTAGTCTTCTCCATTTTAAAAAAATGTCCTATCAGTAATTAACAAATTAAAAGTAGTATAGATCTAATGAACAACAACATACGGCAGATCTTTTGGAAATATATTTGAGATCATGAGGAATACATCAGTAGGTCAATTAAACATATCACATGCAATTTTGTCACCCTTAATAGATCTGATGCTGCCTTTAATAAAGTATTGTTTGAGATTTACCTTCACATTGTGAGTCATATGTGCTTCCCCTACTGGTGGTATTAATACCAATACCCTAAAACATGTTCACAGTAGGTTAGTCTGGCACCAGGTGATATTCTTATGTGCCCTGTATTTGACCAATCATTCGATGTAAAGCATGACACAATTATTATCCTTAGTAAAAATGTTTTTGGAATAATTGACATGTAAAATAAGTGATTATCATTAGCTTATGGGCTTGTGGTAATTTCTTACTGGTGCAAATATATCAACACAGCTACCAGTGTTTGATGTATCACATACATATGCACCATCAGACCCTGCCACTGTTATTCTGGAAAACAAGAAAAATGGTTAAAACATATATAGTATGTAAATAACATAATAGAGTGGGAGGGGAGCTATCAAATGTTTTTAATCATAATTTATCATTGTTGAGAAAAACCTGGGGAGATCGCTGCTGTTTTAATAGAAAAATTGGCTTACACTGTTTCCTCTGATGCAGGTGAACATTCACAGCTGTCCCTTGTGAGAGAGTATCCCTCAAGGTAGTTACCTGCAGCCACAACTATTGGCAAAGGGACTGGCTGCAATAGCAAAGGCTTCATAAACAATCGTACTATCTGTCAATAATCACGATTAAATCAAAATGATTTATTTTGTCATTTACATATTTTATAAATTAAAAAAGCCATTGCGGGTTTGTCTAACTGATGGAGCAAGGGCCTCTGACCATAAAGGTGATCTAGATCTTTAAATACAAAACAATATGGGCTTGTCCGGGATTCGAACCCGGGACCTCTCGCACCCAAAGCGAGAATCATGCCCCTAGACCAACAAGCCACTTATAGCACTAGTCCAATTAAATTGTTCTCTCTACTCACAGTCTAGTCGCTGACCAAATTAAATTGTTTTGTCTTGTCAGTGTCTAATCATATTGAAAAGATATTACAGGCTTGGAACCCAGGACCTCTCGCTTCTAAAGTGAGAATCATGCCCCTAGACCTACAAGCCACTTATAGCACTGACCAAATTAAATTGTTTTGTCTTGTCAGTGTCTAGTCATATTGAAAAGATATTACAGGCTTGGAACCCAGGACCTCTCGCACCCAAAGCGAGAATCATGCCCCTAGACCTACAAGCCATTTATAGCACTTACCAAATTAAATTAGTTTTGTCTTGTTAGTGTCTAGTCGAATTGAAAAAAACATTGCGGGCTTGTCCGGGATTCGAACCCGGGACCTCTCGCACCCAAAGCGAGAATCATGCCCCTAGACCAACAAGCCACTTATAGCATTAGTCCAATTAAATTGCTTTCTCTAATCCCAGTCTAGTCACTGACCAAATTAAATTGTTTTGTCTTGTCAAATTGAAAAAAATATTACAGGCTTGGAAGCCAGGACCTCTCGCTTCTAAAGCGAGATTCATGCCCCTAGACCAACAAGCCATTTATAGCACTGACCAAATTAAATTGTTCTCTCTTGTCACAGTCTCATTCTGATACTCAGACCATCTCTGCTATGCACAAGAATGCTCTGATATACTTTGCACTGATTGCCGATCGAATGGGCGGGGCCTAGATTTATAATGATATTAATATATTCAATGACGTCAGAATTCTAACCAATCACAGTTGATTAATTTCTAAAATTAGAAAATATACCTTTTCCCCACGATGTTATACATGATTTGTAGTTCACTACAACCATGGTGCTTCAAAGTTATATATAACCAAGTTTCTTGGCAATCCATGCGTTAAACCCGACTTATTTGAAGTTGAATTTATGAAACGAAAATGACGTCCGACATGACCTACATATTTTTTTCACTTTTAAAGATTTCTCTAACCTGTTGATCTTCGAGGGGTAAATATCTACTCACATCACGTCTTTATCTCATTTTCTACACAAGTAGTCGATACCTAGTCCGTTTTCCATCGATTTGATCGTGTATTTAACAAGTTTAGAAAAATCCTTTTTTCCTAACGAGGTACCATTATCGTTCGGTCTATCTTCCGGAATCATCGTGCCGTGGTAGCACAAACTCTTCCCGCTTCCAGTTTTAGTACTAAGGAATACACCCTGTTTATTTTCTATCAATGGTATACACTTCTCTTGAATATATAAGCGCAAATGCCAAAAGGGAAGGGTACGTGATCAAAAACTTTAAACCTGCACATCGCTCCAAAACGCAATATTATGTTGACATATTATATTGTTTTTACATTTTCAAGCTCTAACATAAAGTTTATGTAAATAAAAATTGTTTTTTTCTGCGTAATATCAAAGAACAATCATTTAGTTGAAAAAAGTAAAAAGGGTAGCGTCGGGATTCGAGCTCGGGCCTGCAGCATGTTCAGCGAGGATTCTACCACAAGACCCTATGAATATCAGGTGTAATTTAACGCTACTTATTTGAAACTGAGCGATCTGATTGGTGGAGTTCTTACACCCGCCACTCACTGTCACGTGACCTGTAAATACGTATTTGATTCGTCATATCACTTTGGCCGAAATCTGGACGGGCCACGCCCCCATCAGATCGAAGGCTATTGCCAAGTAACTCACGGCATTCTAGAAGGACACTGAGAGAAGGCTGTGATATCTCACGATGTCACAGTTTAGTCACTGAGCAAATTAAATTGTCTTGTTAGTGTCTAGTCAAATTGAAAAAACATTGCGGGCTTGTCCGGGATTCGAACCCGGGACCTCTCGCACCCAAAGCGAGAATCATGCCCCTAGACCAACAAGCCACTCATGAAAGGTGTTTAGCTATATTGAACTAAAAAACTCAATTTATTGATATGTAATTCAAGCACTCTTGCAAAAAGTTAAGTTTTTAAAAAGTGTGAGTTGTTAAAATGTAAATCATCCCACAACAAAAGCAGTTTAATACTAGTAATGGAGTACAAGTCAAAATATATTTATTTTTTATATATAAAATATAAACTGAAAGAGAAAATTACATTTATTTATTTATTGAATTTCCAAGGGTGTGAAAAGCTGCTGCAAGATGTTACCAGCAATATTACTCATAATATCTTCATTCTTATTGGTAATTGGCTCGAGGATATTTAAAAAGTGATTGCTTTAATTACTTGAAACACTGACTGAAGGAGAAATTCAAAAATTCAATTATTATTTGTCATTTATTTTATTTACTCAAGGACTGCACAAATAAAAGCATTGTTTTCAATAAAAGTCATATTTTGTATATCACCTACATGTATGTGGCATATATGTGTATATAATATATATGTTATCATAACACATAGACTAAGGTTTAATCTAAATACATGTACAGTGTAATGGTAAACATCACTGTGGGATCCATATACACTTTGTATTATCCCTTGGAATAGACAAGCTTTAGATAAAGACAGCCTCTGATAAATCAGAATGGTAAACATAGCTAGTGTTGAATTACTCTAAGAAAAACATTACTATAGAATGTTATTCTACATAACAATAATATCTATGATTAGAATTCTTACCATTTTAGCCAGCTCTGCAAGAGCATCATTTAGAACCTTGTTATGACCACCTTGGATAGACATGCTACAAAACAAACACATTTATATTCGTGGCCTTATATTATGGTATAATCTGGGATGAATATACCAAAGAATTTAAATCTGCATGAAAGCAATATGATTCAAGGAATTTTTTACACTGTTGATCAACCTGTAGGGTTAATAAACATAGTTTTGATATCTACCGAAGTGGTGTTAAAAGTGATCCCAGTCGATAATAAAAGGCCTCAAACATTTTGCACATTCACATTGAGTGCCATGCTAATTTATCAATCTTCTCTATTACCTCCCAATAACTCTGGTTCTGTTATTCTTTTCAATATCATTCTTTGCCATCTCTATGGCACAGAGTATCGTCCTGCAAGAATAACAAATTATATATATTTACACATGAATAACTACTTTAATAATACTTTGTACATTATTGTAGTTTTGTGCGGTGTAGCCACCCTCAACCCCCTAACTTAATGACCCCAGTACATGTACTTACAACCATATATAACCTCATGTTGTAACATATATTCAAATTCAGAGACCCCTTCATACCATGTTAACTTCCTGTCTTATCAGACACATGGTACATCTTCAAAATTCTCTAGAATATATCTTTACTCAAGTGTCATAGCTATTACATGAAATGTCTATACTGTAGTGTCATGGCTATTACATAAAATGTCCTTACTGAAGTGTCATAGCTTTTACATAAAATGTCCTTACTGTAGTGTCATAGCTGTTACATAAAATATCCTTACTATAGTGTCATAGCTTTTACATAAAATGTCCTTACTGTAGTGTCATAGCTGTTACATAAAATGTCCTTACTGTAGTGTCATAGCTGTTACATAAAATGTCCTTACTGAGGTGTCATAGCTGTTACATAAAATATCCTTACTATAGTGTCATAGCTGTTACATAAAATGTCCTTACTGTAGTGTCATAGCTTTTACATAAAATATCCTTACTGTAGTGTCATGGCTATTACATAAAATATCCTTACTGTAGTGTCATGGCTATTACATAAAATGTCCTTACTGAAGTGTCATAGCTTTTACATAAAATGTCCTTACTGTAGTGTCATGGCTATTACATAAAATGTCCTTACTGAAGTGTCATGGCTATTACATAAAATGTCCTTACTGAGGTGTCATAGCTTTTACATAAAATATCCTTACTGTAGTGTCATGGTTATTACATAAAATGTCCTTACTGAAGTGTCATAGCTTTTACATAAAATGTCCTTACTGTAGTGTCATAGCTGTTACATAAAATGTCCTTACTGTAGCGTCATAGCTTTTACATAAAATATCCTTACTGTAGTGTCATGGCTATTACATAAAATGTCCTTACTGAAGTGTCATAGCTTTTACATAAAATGTCCTTACTGTAGTGTCATAGATGTTACATAAAATGTCCTTACTGTAGTGTCATAGCTTTTACATAAAATGTCCTTACTGTAGTGTCATAGCTGTTACATAAAATGTCCTTACTGAAGTGTCATAGCTTTTACATAAAATGTCCTTACTGAAGTGTCATAGCTTTTACATAAAATGTCCTTACTGTAATGTCATAGCTTTTACACAAAATGTCCTTACTGTAGTGTCATAGCTGTAACATAGAAATGTCCTTACTGTAGTGTCATGGCTATTACATAAAATGTCCTTACTGTAGTGTCATAGCTGTTACATAAAATGTCCTTACTGTAGTGTCATAGCTGTTACATAAAATCTCCTTACTGTAGTGTCATAGCTGTTACATAAAATGTCCTTACTGTAGTGTCATAGCTATTACATAAAATGTCCTTACTGTAGTGTCATAGCTGTTACATAAAATGTCCTTACTGAGGTGTCATAGCTGTTATATAAAATGTCCTTACTGTAGTGTCATAGCTGTTACAAAAAATGTCCTTACTGTAGTGTCATAGCTGTTATATAAAATGTCCTTACTGTAGTTTCATAGCTGTTACATAAAATGTCCTTACTGTAGTTTCATAGCTGGTACATAAAATGTCCTTACTGTAGTGTCATAGCTGTTACATAAAATATCCTTACTATAGTGTCCTAGCTGTTACATAAAATGTCCTTACTGAGGTGTCATCGCTGTTATATAAAATGTCCTTACTGTAGTGTCATAGCTGTTACATAAAATGTCCTTACTGAGGTGTCATCGCTGTTATATAAAATGTCCTTACTGTAGTGTCATACATGTAGCTGTTACATAAAATTTCCTTACTGTACTGTCATAGCTGTTATATAAAATGTCCTTACTGTAGTTTCATAGCTGTTGCATAAAATGTCCTTACTGTAGTGTCATAGATGTTGCATAAAGTGTCTTTACTGTAGTGTCATGGCTATTACATAAAATGTCCCTACTGAAGTGTCATAGCAGTGTGGGAAATAAGCATTTTTGGTGTCTGGACAAATTTGTCCAGTCACTTTAAAACACTCTGGACAATTTTTTTTTTGACTGATTAAAATTTTGACCAGTCAGTTTAAAAAAACACTGGTCATTTTTTTTAAAAATAAATTAAATGAAATACATACACCAGGGGGAGGGAATAAATCATTCATCTTGCAGTATATAAAAATACATATTAATTAATACTAAAAGTCAAATTAATAACTGTAGAACTTTATTTCATGCATTAGGCCTATACATGTTCTACATGTTTTAGTGTTACATATTTTTCATTATGAGTTTAAGTTTGTCAATGACTTGTTCTTCGGACATGTCACACTCAGATTCAAATCCCTCGTCCTCTGACTCATCATCCACTACATCATTCTCAACATTCACATTTGCACCCACATTCACATTCTCATCCTCAGAATCAATCACACAAGCATCCTTACCTTCATCCAGTTTCACACTGTCATCTTCCCTTTCCTCTGGTACACTATCATTCACATCAGTACCTGTCCCACCCATATCCCTGTCCTTCACATTCATCCTTGTCAGACCAAGTCTCTCCCTTCTCTTACACACATTCCTCCAATGATCAATGGAATTGTTAGGACTGAATTGATCAATGGCTGTTGTTCCGAGTTTAACTTTCATTAAAGCACACAGTTTTTTATTTGACAGTTTTGTCTAGCCTTGCCCAAGTCGGTCTCTTTTATTTATCTTGATTTCTATTATGACCGCCGGTAGTAATTCAAGATCAGATAAGTAAAACACTGACTTGGGCAAAGCTAAGTTTTGTCCTCCTGTTTGTTTTTGTTAACTTCATTGTAGAGAACCCTCTCTCAATATTGCCTGCACTTGATGCTGGGATAGATCGTATTTAGCGCCTTAACTGTATGCAGTATTATGTCTACCGCTTCGAAAATTGAATCATTCTGCAGCATTAAACCGCGACCGGAAGCTATTATTTAGTAGCAAAACTACGTGCGTTCGTTGTTTAATTGAAAGGTGTTCACAATTTTTAAGCGATCACAAATTTATCATATTCTAGGCGGAATGAAAAATGAAAATAATTTTCGAACATCGAAGACAATTTCTCCTAAAATCTCGATGATTACTTAGGTCTGTTGGTAAGTAATATATCAGAGGCAAAGAGGGAAGATACGATCACGTCTCTGTAATATCTCTCCCGACAATTTTGACCAGAACGTTTGAAAAGGCCTCGACAAATATTTTTTCAGACTCGAAATTTGTCGATTGTTGAGTGCTTATTTCTCACACTGCATAGCTGTTACATAAAATGTCCTTACTGTAGTGTCATAGTTGTTACATAAAATGTCCTTACTGTAGTGTCATAGCTATTACATAAAATGTCCTTACTGTAGTGTCATAGATGTAACATAAAATTTCCTTACTGTAGTGTTATAGTTGTTACATAAAATGTCCTTACTGTAGTGTCATAGATGTAACATAAAATGTCCTTACTGTAGTGTCATATGTTTCATAAAATGTCCTTACTGTAGTGTCATAGCTATTACATAAAATGTCCTTACTGTAGTGTCATAGATGTAACATAAAATGTCCTTACTGTAGTGTCATAGATGTTACATAAAATGTTCTTACTGTAGTGTCATAGATGTAACATAAAATGTCCTTACTGTAGTGTCATAGTTGTTACATAAAATGTCCTTACTGTAGTGTCATAGCTGTTACATAAAATGTCCTTACTGTAGTGTCATAGCTGTTACATAAAATGTCCTTACTGTTGTGTCATAGTTGTTACATAAAATGTCCTTACTGTAGTGTCATAGCTATTACATAAAATGTCCTTACTGTAGTGTCATAGATGTAACATAAAATGTCCTTACTGAAGTGTCATAGCTGTTACATAAAATGTCCTTACTGTAGTGTCATAGTTGTTACATAAAATGTCCTTACTCTAGTGTCATAAAATGTCCTTACTGTAGTGTCATGGCACCATATTCATTCTCCAGCTGCAATATATGAATTGTTGCATCAGGGGCAACACCAGTTGTAGCTCCTGCTATGATGCCTGCTACATGCGTACCATGTCCATCAACACTCAAGTCTTGCCCTGAACCACCACTGGCATCATAGACCTACAATATCCTAAATAGCCTTTCATCAAGCCCCTGTTTTTCTCCCCTCCCCGATTTCTTCCTAATACAGGATGAACTTGATACTAGGAAGGGAGTAGGCAGAGGCATGGTGCAACTTGTGCAAGATTACATGTTGAAGTTTAGCTAATTTGATGGCAGGATCAGAGAACATAACACAATATACAGTACACAATACAATTTTGTGAATGCATTTTTGTACTTACTGTTTGTATTCTGCCACAGAATTCAGGATGTTTCAGATCTACTCCTCTGATGAATATAAAGAATGTATTAATTACAATATCTGTATGATGATATCAAGTAGATTAGTGATATTGAAGTATAAAGCATAATTAAAAGTATTTTGTCTGGGCTTCCTTGCCTTTAACTACCCATGTTAATTTATCACTTTATTATCCTATACATACGTGTCAAATATGTAGACATGAACACCTTCTCCAGTACCTATAAAATGAGTGTAATCTATTCTGCATTTTGCCTTGTAAATATTTAAAGGCCGGCAGTTTAGGCATATTTAAAAGGTATACATGTAGTATGGTACATATTCAAATGGTACAGTTAGACAAATCAAGAAGGCACTGTTTAGACATATTCAAATGTAAATTAGCTATTTTATCATCTATGACTTTCTTTATATTGACACCGTACATATTTTGTACCTTTGATGTTAACAGATCCACTGAGCCAGCTGCATGATATACCATCACACTTTGCCCTGGTGTCTGTGAAACCATCAAGACTGTCAGCTCCCTGAAAATCAATTTAACTTTTACTAATTGCTTTTTGGTTGATGAATTGATTGATTTGATTTACATGTATTTTGTGTCAATTGATAGGTTTTGTTATGTCCCCACCACATAGTGTGGGGCCACATAGTGTGGGGCCATATTGTCGGCCTAGGCGCGTCCGTCTGTCCGTCCGTCCGTCTGTCCGTCCGTCTGTCTGTCCGTCTGTCTGTCCGTCCGTACGTCCGGGAGTTTTCTCCAAAACCGCTGCAGATATCACCTTCAAATTTTCAGGGATAATTTATGAGTGCATGCAAATGTGGATGAAAAAAAATTAACTCGATACCTACTTCCTGTCGGCCATTTTGAAGTCAAATGCTAAAATCCTTGTCTGCAAACTTTAAGAAAAACGGCTTAACAGTTGCTTTTAAAACTTTAACATCTTGTTCAGCTCACTTCATTCTAGATCTGATTAGGTTTTGGACCTGTTAGCTCAGTCATGTCAGCCATTTTGAATGTTTTAAGAAAAGTTAGCGCACGATAATACTTTGTATCATATTGAATGGTGTTTTTCAGTTTTCATGCTTTAACTTTTTAGTAGCTTTATAAATAATTTCAGGTGTACTTTGTTGTAAAAGCTTATGTTATTGTTAACAGTAGGTATATGTGATAATTTTGTAAAAAGATTTCAGCAAAAACTCATAATCACTTTTTTATTGTCGGCCATTTTGGATTTTTCCGTCCTAAAATCTTGTCTGTAAAGTCTTGTCTACGCGTTTTCAGGTGAACCGTTTGGTAGATCAATTTCAAATTTTCAGGAATGATTCTTAGTATGAGAATCTACATCTGATTAGTTTTTGGGCATTCTGGGTAAATGTCAAGGCAGCCATTTTGGATTTTCCGTCCTAAAATCGTGTCTGTAAAGTCTTGTCTACGCATTTTCAGGTGAACCGTTTGGTAGATCAATTTCAAATTTTCAGGGATGATTCTCAGTATGAAAATCTAGATCTGATAATTTTTACGGCATTCTGGATAAATGTCAAGGCAGCCATTTTGATCCTAAAATCTTGTCTGTAAAGTCTTGTCTACGCGTTTTCAGGTGAACCGTTTGGTAGATCAATTTCAAATTTTCAGGAATGATTCTTAGTATGAGAATCTACATCTGATTAGTTTTTGGGCATTCTGGGTAAATGTCAAGGCAGCCATTTTGGATTTTCCGTCCTAAAATCGTGTCTGTAAAGTCTTGTCTACGCATTTTCAGGTGAACCGTTTGGTAGATCAATTTCAAATTTTCAGGGATGATTCTCAGTATGAAAATCTAGATCTGATAATTTTTACGGCATTCTGGATAAATGTCAAGGCAGCCATTTTGGATTTTCCGTCTTAAAATCTTGCCCGTAAAGTCTTGTCTACGCGTTTTTAGGTGAACCGTTTGGTAGATCAATTTCAAATTTTCAGGGATGATTCTTATTATGAAAATCTAGAACTGATTAGTTTTTGGGCATTCTGGGTAAATGTCAAGGCAGCCATTTTGGATTTTCTGTCCTAAAATCTTGTCTGTAAAGTCTTGTCTACACATTTCCAGGTGAACTGTTTGGTACATCAATTTTAAATTTTCAGGGATGATTCTTAGTATGAAAATCTAGAACAGATTAGTTTTTGGAATTCTGGATAAATGTCAAGGCAGCCATTTTGGATTTTCTGTCCTCAAATCTTGTCTGTAACGTCTTGTTTACATGTTTTCTGGTTAACTGTGTGAGGGATCAATTTCAAATTTTCAGGGGTGGTTCTTAGTATGAAAATCTAGAACTGACTAATTTTTTGTCATTCTTGGTAAATTTTAAGATGGCCATTTTGGATTCTCCGTCCTCAAATTGTGTCGGTAAAATCTTGTCTACTCATTTTTAGGATAATCATTTGACAGGATTACCCATAGGTGGGGACATATTGTACACGTTTGTGTTCTTGTTTACATTTCCTTTGGTCAAATGTTACCTATGCAGTGCCAGTGAGGCAAGGAACATAAAGCTTTCTGGTGATGAGACATGTGTTTTTAGTAGAATGTGTTGTAATATACTCATAGCCATACCCATGAAGCAGCCATCCTTGGCTTACAGCTTTCCTTGATTGTACACATTCCCATTGGGTCTCCACCCCTCAGATGAGCAGAGGCACTGTTAAATACTGAACTCTCTGGTTTTGATGATGAAGATATAGGAGGTCTTGTTGTGGATGCAGTTGGTGTGGTTGTAGGTTCAGTTGGTGTGGTTGTAGGTTCAGTTGGTGTGGTTGTAGGTTCAGTTTTGATGGTTGAAGGTTCAATTTGGATGGTTGCAGGTTCAGTTATTGTGGTTGTAGGTTTTGGTCTTCCTCTTCCCTTTCCCCTGGGCCTTCCTTCTGTGTAGAAGACACTGTCAGCTTCTATGATTTCAACATTGTAGTCATCTAGTATCATGTGCAAATCACTGCAATACACACCATCAGGGCCGTCAGATGGGGGGGTGCGATGGGTGCGACCGCACCCCCCTTTGTCACCCCCCAAAATAAATTTGAAAAAAAAATTTAGAAAAAATAGTTTTTTTTGAAAAATATTTTTTTTTGAAAAATATTTTTTTTGTAATTTTTTTTCATTGACTCATACACTTCGAAAGTACCCAGAAAACACCAAATAGCATCTTGAAATTGTAAAATTTTCTAGGGGTATTGGCCACCTGTCACACCCCCCACATAACAAATAGCTCCTTGATATAGTTAGTGTTTCTGGGGGACTTGCTCCCCCTCTTGCACTTGCATACACCCCCCCCCCCCTTCTGGCGCCCCCCCCTTCACCCCCCCCCAAAAAAAAATGTGATTTTCACAAATTCTTTAATTGACACATACACTTTGAAAGTGCCCAGAAAGCACCAAATAGCGTTGTAAAATTGTAAAATTTTCTAGGGGGAGTGGGCCACCCCTCACACCCGAAACAAAACAATGGAAAAGTTCTGAATTTGTTTTATGTATTGTCTCAGACACTTTTAAATTGCCCAAACATCATCAAATAGCTCTTTGATAAAGTTAATGATTCTGGAAGACTAGCACTTACTCGCCCTCTGGCATCCCCACTCCACCTCCCCCTCTGGCAGCCCCCCCCCCTTAACTCCCCCCCCCCCTTTGGGAAATAGGCACTTTTAGGCACAGACACTTTTAAAGTGCCCAAACTTCAGCGAATAGGACCTTGATATCGTAAATCTTGATATGGGGGACAAACACTTGCTCCCCCTCTGGCACCCCAGCCCCACCTCCCTCTGGCACCCCCCCCCTTGACACCCCCAAAATTTGAAAATTGTGATTGTTTTTCAATGTTTTTATTGACTAATACACTTTAAAAGTGCCCAGAAGCACCAAATATCATCTTTAAATTGCAAAAATTTCTAGGAGAGTTAGCCACCCCTCACAACCCCCACAAAACAAAAGAAAATATGCCGAATTTCATGTATTGTCTCAGACATTTTTACCCTGCGCGCAGAATCTAGTTAAACTACACTCTGCCTAGTAGAGACCATATTACAGTTTAGTAGCCCCGCCCCCACGGCGGGTACCGGTGACAGTTTGGGTGATAAATCACTTCTGACCTACGCGCTGACATTTCTTCCACCAATCAGCGAGCTTGAAGAAACACACGCCAAATGCGTTCTAATTAAATATGGGCATGTCATTGGTCAATTCCGGGCTCAACGATGAGGTCAGAAGGAATGACCATATATAGAACGTCGGTCAAATTTGGCCGACGAACACTGATTGGCGCGGTGAGTTCACAGGTTTATTTTAGTTTGAAAGAGTGAAGACGAAGCTCTCTTTTAAGAAGTGAAGTCAAACGAATGCAAAGGGTAAGACATTTTTTAAGTGCCCAGACATCATCAAATAGCACCTTGATATGGTCAATGTTTCTGGGGGACAACCCCTTGCTCCCCTACTGGCACCACACCCCACTTCACCCTCTCATTGACTTTGACACCCCCAAAAGAATTTGAAAAAAATACACATTTTTCTTATTGACTCATAACGCACAGGCGTACCAGATGGTTGCAAATTCGCTCCAAATACAACCAAATTTCAAAATTTTCCTGGGGGAGAACCCCCAGACCCCCCTGAATGCTCGGTTTTTTACTCACTCAACTCTTATTCCAATGGTGGTGGCGTACTACTTGGAAACTTACACTTTGAAAGTGCCCAGAAAGCACCAAATAGCATCTCAAAACTGTAAAATTTCTGGGGGAGTGGACCACTCCTCACACCCCCCCCCCCCACAAAACAATTGGAACGTTTGAAAGTTGCATTTGTTAATTCCAAACCAATATAGGGAGTAACTGAGCCCCCCCCCTCTGACTAACGCGATTTGATTTACCCAGCAAAAAAATTGACAATTTTATATTCTCTTTAGTAAGCTAAAAACCGCACCCCCCTTGGAGAAAAGTGTCTTACGGGCCTGACCATGTTTAGTTCAAATGATATTTTTTCTTGAACTTAAAATCATTTTCCTGTAGAAAGACATCCAAATTGAATGTTTTGAAGATGTTTGATTGAAATCAGATTTATCATTGTCATCATCAGTGAACATCATGCTCGGGTTTTTCATTTTTTATATTAGATGTTCATCATTTAAATTCAAACATGACTGTGCTCTAATTGGATTTCTCAACCAATCATGTGATCATTAGATATTAAGTAAATAGCACATGGAAAACATAATAGATGCTTGACTCTTGCTTGATTGCAAGTCTTGCAATGCCTTGTGTTGGGCTGCGACGATCTCTATGAATAAAATCATTGTCTCACATGCTGTAATTAAACCAATTTGAACACAGAATTCCATTTAGTAAATCATCAGCAAATAAGAAAAAAGAATCATCAAAGGTTTAGCGTAGATTGCCCCTATTCTGCAATTCAGGCATTATTTTATGACTACATAAAGGCACACGTGTGGCTCAATGCATCTATGATTTATCATAAACTGAGATTGTTTAATGTAATTAAAAATTTAACCCTTCAAAGACTAAGTCATGACCCACGTACATGGGTATGTGGGTACGAGGTAGGAGGTTTTTTATACAAAGCCATGAACGAAGTTCAGTAGGGATGTAGTGAACCCCTCTGCCAATCCTTATGTCAGTCAGTCCATCCGTTAATCTGAGATCTTTCTGATGTATAGCTTTATTATGCTCAAATGAAAGGCAATTTGGAGTAGATTGGAAATATTGTATAGTTTTTCTGATTTGGGCCTCATAAAATTAAAAATGGCAACCTAATGTTGGATTTTGCAATAATATTCTGATCTCTTCAAAGTATGGCTATATTATACTCAACTTGAAGAAATTTTAGAGTAGGTCACAATTATGGCATTGTTTTTCTGATTCATGCCTCAGAAAATTCAAAATGGCTGCCTAAAGCAGGAATTCGCTATTAAATATTGTAAGTGTCTTTGAAGCTCCTAGATGGAATACCTGCCAATTTAATCAAATGACATTATTGAATGACAACATGTTAGTGAGAAGAACATTTATTGTTTAATAATACATACATCATATATATACACAATGGGTTATTGTAGTAAAACTAACACTTTTCAACCTCTACATCCACAACATGAAATTACTGTTTTGTATAATATTTGCTATTGATTTTTTATTATTAAATGTTGAATTATTTATTTTTTAATTCATGGCTTCATAGAAATGCTTGTGAATTACAAATTTAGATTGTTTGTATAATGTTAATGTATGATATAACAATACAAGCTAACATTTTCAAGATAAAATATTATCTGATTGCATTGGTACTTGAAAGACAATCATGAATATATACTTTTATTGACTCTATGGATGTCATGGCTTGACATATTAGTCAGTACAAATTTAAAGCAAACTCCACTACTGTCATTATACAATAAAGTATATACACACATAACCATCGAGGCGTCAAGAATATATTGATGGATAGAATTTGTCAGTTTTATGCTTCAGTATCCTTGAAATCTGCTGTACAGGGCGTATAAAAAAAACGCAACAAGTAGTTATCTCATAAAATCACAAAACTAGTGATGACTACATCAATTTCATTCAATGTACTATAAAGCCATGTCTCTCCTCTTTGCAATGATATGTCATTCATTCACATGTGGTAATGGTTGGGTGAGAAATCCTTCCATTTGCACAGTGGGTCAAAATCGGCTCTTGGCCAAGTTTTAGATATTGCAAAAATCAGTGCATGGGCTAAGTGCCAATGGAAGTTCCCCTGACTTGAATTGTTGTGACTTTTTCTTTCGGAGCTATCTCAGGAGCATCTGTGCTCACAATTCCTCCACCAGACATTGCAAAACCTCGAGAAAGAATTGCCCATGGGCTGCTTTTCTCTGCTTTAACCCACAGATGACTCAGGGCTGAACCATGCATGACGTGGACAGATGAGCGCATCTTTATGTGCAAGGAAGTGGTGGCAATTTGTAGGGGTATAGGGTGTATTCTTGCAAGATTATGAGTATGAACACTTTACTGTCTATGCCACACCTGTCACATCTTCTTCCAATATACCCTATGCCCCTTGTACTGACTTTCGCAATGTTTAAAACTTGGGTCCGAGCTGAATTTTGCCCCATTTTGCAAAATTAATGATTATTTGGCCAGCCATGACTCCCTCTGCATGAATGATATTCCATTGCAAAGAGGAGTAATTTGGCTGCAGGATGCAGTCAGCATTGGTTTTATGTTTTCTTCCAATCTTGCATCGGGCTTCGTACACTGACTTCTGCGATGTTTATAACTTGGTCCCAAGCTAATTTTGGCCCACTTTGCAAATGGAATGATTACTCGCCCAACCATGACCAAATATCAAGGAATGATATATCATTGTAAAGAGGAGACACGTGGCTTTATGGCATCATCGGTTCCCACACTCAATCACTACGTTCTATCCCGTGGGTTTATATGACAAACTTGAGACCCAAGTAATATGTGGCGTCTCATTAGTAGAAATGCTTCTCGGAGTGCACGGGAAAGTCCGTGCGCCAATCACAGTTGAGGAAATTATTTAAATTAGGCCCCTGAATCAGTATTCAGAAAATAAAATGTAGGAACTGTTTGAAAAAATTTGTTGCAAATCTCGTCTGAATTCTTTAAAACCCTATCAAAAAGAAGCGATAGAGGTGATAAGGGAAGGCAGGGAGACAGGGAAAGAGTTTGGTGTATCAACGTTTCATAGAAGTCAGTTATTTCACGGGCAAGATTTCAACCAGATTATCATCATCGTGGAGCCCTTCCTATGGATAATGATATTCAAGACAGCGCATCAGCTGGGGTTTGTTTATTTAGTGTATAAGCAATAATTTGCGATGAATCAAGGTGAGGATATGTCCGAAGCTTGATGAAGCAAGATGGCTTTATGGTGCATGAATGAGATCAATGCTGTTATCACTGGTTTTGTGCTTTTCCGAGATAAAAATCTGTTGAGTTTTTTTTATACGCACTGTACAAGGGTTGATCGAAAAGTTCTGAACCATTTGCTCTGAAAATCTTAATACTTTATGAATATTGTTCATATTTGTTAGTTTTATGCTTCACTGTCCTTGAAATTTGCTGTATTTTGGTGTTTCAGATAATGAGATGATACATGTACATGTAAATATATTTAATAAAAGACTAATCCAAAACACCTAGTCGCACATACCCTATTTTTCCCTGAAAAAATCAAGAAAAAAAAATAAAGAAAAAAGATAATTGGGCGGTTGTTACATGTAACTGAATGGTTCACTTATCACTATTGATTCAGCTGTTTCTTTGCACACTGCTATAACAGATAGGTCTCCGGAATCTTTAAAACTATGAGTATATGTTTAAGTTAATTGTTAATTCTGACGCAGGTCTGGGTCGCCATTAAAACACTCATTGTGCATGATGGGGTTTCCCATCCAGGAATATATCTCTACCATTTAGAACACAGACATTAGTTCCTTTATAAACATGTTGCTGTACATGTATACAATATATACAATATATATACATGTATATCAATATAAAACACATTTTCTCTGACTCTGAAGACCAGTCAGTAACAGGAAACCTTCGACTCAGGTACTGTAATTTCCAAAATGGCAGCCTGCTCAAGCGAACAGAGAGTCAATATTTTTATTGATATTGAAGTACATTTGTATATATGTTGATTAACCAATGAAAACATATTCAGCTGATCGACAAATGCATGTGGAGAACATGGAGGTATTACATGTTATCTTGTCGGAGTGAGTCCAGTTTTAAAGAGGAAAATCATGAAATATCCTATCACCCTTAACCCTTTCACGACGATAGGCTCCATATGGAGCCCTATTATATAATACCTTTCAGGACGATGGGCTCCTTTTGGCACCATTATTTTTATTTCTATGCAATTCAATTCAATTCAATTTATTTATTTCATAATTCTTATATAATATACACTATAAAAACAAGCCGCTAGACACCCTAGTGGGTATATGTTGCAGTTTAAGAGAAATCATTAAAATGACATCTAGACTACATATAAAAGAAAACACTTATATTATGTTATATGTAGGTATATAAAAATGGTATTAACAATTAATCTAAGGATGTACAATGTTAAAATGTTACAAAAATCAGGTACCAGTATAAAATCAACAGTATAGTATGATATTGGTATTATACATTATCGATAGATGAGTAGTTTTTTATATGAAGATTTGAAAATATTTAGAGTGGAGCATTTTTTAATATCATGTGGTAGAGCATTCCAAAGATTAGGACCTAGATAGCGAAGGGAAAGTTTAGAGCATTTAGGGATATGAAAATAATGCAATTGTGTAATGATGATGAATATTAATGTTGATATCAAACAAGTCTTGTAATAGATTTTTTGGAAGACTGGGGTGCTTATTAAAGATTTTGTACATGAACTGACCAGTACAATATCTGTTGACATCAAAAGTATTTAATATTTTAAAATCTTTAAATAGGGGATCGGAGTGAGAAAGTCTATCCTTATTTAAAGCTAGCCTTAAGAATTGTTTCTGCAGTTTATGTAGACGATCATAAAATGATTTAAATGTGTTACCCCAGATTATGTTGCAATAATTTAATTGAAAGTGTATCAATGAGTAGTAAATTGTTTTGAAACTGTCTATTTGAAGTAGATGTTTAATGTGATAAAGAGAACCAATGACGCGAGAAATCTTTGTTTCAACAGATTTTATGTGCTCTTTAAATTTCAAGTTTTTATCAATAATAATTCCAAGAAAGTCAATTTTTTCCCGGAAATTTATGTTCTCATTGCGTATTTTAAGATTCAGATTTGTTTGATTTTTTTGGGGTCCAAATAGAATAGCATTGGTTTTGCCAATATTAAGTGAAAGTTTGTTTGCTTTTATCCAGTCATCTATTGAATTCAAGTTTGCATTAGTTCTAGTCATAAGTTCATTTAAATCATAATCACTATCAAGAAGATTGGTGTCATCAGGAAACATAATAAATTTTAGATTAGGGGCAACAAAAGGCAGATCATTTATGTAAAGAATAAATAATAGTGGTCCAAGTACCGAGCCCTGCGGAACACCACAATTTAGAGATGATTGTTTAGATTCATAATTGTTAATGGTGACATATTGTTTGCGGTCTTTTAAATAACTTTCAAACCAGGACTTAGCTATTCCTCTGATGCCATAATATTCAAGTTTTTGTATAAAAATACAAAGTGCATCAATGAAATGACAATATCTCCAGTTCTATTCAGTATTTTTACACCAAATTTTGACAAGTTGTTAAAATGTGATACCGTATTCTCTGTAATTAGCGCCCAGGGCATTTAGAAAATTGAAAATACATTATTTAGACCATTCTAATAAGCGCCCATGTATGAAAGAAATCAGAAATCCCGAGGAATTTCATGTATGGCAATTTTTCTTGACAAGAATGCATTTTCTTCAACATATTTTTATAATAATATGACAAGTGCTGTTATTGGAGAGAATACGGTAAAGATCGCTTAGACAATATTGACAGTGGTTGAAGACCCGTATATGTCTAATTTATTTCCGGCACGCCCACTTTGTCATTATCGCCGATTACCTTCAATATTTCCACTAGAGACTGCTGGATATCGATCTAAAGTTATACATTATTATTAATTTGATGAGAGATCATCATTATTCGTGCAAAAGTCGTGTAAAAGTCCAGAAACATTAAAAAGAAACCAGAAAGTTCACGACCTTGACATGCGCAGAACATCTGCGCAGTAGCTTTTGAAATTTCTGAATGCCGATAAAGAACAATTCCTTCATTCATTATGGACTATTTGGAGACAATATTAGCATGGTATGGTGTTGGAAGCACCCATCGATAGATATGTATCGAGAGGATGCATAGAATTACAAAACGCGTCGTGTTTACAGCAGTTTTAGGGTAAGTACTCTATTATCGCCCGCTCCTGGATTTTGAGAAATATTTTTTTCCTGATATATTCTTCAATTCTTGTTGATTCCTCGATGTTTCTTGAACTTTGTGAAGCGGGGTGGGCGCTTATTAGAGAGTGGGCGGTAATTACAGAGAATACGGTAGTCCTTTTTAAAAATGTATTTAGGTGATACAATTTAAAGCATACGTCCTGGGATATAGGTAATTTACAGTTTTTCCCTAAAAACTGCTCTTCCTTATCCGTCACCAGTCCCATATTTTCCTCTTATATTCACGTCAGGAAAGGGTTAAGGATTTGGAAATTTGAAATATCTCCTCCAGGAGACTTTAGGAGACATACTGTGTGTTTATTAAAGCGAATAGAGTATATACATGTCCACCTTTTTATTTTACCAGCAATCACTAAATGTTGATTTTCACCTCTAAATCTAAATTAAATGAATTATTACCACTTAAAATCAACAATGCTTATTTAAGCTTTAATTAAATCGAGAAATATAGAAAGAAATGTAACAATTGAAGCGAAAAAGAAAACGATTGCAAATAAACGATCAGTTACCATCACAACCATCATCCATTCTTCTCTGGTTTTTCTTTCTTCTTCTTCTTGTCTCCTTTTTTCAGTTTTGCTTTCGTGAGCAACAATTAATAGTTTATTGATATTATTATGTACAAGTTGATATTTGTCAATGGTTCTTTCATCATCAATCCCATCTGTATTCACAGGATTTGGATCTTGGTTGCCACTATAGCCACTCTTTTTGAAATTTTCCATATTTCCTTCAGTTTTCATTTGTCCATTATTTGTAAACATATTATTTATATGTTTCCTGTCTGCTTTTGATTTTGGTTTTGTCTTGCAAACTAGCCATCCCAATGCTCCAAGCATTACCTTCCTTGTCATGTTTGACATTCTGTTGCCATAGTGACCCCTGTAATGGATATTGAGGCTCCCTATGGTGAGAATCACATTGAGCGACATCATGAGAAGGATGTAACCAATGTACTGACTTATAAGTGGTGTATTATCACTTTGTTGGGGTATAGTGGATGAAACGTTCAACTGGAGAACTATCATTGACAAGAGTACCATGATAGACAGAGGTGCTCTTGCTCCTGATGCTATTGGCATTAGGAATCCCATGATGCTCACAATCAGGAGCAATCCACATGGGATAATCAAGTTGTAAATATAAAACAATGGTTTACGTTTCAATACCATTGTATAGGTCAGGTCAACATAGGGTTCAGGGCAACACTTATAAAACTTTACATTTCTCTTAGCTGGAAATTCTAAAAGGTCCCATTCTCCATGTTGTAAAAATGGCTCATAATCTCCATGGAACTCTTGAGTAAAGAGATCAAGTTGGTTTCCAGTAAGTATCCATGATCCAAACTGTATTAGGCAGCGCTGAGTATCGAAAGGGAATGACGTCATGTCTATTTTACATGATGTCATTATGATGCCAGGAGTTAACCATCGTATGTCACCAGTGTGGTCAACCCTAACAAGGATATCCTTACTGTATTGTTTAATGGATGAAGGTTTATCATTTGCATTATTGAACAATGTGATATCTGGCAACCATATTTCATCAACCATATTTCATCCATAGTCATCAGGATCCCAGGTTAAACGATTGTCCGTCCAATAGAAACGAAACCAAACTGTTATTAGAAGTGTCTGTTTGCGTTCATCCATCTCAAGGAGCTGGTTGATGGCTAAGCTTGATATGACATCTGTTTTGTTGTGTGGTCTGTTTGTCACACTGTAGTTAGCCATCAAATCATTATGTAGTCTCCTCAAATCATAGTTCCAGTCACAATACACAATGCAGACACAATGTGCAATTGTAATTAATAGTATTATTAATTTCATCATTTTGATTATTAAGACTATTTTTCTCTTTAAGGTACTCTCTACCTGTTCTCTCTACCTTGTATTATCCTCTTTGTCTATATTCATGTACATTTATCTTTAGGGTACTCCATTACTATTTAGAATGGTCTGTTTTCAAATGCATCACTTCCTTTCCTATGGTTTTGAACACATCAACCTTCTGCATCAGCAGCAATTCTCCAATGACTCTCTCGCTCTAACTTAGGTATCCCAACGAACCAAGTTCGGTAGGGATATATTGAAGCCCTCTGTCTGTCAGTCCATCATCAGTATGTCCGGAAGATAACTCAAATACTGGTAGATAAATTTTCTTCAAAGGATTGGTATCGATATGGTGAACTTTTTGACCACACATTTCTCTTAAACCAGCCTTCAAAAAATTCTGAAAATTTTACACATTGTCAATTAAATTTATTTTCTCTATATTGTTTTAGAAAACACATCAGACACTTCCTTTGTTCTTGGTATCATATGTTCAGAATGAAATGAAACATCTATCCGAACCTCATTGGAACAAAATGACATAAACACAATGTGTTTAGGTATCTCAATATTGTAATTATACAAAGGAAAGTTTGGTTGATTTAAAAAAAGTATAACTATAATATTGAGAGGTCTAAGAAAATGTTGTATATGCTATTTTGTTCCAACAAGGTTCAGAAAGATATTTTATATCATTCTCAAGAATTGGTAGAAAGGAACAAAAAGAAATTGCACTAAAAAACAAAAAATGTTAACAAAAACAGTTATATAAAGTATATACTGTATAAATAATTTTCGCATTAAACATGGCAAAGATTACTATACACATCCTTTAGTGGAAAGATGTATATTGATAAATAGCTTTTTCTGAAAATGTTTTTTTTAAGATGGCCACTGGTTTGCAATGTGGGAATATTTTGTTGGGATTTGCACCTCTGTGGAGTTACCATTTTCTAGTTGACACTTCAGTAGCTTTTTATATTTTATTATATTTTAGGTGAGTGGTACATTACATATATAATAGATAATCAATGTAGTTACCGTAATCGCCGTATTAAGGGCCTATCCCTAATAAGTGCCCACCCCCTTCAGAGTTCAAGAAATATCAAGGAATGACCAAGTATTAACGAATATATCAGAAAAAAATTCAAATTTCAAAGGGCAATAATAGAGTACTTACACTATACTGCAGAAAACATGTGGCATTTTGTAATTCGATTCGTCCTCCCGATAAATATCTATCATTTGGTGCTTCCCACATGAGACTTAACAAAAATTATCTCAAAATAGTCCATAATGAATGAAGGAAATACTCAGGTTTTGTTTCGACATTTTACCAAATAGCGATTGTGAATGTCATGTAAAAGCCGTGAACTTTCTCGTTTATTTTTAAGATCTCTTGACTTTTACACAACTTTTACACGAAAAATAATGTTCTGTCATCAAATTAAAAAAATAAGGTATAACTTTAGATTAATATCTAATAGTCTCTAGTAAAAATATTGAATCGTGAACAACAATTCCTTCACTTCGAGGGGCACTGCTGGGGAGTTCTTCAATCACTGTCAACATTAGATTTTTGCTTTATTTTAGCGATCTTTACCATATTCTCTTCAATAATGATACTTATCATGATTGTAAATATATGCTGTTTCTTTGTTTTGATTTTGCAAATAAGACATTCTTGGCAAGAAAAATTCCCATACAGTAAAACCTGCATATAGTGAACAATTTTTTGTCGAGAAAAAATGTTCACTGTTGGTAGGTGTTCACTACAGCAATGATTTGATTTCGCGGCATTTGACGTGTTATATAAAGAGACCAGCTATTAAAAGAGAGGAGGGAATAATCAATTTAATTTGTATTTTCTACCCATATTAACCCATGACACTCTAGGGTTAAGTATTTGATTTGTTGTAATGTTATATACATGTACAAACTAACTGTCGTCTGAATGGTTCATCCTTTTATTGTCAATTTTAATCCCTTTATAATTCTTTTTATCTCATCAAGATGGTCCTTTAAGACAAGTGGAATCTTTGAGACATTTGAGTCAATTAAATGACTTTATTGAATTAGTTAAAGGACATGATAGATTCAGTAATAGTGAAATGATCATGAATTATAATTTTAATCCGATCTGTTTTTTAAATTGATGGGATGAGAAAAAGATTTAGTTTGGACTTAGCAGATAAAGGTAATAATAGTTTAACCAGCTTATCTCCAAGCAATCAATCCCAGACGCATATCCTGTGTTACAAAAACAAAGCTTATAAAGAATTAGTCACACCTGTTTCAATAGAAGAGATCAAGATCTCAAATTGACCTTCCAGGGGAATTTTGGCTTCTTTCATATATGGGTGCTCTTTGTAACGGGTTACAATTTCAAAAGCGCTCTGGGCACTTTTTACAGCGAATACAGTATGTATAATAATGTTCGTCATGATGATGCAGTATGGCTGTATGGTACTTCCATGTACAATGGAGAATCACATAATTGAAATTGATTATTCAAACAGACATTTTATGCTTGTTGATATGTTGCTTTGTTATGTTTACCAAATCCAATGAGGCATCAGTCAATTCATTGTCAACTCTTAAGAATCGGAAGATAAAACATACAATACCACAATAAAGAGATAAAGACACCCTGGAACTAAATTACATCAAATTACATCACCTTTTTTGATGCTTTTGAAACCTTTTTCATTAAGTGTTTTTAATAGATTTTTGTTTCAGGTTAAACAGCATTAAAAGATGAACAATGACAATATAACAAGGTTGTTATCAAGATTGTTGTCAAGGTTGTTAATGAATACTTTACATACTTTAAAAGTTAATGTCCCAAGAGCACCAAACAAATGAAATTCATTTGAATAAGTTAGTCCTCCATGTGTTTTTTTTCATTAATGAAGGTGATGTTACCCTCAATAGCTAGGGTTCATAAAATATCACTTGTGAAAAGCAGTAAGTAAAATTAATCTTGAAAAGTACAAACATTACTGGAAAACAATAACAGCATAACCAATGATCAAACACACAAAGAAGCAATGTCAAAAGACCCTCCTTTTTAACCAAGTATTAGCTCAAAAATTAATTACTGTACTCCCAGTTAATTTTTCGAATTTTAATTTCGCGAGTTTTGAGAAAGCACGATTTTGAGAAAGCACGATTTTGCGACTATTGAATTTTGCGAATTTCACTAAGTACACCTACTAATATGTCATCTTGGTCAATGACACGCTACATGTTAACCTCTATTACAATGAGATTTTTGGGGTTTATTTGATCTAATAAGCCACTATAACAGACATTGTTACTTACTGTCCCATTTATCACCTAAAAACACTTGAAAAACATTTTTCAAAACATGAAATGCAATGGACTCCCAGGTAATTAAAAATTTACCAATCCCCAGGGATTTTAAAAATAAGCATATTAGCCTGGACAGGTAAGATGATCTTCCACTTATTTTGGTCTCAATATGTAGTCAATGCATTTCACTTCAATTTGAAAAGAGAATGACTGATTCTACAGAAGAGGTTAATGCTTAGCACAAGATTTGGACAAACATCCATTCACAATTCACAATATGAAACAGTTATTGAAAATTGAATAATGGAAATTACATGGTTACTAAATACAATACCAAACCACAAACCACAAAAGAATTATGGTATGTTCATTTTTTGGAGTTCGATTTTTGGATTAGCAAATGCATGACAAATACAGAAATTGCGGGACAGTTGACAGGCCTGATGTAGGGTCTGATTTTTCAGTTTCTCTTGCATAGTTATTGTCAAAGACTAGACTATTTAACCCAGTAAATACAATTGAGAGTTTATCATTTATTCAATGCAAGGTTCCACATTGGTATCTCAGTAGTATGGAAAATCTGACCTTTTGTGGATAGTTAAAGTGTATATGTAATATATGCCAGCCATTTACTATACATGTAGTTTTAATAACTTTTCCTCATTTAGGAAAATGAAAATCTGTGTGAAACATGGTTATTCGGTTTCTTCCTATTATATACAGATACTTACAACTCATCCATACATGTAACTTGATATGCCTTCAGGTCACCAATACTGACAATCTTTCCCTTTCGTTTTACTCTACAATCTGGGTCACTACCCTCCTTCTTCAGGATACTATCCGTTCTTCTCATGTGCTGCTGAACTATAACCAACATTAGGATGTTTTCATGTTATCTTAGATACTGCTCCAAAAAGGTTAAACTTTTTACCTCATAATTTCTTACTTTCCTAACTGTTAATTTTTACATAAGGTATATAAACATTTTTTAAAACTTTTAAATCTCATAGATAAGTTCTCATCTTATATATAATAGATGTCCTAGACAATTGATTTATCAAAAATTCAACTTCTACAAGGCCTAATTTGGAATTTTCAGCCCAACTATACATTTTTTTATTTATTTTTTTATACGCTTTTAAACTATCTATACGATTATCAGATTTCACACTTTAGAAAATAGAAAATAAGTTCATATGGTGATTACAAATACATGTATGAGGACACATAAGCATTTACTAAATTGCAACTTTACCTTCAGCTTTTGATAATCCATTCTCCAGTTTCACTATATAAGTCCCTGGTACTGTCTTTTCTTTAGAATGGTGCTCAATCCAACCTGGAAATCAAGATATTGTCTTACAAGTGCTTGCCTGTTTAGTGTCTACCTATCTACCTGTATTTCCCACAGCTTCTAAAATTAGGAAATCAAGATATTGTCTTACAAGTGCTTGCCTGTCTAGTGTCTACCTATCTACCTGTATTTCCCATAGCTTCTAAAATTAGGAAATCAAGATATTGTCTTACAAGTGCTTGCCTGTCTAGTGTCTACCTATCTACCTGTATTTCCCACAGCTTCTAAAATTAGGAAATCAAGATATTGTCTTACAAGTGCTTGCCTGTCTAGTGTCTACCTATCTACCTGTATTTCCCACAGCTTCTAAAATTAGGAAATCAAGATATTGTCTTACAAGTGTTTGCCTGTCTAGTGTCTACCTATCTACCTGTATTTCCCATAGCTTCTAAAATTAGGAAATCAAGATATTGTCTTACAAGTGCTTGCCTGTCTAGTGTCTACCTATCTACCTGTATTTCCCATAGCTTCTAAAATTAGGAAATCAAGATATTGTCTTACAAGTGCTTGCCTGTCTAGTGTCTACCTATCTACCTGTATTTCCCACAGCTTCTAAAATTAGGAAATCAAGATATTGTCTTACAAGTGCTTGCCTGTCTAGTGTCTACCTATCTACCTGTATTTCCCATAGCTTCTAAAATTAGGAAATCAAGATATTGTGTTACAAGTGCTTGCCTGTCTAGTGTCTACCCATCTACCTGTATTTCCCATAGCTTCTAAAATTAGGAAATCAAGATATTGTCTTACAAGTGCTTGCCTGTTTAGTGTCTACCTATCTACCTGTATTTCCCACAGCTTATAAAATTAGGAAATCAAGATATTGTCTTACAAGTGCTTGCCTGTCTAGTGTCTACCTATCTACCTGTATTTCCCATAGCTTCTAAAATTAGGAAATCAAGATATTGTCTTACAAGTGCTTGCCTGTCTAGTGTCTACCTATCTACCTGTATTTCCCATAGCTTCTAAAATTAGGAAATCAAGATATTGTCTTACAAGTGCTTGCCTGTCTAGTGTCTACCTATCTACCTGTATTTCCCATAGCTTCTAAAATTAGGAAATCAAGATATTGTCTTACAAGTGCTTGCCTGTCTAGTGTCTACCTATCTACCTGTATTTCCCACAGCTTCTAAAATTAGGAAATCAAGATATTGTCTTACAAGTGCTTGCCTGTCTAGTGTCTACCTATCTACCTGTATTTCCCATAGCTTCTAAAATTAGGAAATCAAGATATTGTCTTACAAGTGTTTGCCTGTCTAGTGTCTACCTATCTACCTGTATTTCCCACAGCTTCTAAAATTAGGAAATCAAGATATTGTCTTACAAGTGTTTGCCTGTCTAGTGTCTACCTATCTACCTGTATTTCCCATAGCTTCTAAAATTAGGAAATCAAGATATTGTCTTACAAGTGCTTGCATGTGTAGTGTCTACCTATCTACCTGTATTTCCCACAGCTTCTAAAATTAGGAAATCAAGATATTGTCTTACAAGTGCTTGCCTGTCTAGTGTCTACCTATCTACCTGTATTTCCCATAGCTTCTAAAATTAGGAAATCAAGATATTGTCTTACAAGTGCTTGCCTGTCTAGTGTCTACCTATCTACCTGTATTTCCCATAGCTTCTAAAATTAGGAAATCAAGATATTGTCTTACAAGTGCTTGCCTGTCTAGTGTCTACCTATCTACCTGTATTTCCCATAGCTTCTAAAATTAGGAAATCAAGATATTGTCTTACAAGTGCTTGCCTGTCTAGTGTCTACCTATCTACCTGTATTCCCATAGCTTCTAAAATTAGGAAATCAAGATATTGTCTTACAAGTGCTTGCCTGTCTAGTGTCTACCTATCTACCTGTATTTCCCATAGCTTCTAAAATTAGGAAATCAAGATATTGTCTTACAAGTGCTTGCCTGTCTAGTGTCTACCTATCTACCTGTATTTCCCATAGCTTCTAAAATTAGGAAATCAAGATATTGTCTTACAAGTGCTTGCCTGTTTAGTGTCTACCTATCTACCTGTATTTCCCATAGCTTCTAAAATTAGGAAATCAAGATATTGTCTTACAAGTGCTTGCCTGTCTAGTGTCTACCTATCTACCTGTATTTCCCACAGCTTCTAAAATTAGGAAATCAAGATATTGTCTTACAAGTGCTTGCCTGTTTAGTGTCTACCTATCTACCTGTATTTCCCATAGCTTCTAAAATTAGGAAATCAAGATATTGTCTTACAAGTGTTTGCCTGTCTAGTGTCTACCTATCTACCTGTATTTCCAGGAGCTTCTAAAATTAGGAAATCAAGATATTGTCTTACAAGTGCTTGCCTGTCTAGTGTCTACCTATCTACCTGTATTTCCCATAGCTTCTAAAATTAGGAAATCAAGATATTGTCTTACAAGTGCTTGCATGTGTAGTGTCTACCTATCTACAGTACCTGTATTTCCCACAGCTTCTAAAATTAGGAAATCAAGATATTGTCTTACAAGTGCTTGCCTGTCTAGTGTCTACCTATCTACCTGTATTTCCCATAGCTTCTAAAATTAGGAAATCAAGATATTGTCTTACAAGTGCTTGCATGTGTAGTGTCTACCTATCTACAGTACCTGTATTTCCCACAGCTTCTAAAATTAGGAAATCAAGATATTGTCTTACAAGTGTTTGCCTGTCTAGTGTCTACCTATCTACCTGTATTTCCCACAGCTTCTAAAATTAGGAAATCAAGATATTGTCTTACAAGTGCTTGCCTGTCTAGTGTCTACCTATCTACCTGTATTTCCCACAGCTTCTAAAATTAGGAAATCAAGATATTGTCTTACAAGTGCTTGCATGTGTAGTGTCTACCTATCTACAGTACCTGTATTTCCCACAGCTTCTAAAATTAGGAAATCAAGATATTGTCTTACAAGTGTTTGCCTGTCTAGTGTCTACCTATCTACCTGTATTTCCCACAGCTTCTAAAATTAGGAAATCAAGATATTGTCTTACAAGTGCTTGCCTGTCTAGTGTCTACCTATCTACCTGTATTTCCCATAGCTTCTAAAATTAGGAAATCAAGATATTGTCTTACAAGTGCTTGCCTGTCTAGTGTCTACCTATCTACCTGTATTTCCCACAGCTTCTAAAATTAGGAAATCAAGATATTGTCTTACAAGTGTTTGCCTGTCTAGTGTCTACCTATCTACCTGTATTTCCCATAGCTTCTAAAATTAGGAAATCAAGATATTGTCTTACAAGTGCTTGCCTGTCTAGTGTCTACCTATCTACCTGTATTTCCCATAGCTTCTAAAATTAGGAAATCAAGATATTGTCTTACAAGTGCTTGCCTGTCTAGTGTCTACCTATCTACCTGTATTCCCATAGCTTCTAAAATTAGGAAATCAAGATATTGTCTTACAAGTGCTTGCCTGTCTAGTGTCTACCTATCTACCTGTATTTCCCACAGCTTCTAAAATTAGGAAATCAAGATATTGTCTTACAAGTGTTTGCCTGTCTAGTGTCTACCTATCTACCTGTATTTCCCATAGCTTCTAAAATTAGGAAATCAAGATATTGTCTTACAAGTGCTTGCATGTGTAGTGTCTACCTATCTACAGTACCTGTATTTCCCACAGCTTCTAAAATTAGGAAATCAAGATATTGTCTTACAAGTGTTTGCCTGTCTAGTGTCTACCTATCTACCTGTATTTCCCACAGCTTCTAAAATTAGGAAATCAAGATATTGTCTTACAAGTGCTTGCCTGTCTAGTGTCTACCTATCTACCTGTATTTCCCATAGCTTCTAAAATTAGGAAATCAAGATATTGTCTTACAAGTGCTTGCCTGTCTAGTGTCTACCTATCTACCTGTATTTCCCATAGCTTCTAAAATTAGGAAATCAAGATATTGTCTTACAAGTGCTTGCCTGTTTAGTGTCTACCTATCTACCTGTATTTCCCACAGCTTCTAAAATTAGGAAATCAAGATATTGTCTTACAAGTGCTTGCCTGTCTAGTGTCTACCTATCTACCTGTATTTCCCACAGCTTCTAAAATTAGGAAATCAAGATATTGTCTTACAAGTGCTTGCATGTGTAGTGTCTACCTATCTACAGTACCTGTATTTCCCACAGCTTCTAAAATTAGGAAATCAAGATATTGTCTTACAAGTGTTTGCCTGTCTAGTGTCTACCTATCTACCTGTATTTCCCACAGCTTCTAAAATTAGGAAATCAAGATATTGTCTTACAAGTGCTTGCCTGTCTAGTGTCTACCTATCTACCTGTATTTCCCATAGCTTCTAAAATTAGGAAATCAAGATATTGTCTTACAAGTGCTTGCCTGTCTAGTGTCTACCTATCTACCTGTATTTCCCATAGCTTCTAAAATTAGGAAATCAAGATATTGTCTTACAAGTGCTTGCCTGTCTAGTGTCTACCTATCTACCTGTATTTCCCACAGCTTCTAAAATTAGGAAATCAAGATATTGTCTTACAAGTGCTTGCCTGTCTAGTGTCTACCTATCTACCTGTATTTCCCATAGCTTCTAAAATTAGGAAATCAAGATATTGTCTTACAAGTGCTTGCCTGTCTAGTGTCTACCTATCTACCTGTATTTCCCATAGCTTCTAAAATTAGGAAATCAAGATATTGTCTTACAAGTGCTTGCCTGTCTAGTGTCTACCTATCTACCTGTATTTCCCACAGCTTCTAAAATTAGGAAATCAAGATATTGTCTTACAAGTGTTTGCCTGTCTAGTGTCTACCTATCTACCTGTATTTCCCATAGCTTCTAAAATTAGGAAATCAAGATATTGTCTTACAAGTGCTTGCCTGTCTAGTGTCTACCTATCTACCTGTATTTCCCATAGCTTCTAAAATTAGGAAATCAAGATATTGTCTTACAAGTGCTTGCCTGTCTAGTGTCTACCTATCTACCTGTATTTCCCATAGCTTCTAAAATTAGGAAATCAAGATATTGTCTTACAAGTGCTTGCCTGTCTAGTGTCTACCTATCTACCTGTATTTCCCATAGCTTCTAAAATTAGGAAATCAAGATATTGTCTTACAAGTGCTTGCCTGTCTAGTGTCTACCTATCTACCTGTATTTCCCATAGCTTCTAAAATTAGGAAATCAAGATATTGTCTTACAAGTGCTTGCCTGTCTAGTGTCTACCTATCTACCTGTATTTCCCATAGCTTCTAAAATTAGGAAATCAAGATATTGTCTTACAAGTGCTTGCCTGTCTAGTGTCTACCTATCTACCTGTATTTCCCATAGCTTCTAAAATTAGGAAATCAAGATATTGTCTTACAAGTGCTTGCCTGTCTAGTGTCTACCTATCTACCTGTATTTCCCACAGCTTCTAAAATTAGGAAATCAAGATATTGTCTTACAAGTGTTTGCCTGTCTAGTGTCTACCTATCTACCTGTATTTCCCATAGCTTCTAAAATTAGGAAATCAAGATATTGTCTTACAAGTGCTTGCCTGTCTAGTGTCTACCTATCTACCTGTATTTCCAGGAGCTTCTAAAATTGAGTTACCTAATTTGCAAAGAAAGAAAATGGGTTTGCGGTCAAGGGCAAAGTTTATTCCAAGGATTGTACCAATTCACCAAATATTTATCCAGATCAATGATTCAAAATTTATCCTGAACGATAGTATTTATCCAGATAAATTCTCCAATCTTATGAATTCACGGCACTAGGAGACCTATAGCATGGAGCCATAGAGTTAATATGTCAATGCAAGTTAAGGACTTCTAGCTCCAGTGATCCGAAGATATGCTCAACTTACCTCTCTTTCCTTTGGTTCCTTGTTTACATTGATTGTTGATAACATGTGCCTTCCCCTTTCCTTTAGGCCCCGACTCTACCACCGCTATACTTGCGTATAAGGTAGCAGCGCAAATAACAGCAACAACAGCACTTCGGGACAACATATCTATAACATAATATACACATTATGTTGTAAAAAGCTTGGATCATTTTAAATTCTTTTACATGTACCGTACACTATGAATTTAGGTAAAAGGGCATGATAATTGAAAACTGAATTATTGAAAATGGTCCAAAGCAATTAAATAATGAAAAATTATTTTTAAAGATCAGAGATATCAAGAATGTGTAGAGCTATATAATGTAGGCCAGTATGAGGGTATAAAATAAAAGGGTTTAAAGAATCAATTTGAAAGGGACTCAACACATTTAAATAAAGTGTCTCAGTCTTTTTGGGGCCCTAAAATACCCCAAAAATTTAAAAATCAAAATAGCTTGTTCAGTTCAATAGAATAAGGCACCAAAAAATTAGAAACAATTAATTTTATTCACATTATTCTGACAAGCTTAAAAATGCAGTTACCCCCCCCCCCAGCTACACCCTGTATATAACAGTAATGTGAAATGTTTTATGCAATGAAACTAAAAAATCTTACCTGATTATCCAATGAGTGCAAAAGCTTGCATGTAATTTGCCGAGGCCACGTGTCTAATTTGCCAGGGTCACGTCTTCTCTCATTAAAATTAAACGATTTCTCTCTGAGATATCAATTTCTGTACAAACTAGAAATCCAATTATCCAAATAGTTGAAAGATTTGACAAGATTGAAGTCAAAACAATGTAACACTTAGATTGTTTAAATTTTGTTTCAAAATAGGGCTTTGTGTATAAAGAGGCACGTAATTTATATTATTCATTGGGTTTCTGTCATGTTCTATTGTATTCTTACATATTTTATGTGTTTTTATATTAGAATGAATATCCAGTATCCAATAGTGAGTTTGCCAGAAAAAATGTTAGAAATTCTGCATTGTGGGATCCACAGCCACTACTACCCCCTGAAATACACAGGCTTTAGATTAAGAGAGACTCTGATAAGTCCGAATGTAAATTCTGCTTTATTGCACAATTATTTTTTAATGAAGAAATAAACACAGAAATGTAAACACATGTAGTGATTTGAGTGAGAAATATAAACATGGAAATAATTTAAAAGTACAATTGTAACCACCTGAAAAAAATTCTAGAAAAACACTTTTTTGTAATTGTCTTTTTTTGTTTTACTATTATATTTTTGGAAATTCCTCTGCATCTTTCAGATTAAGGAAAATTACTTTTGAAAATGACACACATATTTCCTGAAATAGAATGAAATATTTGGTTTATTGGTTCACAGTTATGTTTCTTGTTACATGATAAATCAAATAAGACATCATATATACTTAAACAAGCTCCACTTTTTGTCAAAATACTTCCCAATGAAGCAATTTAACTCTGCTGTTGTAACACGTACCAGTGAGATAATGCCATTAAATTTGTTATTTTATTGGTATTTTCCAGCCATTGACCAAGCCCTTTGTCCAGGTTGCAGCGCTGGCAACTGTAGAAAACTTGCAGAATTTCTTACTTCATAAACTCCAGTTATCCAGCCAGTATAAGGTACATGTATGTTTCACATTGCAAAGTCTCTGCATAGTTTCATCTTTTTTCCAATATGTGTGACTGTCATAATGATATTGGAAAATCATAATAACACTTTGAATTCTTGAAAATGCACTAAATTCATTTTCATGGTAATCCTGTCTCCATAGTTTTGCTTCAACTACTGCCTCATTGCAATTACCCGGATCCGAGTAGGTACTTACCATTTTTACCACCAGGTGGCTGATTCAGGGAAATAACATGGCAGGGTATTAGAAAATTCCCTTAAACTTGAATATGCATCAGTTTTAGTGCTTCTATTTTCATAATACCCTTACGTCCAGTAAAAGATGTCCAGTAAAAGAAAAAACTATCTGTCCAATATAAGAAAAGATATTTCACTTTTTGTATGTTATAACATGGGGTCTATGGGGAATCTCCTCGACCTAGAAGTCACATTTTCAAAGAAAATCAAAGTTGATGAACACTTTTTAACCCCATTTCTAGATGTAATTTTACATGTAGATGTCAAATATGATATCACTTTGACTGAAATTTGATTTTTAGTAACAAATGACAGGTGGTGACATTTTGCATGTAAATGCTTCGTTCATGTTCCAATGATTCTACCTGGAAGCATGCATGACTTTTGAGTTCTGATATATTTTAGGTAACGTTATTCTACAATGGTATTCACCTTACAGATCTAACATCTACCATTGTAGACTTGAAACACTGCTTTGGATCGAGGCTAAAGGTAGGGAAGATTTGTACTTGAAAAAAACTTGTAGATGTTTGACATTTAGACAATGATAACCTAAACACAATTCACAGGTAGTAGCTTGGACAGAATTGATCAAGATCTGTTATCTGTCTTTGTATGGGAGCTACGTATTTTGATGAAACGCATAAATATTGACCTGGTCCATTCAATGGACAATTATTGGTCAATAGCAGTGGGATTTACAATCTGATGGGTGCTGATGTTTGCTGCCATCATGTTACTTCCTAATATTAGTACTTTGTTTTCAACCCCAAATTTTTCATTACCTCAAATTGATTGCGATCAAGACTAACCATGAAAAGTATTTCTGTTGGTTTTACTTCAAAACGCTGGGAATCATGTTTTCCTGTCCAATCACTATTTCTGATACCTAAAATGTTCATTCATGCATAAATTTATTTAATTTGTAAATCAAAGCATGATCAGTTCAGATTTCATTAAAAAACACTGCATTCTGACAATGATAGATCAAATCCTGATATCTTTGTTTGTACAATAAGTTTATAAAACTTCCAAAATAATATGGCCCACTGCATTTTACGCTTTTGTTTCAAAGTTTGTCAATTACAACAAGATGGCGACATTTTGTCAGGTAAAAGTCTTGGGAATAAATGAAGTCATGTAAAATATTCCTTTACATTTTTATCCCATCGAACGAAGTTCTGAGGGATATAGGGAACGCCTCCGTCCGTCCGTCCGTACGTACGTCCGTCCGTACGTACGTACGTCCGTCCGTCCGTCTGTCCGTCCGGGCAATAACTCAAATACCGTTGGCCCAATTTTGTTCATATTTTGTACACATATACCCTATGGGGGTAGAAGTTCTGCTCGAAAGCCGATTTTCAAAATGGCCACTCATTTCAAAATGGCGGCCATTTTAGTGACGATTTTACAGTAATTTAGGTGCAATATGTAAAACTGTAATAGCAATATGTTTTAAATGTAAAAAAATTATAAAGGACATTAATAATGCTACAAATGTAGATATTAAAGAAGCACATGGCAGCCATCTTGAAAAATGGCCGCCTTTACTCGTCATTTTACGATTTTTGCTGTAACTCAAAAAATAGTGGAGCGATTTTGTTCATATTTGGTATGTGAATACTATAAGCAGTGCACACTGTCTAAAGACACTTTTGGTAGAAGGCGGCCATTTTTCAAAATGGCCGTCATTTTAACGTATTTTACTATAACTCTAAAAGTAGTGGAGCGATTTTGTTCATATTTGGTATGTGAATACTATAAGCATGGCACACTGTCCTATGACACTTTTGGTAGAAGGCAGTCATTTTGAAAACAATTTTGAAAAATGGCCGCCATTTTAACGTATTTCACTATAACTCGAAGTGTAGTGTAGCGATTTTGTTCATATTTGGTATGTGAATACCATAAGCATGGCACACTGTCTATTTCTAATGACGCTTTTGGGAGAAGGTGGCCATTTTGAAAAATGGCCGCCATTTTAACGTATTTTACTATAACTCGAAAAATAGTGGAGCGATTTTGTTCATATTTGATATGTGAATACCTTAAGCATGGCACATTGTCTAATAAAACTTTGGGGAGTAGTCGGCCATTTTGAAAAATGGCCACCATTTTTATGTGTGTTTTATGTGTGTTTACAAGTACCCTTTGCATTCGTTCGACTTCACTTCTTAAAAAGAGAGCTCCGTCTTCACTCTTTCAAACTAAAATAAACCCGTGAACTCACCGCGCCAATCAGTGCTCGTCGGCCAAATTTGACTGACGTTCTATATATGGTCATTCGTTCTGACGTCATCGTTAAGCCCGGAATTGACCAATGACAATTCAGAATTTATTTTGGCGCGTGTTTCTTCAAGCTCGCTGACTGGTGGAAGAAAGGTCAGCGCGTAGGTCAGAAGTGATTTATTACCCGGAATGTCACCGGCATCCGTCGTGGGGGCGGGGCTACTAAACTGTAATATGGTTTCTACTAGGCAGAGTGTAGTTTAACTAGACTCTGCAAGCAGGGTAGTTTACAAGTACGTGTGTGATTTTTCAAAAATTTTAGAGGTGGCTACTTAAAAGCATATTATTTCTTCTGATGGCTAGTGAACAACCATTTTGAAAATGGTGGCCTTTCTGGTGTGTTGTTTTATGATATTTGCGCTTCGTTTTTAAAAACGCCAGCCATTTCTGTTCGATGGGATTTGCTACGCTTTGGCGTTGCCGTTGTTCTGGTTTTTCAATTCAATTTATTCATTCAAAATTACATCATACAACATTTCATCAATAACATGAAAAAGACCCCCAGGGGCGTATGTATTCCATGTGTCATGATATTTAAAAGTAATATTTAAGTCATAGATCAAAAGCTAAATGAATCAAAATGAAAGGGAAAATGTATATTCAGTCCAGTGTGCAGCCGTGATAATACCTTGTTGTATATGGGAATCGGGTTTCTATTTCAGGAGCTGTTCCCATTACAATATAGAATACAGAGACTGCCAACAGTGTTTACTGCTCACAAATCTTTCACATTGCAGTCTTGACAACAGGCAGTTGAAAATGACTTAGAAATGTGAAAATGTGAAAGTATAACGCATCTGTGCCACACAAATAATGTGAATACAATGAAGGACAGTACAAAGAATAATGTGAATTTGAAAATGTGAAAATATGTAAATCATCTGTTCCTCACAAATATATCAAGTACAGTACAAAGTATAATGTGAATTTGAAAGTATGGAAACCAGGTTTGTCTTACAAACACAAGCACAAGAGAAATGTACATGTATCTTTGTTTTGTATACTGGGTTAACTTGAGATATTAGACTCATACATTAAAGAAAATATGAATCTTTGGGCTCTGCAAAGTAGAATATGCCATATGATTAGGCCAATACAATACATGTAATATGGATGCGGGAATAATAGTAAATGAAATACAAATCTTTATTCTTAAGGCTCGTATTCTGTGAATCTTTTAAACTTGAAATGTTAATTATAAGGTCACTATGATAAACAAAATATTGAAAAAACATGGGGTGAAATTGTTTATATATTGCTTTCAAAAAAACTTATTTTATTCATTTGAATTTGCTACTTTGTGTATGCTTCATGAAATCATGAATGAAGACAAAAGTAAGACAGATAGAAGTGAAACTTTGGCAAATTAAGCTGACTTAATTCAAGGCATACAGAAAACCAAAATGGAATAATATTCTATTATATTAGACTTCAGTTCCAACATTTCTTTTGAAGAAACTTCTGAATGAATATAATATCGTGAAATGTTGGTGAGACATTCATAACAAAAATGTAGAACTAAATGCTTGACAGAACCCATGCATTATATCTGTAATCATAAATACAGTGATCTCCCCAGCATTAAAGCAAGTGGGCACAGCACCCACCTGAAAATCCATTTACACCCACTTGAAAATGAGGAAAATCATGAAATGTTGGCATAATATGAATTTTGAAAATGAGAATTTTGCACCCACTTGAGAAAAAATCCTGTGGAGATCACTGAAATATACCTTTGAAAGATCTCTGAAGACCCTGAAGGCAGTTGAAAAGGAACACCGTAAACAGAAGTTTTTCCATTAATACAAGTCACAATAGAAGTAGATTAGAGGATCATATTCACCTGTTAGCTGTAGCCATTAATGTGAATGAATAATTGATTGCTACTTTTGTTATAAGGGAGTCTGTTTAATCTCATTAGTGAGTTACTTATTGAAACAATTAACAAATGTAAAATTCAAATAACCATGGTAATAATATAGAATTTTAAAAATTAATTCTCCCTTTTTTATGACCTTTATATCTATAAATGAATTGTAAAAAAATATTTCTTTATTTTAATCAGCTGGTATGAATCAGTTTTTCTAAAAGTGGTTCATAAAGAGAACATATGTTTTGAAGATTGGTTTGTATATAAACACATTTCATTCCAGATTCTGGTCCATCATGCTCCTGTCAATCAAAAACAAATAAGTATGGTTCATATGGTTAAATCATTTAAGTAACTTCACCCCTCAGATTAGCAACTGGTATGTGTGCCAGAAATAATATTTCCCATCTTTTATGATAATTAATAAATAGTTGATACCCATCAGCTGTATCATAGCAATTTCTCCCTTATATCATGTATATGAAAAGTCAATAAAAATATTTTGCAGAATTTTCATAATATTAGATATAAAGGGTAAAACAGAAATGCAGGTTATTTGCTTAGTGGGTGGAATCAGCTGGTTATTTAATGGAAGTAGAAATCCATAATTAGTAATGGCATTACAAGCACTAAACAGTAGTAAAAGGCATAAATAACTTATGAGACTAAAAATATATATACGCCAGCAATTTCTACACTTTCATAACTTTGATACCATCGTTTAAGCCGATGGTGGAACATTAAATTGAAATAAAATGCTCCTTTTTTGATGCAATATTAATTTTTTATATCAACTGATGGAGAGTAGGAATTATTTTTCAGGTCATATTCTGAGAATATTGCAAAAGTTCCTGATAGGAATGTAATGGTTTATAATGGTTAAAGTCTGTGAAACAGAGATGAAGGTCTTTGTTTGGTTTATTTTGATGACACTTTCAAAACGATCATATTTGTTAGAACCCAATTTGACGAACTTGATATATGAGGAGGAGAATACTGGATTATACAAGATCAGAAGCTACACAATTCATGAAACGGATCTCAGAACAACTTTATTATGTCCAAAGAGTTATTTCATATCAAAAATCAGCTTTCATTTTAGTGTTAAGAAAGGAAATAGCAGTGCCACCTATACACCAGTTCACATATTCAGCATGAAGACATTTGAGAAAAATATGAAGTTGGGTACAAATGCAACTGATGGTTTAAACAAGGAAGGAAGATGTGATACTCTTGAGCAATGCATTGGTTACCAAGCCTGTCTATTTAGGTTTAGCAATGAGTTCTGTAAAAATGACCCAGTACCTAATTATCGCAAAACACTTCAACTGTCAATTACATGTGAACAGGATCAACCTGAAGGATTTGAAACCTGGAACAGAAATGTACAAATACGGAATGATTATGAACAGGTTCCCGATGTAATAGATCATATGGTCCAAAAGCGTTATAATGTAATGTATCTTCAATACAAGACAAAACTTGAGGAAGGTCTAAGGAATTATGAAGACACCTACATCAAATCTGTTGAGACTAAAGAAGAAGAGGTATTTGATGTCAAGTGTACTGATATAGCGCAGTCCAGGTAAGAAAATAGTTGAGGTACTACATGTGTGTAATTGAGGTACTGCAGGTAAGTTGAGGTACAATGTACATGTATTAGTTGAGGTATAAGATTTGTAGAAGTTGAGGTTTAGTTTAAAAGAGTAGTATGTGTTTTTCCATTTTATATTGATGATGTCACAACAATTATTGCCAGTATAGGAGAAAAGTCATAATGTCTGTAGTGTTTGCCTGCTTTTATTATCGCAAATACTCTACTACTGTATCCATTTTCATGTCACCACTCCAACTTTTTGTGGATGGTGTTTGGCTGTCAGCATCTGTAACAAATGGCAGGTGATGATATTGTATGTTAATGCCTCATATTTATGTTTTGACAGTAAATTATTTTGTCCTCTCTTATTGGGATTTTACCATCTATTGAGAGAACATAGTGAGGGCTTTTTTCAAGTTATGAATTATATTAGGTTTCAGGTTCAATACAACAGTTAAATGAGATTTAGTTGTTTATTCAGTAAACAGCAAGATTGAATGATGTTGAACGATACTTCCGAATCAGCACATTTGTTCTTATAGTCATTATTTGTAGTCAAACGTATGTATAATATGTACATAAATTCATGCTCATGGTGTATTGTAGGTTTATGGGGAATTGTGGTGCCATTCAAAGCACTACTGAGGACCTTGCTGGGCTGTCTATGTGGACCACACTTGGAAGGTATATGTAGCATTTTGGTTGATATATTTCGCAATGGGCTATTTAATTTTGCACATGGTCCAAAAAGACTCCATGCTTTTAAAACTCTGGTTTGCCAAAAGATAGCTCTGACATCAGATGCTTTTTGCATTTTTCCAATGTTTTGGAGTAATTGGTGCCAATTTAACATGGTGAACTATGGCGTCATGAATGGCGGGGGAGGGGGTTAGACCCTGTTTCTTTACAAGTTAGATCCTACTTTGGAAAATTTGGGGTTTGCTTTCCTTATGACTAGTAGTACTTGTGAATCTTTCATTTTCTTGCTCTGTTTTCAATATTTTGGGATGGAATTTCCCCCATTGGCACTTCTACATATTCTACATGTCAGTTCTGAGCCTTCACTACATAATTCTCTCACTGTTTTGTCTATACTAGCTTTATCAAGGGATTTCCATCATAAGTTTTACTTTTCATTAACATTTTATAATTAAACTAATTACTAGATTACTAGATATTGCAACATAATTTTATTTAATCAATGTTGGTTCGTCTCCAATATCCACAATTGAGCATTGAAGCATACTGTGCTGGGCTTTCAATAGCAGGGGGCGAGTGTCCGAAATCGCCGTTTGTTTTCGATATTTCGCCGTTTGTTAGAAGTCGAATATTGTCTAAGTTTTGGGGGAAAATTTAAAGTCATCTATAGCCTATCCTTTATTTTATTCAGCGATCTTGTTTTGCACTTCCTTGTCTATGATTTGTAACTCAATTTCGAACTGCAATGGAACTCACTATATTTCGTAAAGATCACATGATCTCATTATAGTAGTTATAACAACGGAGTAATTTTTACCCGTTTGGGCTATGCATTTTAGATCACTGTCTGACCACTGTCATGTGCATGATAATTCAAATTCCAACCTTTGGTATAATCAGAGTTGTTTTTTCCACTGGACATACAGTTATATGTATGATTGATATAACTCTGTCCAAACAGCCACACTACAGTCTTTCCAATGGGTGTAAAATTGTGTTAATCAGTTAAAGGCCCCATATAAAGTTTATCCACTTTGGCTTATATTGTTGTCTTATCCTGAGGCCCGGGTATACTGCCATTAATAAAAAAATCAGTCTTATTCTTATCCATTAAGCTTTTAAAAATCAGTCTTATTCTTATACATGTAAGTAATCTCTAATAAAACCAAGCTGACTTTTAAAATATTTTTAACGTATTCCTGGGCCTCAGGTCTTATCCAATGTTATCAAAGTGTGAAATGTGAAACTTTTCATGAATTTCAAAAATGTTTTTTGAAGGACTTTTTGTTCAGAATATCGTGAATTTATTTAAAACTAACTTTTAGAGGTCACACTTATCCTTTAAAGCGAGAATTCACACCGATGCATAGCATTCATCCTCACTTGTTTTTTTGCCGACAAAATCAAGAAAATTGGTTGATAGATAAGCGAATAATGAATTTATCCATGCATGAAAGTGGTTCAGGGAAAGATGCATTTCAAAATTTTAATTCTCATAGAAACCAATGGTGAAATAATATTAAAAACATAATATATTCATCCCTTTAACCTAGTAGCAGTCAACATTGGTTCATTTTTTAAGTTTAGCATATTTAGAAATTAAAGATTGACATTAAAAAAAATTGCCACCTAAGTGATGTCACGATGTGGTCACTTAGGTTGAAAATATTTTCGATATGCTAAATCATTGAATTTGCACATTAGATATCCGTTGTTCAGTCTTTATATTTGCGTTAAAAGATATAGAGGTTCTTGAGTACCTGTGCAAGATTGTCCATTCTTGATGAGCTTTGATAAATCTTTATCTCGTCGCAGACGAGATAAAGAAACATTATCAAAGCGACTGTCGTAGGAATTATGAATGTAGTTTTGCACAGGTGTCAACGGAACCAAACAGTGAACCCCGCTTTCCCGAACCCGAGTTTCCAGGATTCGCCTCGCATGTCTTTGACTCTTTCTCAAGATTTGGGCTCTTTTGTACCCCTACCTTATCATCCTGGTGTCTCGTTAATATCACCCTTGTAATTACAATGCGAAGTTACTTAAGCATGATAAAAAGTGTATGTGTGGATGGGGGGGGGGGGTTGACCCACCACTTACCAAAAGCTGGAACATGTATACCTTTATACTTAACCGGCCAAGTATTAACAGTACAAAAGGGAGAAAAATCCATCAGGTCCATAATTATACACGTTCACGTACAAGTTTAAAAAAACGTGTATCTTAAATTTATTTAGAACTACGCCTTTGTACCAGCGACACACTTTCACAATGAAACACAATGACGAAAATTGCAACTTTAGGATCTTGAAAAAAGTTGCAATATCCTTCCTGGTTAGAATAGGTTTCGACGTTCAACTAAAAACACTATATAAAATAACTATCTATACACCATCAATGCGGGGTGTCACATTCATTGCAACACACCTTGCAACAATGTCTTATGAGGGTAATTTCTTATATTGAGAAGTTTATCATCTATTGCAATCAAATACTTGTAGCTACAAAAAGCGAATTTGTTTGAGCAGTCTTAGCTTGACATATTATAAAGAAAACAAGATTTACACCATGGTATTCTTAGTAGACTGTTCAATTTGGAATTTCGAAGCTTAGCCAAACATCAGCTTTCTAACAAAGATCATCAAAAAAAGATTTTATCAAAGTCTTCCATGCAAATGAAGGTTCACATTAACAAATTAAGATAAGATCCACAATATGTTATCAAATGGTTAAATGCACAAAATGTGTAGATATGTTTTCCTTAATAATGTGTGAGGAGGCCTTTCAGCCAATTTTCGAAAACCTAGTGAGAGCAAGTTTGGTGTAGAGGGGAGGGGGATATCTCCCGCCTCAGTCTCTCTCTTGCAAACGAGTGAAGGTAAACAGTAAAGGGGTGTATACACTGGCAGGCGAAATGGAGGCGAAACGGCCGAATTGCTTGAAATGGTTGAAATGAAAATGATTAATGAACTTAAAAGTAGGTCAGGCAAATTGATTGAAATGCTTGAAATGGCGAAACTACAATCGCAAGTAGCGAAACAGTAATTTGAAACGAAAAACGTGCGTGTTCGTTTTTCCAATCGTTTTGCCCATTTCTTCATGAATATTGGTTGTGATTGAAAAGCTTGAAACAGCGAAACAGGCACAAACGGAAAAATTTCGATTTCCTTTTTCGAAGATGTATCGAGTGAAACGTTTGAAATGCTCTAAATGACGTAGAGTAAGCATTGAAAAGTAGGAAATTATGCTTGCATTGAAACGGTTGAACTGATCTAGGATGAAGAAAATATTTATTTCTTCATCCTCAAACTGATTGAAACGATTGAAACACAATTTACAGTGTATATATGCATCTAATTCACCTATTACAATACAACAATTCTAGTTTGTTTTATTTGTTGCTTCGTTGTAATGGTATTGCTATACAACTCAGATTCAAGTATGATCCATTAAATAATATTTATTCAATTTCCTGGATTATCACTCTGTATAAAAGTCTAAGTCAGCATTAAAGACCACTGCAGGTATAGAGGAGCTGGGTCTTGAGGTCTAAGACCATGCACAATACTCTTCTGATCATGCAATATCTATAGTCGGCGCGGTAAGACCTTTAAATATGACAATGACCTTCTCCAAGTTGTTCAACCGACGCTGCGATTCACTCATATGTTTGAGTCATGGATACCATGGATACAGAGTTCTACTCTTGTATTGACCAAAGAGTCTACTTTTCAAAGTAGAGGATACAATTACAATATCAAATGATGTAAAGCAAATTTAATTCCCTCCAGTTGTTACATTTCAACTTTGACATGTGATGTACAAAGTCTCTGTAACTCTCTGCATGTAATGTTGCCCCGGGTATTGTGATATCATGTTACCATAGCAACCATAACTCTACCTGAATTACATAATTTTTGTCGAAACTTTGCAATTGTAGATACAATACATGAAGGTACATTATGTACAAATTTTGGAGACAATTGGTGCATATCTAACAGAATACCAGGACCAGTCCTGTTACTTCTGGAACACCCCGTATGTCACCATTTCTGGCAATGTCTGGAAGTGGTAAAAAACTAAAATGAATCTGATATACACATAATCACAAGTAAATCATCTATTAATACATCACTCTCATTTAATAATGAGAATTCTAGATTTTGATTTACATCAAAAGTGTTCAATTCAACAGGTGCATTTGAATTTGTAAAATGCAACCTCTGGAAGGGTAAGTTATCTTATAAAAGGTAATTGACATTCTGTATAAGTTGGCCTAGTCATTTCACAGTTCCAGGTGTTATTTTGTGGAGCCCATGTCTTGGTGTATATTTCCAGAACGCTAACTGCAGAGTGTCGCAAAGAGCAGCTTCAGATATATTGTGCCTACCTACTGTGTTTTATTTATAAGGATAAAATTGGTGTATATTTCCAGAACGCTAACTGCAGAGTGTCGCAAAGAGCAGCTTCAGATATATTGTGCCTACCTACTGTGTTTTATTTATAAGGATAAAATTGGTGTATATTTCCAGAACGCTAACTGCAGAGTGTCGCAAAGAGCAGCTTCAGATATATTGTGCCTACCTACTGAACAGACAGGGACAATGTCTACCACCTTTTTTAATTAGAGTAATTGTATAGTATTAACACATTTTGTTACATTTTTATCTGCATATACATTATTTATACATGTATTTAAATTGTATCAAAGTTAAGCTGAAGAAATTTCTTTTCTTTAATGATAAGATAGGCTAGGGATGGGGCAAATGTGCATGACTGATGGAATAATTTTTTAAGTTTAGGTTCATTTATTTCCAATTATACAGAAGTACAAAAAGTACAGGGCCCACACTGAAACATTATTGACCCTGACAAAAATCTATTACAAGATAACTGCTCAGTTTTGACCATGAAGCAAGTTATCCATTAAAGGTGCAACAATTAGTGCAGGGGTGCCATTCAATGATCATCGACCAGTGTCAAAATATATTTAAGTTTGGATATATCATCACGACTAACATATATTTTTATCTACAAAGAAACCCCCTAAATGAACATTATTTCAGCTGATATTCCTCTTGAAACATGGTGAATCTTAAAAATCTATAAGTGGGACTCCCTTTATAGAAGCTTTGAACTGAATTTACGATTCTTATTGCTGAAATTGAGCATTTATCCATACATTTTAAGAAAAAAAGTATGTATAGAAGATGTTGAGCCAAATATTGACCTGATAGCTCAGAAAAAATAAATTCGAATTTTCTCTTCAGTCCTTGTTGCCCCTTTAAAATAGTTGTACATATGAATGATGATTTGATCTGCAGCTGTGCAAAACTCATAGACTTACATAAAAACTAATGACATTTTATAAAACAAAACATGCATCAATTCCTGGCCACCTCAAAAACAATCATAACAATTGACATATTGCACTTAAAAATTGTAATTGCTTTAATTAATTATTAATTTAATTTTGATTAATTATAGTTATTTGAATATTTTGCAGGAACAACCATCCAGCTCAGATGTTAAAATCTCTAAAGATTTATTAAATGAGAGAAGTATGCCCCACAATGGAGATAGACCTGTGCTCACAAATTTCAAGAAAGGTATCTCAGTTCATTTGATTTCATAAACCTGACTATGTGCACTTATGTCCTATGGTGTTTTTTAAACAATTTTACAATTGTTTCGAAAAAAGAAAATTCTATGTGTTTCACCAGAACCTGTATTAATATATATATTTACAGGGATTTCCTTAGTGTATTGGGAACTTAATATAAAGGGACTTACTCAGGGTATTGGGACTTCTTTGGTGTGTAGAGACTTCTCAGTCAGGATGTAGTGTATTGAGACTTACTCAGTGTATAGGGACATCCAAACAGTCCATTTGGGTTTGGAACAAGGATTTACTTGATGTATTGGTATCTATTCAGTATATAGTGCAGTGCATTTGGGACTTACTCAATAAATTAAGACTTCTCATTGTATAAGGACTCACCAAGTTTATTGGGACTAACTCAATGTATAGGGACTCTCAGTGTATTGGGGCTTACTCATTGTATTAGGACTTCTTGGTGTATAGGGATGTACATATGTACTAAGTGTATGGGGACTTCTCATTTTAAAGGGACTGTAATTTCAGTATATGCAGATCCTTACATGGAGCTGATACCTGCCAGATTGGGGTTCTTCATTCTCACACACAAAGCTCAAGAATCATTGGTAAGCATCTTGTCTTGCATCCCCTATGAATCGCTTATGAATATTTCATGAATACCCGTAATCAGGAATTATTCAGGTATATTCATGTCACAAGAATATTATCGATGGGATCAGTATCTCCTGCTAAACTGGTAATTCTCTAGCTCTACTATAAATATGAACTTACTTGTTGCTCTATCTCTCGTGCATTAAAATCATATGAGCTCTAAACTATTGTTTAGAGATAATACCCAGCTGTTCTCCATTTCTAAAGTAAAGATGTATTGGCATAATCCTTTGAAGTTAAAACACTAACATCTTAATTTCAACATTTCTGTGTTATCCATCTTGACAAATTATACCGGATTTTCTCGCATATACGCCCCCCTAAATTTAGGCCCATGGGCCAAAAATCGAATGTAGTACACTTATACGCCCATGTGCTTATAAAAAATGACTATTTATTGATTTTTTCAACAAATTCAAGGGTATTTTGTCACTGGCAAATCGTTCTGTCGTTACTTTGTTTCAACATTAAGTTCAACGCTGTGCCATAAGTGGCAGTGGTGGATCGTTCTGTTGTTACTTTGTTTTAACATTAAGTCCAAGGATGTAGGTGACATTTCCATTATAATTCTTACAAAACATGCGGTAGAACTACAACAGTAGGTACGGTAAACCATTGTATTCATCAGCTCTTCTCACCTTTACGCCCACTGGGCCAAAAATCGAAAGTAGTACACTTATACGCCCATGGGCGAAAAATAAGAGGTAAAATAACAGACGAAATTACCGCTTCTTTCAGTTATACGCCCAGTAATTGATTCTTTTAGATGCAGCTTTTGGGGCAAATAGGGAGACCTCAACACTTCTATGTTATCCATGTTGACAAATTATAATTGATCCTAGATGCAGCTTTTGGGGCAAATAATGAGACCTCAACACTTCTATTTTATCCATGTTGACAAATTTTAATTGATATCTAGATGCAGCTATTGGGGGAAATAATGAGACCTCAACACTTCTATGTTACCTATGTTGACCAATTATAATTGATTCTAGATGCAGCTATTGGGGCAAATAATGAGACCTCAACACTTCTATGTTATCCATGTTGACAAATTATAATTGATTCTAGATGCAGCTTTTGGGGCAAATAATGAGACCTCAACACTTCTATGTTATCCATGTTGACAAATTATAATTGATTCTAGATGCAGCTTTTGGGGCAAATAATGAGACCTCAACACTTCTATGTTATCCATGTTGACAAATTATAATTGATTCTAGATGCAGCTATTGGGGAAATAATGAGACCTCAACACTTCTATGTTATCCATGTTGACAAATTATAATTGATTCTAGATGCAGCTTTTGGGGCAAATAATGAGACCTCAACACTTCTATGTTATCCATGTTGACAAATTATAATTGATTCTAGATGCAGCTTTTGGGGCAAATAATGAGACCTCAACACTTCTATGTTATCCATGTTGACAAATTATAATTGATTCTAGATGCAGCTTTTGGGGCAAATAATGAGACATTAACACTTCTATGTTATCCATGTTGACAAATTATAATTGATCCTAGATGCAGCCTTTGGGGCAAATAATGAGACCTCAACACTTCTATTTTATCCATGTCGACAAATTATAATTGATTCTAGATGCAGCTATTGGGGCAAATAATGAGACCTCAACACTTCTATGTTATCCATGTTGACAAATTATAATTGATTCCTAGATGCAGCTATTGGGGCAAATAATGAGACCTCAACACTTCTATTTTATCCATGTTGACAAATTATAATTGATCCTAGATGCAGCCTTTGGGGCAAATAATGAGACCTCAACACTTCTATTTTATCCATGTTGACAAATTATAATTGATTCTAGATGCAGCCTTTGGGGCAAATAATGAGACCTCAACACTTCTATTTTATCCATGTTGACAAATTATAATTGATTCTAGATGCAGCTATTGGGGAAATAATGAGACCTCAACACTTCTATGTTATCCATGTTGACAAATTATAATTGATTCTAGATGCAGCTTTTGGGGCAAATAATGAGACCTCAACACTTCTATGTTATCCATGTTGACAAATTATAATTGATTCTAGATGCAGCTTTTGGGGCAAATAATGAGACCTCAACACTTCTATGTTATCCATGTTGACAAATTATAATTGATTCTAGATGCAGCTTTTGGGGCAAATAATGAGACCTCAACACTTCTATGTTATCCATGTTGACAAATTACAATTGATTCTAGATGCAGCTATTGGGGGAATTAATGAGACCTCAACACTTCTATGTTACCTATGTTGACCACTTATAATTGATTCTAGATGCAGCTATTGGGGCAAATAATGAGACCTCAACACTTCTATGTTACCTATGTTGACCACTTATAATTGATTCTAGATGCAGCTATTGGGGCAAATAATGAGACCTCAACACTTCTTTGTTACCTATGTTGACCAATTATAATTGATTCTAGATGCAGCTATTGGGGCAAATAATGAGACCTCAACACTTCTATGTTATCCATGTTGACAAATTATAATTGATTCTAGATGCAGCTTTTGGGGCAAATAATGAGACATTAACACTTCTATGTTATCCATGTTGAGAAATTATAATTGATTCTAGATGCAGCTATTGGGGAAAATAATGAGACCTCAACACTTCTATGTTATCCATGTTGACAAATTATAATTGATCCTAGATGCAGCCTTTGGGGCAAATAATGAGACCTCAACACTTCTATTTTATCCATGTTGACAAATTATAATTGATTCTAGATGCAGCTATTGGGGGAAATAATGAGACCTCAACACTTCTATGTTACCTATGTTGACCAATTATAATTGATTCTAGATGCAGCTATTGGGGCAACTAATGAGACCTCAGCACTTCTATGTTACCTATGTTGACCAATTATAATTGATTCTAGATGCAGCTATTGGGGCAAATAATGAGACCTCAACACTTCTATGTTATCCATGTTGACAAATTATAATTGATTCTGGATGCAGCTTTTGGGGCAAATAATGAGATCGAGACCTCAACATTTCTATGTTATCCATGTTGACAAATTATAATTGATTCTAGATGCAGCTATTGGGGCAAATAATGAGACCTCAACATTTCTATGTTATCCATGTTGACAAATTATAATTGATTCTGGATGCAGCTTTTGGGGCAAATAATGAGATCGAGACCTCAACATTTCTATGTTATCCATGTTGACAAATTATAATTGATTCTAGATGCAGCTTTTGGGGCAAATAATGAGACCTCAACATTTCTATGTTATCCATGTTGACCAAACCCAAGATGCACTAAGAGAGGTAAATATAGAAAACTGGAACTGTTTTGAATTATCATTCGATTGTTTTTTTTAAATGATGAAAATCATTGACCAAGTAGTAGCAGTAGAAAAACACTAAACCAACCTGTTATCGATGCACAAAGTTGCTCTATGTAAGTCTAGTTGGTGAATCAAACACTTCGATTTTTTTTAGAGAAAACTCAATCTTGATATATTTGATGATTCCTCGACCTTACCTTATTCTTAATATTAGTAAAGTTATGCCTTAACATGTACGGGCATGAACATCACAAATGATGTCACATGTTAATCCTGTTATATGTACTTTGTATAATTATAGAATAAGTTTGTATCTGTATTATTTCAGTCTATTGCATTGAGTATCAAGGACAAGTATCCTGATTGGAATAATATCAGAATAATTCCTAAATACAGGTAGGGCACTCTGAAAATTGCTTGTATGTTACATATATGTAAATCTAATAGAATAAGTGGATATTCCTACCAGTGTGATTTTAGTCTTTGACGAACTAACAAAATTATAACTAATGACTGGCAAACAATGTGGGATCATACTTCAAATTGTATATTCTAGGTCATTCGCTGCCACATGGGGCTCATATGAGATCATGCGTGCTCAGCTGGAATGTATTGAAGAGTTACTACGAATGGGCATATGGGATTTTGCAGTGAACCTCAGTGGACTAGATTTGGCCATAAGAAGTGTGGATGACCTTAGTTTCACTTTGGCTCCATTTAGAGGTAATTGCCAATTAACAAAATATATTTTTACTGTTATTACACTGATTTCAGAAAGATTCTTTGGTCAATGATTTCACTAAAAGTAAATTGAAACACCGAAATTTGGGATTTGGACTGCACAACAGGGTTTCATTCATGATTTTAGTCCTGGTGTTTGGTCCTTTCTGGCTACTGCCAATTAGGACCAAAATAAGCTATGAATCTGCCACTATAGGAAAAATAAGGACTTTGTGTATCAGTGAAAAACCTGAAGAACAATTAGACTTCCAACCATTCAACAATGTTGTAATCAGTGTTACCTTGTTTATGTTGCAGGAAGAACATTCATGAGACTGAACAGACCAATTGACTACACCAAAGATAGGCCTGTTGTTAATGTTTGGTGAGTGACATATTCTGCCTCAAATATGAATGGTATGTAGCATAATCACATAAATATGAATGGTATGTAGCATAATCACACAAATATGAATGGTATGTAGCATAATCACACAAATATGAATGGTATGTTGCATAATCACACAAATATGAATGGTATGTAGCATAATCACACAAATATGAATGGTATGTTGCATAATCACACAAATATGAATGGTATGTTGCATAATCACATAAATATGAATGGTATGTTGCATAATCATACAAATATGAATGGTATGTTGCATAATCACACAAATATGAATGGTATGTTGCATAATCACATAAATATGAATGGTATGTTGCATAATCACACAAATATGAATGGTATGTTGCATAATCACACAAATATGAATGGTATGTTGCATAATCACATAAATATGAATGGTATGTTGCATAATCACACAAATATGAATGGTATGTTGCATAATCACATAAATATGAATGGTATGTTGCATAATCACACAAATATGAATGGTATGTTGCATAATCACACAAATATGAATGGTATGTTGCATAATCACATAAATATGAATGGTATGTTGCATAATCATACAAATATGAATGGTATGTTGCATAATCACACAAATATGAATGGTATGTTGCATAATCACATAAATATGAATGGTATGTTGCATAATCACACAAATATGAATGGTATGTTGCATAATCACATAAATATGAATGGTATGTTGCATAATCATACAAACATTAATGGTATGTAGCATAATCACACAAATATGAATGGTATGTTGCATAATCACACAAATATGAATGGTATGTTGCATAATCACACAAATATGAATGGTATGTTGCATAATCACACAAATATGAATGGTATGTAGCATAATCACACAAATATGAATGGTATGTTGCATAATCACACAAATATGAATGGTATGTAGCATAATCACACAAATATGAATGGTATGTAGCATAATCACACAGATATGAATGGTGTGTAGCATAATCACACAAATATGAATGGTATGTAGCATAATCACACAAATATGAATGGTATGTTGCATAATCACACAAATATGAATGGTATGTTGCATAATCACACAAATATGAATGGTATGTAGCATAATCACACAAATATGAATGGTATCTAGCATAATCACACAGATATGAATGGTATCTAGCATAATCACACAAATATGAATGGTATGTTGCATAATCACACAAATATGAATGGTATGTAGCATAATCACACAGATATGAATGGTGTGTAGCATAATCACACAAATATGAATGGTATGTAGCATAATCACACAAATATGAATGGTATGTTGCATAATCACACAAATATGAATGGTATGTAGCATAATCACACAAATATGAATGGTATGTTGCATAATCACACAAATATGAATGGTATGTAGCATAATCACACAGATATGAATGGTGTGTAGCATAATCACACAAATATGAATGGTATGTAGCATAATCACACAAATATGAATGGTATGTAGCATAATCACACAAATATGAATGGTATGTTGCATAATCACACAAATATGAATGGTATGTAGCATAATCACACAAATATGAATGGTATGTTGCATAATCACACAAATATGAATGGTATGTAGCATAATCACACAGATATGAATGGTGTGTAGCATAATCACACAAATATGAATGGTATGTAGCATAATCACACAAATATGAATGGTATCTAGCATAATCACACAGATATGAATGGTATCTAGCATAATCACACAAATATGAATGGTATGTTGCATAATCACACAAATATGAATGGTATGTAGCATAATCACACAGATATGAATGGTGTGTAGCATAATCACACAAATATGAATGGTATGTAGCATAATCACACAAATATGAATGGTATGTTGCATAATCACACAAATATGAATGGTATGTAGCATAATCACACAAATATGAATGGTATGTTGCATAATCACACAAATATGAATGGTATGTAGCATAATCACACAAATATGAATGGTATGTTGCATAATCACACAAATATGAATGGTATGTAGCATAATCACACAGATATGAATGGTGTGTAGCATAATCACACAAATATGAATGGTATGTAGCATAATCACGCAAATATGATTGGTATGTTGCATAATCACACAGATATGAATCGAATCTAGCATAATCACACAAATATGAATGATATCTAGCATAATCACACAAATGTGAATGGTATCTAGCATAATCACATGTAGCATACATGAAGTGATTCATTAATCATCCCAACACATATGTAGGCTAATAATTTATCCTTATGAAATACCTCTTTATCATCAGAGAAGAGTAAGAAGTGTGTATTTAGGAAGATTTTTATGTTCAGATTCAATAATACCACACACCTTTGTAAATACTAGAAGGCATAATATGGATTTACAAATTCTAATATTTCTAGGCATAAGTGTGATGGTCATGTGTATAACATTACTTGGAGGGAGCCAAGGCAGGAAAAAATATATAGTGCCTCTAACTGGGGAATATATGCAAGGTACTAAATTGAATAAATTATGAGATGTAATTTGAAAACTTGTGTCTGCTTTGCATACATATTGCAATTAAGACTGATTTGACAACATTAGACATTTAATTTTAGGGAATTCACAGATTATTTGGTCTCTCAGCAAAAGGAAGAAAAGATGACAAAGTTCCATTTCTTCCTGCAGACTTCATTCATTCCAGATGAAACATTCATTCCATCAATACTACAGCAATCAAAGTTTAAGTAAGTATATTCTCATGAAAGGCTAGTATCTGATGTTTAAAAAGAATATGTGATTATTATTACAATGTAGGCAATGAGGCAAGTGCAAGGGCCTTGAAAAAGTCATCTTTTGTGGAATATCATTGTCTTCTGAAAATACATTATACCTCAAAGGAAAATCCAGCAAAATATTTGATTTGTAGACTGATTGATGTTGATATGCCACGTTTGTATTTTCACTTTGAATGCATTTTTATCCAGCTCAACATATGCTCACGGAACAATGCATCACATGAATCACTTTGGTGGCAACAACATCAACAATCTGTGCAGGCATTCAGATGATGTGGATTACTGCGGAAAGGTACACTTCATAACATCAAAGCAAACATACATTTACAGTTAAACCTATGTATCCAAACAGTTTCTAAACACCTCTCAACATGGACACTTTTTTAATCTGCCATACACTTCCATGTTAAAAAACTCAAAATGTGATAATGGATTAGTCAGCTTGTACTGTACATGATATCAGAGGTATTAAGGGGTACTAACTAGACCTCATGATTCTATGTGTATGCTGAATGGTATCATATCTGGAGCAAAAAGCTGATATAATTAATTGTAAATGTAATGTTTTCTAGGGCCCAGAGACATTCAAACCAGAACACATTCCTGACATACAAGCGCATTCACATTGGTATTTCTTTGCTCGGAAATTCAGTGGTGATTCAAATGATGCAACACGTCTTAGTGTGATCAGCGATTTGAACAGAGACACCTATACCAAAGCAATGTTGGATATATTGACAGATGATTTGATACAGTAAGTGGAGATGATTTTGCAACATCTATATCACAGTTCTATATCACAACTATAGCAAGGTATACATTGGATTATGATTTGGGATATTTGGGTTTTGTTTTCCTACTGACTGGTGTATTATATGTTCTGTAACAATCTTTGGTCTTTTTACTTTGACACTCTTGCATGTGTATACATATATTTCCCCATTGTCAAAAAGTTCCCCCCTTGGAAAAAACCTGGCAATCCCCCCCCCCCTTGGTAAAACCGCTCCCCCCAGGTAAATCCTGGCTACAGGCCTGTTTATTACATTAACTACAGTTTAATTTTGAATAATAATATCTTGTCAAAATCACTTTATTTGTATTGCTTTATTATGGAATTGTGTATGTTCTATATTATCTCTTTATGCTATTATATAGCATAAAGAGAAATAATAATTTGCATCCCTGAATTTATAGAAAACATGTGAGTTTATAATAAATAGAACACCCTAGATTATAGTCATTTAATACATGATATATTAATATTCCATAGGATAAATATTATTTATCTGCCCTTGACACTTTTTATTGGTCACATTTGTATTTGCACATTGAATTTGAATTTGGCTGAATACAAGACATCTGATTGTAGAGGGCCTGGGCTGAAAGCATTTTTACCCCCCCCCCCACCCCTCTTAAGAAAGTTGAAAATTGTACATTGAAATTCCAAGGTATTGCAATAGACAGAGTGACAGACCTCAGGCAGATTATATTTGCATTTGGATCCTGAACCTCATATAGATTATGATTATTACTACAGAATCATCCCTATAACTTTTATTGTATTTATATTATATTCACGCCCGGTGATCGTGAAAATGGGACGGAGGGGGGAGCAAGCAATTTCTGGTAGAAAAATGAACAAATCTGCAAAAATTATTTTTTCAAGAAAAGGTTTATGATTTAAGACCTCAGGCAGTTTATGATTTAATTGCTAAATGAATAGGCGCACGGTATGGTAAAATATGTCACGTATTCTACGAATTTTTTTTAGCCGATTCTCTTCTTAGGTATAAGATCTATTAAAAAAGGCGCAACGCAACCAACGTGCAAAAGTCAATGTTTTTGCTTTAAATCAAGCATCAACGGTCTACACAACCTGCAATAAATATTTGTAAGTGACATTATCATCATAAAATTAATGACCTTAATGACTTTACAAAATATGTTTCCATACGTTGTATAAAAAATAATCGAAAATAATTAAAATGGGACGGAGGGGGGGGGGTAAAATGTCTATACGACATGATGAGAGATGTTACTTCACTTTATATCCAAATTTTCCCATTTTCTCCTCAATTACAATGGGTTAGGAATTGATTACAAGTTTTATTTTTATTTCATTTTCAAAAAATGACTTGTTACGCTTCTTTGGCGTAATAGGGGTTGCACCCATGGCATGAATGTGGCACATTCACTGGGAACCTTCCTAGCTGACTATTAAGTGTAAATTCTCTAGTCAGATCGGCTGATGGAACATGTTTTTTTTTGGCATTGCCAGTTGGCCGAGCAGTCTACAGCGCCAGGATCTCAGCTAGACAAAGACGTCATAACCATCAGGTCGTGAGTTGGAGACGCGTGAGCTTCTTGTATTTATTCAATTCTGCATAATTAAAATATATCGCATAATTAATATCAAGTAGATTGTTACTTCGCTGTGAATAACTTACATTTTCGCTAAAACTTACATGTCCAAAGTGTGATGTGCTGTGTATGATATGCCTACAAATCAGCAAGTAAAAACGTTAAGACAGGTACTGTATAAGTGGTAATTTTGCCTTATCATTTAATTTGCCTATTTCCTATTTTTTGCCAGGTTCGGAAAATTAAATGTCGGAAATATTGTTTTTATAATGTTATCCATTGGAGGTTTCTTGTCATTAGGAAAATTAAAATTAGGAAAATGATGAAATTTGACCATTCGGAAAATTAACCACTCGGATTAAATACCACTTATACAGTAAACATTTATAGATAAACAGTCTCCTGGAATATTTTGCCAACCTTAATTTGACCCCTCTAACTAAACCTAACAAGGAAAACATGTTATCAATTCCTGACCCTTTGTAATTGAGGAGATAATGGGAAAATCGGGATATAAAGTATCAAGTAACATCTCATATTATATTATCACATCTATATATTTTATGATGATAATGTCACTTACAAATATTTATTGCAGGTTGTGTAGACCGTTGATGCTTGATTTAAAGCAAATACATTGACTTTTGCACGTTGGTGGCGTTGCGCCTTTTTTAATAGATCTTATACCTAAGAAGAGAATCGGCTAAAAAAATATTTTACCATACCGTGCGCCTATTCGTTTAGCAATTAAATCATAAACCTTTTCTTGAAAAAATAATTTTTGCAGATTTGTTCATTTTTCTACCAGAAATTGCTTGCTCCCCCCCTCCGTCCCATTTTCACGATCACCGGGCGTGATATTAGGTTTGATTATTTCCAGATACATGACAAACGCGATGATAGCAAAGCTCCATTTAGAACATAAAGATTTCTCCCTTGTTAAGGTCAACTCTGTTAGAGTACTTCCTCGACCAATAGGTGGCAATCCATGCTGTGAGGTTCCTCACCAGAGGGGGCTGCAGTCTGTACATGAATATGCGTACTGGCTCGAGGCAGAAGTGGTAATGTTTCCACCATGTAGTTTTTTTCACTAGTGCAGTATTGCGATCTTTATATGAGAGTTTACTTGTAAAGATCTAATAATACTACATAAGATAGTGTACAAAGATATCTGTATGGAATCCACATACAGGGTGGGCAAAAAAAATGTTATCCTTATTAGATTCAATTGGTAACATTTTTTGGCCCACACTGTATAAAACTGTTATCTAGGTATTAACTGTTATCTGTTATCTAGTCTAGTTTAACTGTTATCTATTTCACATTCTACTCTGCCTACCTAAATTCCAGCTTGTATACATTTTTGTTGTGATTCAGGCTGTTGGGGATGATCTGAGGACTGCAAGGGGTCTGTTAGAGCCTTATATGGCTCATAGATGTTACCCTTTGGGTCACATTAGAGCAATACACCTCACAACTAGACAAAATAAGCTGTCAAAAGGGTATGTCATAACCTCCCTTTCCCTAACCTCATTTGCATGCTTTGTGCATTTTCTAGTCTTGATTTATGAAGGTGTATAACCATTATTTCTTTCCTTCTTACATAAATGAACATTGTATTTGTAATTATGTACATGTACATGTAATTCAATAAACACAGAAACAGATAACAAAAAAATTCACAAAATTACCTTATGATATTTGTTTTATTTTCCAGGAAACCATCTCCAGACAAGAGAGAATACCCCATTCCCTATGATCCTGCTGGTGGAGATATTATTTGGCTTACCTTGTACCTCAATGTTGCTGAGACATCACAAGTGTGCCATGGTGGGTAAACTTTTCAGAATTTTTTTAAAAATCTCCCGATAAGATAAAAACTGGACAATGTGTGATGATGATATGATTTCGCATTATAACAAAACCTTTTACGAAAGTAACTTTAATTATGATGACATGAACATCAATATATCTAAATATGATAAACACTAAAATTAACAGGAAAATTACAATATACGTGGATTTACAATGAGTTTCAATGATCGTACATCATAAATTGATAGCGTTGGAATATAAGACAAGTCTCTCTTTTCCAGATCATTTCAAAAGAACCTTTGAAACATTCCCAAGCTCCAAATACTCATATTTTCCAAAGTCAGAGTCAGATTCAGTCGTTCCAAGTATTCTTAATTTCACTGTTTCCATGGTTTCCCCTCAAGGGAGGGTTCAGTGCACTGTGGATATCAAACTAGAAATTAGTGAAAAGACTGTCCCCAAAGATGTAAGTACACAATCAAATGCAATATTTGTCGTCCATTTTTAGACATTCACTGAGCAAGGCATTGAGTACGGATATAAATCTAATGGACATGATTTTGAGGTTAGGATTTTTTCCAAATCAGAACTATTTTTAATTTTTATTATTTCTACGGGAAAACTATGGGTATTTATGTTATACATGTACATGCAAAACATGTAATTTCAGAGTGACTCTACAGTGTTTCATCACCCTGTATCATGTGGATCAGTCCTTACGCAAGGTGTATGGACCTTGCGACTGAAACAGGTGAAATTCCTATTCAATATTTACATGTATAAAGAAATAATACTTCGATGTATGAAATTACAAAATGTATAAATAGATAACTTGTGGGGACCTTTTCCTTTTTAGGTTTTTTGTTACAAAAACTTTAAGTTGAGAGAAAGTTCAATAGTGTTCATTCACTACAAGCCATATTCCCATATCACTCATGAAAAATTTGTAAAAGTATATCTATATTTTAAAATGTTAGTGGGGATTATGGATTAAACTTACTAACTAGGTTTTACAAGACTGCTAGCTGTAATCAGTTGTCATGGATATTGCTATGTCACTTTATGTAAGAATTTATAGTTTCTCATTGTAAAGCATTACTTTTATTTTTGCAGAAAGATGTACCAAGTGGCTTAGTTTATGAGCAGAATATAATTCTGATTCATCGAACTTCTCTTCCACATCTTGAGCATGGTAAGTAATATAGTATGTAGTTGCACAGTAAAGACTGTCTACAGTGAAGTGCTCACAATTTGAGCTGTATTATTATTAGGTTTTCACATATGCAGATTTTACTGGAGATCAAAAGTGTGGCCTTTGAAAATAAGTATTTTCATAATTGATAAAGAATATCCAAAAAGAGGAGGAATTTCTTATTTATTTATTTGAGCTAGAATGAAAAAGTAGCTTTTCTTTGTCCTAGATTTTAGAGGCGATTGATGAGACTACTGTCAATCTTTTCTGCTTATAGGTTTGTTGGCGAAGATGTTGCGTGTGAGGTCTGTAACTTTGGCTGATGAGATGCGAGAAAATTATTACTATGAACACATAGGAATGACAAGTCATAATGTAAGTTATAATTAAGTTACATAGTTTTACTCTTAGATTATATTTTGAATGTCAAACTGTTTTGAATACTAAGGAATGAGTCATGGTTGATGTGATGCTAGCTCAATTTGGATTGTGAATTAGAGCTTTTAAATAAAAAATGCATGTATATTTTAATGTCATCACCAAGACCTTCTCAAGGTCAAAAAGATCTTTTTTCAAATTGCTTCAAATCGCAATTTTTTTTTCTAAATCATCTACAAGTTCTCAGAAATTCAGATCTGATTTAAGATTGAACTAATAATATTGTGATTTACTTGGTAGTGACATTTTGTTGTGTTAATGCCTTGTTTAATTTTATGATAAACTTCAATGTACATATGCTAATGTAAAACCTAGATCTGTGATGTGTATTTTCTTCCAGGAAACATTTAGTTTGGAACCAACAGAAGTTCCTTTTATAAAATACCCTGAGCAGATTCCAACATTTCCTCAGCCAATATTCAGGTAATTCACAATTTTATAAGAACCCAACAAAGCAATATATAAAGTTATATAGTAATGCAAATATTGACTACATATTTAACAAGTACCCAAATCATATCTCGATTGACCATTTAACTCTATTTATGAACCCCCAATCAAAACTATTTTTCCAGTGCAAGTAATGGTGGTGCCGTGTCTAGAAAAGACTTCTACCTAATCGCTGGATTAGTTGCTGGAGTGTTATGTATCAGCTTATTCTTATGGTAAGTTATTTGAAACTCAGCTGGATTACAACCAATGCCAATCAGTTTTCACTTGGAAAACATGAATTGCCTATTAGGCAATGGACTGAATGCCAATATGTTAAATTGGGCAATCATGTTTTCAACCTAGTATATAAAGAATATCTCTCAATACATTTTAGTATCTCAAATCATTTCATATTTGTATCTGAATGAACTATAGTGAATCTAATGAACCATCAGGACACTGACCTACTTTCATAGATATAGATCATTGAATTTAGGCCAAAATGCCCTAATACGTCACTTCCGCTGAATAGAAAAAAGTAGTTTTAAAAAATGAATGTAGTCCCAACACAATTGTGATCATGACGAGTCAGTAAGCTAGTATGTAGGTACAGTTGTCATCTTTTTGCAATGATAACATGCCATTTCTTCTGAATTTGGGTTATCTGAAGGAAAATTTTGAGTCAAGTGGCTATTAATTTGGCTTCATTTTTGTGAATTCCACTTTCTGTCGGCAGAGAGAGGGGGTAGTGTCACAATTGACCAATTATTTCAAAAAGTAGATGTTTGGCCCCTATTGAGTTTAGTGTCAAAATTTAGCTTAGACATTGCTTTTGAACCTCAGATATGCCAGTAGGGCCACATAAATCCATAACTCGAGATAAAAAGTCAGGCGTTTGGCCTTGGTGATGTGAATTAGGACTGTTTTGCCTTAACTTAAATGTATATTTTTCAGGTGCAGTAAATACAGGGGCAGAAAGGCTGTTTTTCAACCAGTTTTGCCAAAATGCATTTCCAACAGGTCTAGGTCAGGCATCAACTTCCATGTGATTATTATAGGACTTCTAATCATAGGCTTACTACAATTTTCCACTCCATTCTTGTATTTGAACTATCCTTTCCCTAAAAGTGAACCACCGAGAAAAACTGGAGCAATACCTAAAGATATTAGGAATGGAAATGTTTTTCAAAAAGGAGCACCATTACAAAAGGGACAAGAAAATTTGCCAAACAAGGACTCTAGTGTCAAACAAGCGTTTAACCATAAATGATGATGAATATATAAATACAAATACATATACAATAAAACATTCCAATTGCATCTATTGACCAGTTACACATCTATTCAGTTCCCAAAAGGACTAAAAGATTTTTTTCAAAATCTGTTACAAGGAGGTCACTATGACCTGTATATATTTACCAAAAATCATTTTCTAAATGCTTACAAATTAACATTTAAGTATTGTTACAAAACTTAAATTCTGTTTCTGAGAACAATTCAAGATGAAGATCATCCACATCAATCAAACTAAGATGAACCTTTACTCTTCCACACTGTTCAAGATTTTGATTGACAGCTCTATTTTTGTACCTTCCATATTTGGAACATGAAATTGATGGCCTGTGTTAAAACTCCAAGGTCAAGCTGATCTGGTCATTCTCTAAGGCAATTTGGAAACTGATTTTTCATGGAAATTGATCAATTCTATCTTTATATTTCTCACTCAAAACATATTTATAGAAAAATTGACCTTCCAAACCATTCTTGTTTTTCTTATATCAGTTTAAGTAATAGCGAGATCAATAGTGCAAGAAAACAGGCAAATAGTTCATTCAGGGAACGAAGCATGAACCTTTCCACATATCATCAGAATACCATTCCCTTTGATTTAAGAGCAAGAGCCATTTTTGTGGTCCACTAGAATGGTAAAAAAATAGTAAGTACCCCCTCCCACCAAATTCCATGGGGGTGGGGAGATATAGGAATATTTTTTTCATTGAAAAATTTCTTTGAATATGGTCATACTACAGTTTTAGTGTGCTATTTTCATGGTAAAGAAATTTTGCAAACATAACAAGATGATTTATCATCGATTTTCATCATTGTTAAAGACTAATCATGGGCGACGCCCACTTTTCATACCTTGAACATTTAGGTTATTAAATCTCTATCATGGGTTGAACAAATGATGTAATTCAGTTTTCTGGATAACACCAGATACCTTTTTTGATGTTAGGTGCTATAATCAATCGTAGCATTTGACTTTTTAAAGGCTTACGCCATTTCACAACCCTGTTTAGAAGAAGAAAGCAAGCAACAAATGTCCCAGATCTACAACATGTATCCACTGTTCTATGTACATGTATGTCTAGTCTCTATTTTCTCCTGAAGAGAACCTATGCTACAGATACAACTTTCCAGAATTTAGATGATGATGTGCTTAAACAGTTTGATGAATGGTGTGCTGACCCAGTGCCTATAAACAGTTTGATGAATGGTGTGCTGACCAACAGAATGGACCAGTACCAGTGAACATTTAGGCTATTAAACCTCTTTCATGGTTTGAACTGGAACCAGAAGGGCCGCCACAGTCACAGCCTGCAGTCTCTAAATTCTCAAGAGAGCCTATACTACATACACAGCTGTCCAGAATCTAGATAATGAAGTGATAAACAGTTTGATGAATGGTGTGCTGACCAACAGAATGTACCAGTCTTTAAGTTTTGGTTTCAGATTATTTGAATCGAAATACTGTGCCTTTACTAAGTGTGGGCTATCAGAGAGGTAAATTTCCCTCTTTATCTCCAGTCAATTAGCAATCTTATCACCTGGTTTTTTGTTTTTTGACCTTGTCAATATGTTTGCTGAGTACCAGTTCAGTATATCATCAGAACTCAAAGTTCAAAAATGGATAGCTTTTGGAAAAAAATTATAGATATCTCACTTCCCATGAAATTGCAGCTGCCCTTTGACATGGTAGGACTATGTGTCTCCCCTTATTTCATGCCCCAACAGGTTCAGACACTATATCTGGATTCCAATCATTGAACATTTTGTTGTGATTTTATACAATAGAGAAAACAATGAAATAACTGTAAATGCTGCAAGACAAGAAATGTTCACAAAGAAAACAACTCAAATTGAGAACATCCCACCATAAGTTGCATAAGTCAGTAAGTTGGTTCCAGACCATTATACCTATGTCAGTCCTCGCTTCACCCTCACAATTGAGTTGGGAATCCATTACCACAAAGGCAGGAAAAATGATTTGGGTGCCAGTGTGGAAAACATTGCCCCAAGCTTCAGATGCATGCCAAATGCTAATAAAATGCAGCTGCAAACAACAGTGCTCAACAAAAAGATGCAAGTGCTTTTTGTCATTCTAGTGAACCACAAAAATGGCTCTGGCTCTTAAATCAAAGGGAATGTTGTCCTGATGATATCTGAAAAATTGCAAATGACCCCTCCCATCAAATCCTGGGGGAGGGGGAGGGAAGTATTTTTTGTTGATTTTTTTTTAATATGATCTATATTCATTTTTAGTATGTTATTTTCAGTGTATAAAAACAATTTTCAAAATTGCATCCGTATTTCTCATAGATATTCATTATTAAAGCCTGACCAAGGGTGACGCCCACTTTATCAACATGTTAATATACAAGTTAATGAGTCTTCTATTATGAATAGGAAAATTACCTAATAAGGCTGAATAAAATTGATAAGATTAAGTCAGTTATTTATGTTAAGATGATAAATACTTTAAGTGAGTCAATTGAAAGGCCACGTCCCTTTTAGATATAAAGATATAATAATATATAATTCACAATTAATGACACATTATTTTGGCTTTTAATGAGAGCACTTTACTAGCGTTTGGCATGCATCTGAAGCTTGGGGCAATGTTTTCTATACTGGCACCCAAATCATTTTCCCAGCCTTTGCTGGTGTAGTGTCTGAACCTGTGGGAGCATGAAACAAGGGGAGACACATAGTCCTTCCATGTCAAAGGGCAGCTGCAATTTCATGGGAAGTGAGATATCTCTAATTTTTTACTTTTCCAAAAGCTATCCATTTTTGAACTTTGAGTTCTGATGATATACTGAACTGGTACTCAGCAAGCATATTGACAAGGTCAAAAAAAGAAAAACCAGGTGACAAGCTTGCTAATTGACTGGAGATAAAGAGGAAAATTTCCCTCTGTAATAGCCTACACTTAGTTAAGGCACAGTATTTCGATTCAAATAATCTGAAACCAAAACTTAAAGACTGGTACATTCTGTTGGTCAGCACACCATTCATCAAACTGTTTATCACTTCATTATCTAGATTCTGGACAGCTGTGTATGTAGTATAGGCTCTCTTGAGAATTTAGAGACTGCAGGCTGTGACTGTGGCAGCCCTTCTGGTTCTGGTTCAAGCCATGAAAGAGGTTTAATAGCCTAAATGTTCGGCATATGAAAAGTGGGCGTCACCCATGACTAGTCTTTAACAACTATGAAAATAAAAGAAAAACCATCTGGCAATCAAGAGGCAAATTCTCCTGTCCTATAGCCCTCACATAGTCAAGGCACAGTATTTCAATTTGAATAATCAGAAACCAAAGCTTGAAGACTGGTACATTCTGTCGGTCAGCACGACATTCATCAAACTGTTTAGGCACTTGGTCAGCACACCATTCATCAAACTGTTTAAGCACATCATCATCTAAATTCTGGACAGTTGTGTCTGTAGCATAGGTTCTCTTCAGAAGAAGAAAATAGAGACTAGACATACATGTACATAGAACAGTGGATACATGTTGTAGATCTGGGACATTTGTTGCTTGCTTTCTTCTTCAAAACAGGGTTGTAAAATGGTGTAAGCCTTTTAAAAGTCAAATGCTAAGATTAATTATAGCACCTTACATCAGAAAGGTATCTGGTGTTATCCAGAAAACTTAATTACATTCATTTGTTCAACCCATGATAGAGATTTAATAACCTAAATGTTCAAGGTATGAAAAGTGGGCGTCGTCCATGATTAGTCTTTAACAATGATGAAAATTGATGATAAATCATCTTGTTATGTTTGCAAAATTTCTTTACCATGAAAATAGCACTCTAAAACTGTAGTATGACCATATTCAAAGAAATTTTTTATGAAAAAAATATTTCGATATCTCCCCACCCCCATGGGATTTGGTGGGATGGGGTACTTACTATTTTTTGATCATTCTAGTGGACCACAAAAATGGCTCTGGCTCTTAAATCAAAGGGAATGGTATTCTAATGATATGTGGAAAGTTTCACGCTTCGTTCCATGAATGAACTATTTTTGCACTATTGATCTCACTATAAGAGGTTTTAATCATGATTATTTTTGTCTGAAACTGGGATTTTGCAGTGTTTTGTAGGACTGTTTTGTCAAAGAATTTCAATAGAAATTCACAGCTTCACAAGTTCAGGGTTTCATTTGAATTTATTATGTGATGGAAAAATCTATTTTACTAGATGAGGATGACATTGATTCAATGTTTATGTCATAAAATGAGGAACTTTTTATTTATTCTTTTCATATATTTCATGACTCCGAATGACACAATATCACCAGTCCAAATATATTTTATTATTCGTTTAGGTAGATATCTCACTTAAACATATGTTTCAAGACATATCACATAAACCCCTCTATTGTTGAACATTTATTATTCACCAAATCCAAATGCTATATGCGGATGCCTCAGGGACATAGGATTCTGCTCAAGAAGGAATACATATCTCAAAATCTGTTCATTGCGTACCTTACTTCCAAAGGTAATTGAATGCTAGGAGATTGAAAGGAATATTCGCGAGGACTCAATTCAAAATGGCCACCATTTTTCATGAAAAAATCTAATATTTTTATAATTTACAAATCAGTTAGTTTTTGGTCCATAATTTATATGCTAATGTATAAGGACATGTACTCAATAAGGAATTTCAAATATTGCCACTCCGTTCAAAGTCACCACCAATTTTTGTGAAAAATGCTTATTCAAATACCAGTTTCTGGATTTGCTTCTTTTATATGACGATGGCCCGAAGGCATAGGAATTTCCAAGATGATTGCTGAATTCAAAATTGCTGTCTTAGTTTTGATGACTCAAATACCAGTTCTCTGATTTGGTTCAGATTTTATATGCCTTTCTGTTACAGAACTCTGCTCTTTTGACAAAGCAAATACCTGTTGTAGAATTTGGTCAAAATTTTACAGCCTACTTTTCTAAAATATTATGTTTCTTCAATGTTGCTACGTGGAATTGTGGTTTTTATCGCACCCTAAGGTGCTATATTGTAATCAGTTTGCCGGGCGGGCGGGGCGAGCAGGCGTCCCAAATAATCTTGTCTACAGGTTTCCAGCCAAACTGTTTGACATGTTTGAGGGATTCATTTGAAATTCTCAGGGATGTTTCTGCCTATGAAAGTTTAGAACTGATTATTTTTTCGGCATTCTGGGTAAATGTTAAGGTGGCCATTTTGGATTTTCTGTCCTAAAATCTTCTCTGTCAAGGCTTGTCTACAGGTTTCCAGCCAAACCATTTGAGGGATTCATTTGAAATTCTCAGGGATGTTTCTACCTATAAAAGTTTAGAACTGATTAGTTTTTCGGCATTCTTGGTAAATGTTAAGGCGGCCATTTTGGATTTTTTGTCCTAAAATCTTGTCTGTGAAGGCTTGTTTTAAAAAATAAAAAAGAATTTCCCATGGAGAGCAATGTTAAATTAAAACATTTTTTTAGAAATAACTAAACGGTCAATCTTTCCAATTTTCACATATTTTGTAAAACATCAACATCAGTATATCTTTTACCAGGATTTTTTCAGGAAAATCTGAATTGTAGAAAAAAAGCTGATACACTGTAAAGTAATACCTCAAAATGTGTCTCTTGAGGGTTGTTTACAGGTTTCATCCTAAAATTTTAGAGATGTTTCTATGGAAAGTTTAGAACTGATTAGTTTTTAGGCAGTCTGGGTATAAATGTTAAGGTGACCATTTTGAATTTTCCATCCCGAAAAGTGTATTCTGTTCAAGGGTGCGATTCTGTTCACCGTGTGGCTTATTTTTTTTAGTTTTTATTTCAAGTTATTGGAGGTTTTATGGGTATGTTTTTGTGTCATAGACTACTGCTTATTGTACAAAGGAAACAAAAAATTAAAATATACATCTGATCGTATTGATACTTGGCTAAATGTGGTTTGAACTTTATGTGACAAGAATGGTGGTTATAACAATATGTCCCCAAAAAATCACAAAATCATTGGTTTAATATTTTAAACAAGAATTATTTATTTGCTTGTTACCTACTTTTATCTTAACTGTACAGTTTATTATATTTTATAATAACATGCAACTCATGGAATAAATAAATGCCATCTGACATTGAACAATTCAAAATGAATTATTCCACTTGAAAATCAAATAATAAAACAACTGAAAATGAACTAAAATCACAGTAGGATTGAATAAACATGCAACATGCAAGTACTGACAACAACTAAAACAACAGCAATAAAACAAATTTGGGCACAGTTCTGTACTGTTATAATGTATATGAAATCATAGTGGAAAAATAGTTGGAAAGATTGGCAAGCAGTGTGAATTGAGTGGGAATGTGAAATCTTCAAATGCACATCCATGGAGCCATTCGTAAGCTGCTATTTGAACGAATAACATGTACATCATGAAATGAATTTCGGTACGATATGGAACAGTACAAATGGTCTCGGGACACGGTACTTTTGGGACGGGACAGAACATTAAAAAAAAGATGCAATGTCTGATGATGGAAGTTTCACTTTTGAAGAAATTTATGAACAAGCATTACCATCTAGGCTACTGAAATCAAGGGTCCTTTAATATTATTATTACACAGACTTTTTTCCCAGCGAATGGCTCAATGGTTGTAGCATAGTGGAAATAAAGTTTAATATGGTGAAAAATTACCAGCACAAAATTGTGTCATATTCTCCCTTTATGAGGTTTAACCCTTGTGGGACTAGACTGGTTGGAGTCATAATATATAATAATATTATTTTCAAATATATCTCCTCCTTTGTGTCAAACAGACCTTTCCAATAAATTCTGACCCCTTTTGGTGAATTGATGTACTAAGGTACTAGTATAGTATATTGGCTAAATTCAGGATGTCATACTTTGCAGGTAGCAATGTTTGTAAATAAAATTGCCTTGAATTTTTGAAAATAATTTATATCTTATCTGTTCCCAATATAAGAGGCATGAGTTTACTGGTTTGGCCTGATATTGTTACAAGTCAAAATCCATTGCAAGCCTTAATTGTACCAACATAGGTACTGGACAATAAAGTATATATTCTTGAAATAACATATCACAATGATATACATCCACTTTTTACATGGATATAATACTGATACCTGCCCCACAAGGGTGAAGGGGTTAACACTAAATGTAGAACAACAACCTCAGAACAATTTATTACAACTTTACAAAAATATGAATTAGATTTTTTGTGCATTTTTGACTTGAGTAAGATCTTGAATATTCATTCATTTACAATCATGATTATCTAATATAAAATATATATATGATTGAAATCAACAGTAGCAGTTGTTCCCATGCAATCATTCATTTCAATTAAATCACAATTAGTTTGCATTTCAATGGTGTTCATGTAGAACAACTATGCAAATAATTTTGACACAATCATGAACAGTTCCGATGTCACATGCAACGCTAAGATATACATAACATGCAGTTGCGACATAGTCAATATATACCAGGTGGTTTAGTAGGCGCAACGCCTCGATCTTCCTCAAATCAAAATAGTGTTAATAGATTTGGATGAAAACTGAGACTTTCTCTAATGTTTTCATTTGCACTATTTTGAACTTGGTCCATAAAATCCTGTTAAACATGCTGTATACACTCTCACATGCAACAAGAACACAACTACAATGAACACATGAACACTTTACATACAATGGAATCCCTGATGATGGTGCTACAAAACCTCCATGGTAGCCTACACAAGAGACAGAAACGCAGAAAAAGCATTACCAACTTGTATAACAAACATATTTTCATCAACAATCTATCACCAAGCCAAACTCATCCTCATCTGAGGTTCCCCCATTACATTTAGGTGTTTGGTTTCCATTCACTCTGGTATTTTTCTCAGATTTAGAATTCATTTTCTTGCTAGGGGGTCCATTTTCCTTCAATTCAGCTGATTTTGGTGTCTTTGTTTTAGAAATTGCTGTCGATTTTTTCGTCTGTTTTTTCCGATTGTTATTAAGAGCTAAATCACTTTCAACACCTGAATTATTTTGCAACTCTAGAGATTTCAACCCAGAGTCACTTATTTCACTTTTTATAGTATTCGAGTCTGTATTAGTGACATCATCAGGACTAGACGAATCATCAGTTTCTAATTCTGATTCTGTTTTATCATTTGATGAAACTTGCGAACTGACATCAGACTCCTGCTTGATGACACTATGTCCTTTTGTCAACATTTCATTGATGATGTCATCATGATCGGAACAATAGAGTTTGTTTTCCGGAAACTGATATGTGTTTCCCTCAAGGTGGGACTTGCAGAATGAATTGGGGCACTCAATACAGAGCTTCACAGCCACTTTGCCACATGTATCACAATGATGCCAGGGACAGTCCCACTTGCCTGAAATATACAATTCATCTTTCAACATGTGATCAACCAACATCAATATTAATGTACCAATTTGACAGATCAGTCAAATTATTTCAAAACTGAATGGTTTGGAATTCGCTTTTAGTTTTGAATATACTGTACTCCGGGTATTGTTTGCATGCGATTTAATTTCGCTTTGTTCGCGAATGTAATAAATTTGCGAACATTTATTGTCCTGAAATTTGTCTTTTAAATCCCAGGGATTTGACCCGGGACTTTTGATATGTTTCGTTCGGTGTAAAACGTTGCATCCAGTGTTGTTGGGCGATAATTAACATAGGGTATTGTTCAATTTTATATCAACAATTGATGTACTTTCTAAGCTCATGCATATGTAAAAAGGCATGTAAGTATATTAATATTATCAATATGGAGAATACAGAGCTGGAGGAGAAAAAAATTCAACTTGTGCAATCCGCGAAATGTCATCAACTGAAATCCGTGAAATTAAGTAGCCGCGAGATTGCAATTTTGAAAATAGGGAAATTTATTAGCGTCAAAATTTACCAGGAGTACAGTAGCTAAATATAAGTTGTGCTGTCAACTTCTGGACAGATTGACCATTGTTCTTAAGCCCAAGTGCTACAAAGGATCAAATTGAGTCAATTTCATATCAAAGCTCTAAATCACCAACAATTAACATGCAAAATGTCACCACTGCCATTTGATACAGATGCCATTATTTGTTACAGATGCCATTTGATACATATGCCATTTGATACAGATGCCATATGATACAGATGCCATTTGTTACAGATGCCATTTGATACAGATGCCATTTGTTACAGATGCCATTTGATACAGATGCCATTTGTTACAGATGCCATTTGATACAGATGCCATTTGATACAGATGCCATTTGTTACAGATGCCATTTGATACAGATGCCATTTGTTACAGATAACCACTTAAGGTGGTCACACAAAAGTGTTCCTAAGATAACTGTGATGTAGAAAGGTTTTACAGAGAAGGACTCACCATGTGGTTTACTTGGAAGATCTAAACATTTCAGATGGTATGCTTTAGGGCATTTTGTTCTATCACACATTACTAACTCGCCTCCGTAACCACACCTAAAACATTCATCTTCATGTTCCTTCTTAACAGCTTTAGGTCTCTTTCGTTTACGCTTTTTGTTGGAATCTTTCTTCTGTTCTATGGCAAGGACAGCAGCAGACTGGAAGAGATTGACAAAAAAACTTTAAAGCACTTTAAACATTCCCCGTGCTTTCCTTAATTTACCAATCTGTCAAAGGCACAAACATGTTACAAAATGTCAAAACTCAATCTGGAAAATATGCAAATGATTATAAAAGTGTAACAATTTGTTACAAACACTGACAACTAGGGGTGAGACGACAACCCGATGAGTCGAGGACTCGCGGGTTTGGGGCTTCGAGTTGAGTCGAATCGAGTCGAAGTTGATGAATCGAATCATTTTCGAGTTGAGAAAAAAATTCGAAAAAATAAAAAATTCAGAAAAATACTGTCAATATGCATGTTTTTACTCGATATTGCGTTGAATATATAAGTTTCAATGACTTGGATATGCTTGTATTAAATTATTATATTGTATGTACACATAAATGAAAGAATATATGTAATAAAATCAGAATAAACTTACGACGAATTGTGTTTGTTTATATTTCCGGCTTTCCACCATTGACGCATTAAAAATACGAACGGTCAAAAGCGATGTTGTTCGCACTTCGCGCGACTTGAAACGGATTCGAAACTCGAATCGTCATTTTCTGACTCGAATCGGATTCGACTCGAATCGGATTTTTTCGACTCGTCTCACCCCTACTGACAACCAACTCCCAATGAAAATGATGGCTGTAGAAACAAATTATTTCTTCTAACATCAATTGACAAGAAACTGAAATTGTACAATTATGTTTATGTTCACTTTTATCTAAATTGTCATTGTAGCACATAATGGTGTAAAGCATTGTGTAAATGAATATAAACAAGATTCTATGATCTACAAACCTTTGGCCTAAGTCCAATATATCCACTGCAATTCTTAGTTTCACACATACACTTAGTCTTCTCATCTCCCCGACTCTCCAGCTCATAATTAAATGTCAACTCTGTGCCAGCGGGGATATCAACCTTGGCAAAGAGTCCAACTCTGATGTCACCAAGTACTGTCCACTTCTGAGTGACACAATTTGGATCACAGCTATGATTCATGAAGCGAGACATGTTACCCTTTGGTCCAGCATCTATTACCCTGAAATAAAGAAAAACTCTCCTTTTACAATTTTGTGTTGCCAAATTGCTTGAATATTTTAAATATTGGAATTTCCTAATTCTACTACATGAATTGTTAAAGGTAAAATTCTGAGAAATGTACACCCAAACCGAACCCAGGGAAAATCCATCAACTTTCTACCTATGATTCAACGATATGAGGAAATTAAAAAATAGAGATAATTTCAATTATTGCGTAGACATGTGTTTTTGTGTTATCAATGTTCCCCTTTGTTCCTTTTGAAAATATTCAATAATTTTCACCCTAAGAAGCTTATTTACCTCCTGGAATCTAAGGTCATCATGTAGAAGTTGCAGATATTGTCATCGTGAGCTTGTTTGATTCTTCTCTGACATTCTTCTTCACTTATTAACTCTCCCACATATTCATTCACAAATTCACCCTAGAAACACAAATATTCCATATTACATATTTGATGCATTTGAAATTTTGGAGACAGAAATAACTGGCTTATAAAATATACAACACAGCAAGGACATTGATAACATCTGTAATAGACAACAGAGTAAACATTCGTATGGTATCACTTTGAATTATTTTTCAGATCTTAATTACAACATGCAGTGAGGACGCACCTTTTTAATATCTACATTAGTTTTAAGGCCCCATCCTCTCCCAGGACATCTGAAGGGAGTAGAGTCTGGATATTGCCTCTTCTGGAACCTCTGATTCTGGCATGCCTCTTTGGCAGGACAAGTAGAAGGATGGCACTCATACATAACCTAAATATGCAATGAAAGCAAAGATTTAACAATGGGACTGCAAATGAGCAAAACAAAATGCAGCTCAAATAAATCATTTCAACAATATTTTCTTCACACTTTATTTACACATATACGATTAAAGTAATAACCATTTCACCAAATATTGAAGTACAAACTTAGGACCGGTTGGACAAAAAATTAAACTGACATAAATGATAGAATCCTCATACATTACTATTTGAATTATAATTTTTTTTGATAGGAATATCATACAGATTAACCATAACAGAATTATATGGCTTTCCTCACCATGCGATTGTGGCATTTTTCATCAGAGCCGCATGGGTTCTCATCATTGGGCAAACATTCACAGGTAGATAGGAGTTGTGGATTGGGACGGTAGATCTGTACATTTCCTAGGGGTAAGTTGGTCTGCAAAAGAGATTGCAATTTTTCAAACAAAGTCCTTTTTTCAGAGTCAGTCATATGGCTGTAATCGTAAAGATATGTTATAATGCCTTTCCATATTCCCAATCTCATCTTTAAAATTATGATAATCAATTTCCAGTTTCATCTTACCACATGTCGACACTGCTCCAATAATGTACAGTCAAACATTCTAGATTTGCATGAAGTCCAAATACCTTGATATATTTAAATGGAGCTGGTTTCTTATCATTGGCTTCTATTTCTTTTTGTTCCTTGTGGTCTTTAGCAACCTTCCAGATCTTGTATGCAGCAGAGGCCTCATTCACAGCTATATGAAAATATTATGAAATCATCATTGAAATTGTTTTGTATTGTCTTTTGTTAACCACCAATGAATTCAGGAGCAGACTTCCAAGGCACAAACAGAGAATCAAAGACTCAATCTAATTGGATTCTATTGAACCCACGTTTTCTCTGATATTTTGCTTATTAGAATATGTTATACCCTTTCCTATTACAGATTTATCTACGATAGCCACAAAACAATTTATGCACACCTAATACGGGCTACAAGTTTGAAATCCTAGATAACTAATTCTACTTTGATCTTAAATGACAAGTGGTAAAACAGTGTGGTTGACACAGATATGAGCACATGTGTATCACAAGGATAGCCTACCTTTTTGGAAAACCTTTGCCAGACGTTTGCCATTAGCAGTGTCGCTGCTTCCCTTGTCACCCTCTTGATAAAGAAACACTCTGAAAATCAGACATTAAAACGAGAGATGTACATTTAAAAGTACCATTTTACATTTAAGGAATAAAGACTGAGATACTATGACTTATGGCGCAATATATGACTGAATTTTTTTTTCGTTTTAATGATAAAATTACCAATATTACTAGAGATTTAGGTATTATAAATATCCTTGCACTTTAGACTTAACTGAAGTCCATATATTTAAATGCACCATTTATGAGCATTTGATGACTCACCTAGCCTGATGAGTCCAGAAGTAATCATGTGATCCAAAGAACTTGATTGGAAACTCCCCAACCTGGTGGGGTTTCTCCTGAATATTGTTGGGGACATTCTTGGGATGACAAATCTGACCTGGCCACCACCTGAAATAATTGACATTTACATAAATTAATTAGGAATGGTGCAAAAATATAAAAAATCAACGAACACCACCCAGAAAATAGTTGGACACCATCAGTCATCACTTGTGTACAAAGTACATGTATACATTAATATTCTGTCTCTGTTTCTATTCAAATGAATTGCTGCTTTCAATATGAAATTCCATCATTATGTTGGTCTTGTATCGGCAAAGTTTAACCCCCAACCTACCTGTAACTGCCAAGTTTCACCCAGACAATGTCTCCATATAGAGGGCGCTGGCCTGCTGCACAACTACTGCAGAACCAGCTCTCCTCAGGGAATGGGATCTCTAAGCATTCTGCATGGAATGATGCTGGGCAGCTTTCACAACATAATAATGTTCCACCTGAAACGATTTTATAGTCTTATAGAACTGATATAATATTCTTTGTTAAGGTTGAAAATGTACATGAAAAACTGATTGTAGGATTGATGGGAAATAAGAAGTTATTCAAAGGCTCTATATTGGAAGCAGATAGATTAAATTAATATGAACAATAACAAAAAATTATTTCTCTAAGCTCTTGTTAACTTTTTTCATGAAAATTCTCAAATTCACATATATTTGAACAATAAAATTCTAAAATAGAGAATGTAATGTACACTAAAACAAGTGAAGTAGCTACCTTCAGAGCAAAGAAAGCACCAGGCAACATTGATGTGTGAATGATGAGACAGGGATTTGACAGGCTTAAAGTGCCGACTGCACACCATATTGTAGCCCCCAAGTGACACACAGCCTGCAGCCATGCAATAGTCCCCTACATGGTATGCTACTGGACACCTTACACAGCGCATAAACCGACCTACAATACAATGTTTAATATAAGAAATCAGGGATTTTATAAACACATAAAACAGTTATTTCCACGATTAGAGCAATTTGAGAATTACACATCTCCATGTTGTAAATTTACACCCTATCAAAAACTGATGAAATACTTGAGCATCTTGACCAAAGTTGGTAAAATGAGAATTTGAACGTATACTAAAAAAGGTTTGGGAAGTAACTGTAAATTGCAACTGGTAGTGCCCTTGAAATCGCATTACAATAACACTGACATCCTCCTTAGGGGAGGCATCAAAAGTTCGATGTCGGATCAGAAACTAAATAAATCTAGTTTTGATTCTGACATCGACATCTATCCGACATCGAACTTTTGATGCGTCCCCTTTGTGTACTTTATCTGATTAAAGTACACTATAACTACTATTCTTGAACACATTATTTACCTTTGGTTGCCTTTGCTTTAGAATGGCTGTCATTGGCACATGTGAGACAGGTATGTAGTGGACAATGGAGCACCTTGCCTTCTTGGCGGGTCAATGGGAATTTAGCTAGACACGCATCATGGTAGAACTTGCCACAGTTAGCTGTTGTACATCTCCTGGTAGATCCAGTGCGCTCTTTGCATACAAAACATTTGTGGGTACCTACAAATTCAACATGATTCGTTTTTCAAGGTATTTTGTTGGACGGGGAACTCATATAACAAGTCAAATTTTTGTCATCAAAATTTCTCTCACTCACAAAACTTGTAAAAAGTCTGGAGATTGATATATGGGATATCTAGAACCTAGATAAATGTACAAAACTGGCTCAGAATATTTTCAATATGTATTTTCTTGTAGTAACAACAGAAAATGTCACTTTCTCTGCTTGTCTTACCTGAGATACACTCATCACATTTGAAGTCTGTGGATTGCACTGCTTTTAAGCCCAAACAGTCGGAATGGTAAGTACCATTACATGGCCCTGTACACTGAACCACTTCTCCAGGTTCTTCACATATCAGACAAACATTTTCTTTCTTGGTTGGCCCAGCTGCAGAAAGGCTAAAGATTTCTAACTCCATGTTGCATGCTTCAGGTCTCACCAGCTTTGGAGCCCCCTATAAAACACATAGTTATTAATGAATGTAGGGGAACTTGATAGATTTCTAATAATATACTTAGAGCTGCAGTATTTTAAGTCATTAAAAGGGACTTTCAAAAGTTGCCTCAGACTTTAATGAACACATGCAGTTGCTGTAGCCAGAGAGATAAGTTTGGTGTTCATCTTGAAATGTGACCAAGTATTAAAATATCTACATGTAGTTTTTAAAGACCTGGCTATTACCATCACACCATATGACTTAGTACTTACCCCAGCCTCTGAGCCTGTTTCAGATGCAGTATCATCCACTATAGATTTCTTTCTTCTGGGTGCCTTCTTGATGTTGGGAGCAGCATCCTCCTCTGACGTGCCTTCTGACTGCTTCATCTAATACAAGAGGAACACTATTAACCATATGACCAGAAATTAGGGCTGCCATCATTAGTCGGAACGTCGACTTGTCAGTCAAAATGCAAGTTCGACAACGAAGTCGACAAAAATTCCCGTCATGTCGACAGCAAACGATATCAATACTTACTTGAAAATATCCAAATGGCCCCAATACATTTCAATACACATTTCAACGTGTTATGTGCGCGTATTCTGCGGAAATATTGTTCACATTCATTTCATTTTCAAAAAATAAATTCACCCGGAAGTTCCCTTCATGACTTCTCTTCTCTCTTGCGAGACGTTGTACGAGATTTCGCCCGAGCAGTCGAAATAAATCCCGGTCGAAACATTGCAGGTATTTGTCCCATTTTCGTCTATAATATTCTATTAACTTGGCATTTAGTAACAATATTAGGCAATTACATACCAATATGAATATAAGTTATATGAAGCTTTTCCCCGATAGATTTGGAAAAAACGAACCAACAACACAGAAATAATTTTTCTTTTTTTCCCGATGATTTTTTCTCCCTGGAAAGTTCGATTGTCGACAATATTTTCGACAGCAGAGTTCGACTGTCGACACTGACATTTGAGTTCGATGGCAGCCCTACCAGAAATACATGTATGTAAAATTATGGCATTGTGGTCCTATTAGTTATGACAGTCAGTGTCTTTTTGAAAGTATGAGTAAACAGTAGCAATTTCACATTGAACCAAATTACAGCAAAAACCTTGACAGAGATTGAGTTAGGAGAGCTACTGAAGACTAGCTTTATCTTGAAGCAGAATGAGACTTGACAAAGGGCTCTATCAATCACTTGACTGTAATAAATCCTCAAACTTACTGTTATTTTACCAGCACCACTAGCTACACTGCTTATTATATCAGCCAGATCATCAGCACTAGTTTGATGAGTAATAGGTTCTTTACAGTCAACCTCTTCTTTTTTAATACTTTGTTCTTTCTTAACAGGTTTCCTCTTCTTAGGTTTAAAAACTACCTCCTCATCTTCGGATGACTCATCTGTATCAAAATCTCCACCATCTAACAGTTTGGGATTTGGTTTGCGGTTTCTTTTCCCTGGTAAAATCATTCACAACTAATAATTTAAAATGACGTGATTTGTTTTTCACACACTGATATAAAAAAATTAACAAAACTGTTTTCAGGTCTCATTTGAGAAGCAAGTTTTAACTCACAAAAATCTTACACCAGTGACAAACGTCCCCTGGTGGAATTTTTCGGTATTAGCATGGCAAGTCATCATCAAACAGCATTTTTATATTGTTCTATCAATAGCAAGTTTATTATAAATTTGGAAGTAGATGTGTTTAACTCAAAAAGACCTTAGTTAAGCTCTAATGTCATGTTTAAGAACCCCTAATTTTACCACTCAAAAGGATTCTAACATACCACCCCACATGAATCTACTTGTTGAGACTCAATCAACTAGAGTTCTTTTGAGATAATGAGGATTTCAGTGAGGGTGTATTGACTTTACAGGGGGATATACACCAGTGAACCCTTAGCATAGGGATTTCATCATATTACCATTTGGATAGATACAAAATCCTTATCTCAGAAACCTCAAATTGATTGAGTCTCAGCAAGTAAAATATTGATAGGGAATAGATTCCAAGTAACATGTTACCTCACCTGGACTGGACGTTTCAGCATCACTTGAATGCAACTTTGACTTGTACCTCGCCCTTTGTTTCCCAGTCATGCTATTCCACTGTAGGGTTAAACAACCTTCAATCATTTCTTCATCATATTCAGGGTGCTCCTTCCTAACATCATCCCTATGTTTGTTACAATACACACTGAACTGTCCCTGGTTTTTCTGCGGGCGAGATTTTGATTTTGGAGTAGTACTTGGCGTTTTCGTTGTTTTTTGACGTTTACTCACTGGTTCTGATAATGATTCATTTTCAGAGTCAATGTCATCGGCTTTTCTCTTTTTGGAAGATTTGGTGCTATCAGCTTTAGAACTATCAGTTTTTGAGCTGGTTGGTTTAGGTTGAGGTATCTGGTACACAAATGTTAATTTTTGCTTCCGTTCATCTATGCTTAATTTCAAGGCATCGTTTGCTTCTTTAATGGCTAAATCCAAAGCTAATTGTCTCTGACCAGAACATTTGGTTTTGAATCTCTCAATAGCACTGGCCTTCTGCTTCTTTGATTTTGCCTCGCTAATTTGTTGAGCTACGTCTTTATCAAAAGCTTCCTTCCCCTTGAATTCTAAAGTTGCAGCCTCACTGACCCAACCTCTCTCAGCTGCACTGCCAAAGAACTGGGTATGATACATCCGTTTCTTTAGTGCTCCACCTACAAGTTAAATGTAACATGTATACAAAATAAACCAAATGTTGATCAACTGAGAAAGTATGCAGTTTGCAAAGACCAGTATCCTATATAAAATCTACATGAGAAAGTTGAATAGTTTCAGAACCCCAAAACTTTACATAAACATGCAAAATATGAAGAATCTGAGAAATTGATTTTATTTTGCTCATAATGACTGTTCTCAGCTCTCATTTGAGAAGCAAGTTTTAACTCACAAAAATCTACCACCAGTGACAAAGGTCCCCTGGTGGAATTTTTCGGTATTAGCATGGCAAGTCATCATTGAACAGTCGAAATTCACACAAAAAATGGTTTCCCTGTAATGAACAGTTTGGACAGGCTCAAAACTGTTAATAATCTTTTGAAAATAGTGTTATGTTTATCATGAAGTGACAAACCTGCCATTTTGGTCGAGATGCCATCTATTGGGTCAAAAGATATCATGCATGGCCACCAGGGGTGTCCTGATACTTTAGACCACACCAGATCCCCAACCAACCATTTGATTGGTTTGTCATTTGCACCAACTTCAGGCTGTTTCCCAGATACAATCTGTGTCATCACTACTGGTTCCTTTTCCTAATAAAAATAAATCCACAAATAGAAATTCATAATTCACAAAAGCACTTGCTGCCTTAATAGATTATTCATAAATTATAGATATCATAAAAATCGGAGCCTTCAAGGGGTACTATTGCGCATCTGAGGTCAAAACTGGCTTGAAAAAAGTCACAGTTGAATTGATACCATATTTTTAAAATTGTTAATTTAATCAGACTTTAAATGCTGAAATGTGCTGATATGATATAAGACCCACTGATGTGGCATAATACATATAAACAGCATGTAGTGACTTGAGACACAACTTAATTTGCTCATCCAGTATTCTCTGCAGAATATACATTATCTATAATTACCTTGGAATGTGATTTCTTTTGCTTCTTATGCTTTTTCTTAGATTTATGATGAACCTCTCCATCAGAAACAGAAACTGAGGACGTCAACTGTTCCTGTCCTTCCTTCACTGAACGTTTAATCTTGATTTTAATTGATGTTGGCGAGGATTTTTTCTCAGCCAGTTTTTCACTCAGATCTCCAGTAACCAGGTTAGGCAACTCGGATGCTTTAGGGGTGGTAGGTACTGGTATAGAAACAGGAGCACAAGGTGCAATGGATGACCCATCTGTTTTGTTTTGAGAATCTTGTTGCTTAGCAATGAGATCTAGATGAGGAGGATATTGCTTGACACTGGCTTTACTTTGGGCAATCTTGGGATTTTGGGACATCGAAGGCATAACTGGTAGGTTATGGCGAACAGACTTGTGAGGCTGACATCTACCCTGATTCCCGCCAACTCCTGGAGGCGGTCTTCCTCCTTCAGCCATCTCTTACTCTTAATCACTTATTACCAAACCAAAACTAAAAAATAGACAATGCAATTGAATTGTGGCAACAGTGGTATCAGACATATTTTCAGCAATCATTTACAATGTCTGCTCTGACATCATGAATAATGACTAAACAGTATAGGCACTTCTATGAAAGCACTTCTAGGAATGAACCAAACTGAAAAGTAAAAAGAATGATAAGCAAAAATTTTCTAAAATTATCATTTTAAATTTTCTAAAACAGTCTAGACAAATTTTGACATTTGTCCGTTGTCCGTTGCTTATTTCACACATTGATGTTAATTCTGAAAAATAACATGCCGGACAGACCTCAACTTACAAGAGGGCACAGAACACTAAATAATCTGAAATATACAAATGTCAGGCGTATGCAGTATGAATATGTTTTTCCATATATTATTGCACAATAACCTTATTTTTTAAGTTCAACTGGTTGCCTTGAAGCAGTTTAACAGACTGTACAGATAGTCTACAGTAAAATTTAATATGTTTGGAAGTACTTTGAATTATAAAAAATAAGCAATCAAATGACTATATGATAATAAAAAAGAAACATATGTAAAAGGCCTAACTTTTATATATTTCAGATAGTTATGTATAATATGCAGCAAAGCTGTGGCCTTTGGTAATTTAGGGAGTTTCAGCCATGTTAATTTTTTCGAAAATAACATGGCAGAGAAACATCAAAATATAAGAGGCCACACATATGATAGCTTACTCACTTCGAGAGCCATGTTAGATTTTGAAACTTATGGCTCTCAAACGGGGAAGTGAACAGCTGATTAATAGTGACCTTTGAAATCAAATTAAGTCGATCCGCGGCTTACTTTTGGTCTCTAACTGTGTCTTACATCAGTATCATCAATCCGTGTAAGTATTGGAGCGCTGAAGTACTTCCTTTTCGATCAAGACTTGTAATTGTTAGTCGAGTGAATGTTTTCACTGCCAAATTCCAATATGGCGTTTTCTGCTCGGATATTTTCGTAAATCTCCGGAGGTTGTCCGAACCTAACTAATTCTCAAAATTCATTACATTCGTTGCATATCTCGCTCCTAGCAAACCGCCAAATTGGAAATAGGTCTAAAAAACATTCACTCGATGAACAATTTACAAGTCTTGATCGAAAAAGAAGTATTTTAGCCCTCTAATACTTACACGGATTGATGATACTGATGAAAGACACAGTTAGAGACCAAAAGTAAGCTGCAGATTGACTTAATTCGATTTCAAAGGTCACAATCATTCAGCTGTCCAAATGCTCCATGGGAAAGCTACATGTATTATATTAAAATCCAAATAGCTTTCGCAGGAAGTAAATGATAGCCATACTACAAAACAAACATATACAGAAGTTAGGCCATGTATATTGTTTCTATTTTTACATATACTGTTTCAATATGGCCCATTGATTCCTTCCAAACATTTAAAATTTTACTGTAATGTATGGCCCCTTGAAATGTAGATGTAGAAGAGTTTCAGTTTGAGTTCAAGAATGTATTGAGGTATGTTATTCCAGTGTACACGGCCCAAACTACCAAATTTGATTATACAGAAAAAAAGTATCCCTGATAGACTAGACTATATCCTATTTAGTCTGAATTATATTCAGACTATAAGGCACCTATGTTAAAGTTTGGTAATTCAAAATATTTGTTTACATAGGAAGTGCTATTCAAAATGGCCGATTGGGTAAAATTAATTTGCACATTTTTACTTCAACTAGCTTTATTTCCACTTGGCAATATGCTGTGTTACTTTATATTGCATTTAATTGTACCTTACTATTTAATTGACATTTTGTAATGTTTATTTTTTTAAAGAAATGGTTCCTCTAATTGATAATTTTGTGCAAAAAATTTCACTGCAATTTCCACAGGAAAGTAGTACATCATAACAGACTGACTTCTATTACTTCGGTCCAAAGCCTTCTCTATATTCCGGCTTTGAGGAGGAAGATTGAGTTGCCTTAGTATTATAAATATTGTAAATCATTGTGTCACACGCACAGTAAATGTGGCATAATAATATGAAATATACCTTTATGTATAGATTTGAAGAACATCAGCTCACATCCCCGTCTGAATCTATTGTTATATTTGATTTCTTTAAGCGAGAATAATTTCAAATGTTATTCACGTCCAGAACCGGAAGCCATTTTTAGCTACAGCGAGAAAATTTCACCATGTGTCAAAACTCCGAAATGAAATTTTGAAATATCTAAATCCAGACAAGCAACGCTTCATCCTAAATATCATTAATATTCTTAAAAATATTTATAAAATTTATTAAAAATGAGTTCTAGGTGCGTGTAGGTGCGTGTAGCACAGTACATACGAAATCAATGAAGTTTCGTCTAGCTGTAAGCTAGAGACTCGAGTAAGACTTCTAGTCAGTCTGTTGGATACATACTACCTGATAGACACAGACTATAAATCCTGGTACTGGATAGCATTTGTACACCAAAATACAAATCAATAACGATCTGCAGAAAAAGAGAGCATTTATGTTTAGAGACCAGGAAGTTTGAGCAAATTTGCCGTTTAACACTGACTTAAAGAAAACGACTTCTAGCACACTTCCATTTTTCTAGTAGTGTAAAAATTCAAAATGGAATTCAACTGTTGAATGGTGTGGCAGTGAGAATCTAGGCCAGGGACTCAGTCTTTACGAAGATGCTGCAATGAAAGTGTAAAATTTAATTACTGAAATGCATAGCCTGGTTTACTCTTAATTCTATTGTACCAGACTATAATTAACGTTCAAATATCAGTTTAATTTTTGATTTTCACAAGAATTCTTATTTTGAGGTCGATTGGTGAAAATCATAAGGAAGCCATTTTACAGATCAAAATTTTGCTTCACATTTTGAGCTTTTGCATAAAATCTACTCATAGGAATCAAATAACACTTATCACGATTTACGTGTCACATTCATATTTATAGTTTTTGATATGGAACTCAGTCAAAAAATACGTTACCTCAGTAAACAGAGTGAGTTTACTGTACAAAAGTCTTGAAACATGGACCACCAATATGATCCGGAATCTCTCGGCTAAATACGGCGGGAAAATTCTATGAATTCATTGGTCGGATTTGAATAGCGGAAATATCCGATGTAAAGGTTAACTTTCAAGGTCATCTGTGGTGAGTTAGATTTTCATTTTTCATTCATGTTTTCCATGATAAGTTCATATTTAGATCACTTGACAATTACATTTGTCGAGCGGATAATCTATGAGAAACCATTCTGAATAAAGGTATAGGTGTTAATCTTCAAATTATTAATTGAAGCAGTCATCTTTTCATGTTTTGGTTTTCTAATTTTGAATTTTTTCATTCATCATGATCAGATCATCATTCATTTTAGGTTCATTTTATTGAATTGACCTTTTGCGATCAGAATTCAGGAATTTTGTTTATGGATACTGTTGTCACGTTTTTCGTCTTATTGGTATGACGTCATATAGAAATGATATTAGACATGATGGAATCACGAAATGGCGGACACGTGGCAGTTTTGAGCTAAAAATATTGTCGTTTCTTATATAAAAACCATGGGTCGGATATTTACAAGGTATGCCGATTTGACTAGATCATGGGTATGTCTATATATATGCGAAGTTTGGGTGAAATTCATACTAAACATCGATGCCTATAAGTGCCCCCCGTTTTTGTCAAAATCGGGGGGCGCTAAACCGCTATCTAAATCATGTCAGTAAGACCTTAGACTTGGTATGTGCTTAGCATGAATGTTGATCTAGTCAAATAGAACGCTTTCGTGAAAAATAAATCAATAAAGCACGAAATATAGAAGATAATCTCTCAAAATCAAGCATCTAAAGCTGGGTGACCTAATTGTGACGTCACTAAAAGACAGAATCCATTCGGTGATCGCAAATCATCAATTGATCAATGATTTCATGAATTTCCATTATCACAGTCCAAGGAACAAGCGTTCACACTCACTGTTTACCATTTTTATGTGGTATACTTATCGCATCCTACGACCCCTTTAGATTGTGGTCGTACGCGCGAAATATTGGTCAGTCAATGTTTTTACCAATACTACGCATTGCAAACCTAAATGACCTACCTTGATACATTCCTTAGTATTTTAGAATTCTTTTTATGTTGTTAGATCGCCAATTGTATGGGTTTATAGGCAGAACGAAGATATTTTCGTTTTTGATAGCAATATTTGCGTGTAATATTTAACTTATTTCAACCGTCAAATTCCTCCATTCAGTTCCCGGCATGCACCAGTCATAAGGGAAATACCTGGGGAATTCCCCTTCCGACATTTTGAAAATTGCTGAATATTTCCGATGTAAAAAACTAAAATCTCTTCGTTCTGCCGATAAACCCATACAATTGCCGATCTAACAACATAAAAAGAATTCTAAAATACTCTGGAATGTATCGAGGTAGGTCATTTAATAGTGCAATGCGTAGTTCATTCTCCGACATTGTAGAATGACAGGCTTACTAATAATACGGGCGTACGACCACAATCTAAAGTGGTCGGTAGGATACGATAAGTGGTATACAGTTTATCCCGTGCCAGGACTATAGTCCTGAGAAAGTCTCAATTTGCCTGAACGATTACAACATGGGAGAATTTTCTACGCTTCTTACACTTAAATACCTACTTCAATACATGTAGATTCCTTGGTATTTTAGCATTCTTTTCGTGTAGTTTAATCCACAATTGTCTGGGTTTATCGGCAGAACGAAGAAATTTTCATTTTTGAACGCAATATTTGCGTGTAATATTTAACTTATTTCAACCGTCAAATTCCTCCATTTATTGGTACTTCCGGGCCAAATCCAACCGCCATCTTGAAAAGTGATGGCCCAAATGTACTCAAAAGTACCCCCCCTCTTTGGAAATCCTTTGACAGGTGTGCAGATGATTCAATTTGAACTTCAAATTTAATTGTTCAAATTGTTATGGTTTCAGGAACCCAAGGCAGGATGATATTTGGGAGGAAAACTAGAGATACTCAGAGAACAGCCTTTCCCAAAGCAACCAGTCAGCAAGATCCTCCCAAAGACACGACAGCAGCTACTTCTAAGACTACAGACAAATCTAAACCATTATCAAGCAAAGGTGCTTCTGATGCTTACAAGAAAGCTGTTGAAGAGAGCTATACAACTGGACTGAGAGACGTTAGAACCACCACTCTCTTTAGGGTTACCAACTTTGAACTTTTTGTAAAACCAGTAAGTATTGATTGCAAATATCCAAAGTAACCAGATTTCTATGGAACATAGTAATCCTATTTACACAAGACAAAGCATTCCTAGAAGTCTTCACGAGGTGCCCTTCCAAAAAATCAGTCAGGCTTACATCTTACAATTGAAAATGTATCTGAGTTTACGCTTGTTTTTCAATACATCTGAGATCGACATATGATTCTATCTGTATAGGTATGGAGTTGCATATATAATCATAAGTCGGCAATGCCTGGGTGTAACTTTATATTACATGTGAGGCGAAAATAAATTAATATACATACATACATATAATTAAATAGCCTTGCCCAAGTCGGTATTTTTTACTTATCCTGATCTTGAATTATTACCGCCTTGTACAATCTAATGCATCATCGCTGATATTATGATAATTTATTCAGCGATTTCGAGATTTCCATAATTCCCAAGCTGTCAGGGGTATTGCGAAACCTTATTGTTTGGCAAGATCGCGTGGACATGACGTGTGACTTCAGACTGATTGACCAATCAAAACATTTTCAGGTTTACCCGCATAATCAAAGTAAACTACCCGTCTACGACTTGAAATTCAATGATCTGATCGAGTATTTCTTCAGAGTTACAATATATTATGTACTTAAATGTACATTGGCATGTAAGCAGTCATTAATATAAATTAAATCATGCGATCCAATGTTGATTTAAAACTGAATTCGCGATGAAAATGCACGAAGACCTAGTCCATGTAGTCGTCGATCTACTAATTCAGTGCACAGTGATTGATCTGAATCTCGGCCAAGATCGAGCTAATATGGTCGACGATTTCAGCGATCGTTTCAACGTTTCTTGTTGAAATCTTCTCACCTCTGGGTATCCGATGAGCTAATGCTGCTGGGCCGTCGTTGATTGGTCAAATTTACCGACATAAACATTGGGTTTGTTAAGCACGTGGCTTTCTCATTGGTACAAGCTGGTCATAATAGAAATCAAAATAAGTAAAAGAGACCGACTTGGGCAAGGCTAATAATTAAAGACGGAATTGAATTTCTGACTATGTATAAGTGAGTGGTGATCTTTGCCCTTAGTCAAAAGGAGATATAATGCGTATTAGTATATCTATAAATAGTAAACATGTGGTTCTATGTATTAAATGTCACTGATAATGCTTGTAGAATGTGATTGTTATGGGCCTTGGTCTGGTGGCTATAACAGGCTGTGTGGCATTCTTGGCTTACATGAACGCAACTCAGGAGAACAAGCAGTATTACGCTGAGAATGAGGATGGCACTTCAACTCTTAGAAAGAAAACTTCACGTTGGGACTAAATTAGGTAAATACCAAAAGGGGAGATTTAGGGGTTTAGAGCAAACCCCTTTCAAAGTCATGCATTTTTTCACCATTCTGAACACTTTTAAGTGATTTTGACCATATTTCACTTGATGTAGTATTGTACTTACATTAAATTAAATTGTACATTTTCAGGCGCAATGGGAGAACATATCACATTGAATACTGGTGCAAAGATGCCTTTAATAGGCCTTGGAACCTTCCAAACCAAAGGGGAAGATATCGTTCACAAGACTATTGAATCCATTTTGAAAAACGGCTACCGGTCAATTGACACAGCAGGTGGTTACAAAAATGAGGCAGACATTGGAAACTCATTAAAAGAACTTCTGCCAAAATATGATTTAACAAGAAAAGATTTGTTTATTACAAGTAAACTTCCACCAAAAGATCAGGGATATGATAATTGTCGGACATCTTGTATGACATCACTTGAAAACCTTCAGATGGAATACCTGGACTTGTATCTAATTCACTGGCCTGGAACCCAAAAAATGAAACATGACGATGTACGAAATGTTCAGAATCGTAAAGAAAGCTGGATGCAAATGGAAACTTTATTAAAAGAAGGTAAACTGAAATCAATTGGTGTGTCCAACTATACTCTGAACCACATGGAGGAACTACTTAGTTTTTGCACTATCAAACCGGCTGTTCTTCAGATTGAACACCACCCCCATTTAGTGCAAAAAGAACTCGTTGAATTCTGTCGAGATAACGACATTCATTTCCAGGCATATTCATCCCTGGGCACAATGATGGAAGACAACAAACTATTAAATGACCCTCTTGTTGTTGAAATTGCCAACTGCTACACAAAAACTCCAGCTCAGATACTTTTGAAATGGGCTGTACAGCAGCATATAGGGGTCATCCCAAAGTCTACAAATCCTGTTCATATTGCTGCAAATATTGACATTTTTGATTTTGAGTTGAGCAGCTTGGACCTACAGAGATTAACTGAGTTGGACAAACAACATCATTATTGTTGGAATCCAATTACTATTGTGTAAATTATGACTTGTATTGCAATATTCTCGAAATATAAATTTGGTGGCAGTGGGGACTACCAATGGTAATTTTGCTGTATTGGTCTACAGTTAAAGGGGATTGCACCCACTTGAGGAAAAATCCTTTGGAGAACCCTGACATGATATAATCTGATAATTGAAGACCCAACACAACTTAACACAACTTAATTTAGAAATAAAAATCATTAGAACATTACTCACTCACTTGCTCAAATATGACACAAAGTTTGATTTGCTTTAATATTGAACCAAGAAAAAAATAACGCACATAGAAAAAAGCATTTGAAGTTCAGAGATCATTAGACATGCATGCACATGTTAAACAAAGTGCATGTTTTAAATTACTATTGATTGAAAAGATGGCGACACTTACGTAAAAATGAATGTATCATGTAATACAAACAACTTTGCCATCTTTCAATGACATTGATAAAAATGTTTGACAGATCGAAAATATTTTTTGATAATTTATTGTAAGCTTTGATGTTGTCCATTCGAGCTGTTGTTGGTGTCAAAAGAAAGGCAAGTTCCTTATCAATACATTGGATATACTATGAAATTTAAACCTAAATCTTTTTTTGCCTAAAAATGTTGAAAATTCCCAAAGTGGGCCTTTAGTTTCTAAAATATGACAAATTCAAATGAAAGGAACAGAAGTAGTGCTGAACCGATAAAAAGATGGCAGCACAATCAATATAAAAATAACTAAGGAAATATAAAAACTGTAACATTATTAATATTGGGAAGATTTTTTTGATTCTAGGACTGAGTTTATATTACATTTTCCATAAAACGTTGAGGTCGTGAAGATGTATTAACTAAGCTTATTGTACGCAAGTTGAACATTTATGATTTATGAGAACATTTATTGAGAACTAATAAAAAATGTGTGTACTTGCCCTTTTATGATTTGGAACACGATCTCTTTTGCAGAGCGACTTTTATTGATCAACCTCTTGAGTTCAAATCATATATCCTACTTTACAATTGATTTTAATGGAAATAAACTTAAAAACAAACAGGGTTAAGTGACAGTCGTGTCATTATGAAAAGTATCTTATTTAGAATAACACACATCGAAGTTCTTTGTGTCCTGTTGAATATCTTAACAAAAGTAATCATTTATACTCCGCTTGCAAAGTCCTTATTTTAGAAATGTAAAATAAACTTTACGACCTTCATTTCAAGAATAATTTACACTACTTGAGTTGTTAGTTATTTTATAACGCATGCAATCGCTACACGAGATGCCTTTTAAATTCATTCTTTTCAATTAAACCAGTCTTATTTTATTTCAATAAAGTATAATTACAAGTTATTGCATACCGCCATATTGGGTGTTACACAGTAGTATACAATGTTTATAATACAGTCATTAAAAAGGCGTAAAGCAGTTGATACATGAACATACAAATGGAATACTTAATATTAAACTTACTAAAAAAACATTAAAGCGAACGTATAATTATGAGGTAAAAACGGTGGTAAAAACCGATATTTTAAAATGTTGCAATGCATGGTTTAAATTTTAACTTAAATTTCGAGAACTAAGGTACCACCCATGCATGTAGAGAACGATTCAGACCATGGGCTTTCAATAGACCCATGTTCACTCAAAACTATTCCCCAGCTTAGTGCTGCTTTGAAAATGACCGATGGAACTGAAATTAAAAGAACCTAACAAAAATAGTTACACGCGTGAGGGTCAGTATTTCGGGAAAATAAACTACGAGAGCAACGGGTTAGGTCCCAAAAATCAAATGATCCGACCTTGAGACAATATTAGCGAACAAGAAAGTATTTTTTAGAAAACGACAAACTCAACTCTCAATAAGAATGTCCTTACCAGACTAACATTCTGAAGTTAAGCCTACATTGAAACAAACAATAAAGGCGAGAGGAGATGAGATTGAGGATTACTGTCAATGTTTGATCAGTGTATAGTAGCAGAGGATATTCAGATATTGCAGTGAACCTAGGAGTTACCTGAAAATAACAATTGTTATTTGATCGGATATTTGATCTGGACAGAGAGCTGTTAATTGTCTTCGAACGTGACACAAGGTAGTAACGCGGAGGGTCACTTAAGAACAAAAGTCTTTCGAGAACACATATAATAAGCGCCTATTATATGCTCATTCTGATCCCCAGACCACCCTTGGCTTGCAAAGCTCGTTCTATTAGATAGCCACTCTTCACGATGATGCAAAGAGACAATAAGAGTGATGGTCAGAAATACTCACGCCAATAGTGAACATTTAACTCCCAGCAGTTATATAAGCGAGGCAGGGTTAGAGACTTACAACAGGTGAGGATTAATGTATTTATTTTTATATCTAATGCGATTATATAGGGTAACAAGGTAAAGGAAAATCATAGCAATAACAATCTACACGATGAATCTAAGGACGAAGCTAGGATAAAAATTTGGCGAGGCTTTAAGGTAAATCACATGAGGTAGAGATTCATCCACTTGAACTTCATTTGCAGTTTTAGTTTATAAAACGTCTTAATAAATAAATATGTTTCTGTAAAATTCTGGTGAGACAGTTGCCTTATGCTTGCCTCCTAGTTGCCTCGCTTGCCTCATGTCACATTCAAAGAGTGGTTAGTTCATTGATTCCAAATGAGTAGTAAGTGGGTTAGTGAGGTTAGCATAGTGCCTAAAATGATTTAATTTATTGCTTGGCACTAGCAATTTGAGATGCTTTTTGGTCAAGTTCAGCGCTAGTATGATGTCAGATTGCAGACGGAGATGCGTAGTAACAACATCAAGCCGCTTTGAATCCTAAAGGAAATCGATCTTCCTTTAGTTTCGCTACAGTAAACATAGTAAATGCCATTTATAAATGCCAATGGTACCAAAAATAAATGAGAAAACAATATTTCGTCATTAATTGTCATTTTATGGTCTGGTAAAACTAGCATTCGTTATTTCTAAATGCCAAAGAGAAGTTTCATCCGCTCGATGGCTCTCGTTTGTCAAATGGCTCAAATGGGTTTAATATCTTTGTTCAGCAATAACCTCATCAGCAGTCCAGTCCTTTGGTGCAGAGTGGTGGCCCAGTGGTATTAACACGATTAGTGAGTGTGCAGATGTATCATTGTCATCAATCAGTGTCTTTCCGTAACTCTATCGTACGTAAATAACGACGAGCAAACTCCCTTGGCAGACAGTGTGGTCTCGGCAAATGTACCACATTTCTTCATCCTAGTTCGGAGTTAATATCATGATGGAACGTTACATCTCAGCAATGATTTATCATATTATAGTTCAAATTTGGTAATTCAAAAGAGCCCAGATTTGAAAATTATATTGGACTTTTAATTTTTTTGTACTCGTACGGGTTTCCAAGATTCAGATGGGAGATGGGGGGGGGGGGGGGGTCACGCTGGCAAGGTTACATGAGATTATGTGGTGCTAATCTTTGTGACATATAAGTGAATTATCTTAGCATGAAAGAGTTTCCTGTGTTTTATTCAGACTTTATATCTGCACCCATTAAAATGTGGCTTAAAAACAAGTTAATAAGGTTTTATTTCACCATTTTATGGTGCTTTAATGTTGATGAAAACGCAAGTAAACTTGCCGGAAACCTATATCAATACGACTTGAGGATCTTGATTCAATTTACTTCTTAGTACAAATGAATAAACTTGATATAAAATCGTACTTGAACCCCTGCTTGGCCAAGTTGACATGAGCAGAGGAAACAGAGATTCGATACGCTGTTAAAATTTAAGATTGAGTTTATATGATACAATGAATTCGTCATCACATCCTTACTCAAAGTGTATTTCACTTCTTGCCAATGAAGCCTTTTGGTGAAGGATACGTCATCGGGCTACGTTACTTCACTTTTGACGACGAGCTGATTGGAGAACGTATCAGATCAGAAATGAGTTTTGTATTCAGTCATTGTATTGGGGGAAATCTTCAACTTTCAATGTGGTTATATTAAATACTTGAAGTTGGAGCAATCGAAACCTTGGGAATCAAGATGTTTTAGGGATAAAATTCTTGAAAAACTGCCATGGAAATTCAAGTTAATTAGGGCAGAGATTACATTTTGAATTTCCAACATTCCAAGGTATATGATATCAAACTGGTCAGAGAGGATGAGCGTTTTAGATACATGAATTATCTTGAGGGACCGACCATTTAAATCGATCCTCTATGAAGGATGGTTTACCCAGACCCAGCCACCTTTTGCAACTTTTCAAAAAATTCCAGGGGGTTCACATTTGACAACTTTGACCCCAAATCACTTGTAAAGTGCTCAAAATGGTGAAAAACTGCATGACTTTGTAACAATTTTGCGCTGAAATTTCCGAATGACGACAGGTCTGGTGCCCTTTGTCAGTTTGTATCAACTTTTGTATATTGATATATTTGATATTGTTTACAAAGAAGATACTTTATGGGGATGTACCATTAGAAATATTGAGATCGATCTCTATTTCCAAGATGATGCCATAAGTGTCATTGGCCCAGGTCCAATGTTTCCCACATTCGAGTACTGAAATATATGGAATATGCTCGTCATCAGGCGACGTTAGTGTTGAGAGATAAACTGATAAACAAAGAGTCGTTATACATGTCAGAGATCTAGTTGAGTGCCATGCATAACACACTCGTCCTGGCACTAGATACTGTTTACATTTGTATGAGAAAATGGTCGACGGTTATGGACTTGTGAGCAGTCCCTCAAATTCCTATCATATCTAAGGGTACACGAGCTCAATGGTCGTGGAAGCAATGCGTGAAATTAAGGCAACCACTCAGAACGGTAAACACTGAACGCTAACACAATAAAACAAAGATGAGAAGAATGATAACAAAGGTATGGATGACACTGACTTTTACGTCATAAAAGTTCATCGAGAACATTTCCATTGACATCCATGCTTTAAACGGAACATAAACACGTATACTCTGGACACTGACACCATCAACGGGTAATTGACCGGCGCATAATTGTAATTCTAGAGTCAGGCAGGACCTTGGGCTATTTGAGATGTGATGTTCAAGGACTATCAATGACTCTTGTGACTCAGAATTCATCAACCTTCTGATTGGGAAATACGATTTATGATTAATGGATTGATTGGACACACGGGTCATAACAGTATACGCGACATCAAGAGTCTAATAAGTGTAGTCAAAGACGTCATTGGAAGAACAATTGTTATTTGATCGTCCTCTGATCAAACTCATCTAAACAAAGGCCTACACTATTTCTTCTCATTTTTATCTATTCGAATATTGCGTTCCGAACCGAGTGGATTTGGAGTTGGATGTCTCAGACTGGATATAGCTCAAAATCAGCACATTCGACTAAGGTAAACAATTAAAGTACTAATATAATTGTGATGGGGTTCAGCAAAAATTAAAAGCAATACAAATTCAATGCACTTAATTTTCATTTAGTTGTTTTTATGTCCACTTTGTCCACATAGCAACGGTAATTTCAGTTAATTTGGAATTGATCTCGTTGTTTTACACCTTGTAATAACATCTTGCTTCGGCTAAGGTATCTTCAGAAAAAGTAATGTGGACTTGTAATGTTGTACCACCCTGTAGCACCTCCTTGATGCCGGTACCTTGTCGGGCTCTGGGTTGGGGGATAAATATGGGAGGGGGACCGGGGGTCCGTCGACTTTATACAAAATTAGTGAATAGGGGTGGGGGGGGGGTGTTCGCCGAGATCGCAACACTTGGGTCATTTGTTAGTTTTGCTTCAAGACCCCACCCCCTTCTTCAACAGCATGTCATTTGTCATCATGTGTCAGAACAAAGGTAAAATCTCCTTAGTATTGAGGTCAATCATATTAGTGATAGGTAAGTTGCATGACCATTTCCATCTTTTTCTGCGACGTCTTTTAGATTAGAATAATAAAAAGCTGAAAATAGAAAGATCAATTCTGGTTAACCGTGAAGCCATAGTGTTGGCGACAATGTTTGATTTTGACTTCTACATTCCATCATGATAAACCGTGTCTTTTTCCTTGACAGTCTTGAGATTCCAGACCTTGTTGTTTGTTGCAAAACAGGATGTGTTGTGATATCGGAATGCTTGATTTCTACTTTTTAGCAACGTATCTTCCAATAATCAGTGATCATTTGTCTACCTCTTGTCACATCCGCTCTTTAACAATTTGTTCAAAGTTTATTAACTGATTTAATTCGGAATAATATCGTTATCATGTAGGGATACGTGGAAAAGATGGAATCGCATGGATTTTGTACTCAGGTTTTGTACTCAGGACGATCGAAGCTGCCAAGATGCATCGTGATCCATCAAGGCCGTATTCATGCCCATAGCCAGGGGGTTCGGGGTTCGAGCGAACACCCCTTTCAAAATCATGCAGTTTTTCACCATTCTGAGCACTTTTCAAGTGATTTTGGCCATTTTTGGCCTAAGTCGTCAAAAAGAACCCCCCTGGAATATCTTAAAAAGTGAATGAACCCGCCTCGGCAAATCCTGGCTACGAATTCCCATGATATTAGGGGTAGCATCTACATTTGATTAGGTAATGCAGACTCTCAAGTTTTATGGAGACATTTGCAGAGTGCCTAAAGGGTCCTAAGTGTGTTATGGTGAAGTTTTATCGTTTTTATAGTCAAGATCATTTTGGCAGTGTTCTCGTTGTCGTCATTCGGGGATTCGTTAATGAAAAATCAGTCTCCTCAGTGAGCTCACAGTTGATTAAAAAAAGAAAATTCTTTTCAAAATCTTTTACCATATCTAACTTGGTGGCAATTCTAAATGTTCATTTTGTACAACCTTACCTGCTGAGGAAGACTTATCACATTTTATTTTGAATTGTGCTTCCTTTACAAAGGAGCAGAAATGCTCCAATCTATCAATCCTAATATACCGTACTTCAACAACCTAAGTGATGACCTTAAAGTTCAAAATTATTCAGCAATGACTGTCTTTATAGATATATGAAGTCAGCGTATAACCAGAGGAACTTATATTAACAACTTAAAAGGTCTACACTTATACATTATATATATTTTTTCCTACTATTATTGATAATGTACATTCAGCTGCATTATATGCATACAAATTTTACCTTGTACTTTGGTAAGACATATTTTCAGATTTTGTTGGGCCATTACCCCCAATAAATTTAAACTTGTAGCATTGACAGTGATAGCGTAGACGTAGCCGAAACAAAATTCCCATAAATTCATAGTACAGTTGTAAAAAGGAGGTGAAATGAGTGTTTGAGTGCAAAAGTATCCATTTCGGATCATTCTGATTTATCAGATAATATCTTATCTATCGCTTGCGTGGAAAGACAAAATGGCCGGCTGCGTGAACCGTGGTGGCTTTGGACCAATGACTATTTGTTTTATAATTTGTGATTGGTTCCATGTTCTGGTTCAAATGCATACCCTTTGCATTCGTTCGACTTTGCTTCTCAATAGAGAGCTTCGGTAGTTTATGACTAGATTCTGCGCGCAGGGTATCAAATGCATTGTCCCGAATATAGTCTACTTATAACCCCCATAACAATGATGTACTGGCCGTATCGATAATTTTACAAGGTTGTCTGCATTATATAGGGATATTTCGAACAGAGACGGCGATATAAGATCAAAAATGTACTTTACCACCATTGCATAAACTCTAGTAGCAAATACCATAAGGCAATATGACTCCAATTTATAACTGTTAAAGGGGCGCTTTTACTCCAAAGAGTTTAGTTTAATGACAAGAAACATGATTTTAAAGTACTTTACTACGACATCCCTGCTCCTCAGGGTTGGAACAATTGAAATTTTGATCAATCAATTTTTGTTGTATTTTATGAAGAAAATGCAATCTTGCTTTATGATTTAGTCAAATGTGCATCTACGTTTTAAATGATTCATAGTTCATATACATTAATTTGTTCAAAATAGATTTACACCGTATTTTTCTTGTTTATAGATTATACGAGCACTTTAATGCGAAATCGTTGCTTTATAAACCCAAAATGGAACAATTAAGATAAAGTTTGGACCAGGGCAATTGTAATAAACCATTCATGTTGTTAAAGTTGAAGTACATCAAAGAGCCATGAAAGCAGTTTATAATAGGAATGATATGGCTTTAGAAACTTTAAAGGATCGTGCTATTTCAAGTGCACTATTGTTTGCATAAGGCCTAATCCAACATTCCAATCTTCAAATGTCTTCGATCATATTAGGAGGACATTTTTTATAAATGAACTTAAAAACCAAATACTTTACAAACGAATTCATAAATAAGACCTGCTCTTCTAGGCCTAATACAATTGATTCGATGATGTCTTATGCTTTTGATTGATGTCATTCTTATGTACGAGTTGCTGATAGTCATAAATATCTGCTCGAGTGTGCGCAACATCTCCCATGTCTCCGTATGGCAGTTCGTTCAAATGAAGCTCGATTGCACTGAACGAACTGCTGATCGAGGAATTCGACGTAGCGCAGAATATGTAAGACCAATATATCTCATGAATATGTATTTCAATGATTACATCTATATTTTAATAATTTGCCATAAAATTCAAGGTATGCATTCTAATGTCACTTATTTATAAGTCTAGGGTCCTGGACTAATAAGTGCCGACGTATTTAATAAAGAACAACGCCGCTGTTATGCTTCACAATATTACATCTCTCTCTGATTACTCGATGATTTACCGACTTAGGTTCCTAGTTTTTCGCATTCATTTTGAATTCTCTTAACGTATTGAATCATTACAAATGAATGAAGGATAGCCCCAAGACGTTTATCAAAATGTATATTAGCCCGTAGACAGTCTCTGACATTTAGATTGTTAATGAAAGTAGGGCCTCAGTCTGCGACTTAGCAATTTGTCCAATGAACATATGACAATATCTTGCCTGTGAATAGCTATAATCTAGGAGAGCACTCGGTCAATTAGGCTTGCGTATCAGTTCTTTAATTTTTATATCTTATTTTAATAGGGGTTTGTTATAAAAAAAAACAAACTAAAGAGTAAGCCCTTAAGCCAGGAGATAAGTAATAGTGACTAGAGCTCTCTTTTAAGCTTAAGGAGGCGAAAACCTGAAAAGGGTAACCAAACTGAACCAATCTATGTGATTCCATTTTAGATTTGAATGTTTCTTTAATTTATTTATCTACTCAACTCAAGTCTCAAATCGATTTGGCCCTGAGGAAGGATCCTTGGGTCAAGGTTTCTTCACAGACCTATTCTACCAGTCTCTCTCATTTCAGTTGCAAAACCAGATGATGGTTTCCACTGTGTTGAAATCTAGAAAGTGAGTTCTTCATCAAAATAAAGTTACTAATAAACAAATTACTGAATAGAAGTCGAAACTTGTTCAGATGTATTTTTCATAGCAAGGGCCAAATGATTCAAACGATCATATCAAATCCCAACACAGTAAATCAGAACTGTATGACTCATAACCTCTGACCGAAACACGTCACTCTCTCCTTGAGCTTCCTTGGATAGATGCCCTGGTCTGTCATGATAAATCGTCATCCCAAGGTCGGGTTCGTATGAATGATAACCTCGGGCATATATCATCTATAGATAGTGACATAACCTCCAAAATATTACCATTATTTAAAATAATCGATTTATATTGCAATATAATTTGAGGGGAGTTTAGTCTTTTGTGCCAGTTTCATACTTTCAAACTTGCCGCCAGAAATGTAGGAAGGCTGTCACCCAATCAGAGGGCTAGAAAGTTTCAGAAGTAGGTCAACTAGATAGCGTCCCCTAGATTCTCGCCTAGGTTGGACTCTCATATTCCACTTGTGCTAAAATACTTATACGTGTATATTTTGTTCATGCCCGGATCAATGAGGAGAAGAATCATTCTTTATCAGAGGATTTCAACCCTGACCCTTCAAGGAACTGGATTGGTTCCTTGAATCATCTTCGGAAATATTCGTAATAGTTTACTATAACCGAAGTTGGCCGAAAATTCTTCAGGGAATTTCATTGGTTCCTTTTTCACTTCGGCCATCTTCGTGATAAAACATCTTCGATTGCGATCTGTGCTCTTGAACCAACAATGAAGAGAAATGGGAATCCTCAATAATTACATCTTCCACGTTACAGGGTAATAACTTAGGAAAGTGAATATTGATAGATAAAGATGCAATTATTAATCAGTTCGCCCGGACTGCCACTGGCACTGGGACTTCCTAATCAGGTTAATTTCACCATAGCTTAATGAAGCTCCTCGGCTATATCTTTCTTCTCAATAGTGTCCGATAAAATCTAATTAAACCGTCAATACTCTAGGCCTTTCCTTGATATTAAAGTCTTGCATCAAGTTTCTGGTTCTGCCTCCATACTCATCT